TACCTACCCTTCGTATAGCAGTAGAAGAGAGCGGGAGTTCTTTTGTATTTCTTCTCTCTCTCTCTCTCTCTCTCTCTCTCTCTCCCCACTTTTTGTGCAACCAAAAATCATACATTCATGCATACGTATAAGGTATGTATATGCATGTCTTTTTGAGAAACCCGGAAATTCTTCCTACGTTAGGAAATAAAATATCAATCACAACTCGACGCATCGGGTTTCTTATTCCTTTTTCTTTTTCTTTTTCTTTTCTTTCCCTCTCCCTTTTCTTTTTTTTTGCCTACCTACCTGGCACCTACCTACCTGACTGTCCAACATCTCATCTCTTTCTCTCCTCCGGAATCCGAAATCCGAAATCGATAACAACATCTATCGGACAAAAAGCAAAAAAATAGCGCCGGGTCCCGTGGGAGTTTTCTTATCTATCCTACCTTACCTTACTTTACCTTACTTTACTTTAGCTATCTATCTACTCTGTCTACTCTATCAATTGGAGTATATATATATATAGATGGATCAATCAGCGAGGAGAAAAACTCTATGTATTTACTTGATTATTACTATCTGAAATCTATTGATCGATCGATTGATCTTTTTGGATCTTTTTGGATCTTTTTGGATCTTTTTGGATCTTTTTGGATCTGTCTATCATTTTATCATTTTATCTTTTCATCTACCTATACATCTCCCTCTTCTCTCCGTGGTGTGACAAAAGTGCTATTTTATTCCTCTATACCCCAAGCACAAGAAAGAGGAAGGAGGGAGATGAGGTGAGGTGAGGTGAGGCGAGGAGCATCGACAATGAATTTTCATTCCTCCTTTTTTTTATTAACGTGTCACTGTCCGTCTGTCTCTCGATTGGTCGGTCGTACGGTGTACTGTTTCTTAACCACCTACTACCTACCACCTACCACTAAGAAGATCCTCCTCCTCCTCCACTTTCTTCTTCATCACGGCGCTTTTCCTTGTCCTTTTCAATATCAGGCGCAGGAGCGAATTTTGATCGGGCTCGGATTCGTTTTCCTGTGTGTCATGAGAGAAGCCGTGTCAGCGCCTCACATATGCATCAAATCAGTGTGATGGGTGGTATCAGGGATGAACTTCTGCTCGGTCCCTTTTTCTTTCCTTTTGATGGAGGACGTACCGAAGAAATAGAATATGAATGGCTAGAATGTTGAGAAGAAAAGGTTTGCATGGGTTAGTAAAATGTCTTCTTGTTCTTGTTCTTCTTCGATCGATCATGATGGCGTGGGTACTTACCATGGGAATGAAAAGCGCAGCGAAACATCCGAGAAGTGTCATGCCCCTATCATCACGCATCACCGCGTTAGCGTGTCTTTGCATCTGTGTCTCTCGTTCGCAGAGTCTTGTTGTCATTGTCGTTGTCGTTATTCACTACTCACCAATCGATCCCAATGCCATCGAACATATAGGTGGCAAACAACGGGAATATGGCACCGGCTAGCGATCGCATGATCGTACTGTCTCACGGTTTAGCATCATTTCCTCTAATCCCATGTCTGGGTTTCTTCTTTGCAATGGCGTGTGGTTTTACTCACTTGGCAGCGATCGCCGAAGCCGCGAGCATCCTAACAGCAGAGTGTCAGCAATTTGTCATGGCATGTCTGTCTTCTGCGGCTACGAATTTTCACGAGAGAGAAAAAGAGAATGCCCCATCCGCTAACACCATGGAAGAAGATACACGTACAGATATGCATCAATCTACATTCACATTAGCACAAAACGAACGCATGAAAAAAGAGTTCGACTGCTTCGGCAAGTACTCACGATATAGTTCAAGCACCCCAGGAAAACGGTGAACAGTCCGAAACCGATGAATATACCGGCGAGAGTAGGAACAATCCACGGAATGCTAGCTTTTGCTGTCCACTAGAAAAACAGTCAGCGCCTGGATTGACCAGGTCGACTCGGTGAAGTATGCTTACGCCAAACCAGAACAATCCACTACAAGTACGTGTTAACCAAAATGCCTTGAACGCAGCCTGCTTCGAAAGGTTCCACTTACATCGTGAAGGTAATACCGCCCACCATGGCGATCGGTAGTCGCCACTCTGGAACTGGTATATTATCTAGAAATTCAAGGCTCAGTGGCTGCATGAGTGAAGCTGTAATTGGTGATCGTCTCACTTACCGTTCGCTGCGAGCTTTTTGGTATATCTCGGGACGTCAATCAAGTTCAGCACGATACCCTAATTCCGTGTGTTAAAGGTAAGCAGGGAGTCGCGAACATTCAGATAGGGTTGAGCAATGCCGGTGTTCAAGCTCACGATTCCAGCTCGAAAGAGCCAGAGTGAGATACTTGAGAGATCAGGACATGCTTTCAAGCGGTTGATTTTACTGACAATTCCGACGCCCACGATCAATCCAAAATATGGGAGACCAGAAACTCCTAAGCTGAAGCCATAGATCTGGTTGAAAACTATGCCATAGGCTGTCAGCGAAAGGTAGAGGAGCCCGTACAGAAAGCTCATGTAAATCGTAATCAGTAGGACAATGGGCTCTGTGAAGAGTATGCGCAATGGACGAGCAATGTTCTTGACAGCAAGCTCCTGGAGGTCGACTTCAACTTCCTGTGAACGTGTAAGCACCACGCCCCTCCCAAGCACTGCTGGCCACAGTGTGATCCTACCTCTTGCTTGGCGTGAATGCCCCAATTCCTGGTGAGACGACGAAGCTCAGAGGCTTTGCTGACGAGGATCACGGGGCTTCATGGGGGTATCAGCTCGCTGAGATTCCAATTTGTGATACTTGAATGCGTACCCATAAGATTCCTCCTGGTAGAGGAGAGCAAGGGTGCCCGCAGTGAAGCCCATGAACGCTGGAATATAAGCACACCAGCGCCAGCCCAGATATGATTTGGCGATAAAACCACCTGTAAGATATACATGATAAGCAGAGGCCCAGCAACATTCTGGTTGTCACACTTGCCTATAAAAGGCGCCATAAAAGGGCCATTGAAGACCGTTCCGCTGAAGGCAGTGACGGCGACACCACGGTATTGATTAGCTAGAGGTAGAAAGCCATATATCAGCGATTTGCTCCAATAGACCAGGGCCTGTCTCGCAGCCTTTCGCCGTAGCTAAGTGAAGCCGAGGGCACATATCACCGAGCGGGGTGAGAGCGCCTTCGAGCTGCTGTTACTTGACCTACAGTACATATCGGCAAAAACAGCAGCGACCACTGCGAGGGGACAACTTCCAAAAAGTCCAGCAAAGAAGCGGCACAGAATCAAGGTCTGATAGTCTTTCGCGACAGCCACGCCGCTAGGAAACAGTCAGTATATTCCTATATATGCTTGTCGGATGTCTCAAGAAGGAGAGGAAGAACAACAACAGCAACAACAACAAGAAGAAGAAGAAGAGGGAGATTACTCGCATATTAAAGATTCCGAATGCAAACGCGGCAATGACAATGGGAGTTTTTCGGCCGTAAAGCTCACTCATGGGAGCGAAGATGGAAGGACCAATTGCGTAGCCCAGGACAAACAGCGACGTGCACAAAACGACGACCTCGCGGCTCTTGCCAAACTCCTCTTCCACAAAGGTTGCTGCGGGCGAGAACACGGAAGAGGCGAAGGTCGCAGCGAGAGAGTCGAATATCAAGATGGCGGAAACATATAGCTTCTTGTTGGTCGGCCAGTTCATAGCGTGCCTCGGATCATCGTGGCCATCAAACTCGACCACATAGTCTTCCGAGGGTGGCAAGGGGGGTGGGTAAGGCTTGTTCCCACCGAAACTGGGCAATTGGGAGGTGTCGACGGGGGCCCTCTTGGAGGAACCCACTGTCTGCGAATGCTGAAGTCGATGGTCTTGCATACGCTGAATGGCCGTGGGATGCCGGTCGAGGTAATGCATAAAGTTATCTTCGATTTGGGTGCTGGTTCTCGTGAATGTCCGGGAGGCCATGGACGCCGTGCGTCGACTGCTCGGTGGAGCATCATGGGTGGACGAGCTCCCTGACGAGCGGACGGATTCTGCCTCCTCGTTGGCCGGTTCGCGGAAATAGTTTCGAAAGCGTTCTGGATCGGCATCGCGTTCGGCTCGCACAATGTCCCGGTCCTCGTCGTTCATCGTGCAGAGTGGCGGCGCCCAGCGCGGGCCTGGCAGTCTCGTTGCCGCTCCTGTGGGTGGTGGCGTGGTGAGGTTGAGGGAGAGGTGTGAGGTGGAGATCTGAGGTGAAGTGAGGCAAGGTGAGGTGTGGCTGGATGAGGTGAAGTGGGGTCAAGTGAGGTCAAGTGAAGTGTGGTGAGGTGAAGTGAGGTCGGATGCTACACAAGTGGTAAGTGTTGCTGCAGCGCAGGAACGCCAAGCATCGGAAAAAAGTACAAGTGCCATACATAAAAGGTGCCTTAGCTCCTAGCCTTGTAGGAGACGAGTGTGAGACATACTTGATACCGTTCCCGCTCACCAATCCCAATGCAAGCTTGCTTGAGTCATGGAATGGACTAAGCACTTTCGGTCGAGTCAGGTATGCGGCATTATGGCTTTATCTCCTACCTTACCTCCTACCACCGTATGCTACTATAATAACTACATCTCGTTGAATGTCGTTGCATTCTCAATCAGCCGCGAGGCTTCCTGCGTCTGTGTATCAGTCCCTGCAGGGCTGTTGCGATGGATGCTATGCAGTCGTCCATGGAGGACAGTGCTCACACGGCAGAAACCAAATGTGGAAGAATCGATATCATCGCTCGCTTGGAACGCTCGCAAAACGGAACCATACCATCAACTCGAACAAAAAAGGCTCATGAGGCCCAGCCCTCGTGATGAGCGTGCCTCTGGGCCTGCCATTCAGACACTCACCGTCCTCCTCCGTATCTGTCTGGGCTTTTGCGCGCAGCAGATGAGCAGACGAAAGCTGGTGCGTTGCACTTCGCACTCGTGCAGAAGCCCTCGTTCTCTCCATATGCTGTGGTCACTCGGAGGCAAAGCGGTTTCGTAGCAGCTCGAGTACCACCACCGACCAACCTTGGCAATCATGGTGGTGATACCCTCGTCGCTTTCGTTACCAAAGTCACCCAATCCATCTGGATTCCCATTCAATGGACTCAAGAGATCGACTGCCTTACGTGACACCGGCACAGACTCATTCTGCCCTCGTGGTCCCACCAAGGGATCCGAATCGGAGCTGCTCAGGTCTTGCGATCGCATTCGTCCAGCTGCTGGTACACCGACCACACAACGCCGAACGCCTTCGAATCCATTCTGGCCGACCATCCGCATCAAAACGTCACTGAGGTTGCCCAGGCAGATGGACGGGTCGTGAATCTGCATTCGTGTCTTGAGACCCTTGACCGCCTTGCGTGTGCGGCTTCCCATGTTCACAAGATCCAGATCGAGCACAGCTACTTCCAGATGACCACCCGGACGAAGCACGCGTTTGCATTCTGACACGCAGTGGAAATATGACTCTTCGGTGGTAGCGAGTGGAAAGCGGAGCACAACAGCATTGAAGAACCCTCTGGGGAACGGAAATGCCGTGGACATGCTTGTGATGGGGATCCGGCGATAATTCCGTGGTTCATCGGCCTCACCCGATGCGAGTACTGACACCCGTCGAGGGCCGATGCTCATATCATAAACTTCCGCGGCTTGATAGGTCCTCGCAATGTAATAAGACCAGTCGCTGCTGAGTCCGTCGATGACGAGCACACGAGCTTCGCTGGTGAAGCGCAACTCATTGTTAGCAGGACTGAATAGAACCCGGCCGAAGCTGAGCCATTTGCTTGTCATCAGTGCTGCATGGCGCATCCTGTTTGATAGCTTCCTTCCGTGAACGCGATCTGGGGCCATGTGGGCGAGGTAGGTCTCATGACCATCATCGTCAGGATACCTCTCTCCTTGGGCGTCTTGCGCGGGTGCTGATGCATCGGGTGAAGAGGCCGATCGCGAGTGTTGAGAACCTCTGCCGTCCCGGAAACTTGCTAGACTGGAACGACGCTGCCAAGACGCACTATCCCGTTGCAGCTCAAATAGACTGGCACCATTCATTGACGTGCCCGTGCTGCGGTTTTCGTAGCCACTGATCCAGGCGGATATTGTATCTGGCGTCATGGGAGACAAGGAAGGCCTCAGGAACCGGGAGACTTGCTGAGACACGGAACCAGGCGGTGCGGGTAGCTCAGTCTTGGGTGGCAGACCGGTGGGCGGCGGAGGCATGTATTGCGATCTTTGCCCATCGTACAACAGGTCGACATACGGGGAATGTGGCGCGTCGAGAGGCCGGGCCACCGCGTCCATGAACTCGTCGTATTCGTTCCAGATGTCATCCTGCTGAGAGTCCTTGCGATCGGGGAAAGTGATGAATTCGTCAGACTGTGTTCCCCCTCGTTCATCGTTCATGCGGAGGATCCCTGCTTCTCTGCTTGTATGCACGACGGCATTTTGAGGGCCTGGCGCATTTGAGTCGAGCCAAGTATCAGAACTCGACACCTCATGACATCCACCCCCTTCGACTGCACTCGCCATGTCGCGAATCTGGGTGTACACAGACCCTGGTGGCTTCACAGTGGGCCGTGGCTGGCTCCGCACGAATGGCCGCGAGAAGGAATGTTCCGAGAGCTTTCGATCTCTATCCCGTTTCGATACCACTGGAGGGATGCGGCCGACAGGAGAAAGTCTTAACCGCCTGGGAGAGTCGTTGCTGTGTTGCTCCCGCGTGCTGACTGATCGGCATGGCGGATCAAGTGTGCGACAATTGGCCGCACTCATTGCCTCGTGCACTGGTGGTGTGGTGCTTACATCGTGAACTAGGCTTTCAACTTCTGCAAGGTCGACCGGCTCTACATCAGCCGCAATTGCGTAGTGACCGATTGGCATTGGCGAGCCCTTTTTGGCGACAGCTCTGGACTGTAGGTCTCCCCCATCTTTGCCTTGCGTTCGAGGCGATGCGGTGACTCGTTGGAGAAAGTTCCGCTTGCCGCTTGATGTGGGGGACAGACTGCCTCGCAGAGGCTGAAGATATACTTGCTCTTCATGCCGGATGGTGTTTGGCACTGCAGGCGAAGTACTCTCTTTGCGATGTGAAGGGCGTATACTCGGGTATTGATTCTCGCTCTTCAGCTGTACAGGCAGCACATCATCTGTGTCTGACCTCAAGCTCTCTTGCGAGAAATTTGTTGGTGCCCATCGCGAAGGACGACTGGGTATCTGTGTCTGGACATCATCATCATAATCATCATCCGAGCTCTCGAAAGTGTTGCGCCGCCCGAAAGATGGCCCACCCCTAGCGCAGTGTTGCTCGGATGTTTCCATGGCAGATGGAAGCAGGCAGGGCGACAAATTCTTTGACGAGATCGGTTCTCGACTCACACCTGGAACGTCAGACATCGAGTCGGCCTGACCCGATTTGATTCCATTGCCACGCAAGACTACCGGAGCTAGGCGCGTCTTGAGAAAGTCATCAAGCTCGACTGCATGCTTGCCCTTCCCCTGAGCTCTGCCCATGGTGGTTGGAGAAATGCCGACACTGATTGAGCTGTCGCTGCTCGGCGAGCGCGAGCTTATGCTGCTCGTGTTACTAGCTGTTCGGCCTCGTATTCCAAATCTACCATAGCCTTCATGCCCGGTCCCCGCAACAGGGCCTTTGGCAGGTGTTCGTTCCGGTTTTTTGGTCAGCTTCTTCATCTCCTTCGTGCCATGCTTCGGCCTTCGCGAAAAGAATGCACAACGCGACGATTTCGATGGTGAACATACAGACTCTACAGCTGGTGAATCTTCACGCTGTACTTGCGAGGTGTTGTGGGCTTGCGCGGCGATGGACTCCGATGAGCTTCTGGTGTTGGACCGCACTGCCGTGGGTAGTGGCGATGTTACAGAGTCGACACGCGGCGACGCATGACGCGAAGATGACCTGGATGGGAAGCCGAAACGTTTCGTGACTTTAGGTGAGCCATCGGAGCCATGAGTCTCAACAGAAACAGACGACGTGCGTTTGTGGTAAGTAGTATAAAGCCGTGGCAGATCGCTTTGCACAACGGCCGACGGACCAGTCATGTCCGAGATGTTAGAAATGCCATCGCGACTGGGCCTTGTAGGCACCTTTGGCAAGTCCACATTCAAGTGAGCCAATTCGGGCGGTATCTGGATCGTGCGTTTGCGACTCGAGGATGTTGATGGTTCCTTGGTCAATTTATTCCGCGGTGCAGCTTTAGCAGGATTGACGCTGGTTTGTGATGAGCTGTAGCCTTTCGATCGCTGTGTGGATATAGACTCCGCGTGCCCTGACGTACGAAGGGTTGATGATGAAGAGGTGGACGACTCCCGTACCGCTTGTGGCGATGATCGTGTCCCTTCGTCTGACTGCTCTTGGTGACGCAAGTACAAGCCACTCTGATTGGAGCAGTGCAACTGCGGCGAACGAGTCGCGCCTGCCACAGCGGCGAATGCTGAAGAGTACGACGATGCTGAGCTCGGGGTGGGAACATGACTGAACGGTGAGTCCGTGTATGTAGTGGAAGGAGTGCTTGATGGACCCTGAGCCAGAACCGAGGTCGTATGTTCTCCTGGGAAGTTTCTGTGTTGGGAAGACTCATGCGCATGCGTGCCAAAGGCTTGCTGTGATGTGGAGGGTGGAAAGATGCCAAAAATGGAGTCGTCGACATCGCGTCGGTCGAGGACATCAAGCGGATGCGCAGTCGGCATGGAATACTCCAAGTTCTCTGTCTCCAAGCGTTTCTGAACAGCGTACTTGCCAATTGCGCCAGACTTCTTGCGGCGCAAAGCGTTCGATCGTGGGCTGTCGAATGTTGACGCTGATGATCCAGACACGAGTGATGGAGTTCGTTGACTTGGAGGTGCTGGTGTCACAGATCTATGCGTCTCCAGTCCATTCCGGTCTGACGACTCCGATGCTGGCGTTCGAGCTCTGCTTGTATTCTTGCAGGCCACCTGAGCCCCACTCCTGCTGGTTTTCTTCGCCGGCTTCGCCACATGCTGAGTTCCATGGGTTGGCCGACCCGATTCGGTAGTAGACTTTGTGGGAATGCTGCTGTGATGTTGTCGTGAAGGCTCTCTGGTCAATTCTTTTGACAGTACTCTTGACAATGACATTGTCCGGGAAGTGTAGGTCGCAAGGGCATCGACGTGCGCAGGCTATTATACAACACGCTTCTGACCTATGACACGACTCATGAGGGGACTTCGCATGTGTTATTAGTCGTGATCGTTCGTTAATCGTCGTCCCGTATTGTTGCATGAGGCCGAAATGATGGTCCAACTTGAGGCAATCGAGTTTGTCGGCGCCAGCGCTTCAAACGGCGTAGAGTTGAGGGCAGCGAGAGCAGATGCAGAAGTAAGTAAGTAGGTAGGTATGTAGGTATGTAGGCGCCACGGCCTAGCCACCGTACCTGACGGTGGTTCTTCTAGAAGAGCACACAGGCAAATGCGGTCAGATCAGATGTGCAGCGGTAGTTCCGCGAGCGCTGCACTGCGCCACGGGAGCGTCCAGTTGCGGCAAGGCCGACAATTCTGGCAAATGTGCCACAGCTGCACTCTGCTACGTGTAAGCGCGGGATTGGTCTCACGCACAACGGATCTTTGCAGCCCGTCCTCTGCTGGGCCACCGACGCTGGGCGTGGCGGTCAAGTCCGCCGACCTGGATAGAGGCCTCGCAGTGTGACTTCTTGTTATTGTTGTTGTCTACCGTGCCTATACGGTATACCTAGGTGTAGTCCGATCAATGTGGGGTAGGACGCTTGCTGGAACCTGGAGGGCCGTCCGGTTCGCGTCGGCGGCTCGCGCGTCAAAACTCAGAAGCACCAAGCCGCTTCCAATCCTCTGCGAGTTCCCCGCTGGTTCAGCACACGGCTGGTTCAGCACACGGCTGGGCGGTGTGCGTGGCGAGATGCCGGTCGGAGCGGTGACAGGTCAGGTGTCGGTGCCAGAGCTGCGGACGAAAGAGACACGAGACAACGAGGTGAGATGGTGAGAGGGCAGGGCAGTTCGGGGCGAGGAGGTGGTCGAGGAGGAGGAGGAGGATAATGATGAGGAGGAAGAGGAGGATGGGTTGGGAGTGGGTGAGGTAGCAGGAGAACGGGAAGAGGAGGAGGAGGAGGAGGAGGAGGAGAGAATGTTGAGGCTGCTGCTGTAGACTGACGGACTCCAGACAGGTACAGCAGTACGCACTACTACTACTACCTCCTACTACTCCGACTACTCTTCCTCCTACTGCCAGCTGCATCCCGTGTTGAGCTGAGGACGGGGGAGGGAAGCTCGCGTGGGTACAACTTAACTCACTACTGTGCCTTAGTTCTAGTCACTTTCCACGATGGCGCCGGCGGAGGATCCTGATTGCTGCACCGTCGCCACCGTGTGCATGGTGGTGCTTGGGGGTGTGCCCATGCCATGGCGAAAACCACTGCAATCAATTCTCGTGAGAGGGACTGGAGAGGGAGAGGTGATACGAAAGAAGAATATTGCCTGCAGGCACGCGAGACCAGTAGCAGCGCCAGAAGCGCTGTCTGCGCCTACATTCGCCTGCCAAAAGTCGTCTCTCCGGCACACCCGCTGACCCGCACGTCCCAGTTCATGCACTTCATCTCTCTCTGTGCGGCGCCCTCCGCCTGGCGGGGTCTCGCGGAAAAACCTTCAAACACTCGACCAGTCGCGCATGACTTTTCATTGGTGCTGCCCCATCCAATCGCACCCAAAGAAACCGTAGTGGAACGTCTACCTCCTAGCCAGACTACAGCACTATCCACAATCGGATCGTGCACTCCATGTACTTGATGATGACAGGCAGTGAATGGGCATTGGCCATCGGGTTGAGAAATCATCATGTAGGAGCATCCAACCACCATGTACCTGTTTCAATCTGCTGCCAATTTCGGACTAAGGTGTCTGTCGACTCTGTTCCAGTCGTGCCGTGCCGTCTCCTCCTGCTACGACCAACGACAGAAGATGAGGTGGCGGACATATAAGCGCTCTCGTCGGTGCCGTCCCGCTGTCATCAGCGTAAACGCCCCGTAATGCAAGTGACGTTATCTCCTACTTCTGCAGCTGCAGCGGCAGGTGTTCACACTCCTACTGCATGCTCCTTGTCTCATCAACTGTGAGCCCGCATCCCCATCTCGTCAGGTGATCGACGTGATGGTGCTGTGCCACTGGCAGCTGTGGACGGGAATCCCATCATACCTAGTCGTGCGAGTTGGACTACTGCACAGGTCGAGGCATGGAACATCGAGGCGACGGGAACGAAGCCCTGGACCACGATATCTGACGCCTTCACGCTGTGCATTCTGCTGTACTTCAGGTTACCTGTATGTGTTCTTTCTATGTCGCGTGATGCAAGGGCAACGTCAATTCACAACATTCGTTGAAGCCTCGCTCCGATCAGCGACTCCATCGTATCCTCTGCGCGCATTCGTTGCTCGTGAGGGAAGGACAGTGATCAAAGATTGGACATGTACTTATGAACTCATTTGAACCTAAGACTCAAGATCAGCAACAATACCAGCACGTGTTGCAGCCACGCGTCTCTCAACCCGACGAATGCTGCAGCGATATTTTCAGCAAGTCGCAACAAGCAATCTTCCGCAGCTGGTGGCTGCCTATATTCTACTGGTTATATGCCGCTAGGTCATGTATTCGGTCGTCCGAAAGCGGATCTGGCTCTTTCGGGTTTCGCTTCTTGCGTAAGGTACAGTAAGGTAATGTGTACCTGGAGAACCGATACAACTAACCATACCAATGTCCAAGTACCGCTTGCCTGGAGACACCACGATCAGTAGCAGGCACAGATGCCTCGCAGCACCGAAGTTGATGTCGGAAAGTCAATTATTTCCACAGCGACCCGCTGTATCATTCTCTCCGTGGCCTTGTGCAGATACAGGTAAACATGGCGCTTCCTGCTCCGAGTGAGCTCGGCTCTAGGATATCCGTGCTGGCAGAACACTCATCTCCGGGTGTGTCTCGGAGGTATAGATAGTTCAAAGTTGCAGTAGTATCGAGAGGTCGTGTATGTCCTTGTTGCAGCACAGCAATGAGATGTGTGATATGAAAGTTTCTGGGCTTGGCATACTACATTGGTACCGAGATGACCCCTCGTGTACATGTACCTGACGTTTCCATTCTCTTCCAGCAGTGCAGCAATGAGCGGTGCAAGATGCAAATGGAAGGGACTTGGGACCCTGAGACTTTGAAAGAGAACTCAGCTTCTTAATGAGTGCAGTGACGTTGGAAGGAGGAAGGAGTGCCTACCTTACCTACCTACCTACCTTACTTGACCTAATGAAAGTTTTTGGGGTTAGCGCTCTGTTGCGCCGAACGTTCACACTTTATTAAACGCTGCAGAATACCTTCCAATTTACCTGTCCAGCAGTCGCGGCCGACAGCGCGCTGTTCCATCTCGTGCGCTCTATTCTCCTTCACCTCACAGGCACTTCAATTGGGAGCACATGGGGAGCGGACTTGCGAGACAAGAAGCAAAAGAGCTCCGACAGACCGAATCCGTCGACCAAAGAAGCAGCGCACGAAAATACCAGCATGGACATGGACACAGACGTGGAAGATACAGTGGTAAAGACAGAGACGGCGAGAAGCAATGCCGATGCACAAATCAACCATGAGGCAGCCATAGCATACTGGTCCTCGCAGCCCGCCAGCGACGACGGCGTGCTCGGTAAGTTCTCAGTAGCAGCTGGAAAAGGACGTTTCACGAGATCCTTGCTTACCACTCGACCTGTCACTCTCTTGTAGGAGGACATGCCGAAGTCAGCCGTGTTGATTTGCAAGGATCGGCCAACTTCCTCGCCAAGTTGCGTCGCACATCGACTGAATTTCCCCCAAGCAAAGGCAAGCTGCAGCGCGTGGCAGACACGGGTGCGGGCATTGGACGGATCACAAAAGGTTTTCTGAGCAACGTTGCTCTCACAGTCGATATTGTCGAGCCGGTCACAAAGTTCACAGCGTCTCTGGCAACGGAGGCCTACGTGGGGAAGATCTACAACTGCGGCCTCGAAGATTGGACGCCGGAAACGAGTTACGATCTCATCTGGAATCAGTGGTGCGTGGGGCAAATTCGCGACGACCAGCTCGTGGAGTACCTCAAGCGCATCACCGCACATTTGAATCCAGGTGGTTGGATCATTGTGAAAGAGAACATCACCAACAATATTCTCGGCGAGAATGAATACGATGAGACGGATAGCTCGGTCACGAGGACGGATCTTCACTTCAGACAAATCTGGGATCGTGCGGATCTTCGACTTGTCAGCACCGAGCTTCAAAAAGGTTTCCCAAAGATCCTGTACCCTGTGCGAAGCTACGCTTTGCAGCCAAAGAAGTAAAATGGCGCTAGGAGGAAGATGCGGAAGATATACCTCGCAGCGCGCCCAAGAAAGGCATTTCATTAAAAGGATGATCGAAGGGGCAGCCATCCAGCATTCTAGATACCATCTAGATACAGACCCTGCGTCGAGAAGAGCCCGCTGAAGTATCCTATCTCTGGTCATGGGAACTGCAATGCCAATGGCGGCAATGTCCCTACTTACCTACTGACTTCGAAAGAGATTTGACTACATGTATATCAGAGCGATGACAGTAGGGATTGAAATAGACGAGAAGTACCTGCATGGAGTGCCCTGTCTGTTAAGTCAGATTAGGAGTTGCCCGTTGACAAAAACAGGAGCTTCCCGTAGAGTCCAACGGGTGGTATGTTCTCGTCGGCGCACTCTTCATGTCTTCGTACTGATCAGCGCCAGGCGACGTTGACAGCGCTGTAGCGGAAAACATGGCCGAATCCCAGGACTTCATCATGGGAAGAAGACAACACGATCCGCGCAATCCACAGCTTCGAAATAGCGACTTTCATGTCTCTCTGGCTTGTGCTCACGCAGCGGCTCATAAGCATTACTGGATGCCGTGCGGAACCAGAAACGACTCGCCAATCATGTCCTTCTTCAGGGGAACATCTGGCGAACGTTGAGATTGATACGCTTCCCCGCCATCCAGCCTCTCCACTGTTCATACTGTGGCGTGTTTTCGGTGGCCGGCCAGCCAGCGATCCCAGCTGGACAAGTCTCTCGTAGCACCTTCGGCACACCGTGCCAAGCATATCTGCTTGCGCCGCTCATGAGAACGGCATCGCCGGAGCGCAACAGAATCGCAGCGGGTTCATGGTCTTCAAGGCCAACAATGAAAACTGCACTGCATCCAATAGATATGCTGACGAGAGGCTGGTCGCACTCTTCGCTGACATCGCGATGCAGACTTAGCGTGTCGCCTGGCGAGTATAGGTTCAGGATAGCTGCTTCGGCATTCATAGGGAATACGCTCTCGATCAGATTCTTGAGATCTGACGGGAATGCCGGTGGTTGACCTCGCGGATAGACTTTGTTGGTCCAATCGTACTGGCCTCCTAATGTGACCCAGCGAAGTTTCTTGTTCAGGAATTGCCGGTGGTTGAAAGGTTTGTGAACAGTAGGATCGAGGGGCTCAAAGATGTCGTTGGCCGTGGAGGGGTCGAAGAAAGATACGGGATGTCCTGAGCCATTCCTCGGGTAGGTCACATGGTGGAAGAGGTGCACATTGGTGTTGTGACTGGAGTCCGAGAGATCGCGATGGAGGGTGCGGTCAAGGATACCGAGCTGCACGTCCGACGGTAGTAGAGACGGATAGATATATAGACCTACCTACCTTGTTCAGAGTTGAGAGAGAGGCAAACAGAGAGCGTGTGTAGGTAGGTATATGTGTAGCTGTCTTACCAGGTATCGTTGGCACTTCGTAGATTGGCTGCCTGGGCGTGCTTTTCGTTTGGATCTCGTCGTCTACACAGACGCGACCGAGAAAGGTGTCGTGGATATCGTGCAGGTTCGCGGGCAGTTGTACATCACCATCCCCTGAGAGCCTGATGGCGCTGCATTCGCCCCCTTCACGGCCAATCTGTATGAGATTGGAGTCTTTCTCCAACACATTTTCTGGTAGGGACACCTTCTGGTAGTGCTTGTACAACGCTCGCACGGAGGCAGGCGGTTTGGCGTGGGCGTCCAGTGCGATGTCCATTGATGTTGCCACGTTGACGAAGGATCTAGTTCTATTGAAGTGAGGTTTACATGTACGCACTCACGATGGAAATTGAAGTGGACGCGTGACTTTGACTTATGACGTCAGAGTATATATACGCGTCTCCCCCTTCCACTTCCATGTCGCCACCAGTCGCGTCGTCTCCAGTCAACAACAACTTCCGCATTCTCGAGCGCTGCAGTGCCCAGAATGCCCACAACTGCCCACGATCGACTGTGCAGCGCCCCAAAGCAGCGTGAATTTCCGCTACGACGCAAATACACGCGCAAGCCATCGACAGCGACTGCGCGCCCGCTATCCTTGCGGCGTGAACAGACATTGACCCAGGCCAACTTTGTCCTCTCGTCCTCTGCCCGGAGCCGTGGCACAACCGACGATTCATATCAGGAGGATGATGGAGACTATCTTGAGAGCCGTCCCCGGAAGAAGGCGAAGAGGAGGAGAACGGAGAGATCGGCATCACAGACCACTGTCACGCAGAACTGGCGCAACTACAGGGAAATATACGGAGAGTGTGATCACAGTCGGGTTGACGGAGGCGATGATAGCCACAAAGCCGATGATACGACAGACTCGGATGGCGCTTTGGTGAGTGCGGAGGAGTATAATCACGATTTGTCGCAAAGCAGCTCCACGGTCAAGATGAGTGCGCTGAACCACGGGACATTTGACTATGCGGAGCATCTACTCTCGATTGCGAGCTCAGCACGTTATCCGACGGCTCTGAACTCGGCGTCCTCTGAGGTTGGCAGCGCGAGTACGAGACCAACATCTGCCGGTTCTGACATGGCCTTCGTGACACCTCGAAAGCCTCGCAGAACAGTTGTGCCGTCTTCGGAAACGCCATCGACTCTGTATCTTTCCCGACAGACATCTTATACCGACCTCGTCTGCCAATCATCACCGCTCACAGAACGGAGTACCAATACTGCATCTGCCAAGCAGCGTGATCCTCTCCCGGCGGCGAAAGGCCGCTGTCAGACTCCAGAAAACCTCGAGACTCTTGGCCTGGAGGTGGAAGGCGATGGTGTGCATGAAGCTGCAAGGAATTCTGACCGCACCTTGCAACGAGCTACAACCATTCAGGATTCTGACGATGATAACATTGATATCCACGATTTTGAGTCCCCCAGCGCGGAAGACGCACATAGAGAGCGACCAAAAAACGTGCCCATTTCGAGACCAATGCCACACTTGAGGTGGGCTACCACGATACAGGAGTCTCAAGCTGGTTCAGAAGCCGAAGAATTAGCGGCTGGAAGCCAGCAGGATGATTATGACCCCATATTCCAACAGACCTTCGATCCTGTGATGACAGCGCTAGATCGGGATGCTGCAAGATTTGGGAGAAGTGATACGCAGTTCACTGCCTTGCCAGAAGCTGCAAGTGCATTACTAGCCGACGTGAGCGGAAAGACCTTTCATACTACGACGAAGGCACCCAAAGCCCTTGCTAGTCAAAACGCACATTCTACGGCGTCTACTCAATCCGAGGATAGCCAGTTGCGAGAGACTTCTCCTGGGCTGAAGGGTGGGTCGAAAATGAGAACCATGGAGCCTGCCGGGAATGCCACCTTGTCCCGCGGCCTGGAGTTGGGGACTGGTCGGGCTTGGAAGACTCGGCGTAGAGGACAAACAGCTCGATGGCTGTCTGGAGGCGATTGCATAGAACCGGAAGAAGACTCGACGGAATCAGCCATCAAGCACGAGGGGGCGGGTGATGATGTCTATGTCCCTCCAAACTCAAGGGCACTTGATCAGGATGGCGATGGTTTTATTGCAGGTTCTCCCACGTCTAGTCTCCATTCGCAAGTCTCTCTGGAGGCAGAACAGTTTATGGAGGAAACTGATCGAATTCCGCAAAGCCAAATCAGTACCGTGATGCCCACGCAACTCAGTCGTCCCGGCTCTCCCCATGGCCATCAGCCTGCGCCCCAACAGTCGGTATCGACTATAGCCACCGACATGCCGAGCAGTTCTCCGTTTCCTCTACCACCGCGCACATCAAGTGAATATGGACTAGGGGTAGCAACACAGGATTTCAGCTTGCCACCGCCTCCTCAGTTGTCGTCGCCCGTCATGAAGAGCCTAGAGAACTCAATGTGAGCAGTCTTGTCGAACGACATGCTCGTCCAGAGAAGCTATATAGATTAATGACACTTGATCATCTCTTGAGTTTTACGCTCTACTGTACACCCAGCTGCTTCTTGACTTGCAATATTGGGCGGGGAAATGTTTCACTTGAGTACATATTCGATTCACGGGCAGACGCCGCGGACCTCTGATCTTCGGCAATTCATGAACAGTAAGTAAGGCATCACGTCAGCGGGGTGCAGCTGCAAATGCACTAGGTACATGGACCTTATGAAGTTGTGAATGAGCCGACCTTCCGACCTGAACCCAAGATGAAAGATCGGCAGCTCTCGTAAGGTACATGTACCGGTAGGAGGTAGGTACCTCCTATTGTACAAGATTTTGTGCTGTGCTTTGGAGTCACTACCTTACCTCCTACTTACTTACACCTTTGTCAAATCTCCATCCATCTTATCTGTCCAGCCATAAATACATAAGGTACTACGTATATCTTACACTTCCACACCGACAGCCACAATGCCCGCTCTTCAGAAAGGAGATAAATTCCCGGATGGAGTCCAGTTCGAGTCAGTAAATGCCGATTTCCCAATTCTCTCTCCTTTTTGTGTTGTTCTTCTTCTCGAGAGTTGATGACTGATACCTATCTTATTTTGACAGATGGGCACCCATCACAGGTCTGCAACCCCCCCTCTCCGGCTGTCCAAGCTGGAAAACCGCTTTTGACTTATGTACTGACGTGGGCCGCGATCTCTACACAGATCCCTCACCAACAGCGTGCGGGATGCCGCAGACGTATGATGCGTCCAAGGAATTTGCTGGAAAAAAGGTCGTGATCGTGTCGGTTCCGGGAGCTTTCACGCCAGGCTGTCAGGCATAGTAAGGTCTTCATCGCAACGCCCCCTCAAATGGAGGGCTAGCCTACAGCTGTTCATTACATATGTGTACTGATGCTACCTTGTTAGTCATCTGCCTCCATATCTCGAGAAGATCAAGGAGCTGGAGAGCAAGGGCGTGGATTTGGTAGTGGTTATTGCATCGAATGATGCGTGGGTCATGAGTGCTTGGGGAAAGGTATGATGGATAATGCATCATCATCATGATCATCTCCTCCACCCTGCCGGAACTGAGCTGACAAGAAGAATCCTCTTTTTTTTCCTTGGGCATGCAGGTCAATGGAGCCAAGGAGGATACCAAAGTGTTGTTCATGAGCGACACCAAAACCTTCTTCTCCAAGAATTACGGATGGAGCGCGGGCATGGGCGATCGAAATGGCCGATGGGTCATGGTCATTGAGCGAGATGGAACCGTCAGCGTTGCCGATGTAGAGGAGAATGGACGACAGGTCACGGTAAGTCTTCATCCATCTCTACCTATCTCGACACGACATCTCTCCCCAACTTCATCGTCGTCGCCACGGCGACGGCTGAAAAAAATCGTTTATTGACACACTCCCTCCCATGATTAGGTCTCGGGCGCCGATGCTGTCCTGAGCAAGCTATGATGAGTGGGTAGAGTGGGACAGGTGTGCATGTAGGTACATATGTACTTTGTCGATGGATATTCTCAATTCAACAGGAAAATTGTGCATTGGTATTTGGTAAGGTAGTAGAATATTTCCGTCCACATTCGACCCGCGCTTTCATGGAGTATCAAGGCAGGAGATACAGAGACGTGTGTCGCTCTCTCGCGCTCGCAGATGACCCAGTGAAGGGAGTCTGGCAATAGACGCGACACCAAGGGGTAGTGATGGTGCTTTGCCTGTGAGCGCGATGAAGAGAGAAGAGAAGAAAGAGAGGAGAGACATCCATAGAAGATGGAAGATGCTCTGTCTTCGGCAGAATTTGGGGTCTTGGCAGAAATTCTCTCTCTCTTTCTCTCGCGTGTACCCGAACTCTTCGATACATAGTACATGTACCTGACACTCTCATCATCCACCATGTGATGACCCAGCCACGAAGGTAACCCACCACTCTACTCCACTCACCTCACCGCACCGCATCGCACTCCACCTTACCATGCAGACCGACTCCCTCGCAGACTCGGAGTGGGACGTGGTCATTGAAGGCACGGGCTTCCCGCAGTCGCTCCTCGCGCTGTACGTGCCTCCAGCTTCTCGTGTGGCATACATGCCTTAGCCGGCTGACGCGCAAGGCTGCCGTACATAGCGCACTGTCGCGCTCGGGCAAGAAGATTTTGCACATCGATGACAACGACTTCTACGGCGGTAACGAGGCGTCCTTGGGGCTGGTCGAAGCCGAAGAGTGGGCGATCAAGTATGCAGGCGCTCGCTCCAGCACTTCCCCCTTCGGCCATGCCACGGTGAAAAGGGCGCAAGAGACGGGACAGGTCACTCTGGGAAGACCACGAGCGTACGAGTTGTCGCTGGCTCCGCAGCTCCTGTACAGCCGTAGCTCGCTGTTTGACTTGGTCGTGTCGTCGCAAACACACAATCAGCTCGATTTCCAGGCAGTCGGCTCCTGGTTCGTCGCCGATGCTGCGTCTGATGTCTTGCTCGCTGTTCCTAGTAGTCGAGAAGCCATCTTTCAAGACGAAAAGATCGATATGCGGGCAAAGCGCTCGCTCATGAAGTTACTGCGTTCTCTCGTTGCCGAAGAGCCTAGCGACGATTGGCAGACAGCCTCGGCCACGAAGTTCACGAGCTACCTGGAGCAGACTTTTGGCGTGCCGTCGGCGCTGCATGCGTCGCTTCTGGCACTGACTATGAGTTCTCAACCGTCACAGGCTATCAGTGCCGGCTATGCGATACCAAGGATTACTCGTCACCTACGCAGTATTGGCGTTCACGCTCCCGGATGTCCAGCATTACTGCAACGGTATGGTGGTCTCGCAGAAATCGTTCAGGTGGCTTGTCGCGCCAATGCTGTAGGTGGCGGGACATATGTTCTCGGAAAGGGGATCTCTAATGTACAGGATGCTGCTGGGAGCCAATTGAATGTTGAGCTAACTGGAGGTGATCGTATTACTACCTCTTGGCTTGTAGGCACCGAAGCTGCAACATCATCGAATGACGTGGCTCAAGTGGTCTGTCGAAGCATATCCATCATTGGATCGCCATTGACCGCACTGTTCCAACCACAGGTAGCAGGAGCTGTCACTCCGGCCGGCGCAGTCATTGTGATACCTGGAGAAGACGAATCAGACCCACCCGTACACGTGTTTGCCCATTCGAGTGACACGGGCGAATGTCCATCTGGTCAAAGTACGTATGCCCCCATCTCTCAGCATACAAACCCTTTGCCCCCAAGACATGATGATCACATACACATACTTATCTACATTGCCTGAATCGCATTGACGAAACAAAAATTTCTGATTAACCTGGGTCCACGAGTTCGACTGTCTTGCAACATGCCGCAGATGCCTCATCTTGGACAACGGCTAACGTAATTTCTTAGGCATTCTGTATGCATCTGTTGCGTTAGATCATACCTCCGGGCTTAGTCGTCTCGAGGGTGCTGTGCAAAAGGTCCTGCGAAGCGTAAGTGCTGGCGAAAGTCCTCCCCTCTTGTGGTCTCTGCAGTACCAGCAACAGTTCGCCTCTTCCCGAGAAGCGACGGACCAAACACAACGAATACTCAAACTGGGCGCCATGTCGTCGGAGCTCGTTCTTGACGAGAGTATTTTCGAAGATGTGAAGGCCGCTTGGATGAGGATTGCGCAGCCCGAAGATGCCGACGATTTCATGAAATTCGCAGCAAGGGATGGTACCACGGCTGATGAGGACGAGGAGGAGAGTGCGTAGTAGCCACTGCTGTCATATACCTAGGTGCCTAGTTTTGAGAACAGATTCCATGAGCCCGTTGCCTGCACATTCGAATAGTACCTCCTGAGTCCTATTGATTGTAAAGTAGATATGCTGCCTTGGCACGCTATTCCATATAAAGACTCCCCGCTCTTTCTCTTGGCACGGGTGAGTGACTTTCGCTACTGTAGACCTTGTTTGCTTGTCTCAACGCTCTCACCCTCTCACACCGACTTGACCATTCCGCAACCAGACCCCCCGTCAGTCAGCCAGTTACAGCCGGTCAGCCATCAAGCCGGGCGAAGTGATATAATAACCCGAAAATGCCCAGCAAAAAGGACGACACTGAGCAGCATCGAGCCGAGATCGAGCAATGGACGCAAGATGGCCAAAATTGCGAACAAATCGCTGCTGCGTTGAAGGCGAGAGGCGTTGACATTTCCGCCAAGACGATCAGTCGACATCGTGTCGCTTGGGGCATTCGGTATCTTATTCTCCTCCGTGTGATATACATATATATGCCAGCCACGACAATGGGGCCATTAATGGGTTTCTAATGAATCTGTAGCCAGCGAGCTGAGCCCAAAACCAAAGGACGAAAATGTATATTCATCCCTCTCTCCCTCTCCCTCTCCCTCTTTCTCTTCTCTGGAGCGGGACATGCACGCCCCTAGCATCGCGCGCAATTATGCTCACCTGTCGCTACAGATCCGGGCCGCAGAAGAGCTGCGCCGCCGCAGCAGCCATCCAAGCATGGGCTGCAGGAGGCGAGGAAGGCAGACATCATTGCCCGTACTCAGCGGGGCGAGACTGCAGAGCAGATTTCTGATGCGTTTGCAGCACAAGGTAGGTGATTGAGAGGACTGTTTTTCATTCACTTGTGCACACTGACAACTAGGTGCCTATCACTAGGAACTCCACTGTCCAAAAGCACATTGATTCGATTACAAACATTCTGGTACGTCGTTGGCAGGCTCTCGCATCACACCATTTAAAAAAAAGGGGGGAGGGGGGCTGATCCGGCTTCTCAGGGGCTTGATACCGTATGATCCTGCTCGTGCTCGAGGAAAACTGTCTGATGCTCAAAAGACCAAACGCACCACACGTGAAGCTGCGCCCAAGATCAGCAGAAAACCACGCAAGTCCACCACCGTAATATCGGCACCAGCAAATCCTGCCGAAGTGCAGCATTACCCGACAACTTGCGCTTTCGGCCCCGTCAAGGGGGGGACGACTACTACTACCACTACCTTTATAGGTACTACTACATCAGAAAACCCTTACGAAGATGAACCAGCTCCCCCCTTCGACGATGAGAGCCACATGGCATCCTCGCCGCTACCACCACCACAAACACCACCAACCGAGCACGCGGAGCAGCCCTCGGTCCACCACGCGGTCGATATCATGTCGGCGGAAATGCTGGTAGACCTGGCAACTTCTACGCTGGCAGCTGCGAATCGAGTCAAAGAGCTCTATGTCGCACAACAGTCGCAGCGTCCTGTGCTGGGCATGACGACCATTCCCACTGCGGAGGACATTGCCTTGGCGAAACAAAAGGTTCGAGAGGCTGCTGCAGGTACGTTACTGTCTTGTTTTGTCTTGTCTTGTCTGTCATTACAGATGGCAAGAGGGAAAAAAGGAAAGAGAGTCGTCTATGTGCTTTCTTTTTCCAGAAAGCGTAACCTACCGTTTTGAGACATTCGACTAATATGGATATTTGTAGTCATGCACGACCTGGCCACTCCAAACGACACATAAAAGCGGGACTGATGAAGAAAAGAAAGAAAAGAAAAGAAAAGAAAAGAAGACATGAACCAGCTGCGCTGCGCCGTCTGGGGGCTCTCGTGGAGAAGGGCACAATGCTGCTGCTGCTGTACTGTTGGGCAGAGACATGACATTACATGCAATTTCGAGAGTAGAAGCCCCATGAACAAAGCCCCATGAACAAACACCTCAAGATTACATGTACGTTTGATAAGTCAGTACCTCCTATCTGCTGCTAGCAGGTGAAGATTACATGTAGATATCACTGAGGCCTGCATGGATATTTTGAACAAACAAACAACGTGGAAACATGGCCTCGGCGACCTATATGTTATAAGGTCGTAGTGTACATTCTGGGGAACCCTACCTAGCAGCAACCAACGTCTAGCCTCTCCTCTCCATACATAGGTAATGCAGTTGGTCATTCCTCCTGCAGTAAGGTACCGTACTGTTGATCTCTCTTTCTTTCTGTCTTGATTTCATTTCATTTCATCCCATTGCATTCAATGAGGCACCCCTCCCCCTTGTTTCCCATTATTCAGATACGTATTCGCCAATTGTGCCAACAACGGCTTCGCCACCGGCGCCACCTTTTGCCAATTCTTCTGACTCTTCTGCATGAGATTGTCCACATCGATTCCTCCATGCTTTCCCCCCGAGCGTGACTTGCCGCCGCTGCCGCGATGGTGATGATGGCCATTATTACGATAATCGTCATAGTAATCGTCGTCGTCAGCATATCGATCTCGCCTGCTATGTCCTCCTCCGTCTCGTCTACTACTACGATCGTCATGGTGCTTCTTCGCAGGACGTCTGGCATCTCGTCCATCAGTGCGATATCCTCGGTCATATGCGTGGTCGTCTTTGGCGACGCGGCGTGGTCGGTCGGTGCCGTAACCATCTTCGTGGCGACGCCTGTCTCTGTCTTCTCGGCGGCGACGAGGTGGTGGAGCGTAGTCATCACTGTCTCCACCATCATCCTGTACAGCAGGAGCTGCGCGACGACTACTACGATGCCGAGGCGAGTCTGTATAGGAGTCCTTGCGACGTGGTGGGGGATCCCCATCGCGTGCCTTGGAGCGGTGAGGAGGTGGGAAGTCGTCATGTTCGTCTCGGGATCGGTGGTGGCTTCTGCTGCTCTTTCGTGCTACAGGTTCTTCAACCTCTGGCTGCTGCTCATCGTCATCATAGGGACTTCTGCCGCCCCGGCGTGGTCTACGGTGCGTCGGTCGTGCGTCGTCGCGATCAACAGCCTCAGGATCACGAACGGGTGGAGCAGCGCTGTGATGAGAGCCATGCGAGTCTTCTCCACCACCACCACCACGATGTCGACGAGCACTGGTGGTATATTCCCTCCTGTCCTCACCGATCGGCGGCGGCGGAATGTCTGATGATCCTACATGTGTCCTCGGCGACGATCGATCGTCTCGAGGTCTCCGCCGCGGCACGTAGTCGTCGTCTGCATCGTCGTCGCTTGCGTCGTAGGCATCTTTTCTCCTGTGCCGGGGAATCGTTCGTGGTTCATCGTATGCCGGGGCCCGTGACTTTGTCGATGGTCGACGATAGATGCCTTCGTCTGCGTAGTCCGGAGGGTAGTGATCGTGGCGGTGGTCCTTTGACCTCGAGACGGGCGGGTCGTCGGGATAGCCGGGCATGTTCACGGCAGCTCAGTCTCCAAGCGGGGTGTGTCTAACAAGCAACACAGATACTACCAGAAGCCAGTAGAAGGAGAGAGAATGTGTGTGGAAGATGGACTACACTTCTTCCCTTTCTCATATAAAGCATGTGAGACGCGATACCTACCTACCTACTTATACTGGTTGCTGCAGCTTGACGTCGTCCAGTACTCGCCACCGCTCCAGCAGCAGCAGCAGCAGCATCAGCAGCAAGCAGCAGAAACACCCGGCATCGCATCAAACAACAACACATGCGCCATATGTGGGTGAATGGTCAGGTCAGCTCGGGCCGGCTCTCACTTACTCCCAGTGACTGGAACCACCTGGCACCTTTCGCAAGTGACAGCTGCTGCCGGTGCCTGCAGCCTTTTAGACGCTCCACCCGGAGTTGCACCACAGGACTCGCACGAACACCGCTAGTTCGTTACACCTCCGCTCCCGGTCATGCTGCAAAACCCTCGAGTGCATCATTGTGCATACCAGCAGTCATACCAGCGGTGAACGAGTAACTCTACCCTTCCCGTACACTGTCACTTCTTTGCATACGTCATGTTCCCCGTACATGTCTCCTCATCACGCGCGAATGGCTCTGGCCTCCATTCGGCATGAGAATGGCTACCAAACTCAGCCAGCAAGACATGGTTCCTTGACGAGAGTGGTGGAGAAGCTGCCTCTGGGCGAACAGGCTCCGCTACGGCGCTGAACAGCGATGGCCCCTGAGACTGGGGGCGCTTTTGCGGACCCAGCACGTCCTCCTGATGCATCTGAGCACTGCCATCGAGATGGACGTCGCCACTGTATTGCCATCCAGGCTGCGCAGAAGGAAATGCAACATATCGAGGGGCATGTCTCCCAAGGGCTGCTCGCTTGTATTCTATCGGCAACGGCACATATTGGGATGGTTGAGGGGTCGCTTTGATGTCTCCGGAGGCATTCGTGCCAAAGGTTGCGAGGGAAGAGTGTGTGATCCTGCATGCACGATCCGAGACTGGTGGTGCGGATGCAGTCTCTTGCGCAAGCCTTGCAGGACCAATGGCATTCTTCAAGGAGGCCCTGAGTTGTGCAATGACTTCTCCCTGTTCCTCAGATACCTTCGACTCGTTTGCGAGATTGATCTCCAAAGCTGCAAGCTCACAGCTGACCCGTTCAAGCTCGTCGTGCATGCCCCCCCTCAGCATTACACTTTGAGCAATGGCTTGCTCCTGATGAGTGACGATTGCATCCTTAGACTCGCAGAGCATTCTCAACATGAGTATCTCGCTGTTCTTGGTCTTGACGATCTGATCCATGTGATCTTGAATGTAGCTCTGCTGCACGTTCCAATTTGCGGACGCCCATGATTGCAAGGCTACATCTTTGGATCGACAAGCTCTTTGTGCTTCGATAAGGTCAGCTCGCTTCACAGCCAGAAGGTCGGAGTATGCTATGAGTCTGTTTTCGCAGTGGGAAAGCCTTCCCTGCAGCCCTGCGAGTTGACGATCCTTACAGATTGATGCTTCCTCGCTGCATCTAAGTCGCTCATGTGTAGTTCGCATGAGATCTTCGAGACGAGCAATCTCCTTATCCCTAAACGCCACCCGTTGTCGAGCAGAAATCTCGTGGTCTACACACCTGGTGTTGCAGTACTGTTCAGCACGATCGAAGGATGCATCGAGCTCACTAGGTTTGGGGCGGATGTGGTCATGCACCAAATTTGAGCATGGAGCCGCTTCGTTCGGAAAGCAAGCACGGGAACTGAGGTCTTCTGCCCAAGCAGACGAAACTCCATGATCGTGTCGAGGAGACTCAGCAGCTTCTGTTGTACTGCCAGGTGGAGTGCGCGGGCCTAAAGACACGTTCTGTTCCAGGTCGCTACCTCGGGGGTCAGGACGGAGCCACTCGGATCGCAGGGAATTGACCAGCGACCTGGAAGAGGACGGAAATCAGCACACATGGAAGAGCAGCCGGCAAGCCCCTTCGGGATTCCGCATACCATGAAAGCGGCATCGGGGGCGCCGAGCCTGTGTGAGAGCGAGAGTCCTGCACCATGTTGGTGTGTCCATGTCTTCTCAGGTTCTTGTCGCCGTCGTTATCTGCAGCCGCTTTCGAGAGCTGGTAGGCCATGTCATCGACGCGCAGCTTGAGCTGGACTAGCTCTCGCTGGAAAGTGCGCTCATCCATGTTGGCTTGCTTGCTTGTGCACTACTGTATTGGGCCAGAATCGTGTGGTATACTGTCGTGTCGTGTCGTGTCGTGTCGCCAGCGACAGTACCTAACGCAGGAGGTGTTGCTGGGGGAAACGTGAATCGAAATCGCTGGGCGGCGAAAGAGAGCGTCCGGATGTTCGCCCCACTCTTCAAGGCGTACAGCGAGGCAGTGTGGTAACACGACATCCATCACACGGCGCCGAACACTAGAACTCGATCAGTTCGTAAGGTACCTACCTGGTAGATGAACGTTTTCTCGTCCAGCTCGGAGCACACCACGGTTTCAAAAGCAGACTGTGGTAAGTAGGTAGGTAATACGTCTTTGATTCTGAGAGATCCTCAAGTGTCATTCTGAGAAGCTGCGGTGGCAGCTTCAGAGCTCCACGCTGCGCATGCTGGGTATCTGAGCTAGTCCTTCCGAGACTCACGTGCCGTGGGCAGTGAGCGTTATATGCATTAAAAGTCATTCCAATCCCCCCGGGCGGCCACTTGCTTCACGCCCCTCATTGTGCCAGACCTGCCAGCTATCATACGCCTGATTCGCCTGTGCTATGCTATCCATGTGTCGTCGAGAGAGAGAAAAGCCGTGAACTAATCGTTGCAAGAAGCCGAGTGGCTGCCTTAAGCAGTGAACTTGGCCTTGGCGCGACTGCTACCAGCATGGGCAGAGTCAGCGTGGCCCGAGAATTCAACACTCTCATTAGGACCGAGCCCGAGCACTTCCTTGAAGCGTGCGCCGATGCTGACGAGACGCTTGCGGCCCTCGTCGCGGTCGGCACTCTCGTCTTTCCGGCCCTTGGGGGGCTGACCAGCGGTTCTTGTCCAGAGGCCAACACGCCAGAACGCCTTGCGGATGTTGACGACAACACCCATGACCTCACTGTCGTTCTCGTCCTCTAGCATCTCGCCGATGGCGGCGAGCATGATGTTCAACCAGGTCTCGTCATTGGCCTTGCTGCCCTTGAACGTGTATGCCCAGCGACCACCGTACTTATTCTGTGGGTCCTCCCACTCTGGACGCACACCTTGTTTGAAAAGGTGGTAGTCAGACTTTTGCGCCAGCTCCGAGGCAGGTGTGATGTTGTTCTAGACGCAAAACCCGTGTTAGCACCTGCACTGACACCAATCACGACCCGGAGCAAGGAAAGTGCCATGACTTACGTAGATTCCCCAGAACTCCTCGACGCTGTTGAAGCTGATGACCTCCTTGAGCAGCTCGTTCCAGTCCTGCTTGCCACTCGGAGGCTTGGTGAACCACAGGGTCCAGGTGTGCTGAAGAGCGTGCTTGACGTTGAAGTTTTGCGGATCGTCGAAGACGGTCACAATCTTCTCGCTGTCGCCGTTCGCGCCGTTGGTCGCATCAGTGAGACCGCCCTCTGGTGAGATGGGAATGGTGTCAAGCGGAACGGGCTCGGACGAGGTGGTTGCTGCGTTTGAAGCGACTTCTGCCATGTTGAACGAGAGCGGCAAGGGTATGGTAGAAGGGGAATGGCAGCGCAGCAGCGGCGACGTTGGAAGAATCCAGATACGATGGAGACGGCGGCGGTGGCTGGAGGAGAGGCGCGGTCCTGTCGATCGGTCAAGTGTTGTTGATGTAAGTAGGGTAAGGCAAAGGAAGTTGGGAAGAACTTCGAATAAAGTCCAGTCGGCGCGTGAAAGAAGGTTCAGGCACAAACCGTCCGCTAGGCTCTAGGCAGAACTAACTTTTCTAGAACGGGTAGGTACCGGAATAGGTACATTGCCTTACCTAAGTATTCGCGAATATCTACCTCACCTACCTCTAGGTCCTAAGCTCTTTCCCTCAGATTGACAGTGATAGATACTTCACTTCACTTCACTCCACCGTCAATGATGCACTGTGGGCCTATACCATGAACTAGTCAAACAGACTTGCGCTGTCCCGAGAAGATCCGATGACGGCTTCGCCCGTCGATGAGGAACACGAGCGCGATGGCCGCTTCTACGGCCCGGACGTCAACTGGAGAAGGTACACCAGCGACGAGCGTGACTTGGCCGCCTCGTTGGACCAAATCGAAAACGACGACCTGAGTGCACATCTCTACAACACCCATAGGATCAAGCATCGTCAGAGGTATCGCGACAGCTCCACCATCAGAACTTGGCAGAGCAAGCAGAGTTGGCTGGCGCACGGCCAGGCTGCTTTTTCTCCAGACCGCGCCTGGAGTGCGTGGCCACTCGAATCCGCTGATGTGCCGAGACGTGATGAGAAGTGGGGAGTGTCTGCCGCTGTTGAGGACAATGAGTGTGAGACGTATCGACGGCCCGAGGTATGGAGGCCCAGCGTAGATCTGCAGGACTGCGTGCAAGCTGAGATATTGCGTCAAGCAAAAGAACGCTTTTACCAACGCAAATGCTTGGGAGCAAGATCGCACCCAATCGTAACGGATAGCGCATCAGATCCACGCTCAAGCGCTATGAGCCATGATGAAGACTCAGACGCTTCAAGTCTGATGTCCGAGGCCGATGCACAGCCATCCGCATCGACAAAACGAGACGGCGAAGAACACACTGGTGGCGACACGAGCGATCGGGAAGCTTCGACCCGCTTCACAGCCGACGAAGAAGTCGCTGGAGCCCTCGTTCAGACCACTGTGAGTCATATCATGTCCAAGCTTGATGATATCTTACTAGGGCTTCATCGCAGCCGCCGTGGGCATTACGGAGATCGATCTCGGTCTCGCACTGGGTCTCCAGCGTCCCGCTCTACCAGTCATGTGGCAAGGAAGCCGGTGGAATCAAGCTCGCCATCGAAGCAAAAAGCACAAAGTCCGCGAAGCGCAATGCAAGAGCAGGTCCCTTCGGCGCCAGACGTATTCCCCGAGCAAATTGATGGCCGCACTCCTCCTCCACGAGATCATCCTCAGCGGCAGGAGCTCGGCACTCGAGACTGGAGCGAAGTGCTGGGTGTTGCTGCTCTCGTAGGATGTGATCAATCTATAGTCGCACGGGCGGCTGGTCGCTGTGCTGCATTATTTGACGAAAGCATGACATTCCGAACCATGCCGGACGCGTCGGCAGGTGAGGCAAGAGAATATTATTCTCAACAATATCGAAACGGACTTGGCGCAGTAAGCTCGTCTGATGGAATAAAGAAGGATGTGCTTACACTAGATGCGAACATACATGGTCATTACTGTCCACATGCTTCTTGTGCTCGACATCGTGAACCATTTCTTCAACGGTGGCGACTCAGAGAGCATCTCAAGCGGAAGCACGAGCAAATAGATTTCGGCAACTACGACATGGTGGGTAAAGCAGGGCAACATGTCAATCCCGGGGACCCATCGAATATCTTGGTAGATAACAAGGACCAGCTCGCGGAGAATCTGCAGGAGTGCGCACTGTTGCCATCAGTTGAAACTGTCGAGAATGAAGAGTATCTCCAGCCCGTGCTTATCAACATAGGTCGATCCAAGGATCGGAAGGTGCGTCGAACACCCAGTAGGGAGCATCTGAGAAGGACAAGCGTAGTGCAAGATGGTGCCACGGGGGACAAAGAGATTGTCGACTAGGAGTGCTTCTCTCATATCTACGTACGAGAAAATAGTCGAGAGCCCTGCGCTTCAATGGCACAAGCATGAAGAGAATTCAGAAGGTCAACCATTTCAGGACCCAACGTCGTGTAGCATAAGCCTTTCTCTGTCCACTATAAGCACCGTCTTCCCCAGCACGAGCGGCACCAAGCCGCAAGTATCCTGAGGAGGAGTCTCTACCTAGGCACCTGAGACGATAGAAGCATGAGTCTGCGAACCATTCACCCATGTCCAAGCAGGTCCATCAATTCAAGCCACCATTCTCCTCATCCTCGTCACCATCCTCAACCTTCTCAGCCTTGATAGCTTTGGCACTGTCGTCCACCTCATCCTTAACAGCAAGAGCCTTGGAAGCACCGCCCTTTGCTTTCTTAGCTCTCGATTTCTGCAATCATCATCGTCAGTCCCATTCTCGCGTACACAATAGAGGATTAAATGATAACGAGCTTCAAAAAAACCGACCTTAGGTGGAGGCTTCGCATCTTCATCATCATCATCATGATGGTCATCGGCTGCGCTCGCAGGTTTGCGACCTCGCTTCTTTCCCGTCGTAGCCTTGGACTTTGGAGTAGAAGAGGCTGCGGCGGCTGAGCCTTCGTCGTCATTGTCGCCATCGTTCGCTGAAGCGACCCGTTGAGCAAGCTTTTTCTTGATGCGACCCCAGGCATTGGCTGCCTGGATAGTTGTGGCGGTCAGCGAATGCAGATATATCGTCGAACCCGCCGTGAGGGGAGGAGAAGGGGGGTGGAAATGGAAATGTGCTTGCTGCTTACCGATCGCTCGTTGGACATGCCCATCAGACCGGCTAGTTTCTGCCAGTTGACCTGCGGATATCATAATGTTTTAGCGCCAGCGAAGAGGCTTTTTGTTATAGAGGGGCCTCCTCCTGGGTGGAAAGGTTACCTTTGGCTCGTCATCGAAACACTGCCACGCGAACGCCATCATGTCCTTCTCTCTTTCGGTGAAGGTATCGGCCGCCATCTGTTAGAGAGAGGTCAGTTCGCGAAGCAGAGAAAAATCTTTCGGGGACTTTGGGAGAGCTTGACGGACCTTTGATCAGATGTGTTCCGTGTTGTGATGGATATGTTATGGTATGTTGGACGGATGTTTTGGTGGTAAACAGAGAACGTTGTGGATGGGGGTGTGCAGTGCAAAGCGGTGTTGATTGTTTATATCTGAAAGAGCTCCCCCGAATGAGCATGAGGTGGTCTCTTAGCAACCGTTTCTAGGTCCGAAAGCTCACTTGGAAGGAGTCCACTTCACTTCATGAAATACTTCGCATAGTCTCAGATGACTTTCTATATGCGGTTTCAGCTCGTATGAAGTACAAGTGCAGCTATCGATCATCGGTGTCGGCGGCCATGACGCGATGCTTCGCTCAGGGGCGTGAATTGCTCACGATGAGAATTGGTTTTTTAGGAGATTTTTCTTCACGGCCTAGCAATAGGTCTCCGCTCTGTTACGAGTACCAGCTGCACCTATATCCGATGGAGACAGAGACAGAGGCTGCTTCTATCGCCTTTGCGCCCTTGGGAGATGTACCCAACACTCTACGAACGACGAGAGAAAGGGTTCGGGCAATTGTTTGAGAGACTTTGTTTCCTTTGGGACTCGCGGGACGACCGGTCGTTCAGACTGCAGCACGTGAATGTCGATAGCTTTGTCACCCTACTCAGATAGTCAATTTTAGGCATCAGCATCAAACTATCCAAGGTCACTGGCCTTCTAGGACCAGAACCATGCTCGGCCAATCAAAGCCGAATGGGGTGGAGTCTACGAGATTTCAGCAACCTCACATTCGTTAGTCCTGAAGGATGGAGCAAGAAGAAAGGGCCTGCAGCTGTAGGTGGAAATCATACCACCACGTGCGAGATTTCAGGAGAGTCGTATTCTAGTCATTAAGGTCTACTTCTCTGGTGTCAAATCTATGACTCTGCAAGCTTGAGCAATCCCTTGAGATCGATTGACTTCGGTCGCTCAATTGGCAGACCGAGCGCACGATCCCAAATGAGCTGTGCAAGGGGTCCCAACCCTCTGCTAACGCCAAAAGTGGCAGTGTAGTATAACGTGTTGTGGAAGCCGTAGTGGTGGAACAAGACACCAGAACTGCTGTCAACGTTGGGGAAGGGGTTCTTGGTCTTGCCATGCTCTGTCAGAATGCCAGGCGCAATCTCGCTGTTCTTCTTGACAAGCTGGAAAACTGGATCCTCCGCAATCTCTTTACGAGATGATGCGAAATCCATCAGAGCCTCAAAGCGTGGGTCAGGCTTGCGGAGGACGGCGTGACCATAGCCTGGTACTACGCGACCAGACTTCAATGTCGACCACAGGTAGTCTTTTACATCTTGGTCTGAGAAGCTGGTGCCAATGTGGTCTTTCATTTGCAGAATCCAGCGCAAAACTTCCTGGGCGGCGAGGCCATGCAGTGGCCCAGCAAGACCTTGGAGACCGGCGGAGTAGGCAAGGTAAGGGTCAGATAGTGCGGAGCCAACCAAGTGAGTTGCGTGGGCGGACACGTTGCCGCCCTCGTGGTCACCGTGAAGGGCGAGATATAGACGAAGCAGATCCTGGAAATTCTCGTTCTCAGAACCTCCCTTGCCTAGCATAGCAGCAAAGTTGTAGGACCAATCCTGATTTAGGTCAACCTCAGCGGGAAGAGCACCTCCACCACAGTATGCATTCTGGTGGATCTTGGCAGCAATCGTGGGTAACTTTGCAAGCAGGTTGATGCTGTCGTCAAAGGTTGGCTCCCAGTAGTCAGCCTTGCTGATGCCGCGCTCATACGCCTTGGCAAAGACTGATTCGTATTGCATGGCAGAAACGGCACATGCGAACTGGGTCATCGGGTGGAGGTCCTTGGGGAAGTTGTCTAACATCTCATTGACAAACGCCGGAAGTTGTGCCTTTTCGGCGAGCTCTTTGCTGAAAGCACGCACTTGGTTGGTGCTCGGGACCTGACCGGTGAGCAGCAGCCAGAACATCGCCTCTGGAAGCATCTCAGTGCCCGAAGTGCCTTTGGGCAGCTCCTGCTGGCAGTCCTTGATGGTCTTGCCATGGAAGCGGATGCCCTCGTTCGCATCCAGCACAGAGCCCTCCCACACCATGGCCTTGAGGCCACGCATGCCTCCAATCGTGTTCTCAATCTTGACCTCGCCAATCGTTTTCGAGGCGTGAGCCTTGACCTTCTTCAGCAGCTCACGTTTCTCGGGAATAGCATTGCGGAGCGTCTCTTTGAGGTCTGGTTCCGCGGTGGCATAGCTGCGAGAGGCATTGCACACGACCGGCGCGCTGTGTACCAGCTGTGCGTACACAATACGTTCAGCATGTTATTCTCGTGCGCTTCCTCAGACTGCGGGTGGGCGGGCAGGCAGCCTACCTACCTTGGAGGCTCGTAGAGCTCGAGCTGCAGTTCGTGACGACAAAGCCATATTTCGTAGAACAGACTGCGGAGCGGTAGTCGTCGTCGTCGTAGTGGTGGCGGTGGAGGAGGAGGAGGAGAAGGTGGTGGTGGTGATGGAGGTGGTTGTCTTGATCTGGTCGGCTCAGAACGACCATAAAATTATTCCTGCACACCATTGACCTATACCTACTACATAATAGTCGAGCAAGCTTGCTGGTGATGATAGCCGAGGTTCCTTGGAGCTCTGCGACATCGGCGCGGCAATATGGGAAACATATCGAGCAGCTAGCCGTAAGGTATGCCGGTATTTGACTTTCATCAGTCTCCAACTGTCAACACAAGATACTCGCCGAACGGAGGACTTTTCCAAGTTGCGAATACCATTGCAGATACCATGGACAGATAGCCTACTCGCACACAAGTTCGTCCGTTTGTTTTGACCCCCATTGAGCATCCGGCAGGCAGAAGACAGCCATGTTTCGCACAGCATCTCGCGCTCTCCGACACCAGCGGCGGTGTTTCTATGAGCCAGCAGTGTCGTCCATAGTGCCGCGGACATTTTCCTACAGAGCTGTATACATGGCCTCCTCCCTGGCAACGGTGACTCCGCCTCTTCCTGGAACACACCCAGCAGATGCTTTCCAGCTTGCCAAGGAGTCCGCGAAACCGGACTTGGAGCAGCAACTTTTCGACGAGCAAGTCAAGCAGGTCAAGGAATGGTGGGCTAGTCCCCGTTACAAGGGCATCAAGCGCCCATACACGCCCGAGGATGTGGTGAGCAAGCGAGGGACCTTGCAACAAGTGTACCCATCCAGCTTGACCGCAAGAAAGCTATTCAATCTGCTCGAGGAGCGTGCGGCAGAGGGCAAGCCTGTGCATACTATGGGGGCCATTGATCCGATTCAGATGACACAACAAGCACCGCACCAAGAGATTCTTTATGTGTCTGGGTGGGCTTGCTCGTCGGTGCTGACCTCGACCAATGAAGTGAGTCCTGACTTTGGCGACTATCCGTACAACACGGTCCCCAATCAGGTCCAGAGATTGTTCAAGGCGCAACAACTACACGATCGAAGACATTACGATGAAAGGATGAAGCTCAGTGCCGAGGAGCGTAGATCGAAGCCATATATTGACTACCTTCGGCCAATTGTTGCAGATGGCGACACTGGCCATGGAGGATTGAGTGCAGTGTTGAAGCTTGCCAAGCTGTTTGCAGAGAACGGCGCAGCAGCTGTGCACTTCGAAGACCAGCTTCACGGGGGCAAGAAGTGCGGACACCTTGCTGGCAAAGTACTTGTGCCCTTTGGAGACCACATTAACAGGCTTGTTGCAACGCGATTTCAGTGGGACCTCATGGGCTGCGAGAATCTGGTCATTGCTCGCACGGACAGCGAGAGTGGCAAGCTGATCTCTTCTGCGATTGACACGAGAGATCACGAGTTCATCCTTGGCGTGACCGAGGACGTGGAGCCTCTTGCCGATACCCTGCAGAGTATGGAGATGGAGGGCGCTTCTGGTCCAGAGATTGATCGCTTCGAGGCCGAGTGGGTGAAGAAGCACAAGCTTGTCACGTTCGATGAGGCAGCAGCGACCCACATCAAGGCATCAGGTCAGGACGTGGACGCATATCTCAAGCAGACGCAAGCGAATAGAAACATGCCTCTACATAAGCGCAGGCAAGCAGCCGCCGCAGTGGCCGGATCGCCAGTCGTCTTCAACTGGGATATTCCTCGAACTCGCGAAGGTTTCTACCATTACAAAGCTGGCCTGGCAGCAGCCACCAAGCGGGCGATCGCATTTGGACCATATGCGGATCTGCTGTGGCTCGAGACCAAAGATCCGAGCGTGGCGGAGGCGGCGAGCTTTGCCAAAGAAATTCGACAAGCTCTTCCTGGGAAAAAGTTGGTGTATAATCTTTCCCCCAGTTTCAATTGGTCCGCCCACGGCTTCACCGATGCACAGCTGAAGAGCTTCATCTGGGACCTTGCCGAGCATGGATTCGTTCTGCAGCTCATTTCACTTGCCGGGCTGCACAGTACGGCAACGATTACGAACGAGCTGGCCAAGGCGTACAAGACTGAAGGCATGAAGGCGTATGTCGAGACTGTGCAGCGGCGGGAGAAGGAGACTGGCTGCGACGTGCTTACTCACCAGAAGTGGTCCGGTGCCACCTACATGGACGGCATCATTGGCGCCATACAAGCAGGGAGCAGCGGGTCTCGGAGTATGGGCGAGGGGAATACGGAGGGCCAGTTCTGAACACATACTGCAGCACGTAAATGTGATCGAGATGCCATGTACTGAGGGTTGCATGAGATATACGGAACTTGACTTGGCTGCAGTACCTGATAGGTACGGTATGTACTTATATGTAGATGTATGTTACCTACATGTACCTTACCGTACTACCTCCTATGGTATATGTAATGTATATGGCGGTTTCGGAACTCTGTAGTTCGACGTCATCCGGAAAATATATGTCCATGTACATGTACCTGAATTAATTACGACCACCTCCTACATACGGTATAGCCGTATAGCAACTGTCAACAGCAGGGACAACTTCCATGTGAGTCCCATCGGCCTCTCCAACCACGACTACACACATGTCAATACTGCTGCCGCTCGCAACAGCACCATGGACCCGTGCCAGAGCCTGACGGCGGCACAATGCGTGTTGCTGGCGGTGCACTTCGCGTCCGAATCCAACATCGAAGCGCTGCACTCCTTCACGCCCGCTCGAACGGACGCACTCGACCGGGAGTTGGTGCTGCGCATCGTCCTGACCTTCGTGCCCGAGAGCCTCGATCCCCGCCGGTACACGCGATATGTCGAGGAGGTCGCCTCCCAGCTGTACCTGGACCACGAGGACATCGACGTCGACGTGGCCCCGGTGCGCGACCTCAGCGACGACGAGGCCCAGAAGCGGGTGCGGGCGCTGTGCATGCTGTCCATCGACCACCTTCCATCGCCGTATGCGCCGCAAGACTTACTCACACGTTTTGTGTATCACCGCGCCCACCGCATCGACCAAGAGACCGGACTGCTACACCTCACGAGGGCTCTTGTCGAGCCATTCCTGCCTCGGAACGACTTCATTCGCACGTGGTATATTGGCGCGTGTGTGCCGCTGCTGCGTCTGCCTGAATACTACCCGGAAGACGACTCGCTCGCCATATCGCTCAGCGACTTCGAGCAGCTGCACGGAAGACAGGGCGTCGATATGCTGCTGAGCAAGAGCGGCAGAAACACTGTCGCAAGAGACATCAAGGGCAAGCAAGCACTCAGCATCAACTGCAGATCACAATGTGCCGGATACAATCGCTGACGTGCATGTCCACTGCTTCTTAGAACTCGTCGGGCCCTGGCAGTATGGTCACACGACTCGCAAGCATAGGCAGCTCAATTACGGACAGCACGAAAAGAACCGCGCCATTCGCAACGGTGATACCCCGAGCGACGATGCCACCGAGGCCATGTCCAAGATCTCGCTTGATGGCATCAAAGCAGATGACCAGGCCACCGGCCACTGCTGGGAACATGTTTTCGGCTGGTAAGCAATCACTCGACATGACCCACATCGTATCAGAGGCAGTTGCTGACTTGTGTCCGCTTCCGTTCAGGCTCGTGACCCATGCTGCACTCGACCTTGGGCTCGTCGCCCGTGCAATTGACGATTGGGACGGGCCTAGAGATATCGACCTGGGAGGAGTCGAACGGCAGGGCATTTCTTATATGGACGAGGAGCTTGAGAAGAAGCTTGAACTGCAATACGCTCAAGCGGCCTTTGCAAGCTGCTATGTGGCGGAAGCGGACACCGAGGCAACTGTGCAAGAGGCGCATTCAATACTCGCACGGTTGGCGGAGCTGCTCGATTTCATCCCTCCACCAGATCTCGCAACCAGTGTGGACGCGTTGCCCAAAATTGAGCGGCACACGACCAAGCTCGACGACGATTCTCACACAGTTGCCGACCTGCTTCCCGATGCGTTACTGAAGCAAGAGCATCCGCTTACTACTCCTCGTATCGAAACATTCATGCTGCTACAGATGATGGTCTATTCTGCATATCAATTTTCTGGTCTGCAACACCCGCTCTCGCTAGTCAATGTCGCGAAGCTACACTTCTATGCCACGCGGGACGAGCAACTCACTGTGCTACGAAAGATTCTCCGTGGTCTTTCGAGATCGGGCGCAAGCAAAAATGAGGCACAATGGTTAGCAGACCGCGCCAAACTCGTCTGGCTGTGGAATTGGGGCATCGAGGCAGACGCAGCCGGTGTGCTCAACAAGATTTCTCAGGCAGATTTCGAAGAAGAAATGCTGAAGGTATTTACAGAGACTAGCTGTAAGTTGTTCACGAATCTGGTTGCTGCTCAGACGCCTTCCGCATTTCATTCTACCTTTCGACTTACGTCCTATCCCAGCCCAGAAAATTGTTCATGTAGAAAAGGACGGTCTAGAGGAAGGGGAACTTCTTTTTCCTTACGTGCCCGAATCTCAATCTGGTGTCGATCGCTGACGGACTGTACCTGCAGGCTTTGGGATTATAGAAAAGCTGTACCTTAGCACTAATGCGAGTACAGCTCTACCTAGAGCCCGTACTGAAGCCGTGATTCTCAGCAAGGCACTGGAGATATACGACAGTGCGACCAATGGCAATCGTCAACGAGGCGCCATGAAGAAGGCCAACGATATGTAAGACTGCCGAGATGGCCACAACGTCTCGCGTCACTGATGATCTATAGCATTACCACGTTTCGACCTTACTTTACGGATAGCATCAAATTTCGCCAAGCTACGGCGCTGATTGCAGCCACGCACGCCTTGTCGTTCTACGCGCTCACGCTCCAGCACGGTGTGCCATTTCAGCCGGTCACGATTAGAGTCACACCAGATCCAGTGGGCCTGATCAATACAGTGCTGGAACAGAATCCAAGAAGCTACACGAAACTCGACGATCTCATCGGAATTGCACGAAACCTGGTGGCGTCTGGTCTCACGAACGAAGAATCAGGGCCCGAGGCCGAATACTCCGATGCCGAAAATTTGGTGCGGATGCAGAAAGATGCTGAACGGCGTGTCACGTTCATGGCTGTACGTTGACCACACGACTGTTGCGTGATATGGCTGACATATAGCAGATAGAAGCGGCACTCCGTGAAGAGGACTTTGAGACGGCATATTCTACTGTAGTGAATAGACTCACCCCTTCCGGAGCTGACATCGAAGCGCCAACCAGCGCGAAGCCACCTCACAAGCGACAGCGTTCAGGTCGCGCAAAAAGTAGTCTCGAAGATGATGACATCTCATGGCGTGCTGCGTTCCTTGCGGGACGCTACAGACCGACCACATCTGCTTCGCCTACAGTCAGGCGGCTCGAGCAGCGAACGGAGCTCCTGTCTCTCGCCCTGTTACTCGCTCCCACATCGGCTCTGACCGAAATCCTGGCAGCCTGGCGTCGATGCGAGGAAGAAATGATCTCGCTCCAGCTTTCTCAACAAGAAGCTGAGCGAGAATTTGACGATCGTGCCGACAAACGACTTTCTGCCAGTTCACTGCCAGGTACATTCACTGTCAGCCATGAACAGCCCGAGCTCATCCTCAACCAGAAGAGGAGAGAGATGGGTCGCATGGGGGCTGCAAGTGGGAGAGCAAACGACGAGACACCCCTGAGCATGTTTGACCTGACGCGAAATGCTGCAAAGGCTTTTAGCAAGAATGCGTTTCCTTTGGGAGGAGATGTTTCTGCCGCTAGGACCAGTGCAGAGCATAATCGGTCGTTCGAACAAAGTAATGTCGGTTTGCCAAGTGACAGCGAGCGAGTGAGAAAAAGAGACATGGTGGCGAATGCCGTCAGTGGTGGGATTGTGTCGGGGTTAGGATGGGTTCTTGGAGCCACTCCTGCCTCTGCGTCTTCACACGATGATCACGAGCAGCCTACATAGGTAGATTAGGTAGACTTGAGGAGCCTCCTCAGCTGGGCGTCAGACACATTTGAACGAGCAGAGCGAGTATAGCCGTGAAAGTGTATAGACAGCGGACAACCGTTCTTGAAGCACATTATTCTTTCAACGTGAAAAAATTAGAACACTGTTAGCATGGTCTTGCGTATATCGCATGGTGGTTGCATCAAAGCGTCAGAACAGGTTGGTAAATTGCATGTCCTGAATATGTGATCGGTAAGTTAGCCATGCACATTCGCACGGCAACCGGACGGTCGCGCCGGGATGCGCGTACCGATTGACATATCACGTCCTTCATTATTACCGTCATGCTGGCCACATCTGCCATAGCCCGGACCAGCGAGGAGTGGGAAACGCAAGAGGCTACAGCTCAGGGACCGCGGCGAACAAGATTGATAGCAGAATCTCAGGCGCGATGTGATGGTGAGAGTGCGGGCCTGTACGGCATGTGAAGCGTCGCATCTAAATGCCTGCTATCTGCGCAGGAATGGTGGATACAAGAGATTACTGCTCTTTCATATGCCGGGCAACCCAAGCACTTGGCGCAGAGTTGGCACTCCGCGTGGCAGGAAATACACTGTGAAGATTGTGGTGAATGCAACCAAGAGTCCAGTCACCTTCTCAAACCAGGTGTGAAAGTAAGCTGCGGTCATGAGCAGCATCCACCCGCTGAGCCCGGCTACCGCCAATGCTACCTTCACACCAAGTCCCAGCTCCTGTCGCTCGCCCACTGCTACACGTGAAGAATGCTCGGTCTCGATTGAAGCACTTCGGACCAGGCCATCTGCAGTCCGGATGCGCCTCTTCTCCCGCAAACCCTCGTTGTAGAGTACAGCTGGGAGGAGTTCGAGCCAAAGCATCCCACTCCCCAGAATGAGCAGGAACACGTGTCCACTGATATCGTGCCCACCTCTCCACTGGCCACCAATTGCCTTGCATGCCGCGTGTGTGAAAACATCCTTGGCGTCTCCTTGCTCCATCTTCTCTGTCAGGCCAGTGGCAAGAACCTGGCTGCATCTACCGCCCGTCCATCGGAAGCTACGATCTACAATGGCCGGTCCAAAGAACCATTGAGTGACAAACACCCAGACGGCAGTGATCGTCATGTATCGGAATATGGCCTGCACGCGTCGTTTCGTGAGTTGTAGCCGGAATGGAGGTCCGTGTGAGGAGTGGGTGAAGATGAGCGTGAAGAATGCCAGCGTGGTCCAGAACCAGCCGATCTTGACAAAGTAGACATTGAATACGTTGCTCTTTTTGGCAAAATAGCTGGGCGCGTCCTGAGGATCGTAGGATTGCGTGCTGGGGAGATAGGTGGCTTTTCTGCTCGCGGGATGGATCATGCTATACAGTGAGCCCAGGAAAAGCGTGATGGGATATAGAGCGAGGAGGGTGCCTTCGAGGGCTGTTGGCAGGAACGGCGAGCCTCGTAGAGAGTCCATACTGCCCGTAGCATCTTGAGGGCCGTTTGTGGTCGTGGTCGTGGGTGCGGGTGCGGGTGCGGGCGTGCTTATGGTGTCTGTCGTCGGTGGAATAGGCACGTCGACCTCGACCTTATGAGGCCGCCGCGTAGCCATAAGATATGGCTGTGCTCGAGCTGTAGAGCAGCAGGATCGAGGCGGTGGTGAGTGAAATGTGTTCCGACCAAATGCTGGGGTCCATGTAACTTTGTACTTCCTGGTAAGCTAGATGTTGTTGTCATGACGTATGCCAAGTGATGCAGAGCTAAGCAGGCAAGAGCTCAGGCACAAGTCACGTGCCAACAGGGGTACCGAGTTTTTTGTTGTTCACAGTATGCGCTTGGTATGCAACTATGCACTTCCATGTTCAATTATCTTTACCATTGAAAGGGTCTATGACTATGTTCGGCCATTGCTATCTCGTGTACTCCACGCGTCCCTGTCTTGTATCTCTTGTTCTCGGCTATCAGGGCCAGCACATTATATCTTTTGCCACTCGCAAAGCGATAGTTGACGGCTTGGAGCACGACAGGAAATGCGGCCGGAAAATCGTCGCAGTGCTGTACTAAGAGCCTCGAGATTCGCTGACCTGCCAAGGGATCTTCTGATGAAGCCAGAGCGCAAGGCCATAGCCCCTTGAGTAGGTGTCGAGAAGGCTCATGGCCATCAATGGTCATGCCTCCCTGCTCCAGTCGGCGAGCAATAGATGTCAGAAACATCAAGAGTACCAGGCTGTCTTGCGGAATCTTCTTCAACAACTTCAGAACTTGCGACCACAGTCGAGATCTGTCTGTGATGTCCCTCATCTTTTTCGATATGGCCATTGCTACCGTAAGAGGAACACCAGGCGTTTTCGGAACGTCCAGGCTGATCTTGAGGATGAGCGCAAGTGAGCCTAGTCCATGTCTGCGCACAACATGCATCAGCTCGTTAGGCGTACCAGTCTGGCACAGTTCGCTCGAGAATGCCGCTGCTGTGGCCTCGCAAAATTCACCGCTCAGAATATTGATGCCTTCTGGCGGACCGTGTGGTAATTTTACAGCCAGGAGGACTGCCCCACAGACCGCGGCCGCAGCATTGATCCGGGCCAAGAAGGATGCATTCCAGTATCCATATTGTTCTTTGGATACCATCTCAATCTCTGCAATCGCTACCTCATGAAGGTTTCTGGCATCGAAATGGCCGAGACTGTTGGCACTCGTAGGTTTCGACGAAGCAGCCCAAGACTCTCCCCCGGAGCTGACCTTCGAGGCTTTGGATCTGATCGTCATGCGACTGGATGTATCGTTACCTCTCGAGCCAGGCGACAGTGCGTCCAGCCTGCTCGCAGGTCCAACTTCAGCAATCGCTTCCGATTGAGAGTGCCGATGCGCGGCAGCTATCGGCACAGGGAAGTCGAAAGTCTCATCTTCGAATTCATATTTCATGGTGGGTATGATGGGCGGCGCAGGTTCGTCGAGGGTGGCAAGGATTTGCTTGTCTTTTGAAGTGACAATTGGCAGTTGATATACAGTATGCTCATCTGCATCTGCAGTTCGAGTCGATGAGCCGTCACTCTGTAATGTAGCCAAGCTAGACCTTTGCGACTGGCTACTCGTGGACGATCTTGTGAACCATGACGGCCGCCAACTGGATCGTGACAAGACACTATGCTTGCTGGATATAGTCGGATGTGGCGAGAGATCCGGAAGATCAGGATGATGCATTTGGCTGATGCGCCGCTCTAGATGCCTTGGATGTCCCATACTGGCGAGCCTTATGCGTCGAGTCTCTCTCAATAATAATGCCCAGAGCAGGACTATCTGGCGCAGAGGAGGTGCCCGCGAGCCTGACCAGACAAGCCTTCTGAGTACCCCAAATTGCAGCTATCTGTCGTTGAGTCCGCACTGAAGCGTGCCTCGGGCTATGCCAGCGCCGCCTGCATCCAGCACATGTCGCCGTCCACTCGAACACCCCAGGAATTCTGCTGGTTGACTGTCATGCGGCCTCAGGGCTGTCTTACGGCCGACAATGTCACCATATCACTCTGTGCGATGGTCCTTTCAGAGTCCGGATAGAATGCCTTGCTTGTTGCTTGTTACTTTCTGCTGTACTTGTTGCTTTGCTTTGCGGTCCAAAAGTGAGGCGAGAACAGGAGTCACCGCGACAGTATCGAGGTGGCAACAGAAAAGGTCGAGAAACGCCCGTATGTAGCACTCCGCGACGACATCCGGTCTGATGCGGAAATGGAGAAATAAGCCATAGCCGACGCACGCATGCAGGTAGAAGCATTGGTCGAGCACGGATACCCGTTTGGGACAATCCAGGATAGACGCTGCCACGCTGGCGACACGATCATTTTCGTGCGACCAGTGCCGCGCGTATTGCTGATTGTCCGTCATTATTGAATATCCTATTGCGACATGAAATGTGATTAGCAAGTGAGGTGACAGGGCCGATTACCTGTAACGCTCATTAAAGCAAGTATGAATATGATTGCATCGAGCGATAATGTGTCTTTGGTTTGGAGACAACAGGTCCGCGTGCAGTTTCCGTTCGGACCAGAACATGTGATATATCAACCTGATACATGTGATGCACAATGGATTGTTGACGGATGATATGGATGGAGAAGGAGGAGTGGAGTGGATTTCTGAATGGGGGCTAGTGGCGAATCCTGGATAGTGTAGCGGACGCTAAATAGAGCTAGTTCCAAAGCCACAGGCCCACAGTGGATTCATGCAGCAAAGAATTTCGAGCTTCGCTATATTCTACCTGGGAATACAGTTCAAGGCATATTCATGACCGTAGGTACGTGTAAATATTGGGCACTCTATCTTCACCCGACAATTACATCTTTGGCCTGCCAAGCACATACGCACTCAGCCAACGACGCCAGACTGTACCGCACAGCACAGCACAGCAAATCACAGCATACGAGCATAGCACAATCCGATAGAACATGGCGAAGAAGAGGAAAGTGGCGGCAGCAGCGACTACCGCTTCGCAGGAGCACGCACAGGGCCTCGACTTCGATCCGCGCGAGTCCCGGAAGCGCATTCAGACGTACGAGGACGTCGCCGGGTCTGACGATGAATTCCACCTGAACCACGACGAAATTCACCTGGGCGAGGAGCCTGCAGCTAAACGGCGTCGCAAGATTGCTGAGGACGAGGCCTTCCTAGAAGCTTCGGACGAAGAGGTGCTGGGCGATCTCGGGGAAGAGGACGACGACGACTGGGACGACAACAATGGCAGCTCTGACCTGGACGCTACATCTGGCACGCAGCACTTTTCTGCGGCGGGCTCAAACGATGGCGATGGCGGTGATGATGAAGATGGGCTGACGGGTTGGGGTACATCAAAAGATGCCTTATATGGCAACGATGCAATTGAGACTGAAGAGCAGGCGTTGGAGGAAGAGCAAGAGGCTATTCGTCTGCAAAAACGACAGCTGCAACAGATGCACGCTGCAGACTATGGCTTCGATGACGACGATTGGCAGCAGGACCGCGCTGGCGAGGCGGGCTCCCACAACGTTGTATCTGAGGTTCTACCTCAGCTGCAGATCGCGCCAGACCTCGGCGTCGCCGAACGTCTGAAGCTGCTGAAGTCGCGATATCCCGAATTTGAACCCTTAAGTAAGGACCTGTTGCAACTTCAGCACACCCATGCTCAGTTACTGGACTCGGCGAGGACATCGTCTGTCGCGCAGACGAAGCTGAGAGCTGCATCCGCATACCTTGGAGCACTGGTCATGTACTTTTCGCTGCTCGCATCCTCGGCGTCATCGGGCGATGGAGAAATGGTCGCTGTCCCCGCAGCACAATTGAGAGAACATCCGATCATGATGAGCTTAGTCAAGTGTCGGGAGCTCTGGACGAACGTGTCAGCTATTCCAGATCAGGCATCTACGCAAGACTCGGACGTGCGGGATAACAGCTCAGACGAGGTTGAGCTGGAATCAAATGGCAGCGATGAGGCTATGCTGGTTCAGCCTGTGCAGCCAACGACTCGCTCGTCCAGAGCACAGCGCCATGCTGCTGCTGTCCAATCGGCTGCAGAAGAAAGGAGGTTGGAACGGATGAGACGTGCTGAAGCCGATCTCGCTGAACTGGATGCTTTGGTCGTACCCAAGACTAAGAGGGTGGCGAAGGCGTCCCGCGAGCCTCGCATGGAAAGTGGCGGCTTAGATCTGGGCGAAGAGGCTCCGCTCACTGCACGTGAAGCAGCCGACAAGGCGCAAAAGAAGAAGAGCCTCCGTTTCTACACCTCGCAGATTGCTCAGAAAGCGAATAAGCGTGGCATTGCTGGTCGTGTTGCAGGCGGTGACGATGATATACCACACCGAGAGCGATTGAGAGACCGACAAGCACGTCTCAATGCCGAAGCCGAAAAACGTGGCAAGCGTCCTGGAGATGCCATCGGCACAGCGCTCGGGGACGACACCGATGAGGAAGACCACGCACAGGCGCACAACGTCCGTGCCCTCGCGGAGGACGATGAGTACTACGACCTCATTGCTGCGAAGACAAGTAAGAAGAAGAGCGACAAAGCAGCGCTTGCTGAGGCGCAACGGCAAGCTGCGCTGCAAGGAGGAGCAGTCGTGCAGCAGGAAACGATGAGTGCGGATGGCAAACGCAAAATCACATACGCCATTGAAAAGAACAAAGGCTTGACACCGCATCGCAAGAAGGATGTTCGTAATCCCCGTGTCAAGAAGAGAAAGAAGTACGACGAGAAAAAGAAGAAGTTGGCCTCCATCAAGCCAGTATACAAGGGGGGCGAAGGGCGAGGAGGCTACGGAGGTGAATTGACTGGTATCAAGGGGTCTTTGGTGAAGAGCACCAAATTATCTTGAATCACACAGCGAATCATCTCCAATCTACCTCGATAGCGCGGGATTCATAGAGTGATACACGATAGCTCTTCGAAGGAAACAACATAGGTACTCTGCGACCTGTAGAACCATTCAGCATATAGTCCTTGGCAATCAGTGGCGACGGCAGACTGGCGTATCTAGCCGAGCAATTGCAGACTCGGCTCACCAAGACAATCTCTCCTATGCTTCCCTACCTAGCTCATCATTTGCATATTGAAGACAAAGTACTCTGATTTGGGAAAAAAAGTACCTTGATACAAGCCTCCTCTTCCGGTGCCATGAATTATTTCCCAATATTGAGGGAAGTGTGTTGCTACCTGTAATATATTCAGCCGTATGTACCCGTCCGATAACGGACAAGAATTCATACTGGTACCTTAGCTAATCAAGTCCCGCTATCTACATGTACCTGGGCGGCGGGCATATCATTTGTCGGCTTACAGGTTACCTTACAGCCTGAGGGCGGCAAGCATATGTCCTGTCGGTAAGGAGAGGAAATTCCAATGCTGTCGTCGTGCAGACATGGTAGTAGAAGTTTCTTCTCTGCATCATCATCATCTTTCTTGTCTACTCTGCGAGTCGCCACGTCGTCGTCTTCTTCTTCTTCTTCCTCCATTGCGCCTCCTGTAACGACACCACTGCGCAAAATCTCCACAGCCACCACCACCACCACCACCACCACCACCATGGATAGCCACGCCACCAATGGCGTCAAGTCCAACAACTACTGGTGCACCGAATCTCCCATTTCTGCATTTGACTTTAGAAGTATGTAAGGCCTGCCTGTTATATCTAAATCTACCTACTACTTTGAATACTAGGTAGGCACGTTCGCTTAGCACGAATGGGAAGCTAATGGTCGATAGGCGATACCATCACAACACCCAATGCTCGTATGCTCGAGGCCATCACCGCCACGACATTAGCAGATGATGTGTTTCAAGAAGACGCCACCACCAATGACCTCGAGAAACTCATCACTCTCCTGACGGGAAAAGAAGCGGCACTGTTCGTGCTCTCCGGAACCATGGGGAATCAAGTCGCCATTCGCACGCATCTGCAAGGGCCTCCGCACTCGGTCGTGGCCGACCACCGCGCTCACATCATCGAGTGGGAAGCGGGTGGCGTAGCGTCTCTGTGCGGTGCCCTGTGCAAAGGAGCGATACCCAGTAATGGAAAGTATTTGACGTTGGAAGACGTGCAGAAGGCTGTGGATCTGCGAGAGGATGTCCATGGGTGTCCTACCAAGTTGATATCCCTCGAGAACACGCTTGGAGGCGTCATTTACCCCGTCGAGGAAATCCGACGAATTAGTGACTGGGCACATGAACACGGCATCATCATGCACTTGGATGGTGCGAGGTTATGGGAGGCTGTGGCTGCTGGAGCTGGGAGCTTGGCGGATTACTGTGCTTGCTTTGACAGCGTTAGTCTGTGCTTCTCCAAAGGTCTAGGTGCACCCGTGGGAAGCATGATAGTCGGTACACGGGCCTTCCGAGAGCGTGCACGCTGGATTCGGAAGAGCATTGGTGGAGGCATCCGGCAAGCTGGTGTTCTGACTGCTGCTGCACGGGTCGCAGTCGAGGACACCTTTCTTGGCGGCAAACTCCAAGCGTGTCACGAACGTGCCCGCCAAATTGCCGCGCTGTGGGAGGGCTATGGAGGCAGGACCAGCCATGCGGTGGAGACCAACATGGTATGGCTCGATGTCGAGGCCGCAGGAATCACAGTCGACAAGTTCGTCGAGCTAGGTAAGTATTGCGTTTTGGCGCTCACCCTTCCTACCAGCGGGCTGATAGTTGTTCCAAGGTCAAAAAGCCGGTGTACGACTGCTCGGAGGACGATTGGTCGTCCACTACCAGATCGGCCAAGCGGCAATCGAGAGACTCGACAATCTGTTCCAAGCTGTGTTGAAACACAAAGAATTGTCCGGTGTGAGTGAAGCTCCTAACGTACGTTTTTGAAAAATCGCTTTGACGTCCAGCTAGAGAAGCTGGCTCCGGCCGCTAATGGCGACTTTCCAAGCTGATATCAAGTTTAGGGTATTACTGAAAAAAATGGTTCTACCCACTCTTATGGGTAATGGTCTGGCTTCCTGCCAACCAACACTCGACCAGCACTATCAATCTGAAATCCCTTCAGTCGATGATGATCAATGCCATCGGTACGAGATCGCGACTTGAGAGAGCCAAACCGGTAGAGCAAAGACGGACAGATATGAGCGCAACAACCGAGGATTAAATATAGACCATGTGAGTACAACGGCTTCGGCGCTCTGATCACGCTGAGGTGATTCATTTCTTAAATCGATAGTACGCCATGTGCAAAGTTCTATCGACAGGTTCGAAAGGCCGCACGGGAAGCGTGGTCGTTTCGTGGGTGTCCATGAATGCAGTAGGGCTTTGTGCAGCTTGGATATACGACATCGAGACGGTGCGCATAGCATACATAGGTAGATCATAGATCCACCTTGTTCTTAGCCCGCCTCGCAACGAACTTTTTGATTCCTAGCCAGGCGTCACTTTTAGTGTCCGCTCCACCAAGTTCACTTCCCACCTCAAACACCGTGGTGACTCCATCAAGTCCACCCACTGCTGCATGCCGACCCTGGTTCTTCTCCCATGCCAGCTTGTTCAGGCTCTTCAGTGCGTAAATGTCCTTCTCCTGGTGGCTTGGCCTCGCACCACCGACAGGCACTTCCGAGCTCACGTTGATGTCATATATGTCAAATCGCCCGCTACCATCCACACATCCAAAAATGCCGGGTTTGGTGGGCGACCACTTGGCATCGTAGACACTGTCCTCGCGTTGGATCTCAAGCAATGGCTTCACGATCTCTGCGTTGCCCGAAATGGTACTGGACGTAGTGGAAGGTGGACGAGCACGCCAGACTTTGACGCTCCAGTCCAGGCCACAGCTGACAAAAAGATCGCCGAGGTCAATCTTTCCACTGGCAGGATGGAAATCAATCCCTGTCACTGGAGCCTCATGGCCGCGGTAGCTCGTTCGGGCATCGACGCCGGACTTGGCGCCCGCGCGGTCATAACGATGCACTGGGAAGATCGAACCTTGCTCTGTTCCTGCAAGGAAATAGGTTGGATCTGCTGCGGGAAACGATATGCACGTCGGCGCCACATCATCGGTCTTGTGCGCTGAAGGATTCGGAGCGTGCAGCTCCAAATACTCCTGAGGCTGTGTGAGAATATCCGTCGACCATGCGCACACCACGCCATCTGTGCTGACAGACACGACTGAGCTTGCATTCTGTGTGCCGACTGTAGCCAAGCTGTATATAGGATGCGCGTGGCCGGTCCTGCCTCCTGTAAGCGGTGTCTTCTGCACAGGCTCGCCAGTCCTTTGGTTCCGGGCACGCGTGTCCCACAGACAGAGCTGTCCACTGTATGTGCCACCAAGAATCAAGGACGGGTGAAAGGGGTGGAACTGGCAGGAGAGAAGATCAGAGGTGGCGTGCAGGCTGTATTCTGGTCGGCCTTTGAGGTGCATATTCCACACATTAAGGAGACCAGGCGACGTATGGGGGGAGGACTGTGACTTGGTGTAGGCTGTACATATCAGCTCCGGAAACTTGGGACTGAAGTCGATATCACTGATCATGCGTTGCTTCCCCATCTCGTGCTGTAGTTCAAATGAAGCAACCTCCTTGACTCTTCTGCCTCGTCTGCCCACATACTCGTCATCTTCATCCTCCGCAGCTCGGGCGTTCGCGGCATAGTCAGCCAGTACATCATACTCCTCGTCTAGCGCTCGTTCGATGACCTTGCTGCTGCGCTCCACGAAGTCTAGAAAGTCGTTGCTGCTAGTCACAGCGCTGAGCTCTTCGGGAGCAAGTGCTCTGGCTGGGAAGCGCTCCTTATCTGGTTCCACGTGGTCGTTCGATTGTAGGGCCCGCAGCTCTTCCTCGATCTCCTGGCGCAGACGCTGGCGAATCGTCTCCTCGTGGAGCTCGCGGGCACGTGGGCTTAAATTGCGCCGCCGACGAGTTGGACTCGTCGACGTGGCATCGCCATCACTGCCTTCCGCACTGTCGACGCTGGTCTGCTGCCAGCCGTCTGCTGCAGTCTGCACGCCCTTGCTGTAGGTTATATACTCTGGTTTCGACTCGACGGGAATCTCGTAGACGGTCGTCAGCGCGGCCAGCGAGAGTGTCTGTGGGACGGCATGGCCATCGGAGGTTCGCGGTATAGTTGCTGCTGCTGGCGGCGAGGTGTGGCCGTCGTCGGAGAGGTGCGAATTGGTGGTGTTCGCGGTGGACGCGGGGCGGTCGACCAGCGACGAGATGAGCGATTCGATGTCCTCGCGCTTGAAGCTGCTACTGCTGATGCGTTGCGGTGATGGGGCAACGAGCTCAGAGGCATCGAGGCTGTGGCGCGTAGTGTTGAGGTCCTTCTGCCGCAGTTCTCGCTGGCGCTTCAGCTCAGCCAGCTTGGCCTTCTTTGCGAGAATCTCCTCCTTGCGCTGCTGCATTGACGAGGACGACGAGGACGACATGGCGGCATCGCACTTCTGTTGATACGCTAGTTGTGTAATTATTATGACCTCACGTCCCGTTGTGCCTGCATGTGTATACAGCTCATGAGGGAGGTTATGTGGAACTCAGGTACGGGGAGCAGGCAAAGCCTAGCGCGTAACCTTCCGACTTCCTCCCTCTGGATAACTCCCATCACTACCTTATTCAACTCAGCAGAACAAACGCAGCAACAGTGTACAGCCCTCCGCAACTCGCCGCCCGCGCTCACCAATACTACGGCACTATCCTCTTCATCCTCCTCCTGCTACAATGGCCTCTACGGGGGTAAATGTGAGCTGCTCCCAACTGTCCTTTCCGCGCGCACAGGACGCATAGCCAAAAGTGCGCATCCGACTGACCGACCATTGGCATAGGTCCTCCGCTGGGGCGCACTCGTCTTCGGTGTCTTCTACGGCTTCTCACACCAGCAAAGTATTCATGCGAGAGACAAGGCCGCCGCACTCAAGGCAGAGTACGACCGTAAAGCCAAGTTGATAGCGAGTGCAAAGGCGAAGTTTGCAGAGCAAAATGCGCCGCGGACAGGCGATGGAGGTGAGCAAAGAACGGCATACTTGGTGGGCCCTCTTCTCTCGCGCTCCAAAAACTGATGCCCAGTCTCCCTTCACAGTGATAACAAATCCCGAGGACCCCAAATTCGACCTCGAAGCATATTTGCAAAAGATCGCCTAGACGATATATCAGCGCATACGATCAGCAATGAAGAAACCAGCTGGGCTAGAGCCATGTGAGAGCGCAAGGCATGATTGGGGGATATCCACGAGGGCAAAGGCGAAGATGCAGGACATGGTGGGTCACAAGCTGAGAAATTGTATATACACTGTACAACATTCAGTTCAAGCCTTGACAACAGCACACGCTTGGCTCGAGTTTTGTTACAATGAGTTTTTGCCCGCGCTGGTGGACAAGCAAGACTTTCAAGGCCCACTGACCGCGACGTTCTAACCCCTAGATACTACCTATTCATGTATGAGGTAGCTTCAGGTCTAGGAGTTTTTTTTTATACACATGGAACAAGCGTCCAGTTTGAGGTACTGATGAAAGCAGGTGGCAAGAATTGTAGACAGACGATATCTTAGTCTGTCACGTTCGATATGCTAGTTTCTAATGCAGCCCTTTTCGTGAAGGCCACGATCCTGCACAGCAACAGGCCGGATTCATCTATCACGAATCCGCAGCCCCAACGCCGCGCTATGCTTGCAAGCTTCTATCGTCTATGCAACTCTGTCTCAACGAGCTTTCAACCAAACGTCTTCCGCAAGTATTCGTAAATTGTGAAAATAAGCGCCGAGCTGGGCGCACTTCTTGCAACGGTGATACCGCAGCCACGGTACAGTCCCTTGAACCCATGCGCCCTGAACAGATCTTTTCCTACCTGCGAGAACTTCGCCTTTACGTTCGTCACTTCTCCGGTTTGGATCTTGCTTTTGATCGTGTCTGCAGGAAAAAAGACAAAATTGTATGCCATGCCTGCAATAGCCCCGGATAACATTTGCTGCCAAATCGGCAGACTGTCCTTCTCGGGATTCTGCAAACGCTTCCTGAAGTACAACGAGAGGGTCTCGTAACTGCCAAACCACGCCGCACCTCCTCCCGTCTCACGCAGCAAGGTACCCAATTGTCCGCGCCAGAAACCTGCCAAGCCTTCTGTCTTCCATACATGAGAGATGATTGCAAGAGGGCCCTGCGCTGCTCGGAGCGTAGGATCGAGTGCGGATTGCGACGGCACCTGCATGCGGCATTTCACAAGCTCAATGGGCGTGAGGACGACAGACGTTACGCAGCCAGACATTGCTCCAGCTGCGACGAGTGCGCTGAGGGGCAGCTTCTCCCCATCGACAGTCCCAGGTATCACGGTGGCCTTGAGCACATCTTGTGCGAGCCGATATGCCCAAAAGAGCGAGGCGTTCTCGGCTGCCGCACCAACCAAGGGCGCACTCACACCACGATATAGACCGCGCACACCATCTTGCGCCAGACTCTGCTTGAAACAATCCAGCGGGCCCGTATATCGCAGAGGGAGATGGTCAGGCTGCGACTGCAGACGTACTTTGACCGTGTCGAAGGGGTATTCCACAATCTTGCCCACGATACCAGCGAAGGAGCCATAGGCAATGTCTCGGAGGGCTTCGATGCCCTGACTGCTGGACGGCTGCGCCACTGTCGACAATGGGGATTGCTGCACCACCGCAGGCTCAAAGGACTTCGCCGACTGAGCCTCCATGTCGATCCTGGGGCGGTGTGAGACGGCGATGGCGATGAGGTGGTGCTACCGCAGCAGCATGGTGAGCAGGCAAGCAAAAGCACGACGGCGAGAGGGTAGAAGGTAGGAGGAAGAGCAGCAGCACCAAGGACGGTGACAGATTCCCCCGCTGGTAGTGGTTGGGCAGGGAGCTAATGAGGAAAGTCTGCAAAGAAAGTTCGCCTTTCCTTTGAGTCATATCGGAAGAGCTCCACGGATACTGTAGAGCGTACCTCCTAGTAGGCTTGGGGTGGACCAACGCTTGGCAGCGCTTTTGCGGCAGAGACGGTGGACACTTACCTACATGTACCTCTCTGAATATTCCGGAGAAGGGTTTGCTTCAAGTATGATGCTCTGGTGCGTCGCGAGTCGAGAGCGAAGTTTTTGGTGCAGCTTTGGCACGTGTCTGAGGCGTTGTTGTGGCTGTTGCACCACCTCACCTACCTATCTACTGAGGCTACTGTATTAGGCATCTGATGATTCTGATCCAAGTTATTGAAGTTATGCAGGCTGACGGATGTCACATGTGATGGATGTGGGGTACATGAGTTTCTAGATGTAGAACTAGAAGGTTGCACTCGGAGTCTAACCAGTTTTGTGGCTTCAGTCCCGATTTTGCACAACTTCCAGCTTTGCACCCTTCTTGTTCTTGGGAGCCACCGAGTCGTATCGCTCAAACATGTCAGCCACGACTGCTACTGCCCCTGCGCCAGTCGCCGGCCTGCGCAAGAATGGCAAGCAGTGGCACGAACCGAAGAAGGCCTTCCGGCTCACGGCTGGTCAGACGAGCTACGCAAAACGAGTCGCACGAGAGGCGCAGGCCGCCGAGGTGAAGAAGGTCGAGAATGAAATGAAGGGCGAGAAGGAACAAGAGCGACAGGTGCGTGCCTGTCTCTTCCTATACTGTCTTCGGTTCCTTGCTGAGAACTGACCCTCTGCAGCGGCGCGTTCAAGCCATCAAGGACAAGCGTGCAGCAAAGGAAGAGAAAGAAAGATATGCCAAGATGGCAGAGAAAATGCACAAGAAGCGTGTGGAACGCTTGAAGCGAAGGGAAAAGCGCAATAAGCTGCTCAAGTCATAAGCAACAAGCTTCTTAGTGGACACCTTGTCTTGCATCATGCTATGGCAACCTCAAGACTCGCGAGACGCAGATGCGCTCTGCCGCGTGAAGCAGATATTCATTCTGCCCGTTGCCGCCATTCTGATATTGAAGGCGGCACCTGTGGGCATGAGAAGATGTCGACGCTGCATGAATCGATGCTTGCCTTCTGAATGGCTTCACTGTCCCAGCCTTCAAAGACAATGATACTTCGGCCGCTCTCCCGTCGCTACAACAGCGCAGAAATTCTCATGAAAACTGCAGCACCTGAAAGCGTCGAACCTACCGCCCGGCCGCCAAACAGGTGATGCAGACTTGATCCGGAAATACTTGACCTTACTCCATGGTCGAGCTGAGGCACTGTTTTGTCTGTCGACGAGGTGACAACCTGGACTCGCAAAGCAGCACACTACGGTATACCCGCCTCGTGATTTTCCTGTGCCACTGCGGTAGCTGCCTTATGCCAGTCTGTAGACTAAATGCAACCGTGCCTGTTCCACGGCGCTCTTTCTTCTTCGGGTGGCAACTGCAAACTCTAGTGATTGAGCAGCCTTGCTTGAAAGGAGGACATATTCACGTCATCAGCCGGAAAATTATTGTTCACTCAGGCAAAAACGCCTATCATGCAAAGGAGCACGATCTATTGGACAGCAAGTCAGGGTTGGAATGACCTCCGCAAGAAGGATCGGGCGAATCGCCTTTTCTGGTATTCGCAACAAGAAGCAATGTTGATGCGGCATGCCCAAGATCCATATGCTGAAATCTATTGTCCCCCGATCGTAGGAGGTAGTGTGCTTCCAACGGAGGCGGCACCTAGACAGGCTCGTGCCGCCGAGGGATCCCCCAACTCATGACATGTACGTGGCTACAGAGTTCGCACCTAGTTTTGCTATAGCGCATCAGGACGCATGTGATATGACTGGACCAGACCCTGAGACGCAACGGGCAAGAGGGCATATGCCTTGTCTGTGACAGGTCTACATGCAGCATTCATCGATGTTCGGGATGTGGCAGTCGTTGATGTTGTCGATCATATTGTCTGCAAATATGCCGATTGTGCTCTTTGTAACGATGTCCTGGGAGGTAGGAAGTAGGATATCTTCCGACTCGATGAGACCGAGGCTGAGACCTGTTTCCAATTCTGTCAATTGCACGACGAAGGATTTCCAAGACATGGGGCGCATCGAGGCGCAAAGTGGCGTAGGAGATCGACAAACCACGAGGCTACAGCACCAACGCGCTATTGGCTCTGGATCCCCCGAGAACCGCATTTCAGCTTACCACTTTCGACCATAAATGGCAGTGATGGCATTGATTTCGCTCAGCTAACCTGAAGCGACGTCTTTGTCTTGGGTATAACCATTGAGTGAGTAATGGAGGGACTAGAAGGATTCTATAGAAGCTTCTGCTACGTGCTGTAGCGTGGCTTAAGCTTCAGCATGGCATCGTGGCCTCTGGACTTCACGAGTACCTCGAGGTGGAAGTCTTGTAGTTTTCGAGATATGGCTTGACCAAATTGCCTACAAGCACGAATGGAGAGCCATCGGGCGACTAGCATCACTAAGTGAAGAAGAGATCCAGCTTTGTTCATGGCCGAAGTATACCTTGTCCTTGGTTGACGAGACTGCTGTCGGTACCGACTCTGCGCTTGTCACTGCCCGTATGTGCAAGACTCAGCCGCGTATCTGAGTTACCCAGCTGTCGGGTATCGTTGAGCAGCTCGAGTTGGAGTGCACATACTATAGTGTATGTGGCGTGAATCCTCATCAGGCTACACTTGCTGTCAACGGACGCCCCAGAACGAGATGCATCACTACCTCGGAGGTAGCTCGATTTCCCCAAGAACACGCGTGGTCAGGTACAAAGGAGTGAGTATACATATCCTTCTCGCGCCCTTGCTGGACCTCACATCACCTTCACCACTTCGACTGCCACATATTCCAGCGTGACTTGCAGCAAAAGTCGACCTTTCCCACTCTCGCTTTACTACCAATAGCCTTCCAAAATCATGGGCGTTGCTTCATTCCTCCACTCCTTGCGCGGGAAGAGCCAGGAGCCATCCTCCTCGCCCTCATCATCGCCCTCTCAGCAATGCAGCCCGACTTCCAACCCTGCCAACACTGATGGTTTCGAAATGCTTTCGAAGGACAGCCACAGGAGAAGCCCAGCTTTGAACCTGTCCCGACCCAATGCCACACATTGCAAAGACCGTCGCAGCTGGTTTGATGAAAGGCCAGACATTGATCAAGCTCTCCCCGATACGCCAATCAGCCCATTCACTGCTCCGCCATCAGCGCACTCTGTTCCCTATGGCCCGGATCTGGAGAGAGAGTATTTGAAGTTCAGCAGAGATAGCAGAGCTCCTGTGGAGGCATTGCCGACGCCTCCATTGACACCGTGCACGAGCGAGCGACCTCCTCTATCACCGTGCACGAGCGAGCGACCTCCTCTATCGCCAACAACTACCATGTCAGCATACGAGCGCAAGGATAGCCATATGTCGAATGCACATCGGCGAAAATCCAGCACGCTTAGCACCAGATCGAGGCGCAAGTCTCGCTCTTCCTTCTGGGAGTCATCTAACCCCGATGACAGCGATGTACCGCCTGTTCCTGCTCTCTCCAGAGGTGCATCGTCAGAGTCTATCACTCAATCCATATCAGGAGAAAGTGTGCCCTCTTCCCCGACTAGCAGCATGCATCGTCCCATGAGTGTGGCCAGCACAACATCACGGAGGTCGTACGTGCCCCGGTCTGCAGCTCGAGGGTTCCTTCGATCAACGAGCGGTGCTTCCATCGAGACGCGTGCGAGCTACCGCATGTCTTTCAATGTGAAGCAGGATGTCGACATGGTCTGTCTGACGGACGAGCAGCGTCTGGAGTGGGCCAAATTGATGGCTGAAGATGTCAGGCTTGGCGACATTCCCGAGCCGGCTGCGGAGATGGGCAAGCATCATCAGATTGGAAGCCTCAACTCTTCACAGATGCAAGCCCTTGCTGCGCTCGAATGTGGCGCACGATGATGATGACGATGATGGGGATGATGAGGTCAATGTATGGTATAGGCTGGCGTTTGGGCGAATGGACGGAAGCATAAGGGTTGCTTTTTCGAGATGATGGAACGAGTAGGCATCGATTTGACATTTTCAATCCTCCATAGCGATTTCTTCCAAGACATAGATTTATAGAGCAAGATGCCGTATAGAGCAAGATAGCATACCTGTATGATCGAACATTCAAGTAACAACATCATGACTACCTACCTCACTGGGCAGAGAGTGAAGACATCCATGTGTACTCGAACCTGGTTGGACGTATTCAGCCGCAATTAATTTATCCGTCTTCGTTCCTCGGCAGCAAGACCTAGCGAAGGTACCACTGTACCATGAGGCCGGCCAACATCGTCTCATCACAGCAATCGTAGAATTGTAGGCAAAGGACCTAAGAAAGAGAACAAGAGATTCTTCTTCTTTCTCTTGCCCATCATATTCTTGATCATCCCCCTCAGCATCTCATCAGTTTCAGGGTCTGCACCAACTCATAACTATAAAAATGGGCCGTGAACACGAGTTGGAAGGACAAGTCATCGCCGTGACAGGCGGCGCAAGTGGTATTGGACTCTCGGTCGTGGAAATCTTGCTATCCCGAGGCGCCAGTGTCGCTATTGGAGACATTGATGATGCAGCCATTGCACGAGCGCAAGCGTCGTTCCAGCAGCCATCATCATCAGCATCGCCGAACCGAGGTGGCAAGTGTCTCATCACAAAAGTCAATGTCTCCAAGCGAGCCGAGGTGGATTCGTGGATTGCGTCTATTGTGAGCAAATTTGGGAAACTTACGGGGGCTGCGAATTGTGCGGGAGTCATTGGACGGTGAGTGAGAAGATGTTGTTTGTTTCCATCACAGAAGTGGACGGGGGAAAGGGACAGAGAAACGGTGTTCGGCTGACTTGTGGGGATACATCGCCATTTGATATCTTAGTCATCATGGGACGAGGCATGTCGAGAACCTGGACGACGATCAATGGGATTTGATCATGAGCGTGAATTTGACCGGTATGTAGCTGCCACTACCACTGCCATATCGCCATGGGCCAACGACGACGGATAACAATGGAAATTGCTGACAACAGTCAATATCAAATTCTCAAATGTAAGGCATGATGTACTGTATGCGAGCGGAACTGCGCCACATGGATAAAACGTCTCCAGGCAGTATTGTCTGCGTTTCATCGGTACAAGGTACTTTCGGGTTTGCAGGTCACGCAGCATATTCTGCAAGCAAACACGGCGTTCTGGGCTTGGTCAAGAGTGAGTACATGTATCTTGACAAAGATGAAAAGAAACAAAACCTCGGTTACTTCTGTCGTCTTGACAAGGTTGCTGATGCATGGCGATGTGCCCGTATTCTCATAGGTGCTGCGAAGGAAGTCGGCAGTCGCAACATTCGAGTGAACGCGGTGAGTGAAATTTTGTTCACCAACAAACAATCTGCTTTTTCGTCCGAGTCTGCGGCTGATCTCTCGGCATAGGTTACACCCGGATCGATCGACACGCCCCTAATGGACAAGCGGAATGCACTGGAAGGCGTCGATCCGAACGACATGCATCCGACCCCGATCAACAGACTTGCGCGGGCTGACGAGGTGGGCAAGCTCATTGTGTGGTTACTGAGCGACGAAGCATCCTTTGTCACAGGCGCAACGTATGCTGTCGATGGAGGCTGGGCCTGCTAGATGATTTTTCGATACGATAATGCATCTCTTGCACTTGCAGTTGAAACCGACAAGTTTTGTGTGTTTGCCATGTCTTCCCACGCCATCGAACGAAACGCGCTCTAGAACATCTTCACCAAAAACGTTACCCAAGGCAGTAGGTAAAGGTAGGTACAATAGAAAAGAGAATCGTGGAATTTCCTCTTTTGGTAGGGAGTTGACCCCATTTGTGACCAAAAGATGTCCTTGATCGGTTGAGCACACCTGCCTAGTCCCGAAAGCAGCAGAACTTGCAGATGGTATGTTAGAGATATATGGTAGGAAGCTAGGAAATGGCTGTCCTGTCCTATCCTGTCCACCTGTGTTTTGCTGCAAGCCTTGAAGGGTCCCCGCACCCCCCGGCATCGTAATAGCGAAGCGAGGCGGAGAGGTGTAACAATTGGAAGTCGGGTGGAAAATAAAAAAGACTTTTGAGACAAGATAGCACCAAAAGCAGCCACTGATATTGCTCAATGGGCTACCGATGTAGGGATGGCATTCCAGAAAAAGAAGAAAACTAGCCTTCGTCGAGTTTTACATATAAGCTACTTGTATGTACATGACTTGCGAACTAGTTCAGTCTTGGACGGCGGTGGCAGTAGGGGAGCTGGTTGAAACAACTACATTGCCATCGACCTCTTTTGAGAAGATGCACTCCTGCGCACCAGACGGCGACAGGAATATAAAAGTGCATTGCCCGAATGTCCTCTCACCTCTCTCCCCCTCATAAACAACTCTCCTTTCAATATCTTCGTTCACACGCTCTTTAACACTACTGCTACATCTCGTCCAAATCTTTCGGGCACGAACACAGAATACCCCTTCGGTAACCCAACACTAGCATCATCATGCAGTTCCTGTCGTTATTTACCATCGCGGCGTGTACGCTTCGAGCAGCAACCGCACCTGTCAATGTCGAGAAGCGTCAGCTGGCTGGATCCGGCCCTCTGAGCTCATTGTCGTCACTTGGCATCCCGTCCTTTTCGAACCCCCTGAGCAGCCTGGGTGGTGGTGGTGGTGGTGCCTCAAGCGGCATCTCTGGACTTCAAGGCCTTTCCTCTGGCCTAGGGAGTGGCCTCACACCCACTGAAGGCACCAAGCGACAGACCACGGGAAGCTCTCCCTCCTTGACTGGCGGCTCGAGCAGTGGAATTGGCAATTGGGGACTCCCCAGTTCTGGTTTGAGTGGACTCGGTTCACTTGGCTCAGGCATCAGTATTCCAAAAGGTGTGTGACTCAGGCTCACATCAGTGTCGTCGAGGGCTAATCAGGGACAGGCTCTGGTAGCAGTAGTCTCGGTGGCTTGCAGTCTTCAACGGGAACTTCTACTACAGGCACTCCAGATACAGGCGCATCAGGCAATGCATCCAGCGATGGGTGTCGTGCCCTCACCCTACTTTTCGCACGTGGTACTGGCGAGCTAGGAACCATGGGCACGGTGAGCGAAGCCAGCTGCCAAGGGCTACATTGACTGCGGCCAAAAGCTGACTTCCACAGGTTGTTGGCCCACCTTTAGCTAAAGCACTGGCAAATGCCCTGGGTGAGGACAAGGTTACCGTATGTGCTGCGCACCGCAACCTCCACTGCGGACGTTCGAGCTGACGTATCGCGCTGTTAGGCTACGGGAGTCGAGTACGCGGCGGACGCAGGAGGTAAAGAAACTCGAGCCGAAAAGGTCTGAATCTTCCGATTTAGCGAGACACTAACTCCCATCAGGTAATGCGAACTTGGGTGCTTCTGGTGGTCCGGCTATGGCCTCACAAGCGAAGGCAGCCTTGAGCTCGTGTCCAGATACCAAGCTGATTCTCGGCGGATATTCGTGCGTACCTATCGTCCCATGTCAGCAGGCTTCATACTGATGGTCCCCGTAGGCAAGGTGCGATGGTTGTTCACAATGCATTGAGTGCTCAAGGACTCGACGCAAGCAAAGTAGCTGCCGTTGTGGCATTCGGCGATCCACTCAGAAGTCAGGCCTTCGCAGGCGTTGATGCCTCCAAAGTCAAGGTATGAGCCTGCTCGAAACACGAGGACCACCTGCAGTCGCATGGCACTGACTTTCGGGCAGAATTTCTGCGGATCCGCCGATTTCCTTTGCTCTGCTGGTAAGACTGACTCCCTCCTACCTCCTACATACCTTGCCTCACGGTGAGCGCCTAGAAAGGGCTACAAGGAGGATGCTGACCCAAGACTACCTCCTAGGCGGCGGCACGACGAGCTCTGGAAGCCATCTCGATTACAGCGGCGATGCGGAGGCTGCAGCCAAGTTTATTGTTGGCGTGGTTGGATTGTAAAATGGATACGGGGGAAATCCCGACTCGCGTTGGCGAGTTTGGCGCTTGGTGCCGATGCTGTATTTTCGGACGCAGTGCGCACATGTGTAACGCCAAGCAATTCGGCTGTGCTTGGTTTTGCTTGGCTCACAGGCGGATTCCCGAGAATGGGTCTTGGGACAGCCGCCGGGACTCCCTCCAAGCGACTGCGGTGGTGCGATACGGCGGATATGGCTGCTGCTCTCTCCCTGGCGGCTCTGGCGCAGCCAAACGCCAAGCACTTACTCTCCTTACTCTCCGAAATCTGGACTACTGGTAGTCTCATGCCAACGTTGTTATGTAGATATTACCGACCATTCCTTAAGCGGTATTGATTAGAACTTCATGAAGGTGTAGGTCAGGTACCTTACCTAAACGTACCGCTGTTGAACTGGTGCACTTTTCCTTGGCCCCAGCCCGTCTTCCCGTCCCACTCCCGGGCCTCTCCGCCCCGCCCACCTTCGTTCACTAGGAGGTAAGGTAGTCTCCATTCACCCATTCACCCACCACCCATCGCTCAATCAGCTCCCTTGTTACTTGCTGCTGCACCGGTCAGCGTCGTCCTGGTGGCCAGACTTGCACCTTCGCCATGCTAGTTGCCAGGTGCAGTCATCACGACGCGGCGAGCAGAGGCGCCAATGACCAGACTGTCACGGAGTTCCTTGGGACCCCACCAAGAGCGTAGTCCTTTGGTTGCCAAGGGCTTGGGCTTGCGTCTTCCAAGAAGGGCGCGGCGAGGTGATACATATGAGCTGGCGGCGCCCTCGTGTGCAACTGGCTCGATGTCTCCGTTGCGCTCCTGTTGCTAACCTGCCCATTGCCTCCATCGTTCGCCAACCGCACACAGACCCTGCTCCGCTGGCGTTGCTGGCTTGCCGCTATGACCATGGCCTCATCTCCAGCGACTTCGTTCACACAGCACAACACTGTCGCTGGTGACGATCTTCTGGTTGCAGCAGATCCGTTCGCGACTCCTCCGGCCATCACATCTCAGCTACCCTCTCGACCTACACCAGCAGCCCTCGGTCGGCCGATTCAACCGCACGATCAATCGCCGCATGCCGCTTTTCCCATCAAGTCGGCGTCCATGTCCTCTGCGGGCACCGGTTCAACCACTCGGACTGGCTCGATCGATTGTGACGAGAAGAGCGGCAGTATGGAGGGAGTTGCAGAGCCTCCGACCAAGTCACGCCATTTCCAGAGAGACCCCGAAAAGGCCTTGCAAAGTCCCACTCGACACTCGCGCTACTCTCGCGATCGGCATTCACGAGGTGACATAAGTCACAGGACGTACATTGAGGACGATGATGTGGAAGAAAGCAGACAAGTACAGGAGAACAAAGCATTGAAGATACTCTTCTTCTTGGCTGGGCCTTGCGCAGTACTCTCCACGTTGAACGCCTTCTGGACCATCATATCATTGTTCATCACAATCATGACCCAGCCTGTACGATTATGTGCTCGCAGACCCGGTTTCGGTCAACAACTAGGTGGCCTGGTAGGCCCTGCATTGAATCTGCAATTGAAGAGCATCTACACGCCCTTGGCCCCCCATGCCGACGAGGACACCACATACAAGCCTGGCATGCTCGTGCTCGTGATGTTGCTGTCGCCGTTCTTGGGAATGGGCATGATGCTTGCCGCCTGGGTCGCCGCAATATATTGGGTATCATCGCTTGTTGTAGGAGACCCAGCTGGATTGGACAAGCGAGATGATGGTCGAGAGACAGTGCTTGCTCTTCGTAAATGGTGGGAGAATTGGCTGGTACGGAGTATTAGGAACGAATGAGGAAGCAAGCAGACGGGAGCTTGGAAATGAAATCTTTGGGTGTCACATGCCAACCAATTGTGGTTTGGAATTTAGCGAAGGCGCTGGAGGTGTTATGATGATCCGATATATTCTGTCTTGAAGTAAGAAGTGTACCACCATGCTGCAGTCGCAGCTGATGTTCTGTCAACGTTCTGTTTTCACTACCACTTCTCATGAAGCCCATATATTGGAGGCAGCCCGCAAATCTTTTCATGCTGGCATGCGACTCGCGCAAAGAGTTGAGATATGATACCAGGTAGGCATAGGTGGTCATAGGTGGTCATCCAACTCGGGAGAAGTCGACGATGGCCTCCTTGGCAACGAGCGGTCCCGTACAAGCTGCAAGCTCTGCAAACGCGCCTTTCAGCGTCTTGGCGTCAAGAATATGACCGGACTCCCAAGACACCAGATCCTGTAATCCATGGCGTAAGCAACTTTATATGCCAACAACTTGTTACGTTGCGGGAACAGCAGCATGACTTACCTGGGCCTCGTAGACTCCTGCAGCTATGCGGACTTTCATGCCGTCCATATCAATCTGTTGCTGAAGCTGATCGACAGGCAGACTGCCAGGCAGTCCGAGCTGCAATATCGACAAGCCAGACAGCATAGCATCCTTCGGAACAGGTCTCACAATCTTGTCCTCTTTTTCTTGGTCCAGGGTCGTCTGCCTCGCTTTCTCTTTGGACAGACTAGCATACTTTCTTGATTCCATCAACGTTCGTAGCTGATCATTCAGTGGCTGCCATTCCAGACTATGCAGATCGAGCACAAATTGCGGCTTGTAGTCATTTTTGTAGCTCATCTTCCTGCAACTATGGATGAAATAGCCCATGTAGTAGTATCCGTAGTTCTGCTCAAGCGCGAGTGCAGCTTCTCTGAGCGCGGATAGTTTGCCAAAAGAAAATTTCTCGACATCCTTGTGGTATACGAAGTACACTCCGCTGACGGCGTGGGGCTACCATAGTGATAAAGTAAGGTAAGCAGGTGTCTCTAGGAGGAACGCGAGCTGGTCTCCACACATCTGTTCCTAAGCTTTTCACCTTCATAGACTCGAGCCTAGCAGCACATTGAGAAAATGGGAGGTCTTCAAACTGCTGGAACTTACCAAGAGATCAAGGACGGCCATGGCTATCAGACGTCCATCCAGGCTAGGGGAGCCACGTTAGTGAGTGTCGTGAGGCTCATTTTAACGTATTCAGCCTCGCTTATCCTACCGGTAACATTGGTGGAAGCTGCCCAATTGCTTTCCATCAGTGTCGACACGTTGGCTCAAGGGCGATGCGCACAGGAAGCGTTTGAACCCGGATTTGCTGACATCGTGGTCGTGGTGCACGTGCCGCTGATAGCCAGAATAAAGCTCGAACTTCTCCTATCACTAGCATTACTATCATTGCGTTCGAGGCGTACGCAAGAACGATTGTCGACTCTGCTGTACCTCGCTAAAGTCGTCCGGCTCTAGTCGGACTTCGAAGCGGTGCTCCGGCTGGATGTCCGGCTTCAGTCGATTCCCCTCGCTCTCGTGCACAGACTGTAACAGGTCGAACTCACTATTCACCCGCTTCTTTTCACTGCACGATATAAGCTCAGTCTACTGAGCCAGCCTGATAAACTCACGCTTTGGACTTTGGATATTTCGTGGAGAGACTCTTGATATAGTCGTCACCTAGTACAAATCGATTCCAGCGGTTTAGGGCCTGGCGCTGATCTTTCGCGGGCTTAAACTCTGACACTGGCAGTCTTCGCCTATGTCAACGGGAAATTCCTCTTCATATCTACAGGGCACATCGATTACCTGATGGTATAATGCACACAACATGACCTCGAGGCATCAGGAAGATACAGCAAGCTTCCAGATCGTCTCCAACCGCGATCTATGAGCTCCTGGTAGTGTTCAGGGCTGAGCGATCTCGTACTGGCATAGTAGGAAGCACCTGCGAGAACTGTGTCAGAATCATGGACAACGCGCCTGTGCTCACTTTGAAGTGGTAGGTAATGCCTCGGCAATGCAGCCATCGGCGTGATGATCAGGACTTTGTAGATTGTGAAGGGACTGGTCAGAAGGCAAGCAAGAGGACGAGATGAACGCGTGGTGAGCGAAGGTCGTACGCGACTGAGGATTCCGCGCACCGGAAGATGTTGATTTGCAATACCCGCAATCACCGACTTGATATCCTGGAAAGTTGCTTAGCATAGCATTCTGTCAAACAGAACAAGTAGGTACATTAGCAGGCACGCAGCCAGGCGATGTTGTACCTATTGGAGTCAACAAGGACGGTAATGCACTGGCGGAGGTGCTGCTGCTGCTGGTGGCGGCGTCGGTCTGCATCTTGCGTCGTGCCAATACAGGTCCTACACACCCGACGTGAAGGTTACAGGTTCAGTAGGGAGGTAGGTACATGAGGCAGTACGGTATGTATGTAATGTAGGTTCAAGTTGCAGGGAAAGCTGATGACGGGATGGAACTGACGGGAAGTTGGCGTGGCACGGCGCGGCCCACAGACGTCCGGCGGTTGCTACATGGGAGTTCCCGTGTTTACTCTCTTGGCATAGCATAACACTACCTTACCCTAGGCGAGGACCTACACGTCGTCTGCGTCTTGAGGCTCTGAGCACATCATCCTGCGATCTCCAACCAGCATTACACCGTACTAACGCACCGGAAGACAAGACACCCTGCGCATGCACTAACCAGCTCAGGACTCGGTACAAGGTGTAGTTGTAGCCCAACGAGGTCCGTAATGTCATCACCACTATTGGCAGTGTGGCACAGGACAGGCAGCCTGTTACTGTTACTCCCGCTGACCACTGGAATGCAGACACAGGCGTACTCACAAACAAACACCTTACCTACATACCGCTTCCATAGCTGCGCCAGCGACCTAGTCCAGCAGCGCAGCGTCCGAGGATGACGTCCTTCATCAACACAATGTTCGTACCAAAGCACTCGCACCCTCAACTTCACCCACACCCTCACTCGCACCCTCCGCCTCCACAGCCCTACCTGCAGTCGCCCCGGCCTCTACCCGCGCTGCAATCCAATGTGCTTGCTGCTTCGGAGTCGTGTGCTCACTTGTCATGTATCGCGAATGCCACCACAACCACCACGACCACCACCAGCATCGACTGCCCGATGGCCGCATACCAGTCGCCTCTGCAGCGGCACATCGAGCGCGTGCAGCTCCATGACATGGCGCTCAAGGCTGACTTTCTGACCCGCAGCAACAGTAATGCCCGTTCCGGTCGCGGCACTGCCTTTCAACCACAGACACGCAAGAAGGGCACCAACAGCTGGCAGCTTAAGCAGTTCGCCGAAGCAACTCTTGGGAGTGGCAGTCTTCGCAAAGTGGTGCAGCTGCCCGAGGGCGAGGACCGAGACGAATGGCTGGCCGTCAACGGTGAGCCCAGACCGTCACCAAGACCCCACCCTGCGTGACCGCGCTAACTTTGCTCAAGTGGTCGACTTCTACAATCAGATCAACTTGCTCTATGGCGCCATCACTGAGTTCTGCTCCCCACAGTCCTGTCCCGAGATGAAGGCCACGGACGAATTCGAGTACCTGTGGCACGACCCACCTGCGTTTCCTAAGCCTACTCGACTGCCAGCTCCCACCTACATCTCGCACCTCCTCGCGTGGACATCAAATCACCTCTCGAACAGCACCGTCTTTCCAACCCACCCCGGTGTTCCGTTTCCCTCGAACTTCCAGCAAACCATTCGCACCATTTTCAAGCGCTTGTATCGGATATACGCGCACATATATTGCCACCACTACGCCGTGATCAGGGGCTTGGGCCTGGAAGCACACCTGAACACTGGGTTTAAGCATTACGTGCTTTTCGTGGAGGAATTTGGCTTGGCAGACGAGAAGGGAAATAAGAAGGGGGAGTGGTACGGGCCATTGGGAGAGCTGGTGGAGAGCATGTTGAGAAGCGACTGAGATATGGAAAGTCTGTGCATAGTAATGGAGTTCAGGAACACACTGGGGCGGCGGATGGGCGCATTGTACGATCAAGACATGACTTGGCAGAGCTGCAAGGGCAGCCACGGGCAGATCACAGCTGTACGAATAATGAGCACCGACGGGCGTATTAGACATGGATTCTTGATATAACGTAGGAGCGTGACTAATAGTGTTGGGCAACGAATCAGTTCTCGTCAACGCGAGGCTGGGCTCTCTTTGGTTGCTTGCTATCCTGCACATCGTGCGCTCATTAATCAGTGTACTTTCTTTTCGCGTGTTGCATCTACGAACGGCAGAGCAGCTATCGGATGATGCTGCATCTGTCGAGCGCCTCCGACAGCTCTGGTCGGTCTTGCAATAGCTCTCTCGCCGTCCGATACGACATCCACTTTCGCTCTCTCTTGTATTGCTCGGGCCAAGTATCGCGCTCCACAGTGACCGTTACTTCGTAGAAGCGGTACAGCGCCTTGGGCGCCATCAGCCCGTGCTTTCTAATGGTCGCCTCGCTCCTCTTCTCCTCGATCGTGCCCAGGTCTTTTTGAATTCGACATTCGATGCCAGCCTCTTCCCAGGCCTCTCGGCAGGCTGCTTCCTGACAAGTCTTCTCGTCCGTTTCCCAGCCTCCCTTGGGCAATACCCAGCCCTTTCTACTCGAGCTCTGAATCATCAATACATGGCTCCGCTCGGCGTTGAGGGGCACTACGCCTGCCACGAGCCTCTCGCCATTTGGACCATACCTAAGGTCACGTGTCAACCACATACAAATGCAGGAAAGTGAAGATGCACGAGCTGGACTTTGGGCTCTTCGTACCTCTGTCTATCCCTTCCCGTTCTCGCATTCATCGACCGTTCACCCTGCTGCGGCTGCGCTTGCTGGGCCATTGTCGGCTGCTTTTGGTCGTGTGAGAGACGGACCGCGCCCAGGAAATTGTGCTCGCTCGCTTGCTCGCTCGTCAGAGAGAATCTGTTGTTCGTCGCCGCGAAATTGGTGGTGAAAACTGCAAGGGCTTCCAGATCCCGTCCACCACGTTAGGAGCGGTAGTGAGATCTCAGGTACGAGTGCAACTGCAACTGCAACTGCAACTGCCAAGCACGCAAAAAAGCGCACAATGTGACAAGACGACAGGATGGAGTCCTCACACCCGCTTGCGGCGGGCTGGCGACGGGGAGTGTCTGGCCTGGGTGGGCGAACAAGGCCTCTGAAATGTGGTGGACATTGTGATCTGGTTTTTTTTCTGGGGGATTGAAGGGGCAGGTGGAAAGTCGCCAGCGAAAAGGCACAAGTTTAGAGTTCCGATAATCGTAATACTTAATAATAAGAATGTCTTACAGAATGTTAACTCGGGAAACCATGCAACGGTCAACCCTATCTTGCGTGCTTTGTTGTACCGAGCCCAACCACGGCGCATACCTACCTTACCTGACCTACAGGTAGGTACCTTACCTTGAGAATGAAGAGATGGCTTGTAAATGTGATATTTTCCATAAGCACATCTGCCCAACCGCAACGCAATATCCTCTCGTATTCTCTCATGGGCCTCATCCGAGACGCTCGTTTTTCTAAGGGGGGGAGGCGCGGATGGTTGTCCAAAAGCAGGCAAGGTAGGTAGCATCATATTCACTCCCTGGCGTGCCCGTCCAGTTCCATTACCAGAGTTCTAGACTAGGGGGAACCCGCAACCTCTTTCCTTCCGTTGGTCGCCCACCGTCCTCAAGTGCCGCTTCTACCTATTCCCGAAAATCCAGCAACCACCTGCTAGAGGTAAGGCACAGGTACATTTACCTTAGCTGGTACCTATATATTGGATACTATATGTTAGGTAGTTAAGGTACATGCAGTTTGGGGAAATACAACACGAAAACTTGCTGCATGCAATACCAGGACGAGAAAGAAGCGAGAAACCGATGTACATACCTTAGGTACCTAGGTCGGTAGGTAACAAAAGAAACTCTCTCCCTCGGACCTCCCTCGGACCTCCCTCTGTCTAGGAGGTACAGTACACGGTAGGATATACTTTCTATTTAAGGTAGTTACCACGTCCTTTGAGTGTTGGAAACCTTATAACGAGCGGATTCATGTGCGCGACACGGCAACGGGCGGCTCACAATCATACCTGAACCACCTCACTTTCACATCGTCGCCGGGTATGGGCTTCGATTCGTCGCAACAACAGTTGCAATCATGTAGGAAAAGAAAGGGATATTTGCAGCCGATCTTTGTCGTCGCATTTCGTCGATGTGGATTCGTATTACACACTTGTGCATATGCTAGAATCCTGATTTTCCACTGTATATTGGGTTGGGTATCCTGCGACCCGTCCACTTTTCTTCCGCTGCCATTGTGCCATAGACATTTAGTCCGGACCAGTTGCATGTTCTCAAACGGGTGATCGTTATGCTTGCATGCGGGCTTCGAAAACTCCGCATCGGACTTCGTCATCCTGCAGACTGATCCTAATCCACTCGAACAACCCTGAAACCTATTTCTGCGGAGAAGCTGACGTGCAACGGGTCGAATCTGTTCACTTCAGCTCGTTTCTGCGCCGGCGGCTCCTTCACCCTCCAGCATCGATTGTTTGACCACTATGCAACTTCTGATAGAATTGCTGCATCGGAGCGTCGATGAAAGAGCCCGGGTAGATGAAATCGAGCAACACGTTGCGCACCTGGTTCCACTGCACCAATTGCAGATCTTGCATCAATGCCCGGAGTACACGATGGAAGAGCTGAAGAGTAGATCCACATGTGACACTAATCACAAAGATTGCCCACAGTGCCGCCTCTGCAGACTTTTGGTCCTTCAAAACCTCTTGGTCAAGGACAAGAGCCTCATCCCAGGCTGCCTGAAGCCCAAGGTTGTATTTCTGGTTTCCAGCAAACATCGCGCCATCTGCTCTTTGGCCTTGGAATATGGTTAGACACACGCATGCCAAGCGTAAGAGCTTCTGTATAGGATGCTCTGATGTTTCTTGGCCATTGATCATTTGCGCAGTAGCCGAGGAAACAACAATATCAAACAGTAATTCGTTCAAACGTTTCTCCACGCCCGTACTGGCGTAATCGAAGCATGCAGTCCGGCTGAGGAGCACCATGAATCCGTCCGGGATCGGGATGCGCGACTGTAATGTAGTAAATCCTCGAGGAAGAGCTATTGGCAAACGCCGACTGAGAATGCCGCTATCCACCTGCATCTCCTCCATCTTCACACCACTATCGGCAATGTACTGTGGGTCGCTAGAGGGCCGGTTGGTAAGCTGAGGGCGACTGGATACAGCTGAAGAAGCGGTTCCAGGGGCGCAGAAGGGAGCGGTGAAGTGCAAGATGTTCGTGGTCCAATTAACAAGAGGCTTGAGGACATTTTCTTCGTCCAATTTGGGCTGACTTTTTGTTGGTCCGTAATACTGGTCTAGAGTACGAGTCTGGATCGGAGGCTGCTGCTGCTGTTGCTGTTTCTGTTGCTGTTGCTGTGGCGGTTGCGGTTTCTGCTGTTGCTGATAACTAGAACTATACCTAGTCGGTAGATGAGGTCTTGTTGTGCCTTCGGCGCTGCTTGGGGGTCCGTCTCTCGCATGCTTGTCTTCACGATTTCGAGCGCGAGTCTCTCTGCTTTGGGCAGCACTGGCACGCGCAGCCTGAGCACGGACGATACGACGCGAGGCTTCACTGTGACGGCCACGTTCCGACACAATCACCAAGGGAGGATTTCGACGCGCACCTTTGCCATTTTGGCTTCGTGCAGCAGGGCCAGAGTCACTGGGCGATGACGTCTCTCTCGTCGGTGGCATGGAGGCCTAACGTGGGAACTGTGAGGCTCAAGGCGAAGGGAAGCAACAGAGAGCGCAGCGTGACCATGCAGCAGCAGGAGGCTCGCGAGCTTCGAGGACGATGTTTGTAGCAAGTCCAGGTCGGGAGAGGCTGAGGAAGGGAGGGTAAAATGGCCCTGGGCGTAGGTGCTTTTGGGTGCTGCTAGCGCTGTCGGTGGCGTTGGCGTAGACGGCCGAGGATCCCAGAGCAAGGAAGGAGCCAGAAATGCAGACGAGAAGAGCGGGAGGCAATCGACAATAGGCAATAGGCAGGAGGCAGTAGGCGGTGGGCAGTACCTTACCTAGAAGGACGGTGGCAGTGGTGGCAGAGGCAAGTGGCGAAAGCGGCCATGGTCATAAATGACAGGTTAAAAAAGGCACCGGCAACGTGCAGATCACTCCGGTCACGTCCACAGGTCCGTCCAGTGCAATTCCGCGATCGAGCAACGCGCACGCAATGCAGGCAGAGGAGAGGCTCTGCGGCTCGACGACGACAACAGACCAGACCAGAACAGACCAGACCAGACGAGACCAGACGAGACCAGACGAGATGAGATAAGCGGGAGGATCGTGCCGGGACAAGCCACCCGCGAGCATCAAAGAGTCCGACTGGACCTACCTCTTACCTGGACCTACCAAACCTACCTTGGTAACCGTAGCAGGTACAGGTACGCTTCCACATGTTGGACCCCTTCGCCCTTCGCCCTTCGGACGTCGTCGAGACGCCAAGCGCGAGAGCACAGGCAGGTAGACAGGAAGGCACGGCACCTCAGGCAGGCAGGAGGTCCGAGTCGAATGCCACGATGGCACCTCAGGCATGGATGGCATCGATCGATCGGCCCGACCCTCTGTCAGGTAAGGTAGGTAAGGCAGGAGGTAACAAGTAAGGCACCTTAGGTGGGTAGGGTACAGTTACAGACCAGACAGACCGTAGGAGGTAGGAGGTAGGATGTAGTTAGGAGGTACCTTTACTGCAGGGTGCAATAAGGTACGACGGGATACCTCCTACACCGTAGAAGAATGGAGTGCAGAGCACTTGCCCTCCATGGACAGCTCACTGCTGCGGCTGCTGCCTCATGCACAACACATGTCCCGTCGTCCCAGCTGCACTGCAGTCGACACCAATGACAGCATAACATCTGCTGGGCCCACTCTTTACCCCAACGCCATGGCCCCGATAGCGCGACCTCTTGCGCACGATCTGCACTACTCTGCTCTCCTTCGGTTCACATCACGATCAGCCTTCCTCCTGTGACTCGATTGCGAGGGCGTTTGTCATGATTACTCACTCACTCACTCACGACCTCGGGACCACCCTCCTTTACCGGTCATGGTGGTATTAATAATGCTCATCTGCTGGACCGTCGTATTGTGCACAGACGCGTCGTCTTCTACTATTCACCTGCCCACATGCCCATCACCAGCACAGTCCAGACGTTGTGCCCTCCTCCCCGTGTTGTTCCTGGACTGGTAGCGGTCGTTGCTCCTCGGTTCCCGTGGAGGTAGGATGACTAAATAATGCACCCTCAGTGTCAAAATGTCTCGGGCCAATACATTATACACATGCTGCCCGACTTCTGATGGTTTCGATCGGTAGGTTACGCAGCTATGCAAGCAGGCCGATGCAACCTCTGATCAGCCGGACGAGAGCGTTCCTTCTATGCCCGCCTGGCGATACAAGGAGCGGTATGAACTGTTGCCCGCTTGTGGATCTTAGGTTGATGTATTGTACGAAGATGGACCAACTCCTGGGTCGGTACTAAACCGCTTTGGGGAATTGGAGGTTCCCGCCAGACGGAGGGAAATATGGTAACCCGTCAGAGACATGTAGGTGCTGTTCGGTGCCTGACTTTGCGCTCATGATTCGGTGGTAGCCCCGGCGCTTGCGGATGTTGCTCGCTCGGCAGTCTTGGCTCTTGTCTCCTGATGATGACAATTGATGCTTTGATGATAGTTCCATTACCTATAGGTACAGGGCAAAGTGAGACTGCGTGCAGGCTAGTAGGCTACTACAGCAGTTTGGAAGCCCAGTCACAGGGTCCAGGGACCTCGGTACCAAGATGTCACCGAACGGAGGTCGGTTCTAGGAGGTGCTTCGCAGCCCACCAGTCTATTCCCGTACAGTCAGTAACTTCAGGAAGGTTGGTAGTAGTTCTGTAGTAGTTGGTATAACTACCTCCTAGTAGTAGTGCTACTGGTAGTAGAAGGTAGTTCTAACGCCTGTTCGCGTTGGTGATACGGCGTCCCCGAAATGAGCATAGCCGGCCGAGCATGAATCATGACAACAACGGCGCCGGAATGCAAACCAGGTCCGTCTCGTCTTCGTCCTCTCTCTCAATCGCGCAAGAGGCACATCGGAAGAATCGATGCTTCAGCCCCACACAAGCCATCTCTTCCAACCATGGGGGTTTCATGTTGTTGGAGGTATCGAAAATCCTGTACTGCTTCGAGGTCAGGGTACCTCCGTACCTACTACAAGAAGTACAGTACAAATGAGGCTGCTGCTGCTGCTGCTCTGTGGCCAGGCCAGGCCAGCCCCAGGAAGCATCGTGATACGTCCTGGCAGCAAGTGGCAGTGTGGCAGACTGGCAGTGTGTCAGACGACCCTCCCTCAGGCTCGCTCCCTGTCCCAGTGTCCCAGTGTCCCTCTGGCCCCCACTCATCCCCCAGAGACTAATATGAAAGCTCATGGGGATAAGGTTTGGCAGATGCTGGAGACCAGGAAGGCAGGGCAGCATACCTTCTTACGACGCGGCCCTTTCATGACGCTTTCAACTCCTGTAGTCTCGAGATACTGAGGTGTTCACTACATACCTACCTTAATTCCTGACTGAGGTACCTGCCTATACAGTACCTACACCACCAAGACCATCAACGAGGCAACCAAAGCCATCGGTCTGTCAGCTGGTGTTCACCATGCTCGCTGGCGCAGCAACCGCGACGGCTCTGGCAGCCATTGTGCTCAGCGGGCTTAGCACGGCGTCGACACTGACTCCACCTGTACTGCCGCTCGTTGTGAGGAACCCGTACCTCTCGACATGGCTGGCCAACGCGAGAGAGGAGCCGTGGTCAGCGTGGCCCATGTTTTGGACCGGTGGGTCTGTACGTTGTCCATCAGCGGCATATGGGGGCCATGCCCTGGAGCACAGTCAAGTGCTTCGCTAATGTGCGGTGGTAGATGGGCTTCTCCGTCCTCGCCTCGGTGCGTGACAGCTCGACCGTGTACCCACTGCTTGGTCGTCCTCATGACTCCTTGGACGACAGCAGCAGTCACTATGATCTGGCCTTTCCAAAATACTTGGGAGCCCAGTACGACGCGAGCACCACGAACCTGACTTACGCTATTCCGGCTTCGACGTCCAACAGCACAGCTGAAATCGTCCTCTCCTTCCTCTCTCCCATCACGCCGACATCAACTTTGCGCCAAAGCATCCCGGCCTCGTACCTGACTATATCTGTCAAGAGTAGTTTTGACATTGATCTATACCTCGACGTCAATGGGCAATTTGTCAGTGGTGATCGCAACTCCCACATCAAGTGGGCTTTGGAGCAACCGAGCCAGAAGGGCGCTGCAAAACTCAAGACGTTCACTGTAAAGAGGAGTCATGAAGAGCTGTTCACGGAGAAAGGGGACCAGGCTGAATGGGGCACTCTGCACTTCACAGGCCCTGCAGACACCGCCCATGAAGCAGGTACTTCCGGCCGATTGCGACAGCGATTTGCGAAGATGGGTACCCTGAATAATATAGTGTAAGTCCAATTGCTGTCATCGGGAATTTTGCGATGCCATGGACTCTGTCTCAGCGTTCCGCCATTTAGCTTGAACGTGCCCATGTCAGGATGATTGGGACAATTGCTGACCCTCTACCTACCTCACTGTAGTGATGAGTCGTTTCGAACGATCATGGACGAGGAACCGGTGTTCGCCTTTGCAAAGTCCTTCCACTTCAGCTCCGAAAAGCATGAGCCGGAGATCAAGGAGGATAGCATCCTCTTTACGATTGCGCATATCCAAGACCCTGTCACACAGTTTGCATCGAGCCGAGGTCTCACTTGGATGCGACCACTTTGGATGTCCTATTTCTCGTCACCCAAGACGCTGATCGAATTTCACTATGATGATTTCAAGCACGCAAAGGCGCTCGCTTGGGACTATTCGCAGCAATTGGCGAAAGACGCTTATTCTAGTGGGAGCGATAGCTATAAGGATATTGTGGAATTGAGTGCTCGACAAGTCATGGGCGCGACCAGCTTCTCGTAATGATCGCATGCGTATCACTGTCATTAGTGTCTCTCGCTAACTTGTATTAGGGGCACTCCGGAAAATCCGATCCTGTTCCTCAAAGAGATCAGCAGTAATGGCAATTGCCAGACAGTTGATGCAAGTCGACTAGACCCTCGTGATTTCACAAACTCCCAACTGATTTTGCTGCTTTTAGGTGATCTTCCCAGCCTTCCCATTCTTCCTCTACACGAATCCGCGTTGGCTCGCATATCTTTTGGAGCCACTCCTAGAGCATATGCTCAGTGGCCAGTATCCTAACGACTACACTATGCATGACCTCGGGACACACTTTCCAAATATGACCGGCCACCCAGATGGGCGAGATGAATACATGCCTGTGGAAGAATGCGGAGACATGCTCATCATGGGTCTTGCGCTTGTGAATAGCTTGACATATGAGTCTAGCGAGACTGCTCAATCGCCGTGGAGTGCTCTTGGAAAATCTAAAAGCTGGGACGATCTTGACGAGAGCGCCAGTCCGTTTTCTCTACCAGCGACGTTAGAGACCGGGGAAGGAATTTTTGGTTTGGATGACCAATTTGGTGGCGTTGCATCTCAAAACCAAGCGAAGAAGTGGCTGGCGAGAAGCTATCGCCTTTGGAAGCAGTGGACCGGTTACTTGGTCGAATACTCGCTATATCCACACAACCAGGTTAGTTTCCGCATTCCCAAAGCAAGTTCTCTCTCAAGCTGCCACAACCAAAAGCTCGATGACAGGCCTGCCGCGACGATTTCGTGCTACCAGAGATTCTTACTGACATTTGACTGATTACCTTAGCTTTGCACCGATGACTTCGCTGGTTGGCTTCCTCTCATGACCAATCTCGCACTCAAAGGCATCATCGGCATCAAGGCCATGAGTGAACTTGCGGAAATCAGTGGTATGGCAGATGACGCGAAGTACTATCGCAACATCAGCGAAACCTATATCAAGGAGTGGGAGGAACAAGGGATGAGCAGAGATGGAGGACGCGCTAAGCTGGCCTACGATTGGTATTACCAAAATGCCGAGCATGTTCAAGATGCCTGCTAACGTCTGTCTAGGTATGGAAGCTGGACTACCCTTTATTCTCTTTACGCCGACGCTCTACTCTGCTTCCATCCCAGTCTGAATGCGACTCCAAGCGCGCTTGCAGCTGCCAGCCATGACACATCGCAGCAGCCGCTTGTAGAAGAATCTAGCAAAGACAAGGAGAACTTCATTCCGGATCGGATTTACAAGACACAATCAGATTGGTACGGCACAGTGATGCAGAAGTATGGTCTGCCATTGGACTCTCGCCATCTATACACCAAGAGCGACTGGGAATTCCAAGCCGCCGCAGTTGCCAGCCGAAAGACCAGGTCGCAAATCTTAGACAAGGTCGCCACCTGGTTGAACGAGACAGCATCGGACAGAGCCTTTACGGATCTGTACAACACTGAGGGCGACGGAGGCTTCCCGGGCCCGAACTTCTTCGCGAGGCCTGTTGTCGGAAGTCATTTCGCTTTCCTGACTCTCGAGAGAGCTTGTCAAGGAAAAGGAGCGGCAGCGTTCGATTATGCTTGAGGAATCCGAACCAGATGCTCTGAGTGAGACTTGTTGGTCAAGGGTGTTCCGTCTCGAGCACGAGACATGTGCGCGCATTTTCCACCGCAATGGTGTCAGTGTGGCTGAGAATTGTGCACAATAGTCATACCTCTATAGCGGTGAATCATGAATGTGATGTTCCACAGTATATGTCAACATTAGGCATTGACGGGTTTGAAATAATGTGCCGAGACTTTTGCCGACGTTCCTCCTGTGTACCTCACCTCACCTTCACCTTCACCGGGCACATCATTGACACATTATCCCGTCCAGCTCCTGGTCTACATACCTTTGACACACCGCGCACACGGGGCCACCAACATGTCATCAGGATATGGGCTAGCTGGAGGTACGCGCCAGCCGACATTCCATCGCACCGATCTTGACACGGAAGTGGTGACAGCGCTCAACTAACCTCTTGCAATCGCGCGCCGAACAGGTCCTTCACGCTGCTTTCCCTTCTGGCAAGAGGTGCTGGCATGCTACGTTGTAAACGCATCATCCGAAGACAGCTCGGGGAAGAAGAAGTGCCAGCCTGTACTGGAGGATTATTACGAATGCCTACATCATCGGAAAGAGGTACGCAGACACGCTGGGACAGCAACATATTCCCTCTCCCCCACCCCCCGCCCTCCTCCTCCTCTTCGACCCAGACGAAACGGCCGATCCAGTTTTGGAGGATGAGTGGAATTTCTGTGAAGCTGATCTTATTCCTGTGTCATGTGCCAGGCTGTGAAAGTCGCTGCCTTGCAGGCCGCATACCGTAAACGCGAAGCTGCCACGCCCCGCGACGATGCACCCAGTGCTGGCCAAATACGCGGTCTGGGACTATTAGATGCGAGTAGGGAGGAGAGACATGTGAGAGCGGCATCGCTTCTGCCCGGTGCTGAGAGCAATCTGCCTACTGGAGCCAAGTAGGTGGGGATATGTTGGCTGGGACGAGACGAGGCGGAGTGGGGGAGGGAGAGGAAGAAGGGGGAGTTTGAGAGACGCATGGGGTATAAACACATATGCATGGGTCATGAGCCAGAGAGTCGGATCTCTCACGAGCTCATAGACAAAAGTCGGACTTGCATGGGAATCAGATTCTATGGGAGTGGTATGGCCGACACTTCTAGCTGTCCTGCAGCACGTCTTGGAGCCGCCCATCGGGAGTGAAGTGGAAAGGTGCATAGCTCTGGTACCGATCACCTCTTCTATCCTCCACAATCTCCAGTACACTTACTTCATTTCTGTCTTGACTCTGTGCTCCAGCAGGTCCTTCTCCCTTCTTCTTCATCATCTTCTTCTGACTATCCGCTCCCACAAAAGGCCTATGCAGGTAGAAATGCACATCCACCAGAAATCCAATGCCATATCCCACAGCAGGTTTCATCACACACGACTTGAACGCGCTCAACGTCTCGTCTTCGGCAACAGATCGGAATCCTGCTTCCCCCAGCACGATCGTGAACAGTTGATGCCGCTTCGTGAGATCAGCGATTGAACGCATCAACGACGTCAGCAGGGCTTGTCCTTGGATGTAGTTGTTTCTGATGATGGGCGTCAGGATTTGTGAGATTGAATTAATGAGGAGGAGGGTGGCGGGAGGAGATTTTGACGCTGTCGATATTGGAGCCTCTTTTGCTTTGTCTTTTTCTGGTTTTTCTTCTTCTTCTAAATCCTCCCCGTCGTCGTCCTCTTCGCTGTCCCCGATAGTGGCTGTCTTATTACCCTCCTGTGCTGCTGCTGCTACCGTATTCGATCCCTTCGACCTCACACTTTGTTGTTGTTGTCGTCGTTGTAGTTCTTGTTTTTCACGAGCAGCATCAAGAGTGCCACCCAATTCCATCAAAGCCTCATCTAACCCCACCGCATCAAACACCTTGGAGATGTTCAATCTCCCCAACACTTCCATGATTCTTTCCGAAGCCCCACCGCCATCACCCTCACCACGACTAGAGTCCGAAACCTGCAATATCCGCTGCAATCTTCTCACGTCCAAAGAAGAAGCAGAAGAAAGCGTCCATTCAATAACCATAGCAGTAGAATCTGGCGCTCGAAGCAGATGAGCTGCGAGAATTGCCAAGGACAAGTCTCTGGCACCACCACCATCACCACGGCGGGAATTCTCTTCTTCTTCTTCTGTTCGGGATGTGGTGATGTAGTGGAGTAGGCCGAATTCACCACCGCCATTACTATTACAGCCTGCAAAAATTTCGTCAATGGCTTTGCTTCCTGTGTGCATCATGTTGTTTTTGTTGTAGTTGTGCTGCCGCTGCTGCCGCTGCTGCTGGGCATGTGGGCGGTTGAGATGGTAGGAGTACTCCTCCCCCTCATCCTCATCCTCCTCCTCATCCGACTCTGGGAAGAAGAAGTCCTCTGACGCGAGTGTGGGCTCTTCCGCAAAGGTAGTATCATCCATGGTTGGTTGTTTGCTTGCTTGCTTGCTTGATGCCGATGCTGCCAGACCGCGTCTGCTTTTTTTTTCTTTCGTATTATGTAACTTGTATTCAGGGAGGCCCGAAGAGCGTATGGCGCGCGAAATATTTTTCTTTTTGTCGCACATGAAGACTGAAGTTCAAGATTGTTTGGTGTTGATTTTCTTAGATGTGCTGGGACTAACTAAGTAAGGCAGGAACTGCTCTGCCGTGCTCTTTCCTTTTTCGTAGTGAACTATATTCCACGTCTACTGATTTTACGACAACGGATATTTCTGAATATTGCCAATATCAAGGGGCCTTTAAAGACGACAGACGTAACGAAGGGATGTAAAGTACTACGCTGTGATAATGGAAGTCTCTAACTTCTCAAACATTGCCGCTGTTGAACTTTCGCAATCTTGTAGGCATTACCAGCTGGCCAGCTTGGAATCTCAGACAAAAAGTGTGGCAAGAGAAAGGGAGAGGGATCATTGCTAGTGACAGTTCTCAGTAGGGTGTCTACGTCGAGGCTATCGCCATGCAAAAAATCTAGAGGGATGCTATTATGGAGTAGTCACATCAGCCTCGTTGCTGCTCCATGCGAATATCATGTCGCTTGCATCGCAACAGTGGGCGTGTTCGACCCGGTCCCCTCGTCGTCTGTGTCATCTATGACTGTGGTCCAGGGGTGGTCCAAAACAGCCTGTATGCCAATCCTTCGCTCCACGTCCCGATCGAGCATCTTCCGAATGAGGTCGATACAATCCTCGCTCATCACATACGGGACTCGTAGGTCGTGATCCATAATCTCGTCAATGCTGTAAAAGGGATTCTCCTTGTACACAATCGTGTAGAGGAGTATGCCCAGTGCCCACACATCTTGCTCCTTGCCCCGGTATGGTAGACCACGAAGGACTTCAGGCGCCGCATAATCTAAACATCTCTCAGTATCAGTGAAATCTTCAAGCTTCGAGGCGAGCGAAAAACTTACCTATCGTGCCCACAAAGACATCAAATGGGCCTGATTTGATGTATGCAGCGCTCCCAAAATCCACCAGCTTGACGCTTCCTTCGCCATCGAGGATGACGTTCTCGTCTTTAATGTCTCGATGCACGACTTTGGCATTGACGTGTAAGTGTCGTAAAGCCTCAGCCACCTGCTTAAAGATCTTGCGGCACTCTCTCTCTTCCATCGTCACACGCAACTCTATATAGTCGAAAAGATCCATGCCTGGAAGACCATGGGGTACCATCTCAATGTAGTAATTGACATCGTCCTCGAAGAAGTCGGCCATTTCAACGATATTGGGGTGTTGCATGCCTTCCCTGCGTAGATAGTCCAGTACATGGATCTCCAATGGCACTGTGCCAAGCCTGCGATCTCGGTGCCATGTATCCACCAGAATGCGCCGCTTGGTGACATATTTGATGACCATCTTCTTCGCTGCGGCTTTCTTGTAGCGCGCGAGTTTGACTTGGCCATATGCACCTTGGCCCATCTCTTCAAGTATCGTGAAGTCATCAATTCTCTTTTTGGTGACTGTCGTGGCGCCAGCATCAATCAAGTCCGGTGAGGGATGCTCATATGGTTCTGTCGGATCAACGCCATTTGCTGCATCGCCCGGCTTCGCCTCGAGGTACACGGCGGACACCGCTCGCTGTGATCGATTCGTGTCTGATTGAGCCGACTTCGCATTCGCTATGCTCGCAGCTTGAGGGGACGCTTCGATCTCCGAGTGTGCACCGCCCGGCGCCGGCTGGTGTGGCGGTGTCCCAGGCCGGCTCATTATTGTTGTCACAGGGCCGATCCCGTGGTTGACGGCATGAAGCTGACGACTGTACGTGACCCATAGTGCATACAGCACCTCACTCTCATGAAATTCCGACGGACTTGACTCTTCCGCGACGTACTCGTTGTAGATTGGATCTCGATCCGACTTCACAACTCGCATCTGAACATCGATCATGATCTCGGCACCATCTCTATGCCTCGCAGGCAGACCGCTCGGGCGCAAAAAAATCGCCGCTGCATCAGCAGAACCTTCTCTCAGCGCAAGCAGAGCGCGAGCTCTGCGGAAACTGTGCTCAGGAATGACGATGCCATCGATTAACGCAATCTTATCCTCATCAGTCATCACTCGTAAGATATTGTCGAATCCGGGTATGATGTCGGTAATTGGCAGTCCATCCGGGCTGGCATGACCAAAAAGAGCGGCGGAAAAAACGTTGTTAGAGCTGCTCACTCGCATCGTCTCTGGATTCACTACGATGATGCCGGCAATGTGCGGGAAACTGGAAATCCGGAAAATGCTTCCACTGGGCTGCTGATCAATCGTGACCGGGATGTTGATCGAATTGCTCGTTCGTGCAGTGAACCTGCGGATCTTGGCGATAGCATCGTAGTCGATAGCTCCGGTGTTGGTCCCGGCGACCTTTGGCCATCCAGGTATCAGCCGTGTTACATCCATTCCATTCCGCACTCGATCAAGACCAAATATGGCTTCCAGATCACCGCTGCCTCGTAATACGAGGCCAATTTCATCCACGGTCAGCATAGCCACGTCCTCTGCGATCTCTTCGAGTACCCATATGAGGTTGCTGCCCTTCTCCTTGACCCAGAAAGACGCACTGCCCGTAGCTCCATTCATCTTCTGGATCGGAACAACGTCACCGCAGAGTAAGACGCCTCTACTTTTGTTGGCAGGATGATGGTTGTCCTTGGGCGTTGATGTTCCGTTCGAGGTCTTCGCTCTGCGCGGCTGCTGCCGTGAAGAAGGTTTGGAAAGAAGTTTGGCTGTTATGCCATTACCCATTGCCGCAAGACTATTACTCGGAGTGGTCTTACCAGTAGAAGATACTTGAAGTTTGGCCTGCTTCTGTGCTGTCCCAGTGTCAGGGTTCCTCAGCTTCTCTTCCAGCCAGCTTCTGCGGTCTTCCTTGATGACCTCCATAATGCCCAGCTTTCTCACTTCCGCCCGGCCGACGCCGAACACTAAACATGCCAGATCATTGGCAGCAGTTATCGTCCATGGCGCCTTCGCTTCTGTTGTGAAGATTGCCTGAGCTTGTGCGTTCCTGTGACCATGAGGCGCGCGCTCTGTGACCATGCTACTGGAACGTGGAGGGGACGCCTGCGGTACGATGGGGGCAGGTGCCTTCGGAGCTTGATACGGTTGCGACATGGCTTCGTTGAGCTTGTGCTGTAGTGAGTACCCAGCTGTGTCGGTATACGTACGTTTCAATGCAGGCTTGTGCGGCCGCCGCGTGGGCAGACTAGGAATGAAGTCTGCGTCGTCGGCAGTCGAGGTGCGAAGTGGTTGCAAATCCTCACTTCCTATCGTGGTGCTTGGTAGATTCTCAGCACGCGCGGCTACTGACAGATCTTGTTGAACTGAGACAGGGCTGGTGAGACTTGTGGGACTTTCCGTTGCTTGCTCTGGAGCAAAGAAGCTCTTCTCAAAAACATTCTCGTTGACAAGATGTGCAGGTCCCGTGAGCGGTCCAATGTCCAACCCCAAACCAGAACCGGCCCCGTTCCGGGTCGGACTGATGACATTCGCTCTCTGCAGAAGCTCCATCATACTGAGCAGTTCCTCGTCCCCTGTCAGACGGGCTTGTGCACTAGCTATTCGAGGCGAAGTTGAGGCCCAGGCGAGTTTCTCGCGCATGAAATCTATGCTGCGTTTGAGCACATTTTGCCTGTTGTGCAGCGATTCAGTGCTCTGATGAGCGAAAGAGAACGAGTGCAACGACTCGGATGGAAAGCGGGCGAGATCCTCACCAAATGGAATGGTGGGTGAAGTGGATGTGATCTTCTCGGCAGCAAAGGAGGGCGTTCGGGAGGCAGCCATGGGGCTTGGGGCGGTGGGTGAATGTAGCAGCAGCGACAAGTTGGGCGACGAGGGATTCCTGCTGAGTGACGACGGGTTCTGTCGTATCCTTCTCAAGCCCGTATCCCGCTCTGGCCCCAGTATTGTCGTTGTCGTGTCGTAAGGGTCCGCCCCGCTGGCGTCAGTAGACAGTCTCTTCAGCGCTTCGGCGTGGTCGACGTGCAGATTGACAGTCGAGCTGCCCGTCGAGACGGTTTCAGCCTCTCCGCCCTCTCCATCCTCTTCATGCTGCCCTGGGAGCGGCATGGCGCGCGCCCTCTCTCAATTGAGGTGCCTCACGCACTCACTGCCTGCAGCGGCGGAACGGATCAGGCAGGGCGGACAGGGAAGGACTGCCAGGACAGAACAGCCCAGAGCAGTGTAGCAGAGTGGCAGAGGGAATGGCGATGGAAAGGTCTAGGTGGACACGGGTGGGTCGTGTCGCGTATCGAAGTGTCGATCGACGGCAGCGAGGCGGCGGCAGCGGAGAGATTCCTGCTAGTCTACTGTAGCAGCTGTGTCGGCAGATGCGTTCATTCATGTAAGTCAGTACCTGGTCGATAACAAGTCAATAACAGTATGTATGTACATGGCGGGCGCCTCTGCTCTGCCGCGCAGCAGTCCAACGTAAGAGGCAAGTAAGGTAAGTTCAAGTCGCAGCAGCGCCCGAAGCCGGTGCTCTGTTACATATGTATTATTCAGTGCTGGAGGCAGGTGGTGGGAGGTACCTTGGTATAGGACAGGAGACAGGGTCGTCGGCCATTCGCCGACATGTGACAATTGAGACCAGCCGGACAGGACAAGCCAATTAGCCAAGCCATCCGATGGGTCGACCGTCCTGGAACATTGTCGCTCTCCAGTGTCTCCACATGGAGCTTCTGGTTAGCGCCCGCCCCGCCCCGCCCCGCCCCGTTCACTCTCACGATTCCATCTCCATGTATTATCAAGGACGGAGCACAGCACACTAGTGCTCGGCCGGCACTGCCGATAACTATAACTACGAGCTAGGGATACAGGCTTTTTACAGCTTTTGTTGGTACATGTCGAGAAAGGACCGGTAGACGGCGAGATGCGGATAACGGAAGTATATGTATGCCCTGCGCTTCTGCGTACCTCGCCAACTACACAACGCTACCTACTTGCTACCTGACTTCTGATGTGCAATCGACACGGGAGTGAGTCTCCGTGGAGGCGACGAAACGCCATTCACGCCCTCGCCATCAACGAATGTTTGCTGTCGGGGGCGTGCGTCCATCGAAGCATTCAGGTTCGTGACGAAGTTGCCACTATCAACCTGGGACATGCCTCTCGAGGGTATAGAGACAGGCATATAGTCGTACCGAACATCAATGGGCAAGTCTCTGAGCTTCGGATGGAGATTCTTCATTACTTCGTCCAGACGCACGTAACGGAGTACAGCTTCGCCGTCACGCAGCCGAGCTCTCATCTCAGCCACGGCGTTGATCCGGTCCGCAGCTCTTTGCACGTCCTCTTCGAAAGACAGCCGGCTGTGAAGGTCGCTGTCCAGGACTTGACCGGGTGGCAAATGCTGCGGTAGGCTCGCGAGAACAGAACCAATCAAATCCTGGTCAGTGTCCAAGACGTCTTTGGTGGCCCAGGCGTTTGCTAAGCTGGCCTCATACCCAGGAGCGCTCTTGGGCAGCATCAGTTCAATGCCTTGTTTTCCAACGAGCGGCGCAGCTTGCATATTTGTTATCCAGTGTGGGGCATCGGCGCCAGCCGGTAGTGTGGCAGAGGCGTCCTGATGCTCCTGCTTGAGGACTTGAAGCGGTGTGAAGTATTGAATCAAGTAATCAAGAGCCGCATCACTGTCGAAGCTGAAGGCTGAGGCCGGATGGAGCACATGCGATATTGCTATGGGCAATGAAATGGCCACTCGCTCGAGGTACCTAAGCTTTGTTGCGGCCATTTCTTGCTTGACACGTGCTCGCTCTTCTTCTGCTCTGCGCTCTTCTTCCGCTTTGCGCTGTTCTTCTGCTCTGCGCTGTTCTTCTGCTCTGCGCTGCTCTTCTGCTCTGCGCTGTTCTTCTGCTTTGCGCTGTTCTTCTGCTCTGCGCTGTTCTTCTGCTCTGCGCTGTTCCTCTGCTCTGCGCTGTTCTTCTGCTGCTCGCGCTTCTTCCTCGCGCCGAGCCTGCTCCGCACGGCGCTCTTCTTCGGCCAGTCGAGCCCTTTCTGCTTCAGCACGTTCCGCTGCAGCGGCTGCTTCTGCCTCACGATCCTGAATACGCTTCATCTCGGCCAACTGTGCCTCGTTCGCAGCGTGCATCTCGGATGTTTCAGATGGTGCCGCAGTGTCTTTATCTTCTGCAACCTCTTCCAGTGGCTGCAGAGGTCGTTCAGTAGTAGCGCGCAAGGAAGACGACTGTCGACGAAGTCGTGGAGATGTATCTACGTTTGGAGTCGTCGACGAGCTGGTACGGTTCTTGGATCCAGACCCTCGCACATCTGCTGCGTTACTCGGAGTTTTCGTCGAAGCGCCTTCCTCTCGCTCGTTCCCCGTCCCCGTCGCGTCGTCAGAGCTGGACGCATCTGAAGACTCATGTGATGGTGCTCTGCCGCTGGCCACGCGCATGTCGCGCTTTGACATGAGTCGTCGCCCGTTCTTGCGTCGTGGTGCCTGGTCCTCGTCGCTATCTTCTCCTCCCCCTTCTCCTCCTGCTTCGTCGCCTGCAGGAGTGCGCCGCACAACTCGACGCTTGGCGCTATCCCGCTTGGAAACAGGACTCGAGCTGCACCGCTCCTTTGACGCTGCACTCTGATCATACAATCGTTGCAACAGCAGCTTCTCTTCCCGCCAGTTCGGACCATGTCGTTCTTCTGCAAGCTCGGGCCAAGTTTTGTCTTGGCGGTTGCGGTACAGCGGATCAAAATTGTCGAGCTCTGAGAGTGACTTCACCATCTCCAAGTGCGACGTTCCCAAGACGCTCAGCATGAGACGCTCGGGTCTTTGTGACGCCTTCTTCTCGGACATCTCTGCTAATAGCATATTTACAAGGTAAGAATCGCCAGTCTTGGCAGCAGCGGCGATTATCGCATTATCCACAGGTACACGAGCGTCCAGAAACTCCTTGACACCGTTGCGATCATTAATCTGCACCAGCTTGAGAAGATTTTCATACGAGCGGGCCATGAAATGCAGCTCTTTTGTTGGCCCAGCTCGATGACGCATTTCCTCTTCCTCCTCTCGCCGCTGGCGGGACCCATTGGTGTTCCACACCTCAATGGCGCTCCTCAGAGCTGCTCGGATCTCGTCTGCATCGTCCGTGTCGTCGGTAACAACATCCAGCGCCTGCTGGCCCTTAAGATTCTGCCTCAAAGGGTCGACGCCTGCACGGAGCAGACTACGAAGGACATCCAGGTGACCGTTTTCGGCAGCATCAATGAGAGGAGTATCTTTGTCGACATTAGCACAGTCAATTTGGCAGCCCTGTTCGATCAAGTAATCCACAACTTCTACGTTGCCGTGAAGAGCCGCAATTTGAAGAGGTTTGTTGCCAGCAAATTCGGCAAGTTCCAGCTGATCAGGATCTCTATTTCGCCACTCTTTGACGCGATCGAGATCGCCCTCTTCGCAAGCTTCTGCTAGCCTCGTGAAGCCATATTTATTGATATGCCGCTTGTGTTCGCGGCCTGCTGGCCTACCCGGAGTCGATGTAGAGCGTCCGACGCCGCGTCGTGGTCTTCGAGACTCTGTGTTGCCGTGAGAAGTCGTCTCTGAAGATGTATCAGACTCCTCCCACAGGGGACGACCACTTTTCAATTCTTTACCAAGGCCGTGAGGGGCAGATCGACGCTTCTTATCTGGCACCTCAGGAACACCTTCCGTGAAGGCAGACTGTGTAGATGCTGCCCTGCGGTGGCTGCGCAGCTTTGGTGATAGCGATGACTCCTTTCTTGCATCCAATTCCTCGGAGTGGAGACCGCGAATGCGACGTCTCGATGGCTCATTACTTGGGCGTTTATTGGGCAAGCTCACAGAAGAAGCTCGATGCTTACGCTTTCGAGGATTCGGCGATAGCGCGATATTGCTCGAATATTCAGGCAGCTCCGAGACAGCGCGCGCTAGCGAAGATTCACGTGAGGGTGGATTCGAAGCAGATGAACGTGGGGAGCTAAGAGGTTCGCTCATGCTGTTTCGATCCCCGTCGTCTTTCGTGTGTTCCAGGCTCTCATCCTTGACATCTTTGGCCGAGGCTGCGTTTTCCACGCTGGGCACCGGTGAAGGCTGGGCGGAGTCATCTTCGTCGCCGTCCGTGGGCACAGGGAGACTGCCTATCCGGTGGCGTGGCTTAGGTTGTTGACGCTCGAGTTTTACGGCGTTGGTCTGTCTTTCGGCTTCCTTGCGCTTCACTGGACTGTCTATCAAAGTTTCTGCCTCCGAATCCACGTCGTCGTGAGGCGCATCGTTTTCAGCCTTCTCTTGCGCCTCTTTCAAGGTGCCTGCGTCCAGCGCTGCAGGTTCTTCACGAGTAGGCGCTCCTACAGCTGCCAATCCGTCATTCGCCTCTCGTATGTCGTCACGCTGGTTTAATTCGCGATTTCCATTGGCGTGTTCAGTGCGCCGATCGTTCTGTGCAGCAGGTCCGGTCTTTGTATTGGCCGGATCTGGTGACTTGCTGCCATTCATACCGTTACCAGACAGGACGCGATTCGCATTCCTTCGGCAAGTTTGGGTGGTCGGTCAGGTCTGAGAGGTCGAGGACGCGGGCGAGGGCGTAGGGCGCGTTCGGAAGCAGAGAGAGCAGCGAGCTCAACCAGACAGTTCTGGCGTATGCGGGTTTTGCTGCGGGCAGTGACGCGACCACCAAGACAGTCTTGATGCGTGGAGTGGAGTGGGTGGATGAAGCGTGTGTTGTGGTGGGAGTCTGGTATCTTTGGCATGGTCCAAATGCCCTGTTGTCGTCTCTCCGGCGTTCAGCGCTAGACCTAATATGGTGGGCGAGCCAGGATGACAAACCTCCAACGGAGGAAGGGACGGTCACGGACTCACGGTACGCACTTGTAGACGAGACTGCGACTAAGTTATCACATGCTTCGTTCAATGCATATACTGGGGCTTTGCCCCCTACATTGACGGGTGCTACGAACAAGATACCCTAACCATCTATCCTACTGAAATATATATCACATCACCGTGCATCCGCCACTTCGCGCACGCCGTCGACGACCTCCGCCCACGCCAATACCGGGTGCATGTGCATCGATATCTTCCTCGTCGGCATGCATGAGCTGCGCCTGACGGGCTCGCCGTTCTCGACGGCGTCGACCACCCCCTGTAGTGCTGGCCTCTTCCTGGGCAATCATGAACTCCGCCCATTTCCTCTCGAGACGCCTGGCCGCAATGAAGTCGCCACGCATTACACGCTTGAAATGCTCTTCCACGGTTGGCTGGTATGTATAGAACACCTTGGCTTGGATGACTTCGGCCGGGAAAGTTGCACTTTGGACGATGTGAAGCCGTGGTGGCGGGGCCACATCTGCGGGAGTTGATTCACCCCCAGCAATATCAGACACTGCAAGATTCATCGTGTGAGTAGTGATCGACACATCCGCGTTTCGAGACAGAAGTTCTCGCACACCAGTCCAGGTCACATTCTGACAATCATAGGCGACTAATCGCAGACCGACCACAGGTTTCCACGAATGTTGGCCTGAGGTTGTCGTGCCTTGAACGGTCTTGCGTCCACTCCTCTGCCGGACCATGCTGGCAGCTTCTGCCAGCACCAGATCTCCTATACGCGTGTTGTCCATCTCCAAAGATCGAAGATTCGTGCATGCTTTAACCACGGGCAGCATCCCAGCATCGCCCATGTTTTCGCAGTATGAGATGCTCAGGTGTTTTAGCCTTTTGGCACACGGGGAACTCGCCAGCGCATGCCTTGTGTCGTTCACTAGGAGTCAGCACTGCCTCGGATGTATCGTTAGGGGCTTTCTGCGGAAACTATACTTACAAAGTTACGTTACTGAGGTCTTCGAGTTCTTCTAGGTCTAAATGGGTCAACATAGGGATAGTTGGGAGCAACGCGGTCAGCGTGCCATCGAGGATTCCATTACACTTGGACAACTGCAGTCCCTCGATATTTGGAATGTTCCCAACGAAGCTACGCACACCTTTATCAGTAAGTGACTTGCACCCCGTCAGGTCAACATGCTTGAGCCTACGGGGTGGCACGATGGGTCTGCCAGAGATGTGATCAATCTCGCTGTTGCTACCTTCAATCAAGACAGCAATGGATTCGTCGGTCAATGTCTCGCAATTCATCAGTAGAAGACGCTCCAGAGTGTTGCGCTCGAAAAGACGCTCCATAAAGTGAAGATCGTCGAAGCCACGAATTTCACCAGCACGAAGATCCTTCAAGAGAGGGCAGCTCTCCACGACTTTGAGAAGCCCCCGAGTGTCGACGTTGTTGCACCACGAGATATTGAGATGCTCCAACCTGGGGCATTTCTGAGCAATCACCTTCATAGCGGCATTGGTAGCGCCCGCAAGACCGGATAAATTGATGTGAGTAAGACTGCTGTTTGACCACAGAAAGTTGTGAATAGATGCGCGGTCAATGCGACAGCCTTCGAGTGACAGGTTCTCTAGATTTGTGCACGCATCCGATAGACCTCTAGAGTTCCAGCGCTCTCGAAGCTGAACACAACCTCGCAGATTGAGATCTCGTACAAATGGTCCGGCGGCGGTGATGATGGTCACTAGAGCGTCTCCTGGTATGTCCTGATAAAAGCCCGAAGTGTCCAATACGGCCCACAGTTGTCCATCGAAGCACATTTGGTGCCAGGACTTTGAGACTGATGAACATCGTATGACCTCTTTGGGCTTGAGGTAAGTCAATACCTCTATTCTCAGCTCGGACGGAAGATCATGCCAAAAATTGAAGTTCGGGCGCGATTGTATTGGTCTTGCTACTGGCCGCGAGAAGTAATCCTCGTCCACTTTCGTGATTCCAAGAACGGCGCCTGATTTCGGCGTGGAGCGGATCTCAGACGGAATACCAACAGACAGCTTGCCATCGTGCTGAGCAAGGACACGAATACGAGCGGCCTCATCCAAGGCTGAAAGGTGAATACCAGGCGTTGTCGCTGCAGATGGGGCGGGTGTTTGAAACGCAACTGAGATCTCGCGACTCAATGCAGTGCCAGGACTGCCGTATGTTGTCCCTGCATTGAGCGCGATGCATGAAATTGAGCCTTTGCCATTGCCGTTGTAAGTGTTGGATCGGGTTGTGCTGAGCCGTGCTATCGAGGGCGAAGAGGTCTTGCGAGTCAAGCTCTGTAGCAGTCTCTGCCGCCCTCTCAGCTTTTGCGGCAACTCTTGTAATTCTGGAAACGGCAGTGACGATGCATTTGGGCTATGTGGTGACTGGAGTGGTGGTAACGATTCGGACAAGTCGGCGGCGGGAGCAGCCATGTCGGCGGAGAGGAGGATATGGTGGTGGTGGTGATGGTGGTGTTGTGAGATGCTTAGGTTACGGCCTTTTCACAGACCTCGTGGCTCGCATAGGAGAATGCAGTAGAACTAGCAGAAGAGCGGCCGTCGTGCGGTGGAAGTGAAGCGCAGGATGGTGGAGAGTGGATGTCTAGCCTGTGAGAGAAGGGCTCATTGATTAGCATACTCCTCTGTGCATACCAAGGTCATCCATCCTACGATGGATGCGTGTCTGCCTTATCGCTTGGGAAGTCCCCGCGCCGCGCTCGTGCGGCGGTCATCCGGACAGATTGGGAAGCACACTCAGCAAGCACGCGACATGCGACGTGCAACTGGCGATATGCATCCATACCTTTACATACCTAAGGTAGCTACCTCTGATGTCTCGGTCCGGTATCGACGTCGAGTTGACCAGCGACAAGTGCTTGTTGGATCCAGTCCTTCGGTACGTTCGATCACAAGGTGTCTTATCCTTATCGATGAGTGAAGGTGGGGGTGGTCGTGTGAGAGAGAGCGGGGGGGGGGGGGGGGGGGGGGATGCTGATCCGGTTTTTGCAGGCGGCTCAGCTGTCAGATAACACGACAGACACCTGCATTCATGCCTGCAACATGGAGTGAAGTGAAGTGAAGCCCTGGTCGTATCACTGTGCTTTCTCACACCGCTGCAAGAGGTAGAAGAGTTGATAACATGCATTTCCCGCTCACTCCTCACATCCATTGAAGACAAGACACCAGCGAACTAGCCAAGGCTCCACACGCGGGCCTCGCGTGCTCTGGACCACTTGGCCCTTTGATCTGGAACCATCCGCTGCAGAGGGCGTCCAAGATTACTCAGTATAAGGTACTGCATAGATCCTTCGCTAAAACTAGGAGGTACAAACTATTATAGCAAAACGGGAGGGGTCACGCCACATCGGCCCCGCGAAAGCTAGGATGTCCGCGAGCGTTTCCTGTATAGCCTCGACTCCATACATGTTGAGATCGGGTATGTATATCCAGACGCTCTCACCACCGTCTTGCCAGGTTGTGCATGACGGGGTTCGTATGACTGCCGACATTTCACGTCCTTTTCTTCTGTTGCTTTGCCTTTGCCTGCTCCACGTACTTTGGCCCCAAACTCTCCATCTCCTCTTCACTCCAGCCACGACCGAAAGGCGAGGGCACAAACTGTCCAACGCGCTCTTGGTAAAGGCCATACTCGGGGTACTTCTGGCTGCTAATCCACTCCGTAAGCGGAGTGCTGCCCTGGAACACCAACACATAACCGATAACACCCGCGCATGTCCAGTTGTACAGGGTGTCGGACTGGAAGCAAGACCATTGGTATAGAAGGATCCAGATGCTCTGCTCAGCTGCGAAATTGGGGTGTCGACTGTATTTCCAAAGCCCAGTCGTGACGAAGCCCCGGTCCATTTGGGCACGAGTCCAGCCAGCTGGCACCTTTGCGGTTCTCAGGTATTCTTTCTTGGCGTTCTGGTAATTCCATTGCTGTTGATCTGCAAAATACTCAAAAACAACAAGAGCCATGAGCACCCTAGCGATGATAATGTCGGCCATGCCCATTTCTGGGCGAAGCTGGGAGGCGAGCAGAAGGACGTATGTGGGTAGAGTGACACTCCAGAGGAGAACCTTTCGCGTCTTAGCAGTGTCCCCAAAAAGCCGAATAGGGGATTTTTTACTTACCACCTGCATAGAGGAAATGAATACAATGTTCAGCAATAGGAAGCCAAAGGAGCCGATTTGCTTCTTGATGAGCTCCCACCTGTAGTCCTCGCTCCCAATCTGGTAACCTCCCTTCCGCCAGTAGTTATAGGTCAGCCTGATGGACCATACTACGCTAAAGGCTAGGACGTTGTCGACTCTCGTAGTAGGCAGACCATTCATGCGCGCCCACAGGGCGTAGTGGAGGTTGAAGACTGCAGGCAGTATGCTCCAGACCCTGTCCACCTGGCTGTAGTTTTTGTTTGCCTCTGAAATGACCAAGAACACAGGGAACAGGGCGAGGGCCACGGCGAGTCCAAAGATGGCCGGATTGGTCGAGACATAGATTTGCTTGAGAGCTTCCAAGTCTCCCAGCGCGGCCCACACTTGCTGTGGTAGCGCGTACAGCTGAGGGAGGTATGCCTCGAAGGTGGTGCTGTAAATTGCACAGTCTTGCAGCGTCTGGACAGCCGGTAGTGCCGCTTGCACTGCTGATTGGACCACCATGGTGAAGGTGATGAAAAGCACGTGAGGCCACAATAGCAGTGTTATTGTATTTTTTTCTCCTCAAGAACTCCTGGTTGGGATCTGAGCTACTACCTCCTAGGAGGTACCTCCACATTATTATCATGTATGTGCAAGCGCATTGGCAAGCAAGGATCAACACAGGGTCCCCGTCATAATGAATGACGAGGGCATACCCAATTCGGCGAAATAGATTGATGAACTCTTTGAACTCCCCACGCAACTACATACCTGTCCTACCTATACGCCTCCGCTTTGATTGCTTTCAACACCAAGCATGTGCTCGCTACTCATCAAAAATAGCTGTACGGTCACCTCACGCAATTGGTCGTCATTCTGGCGCCTCCCTGGGGCTCTACGCTCGTACGCTGTGCAAGCCCCAGGCGCTCCGACAGTCGAGGTCTTCGACGCCCACGCCAAATGGCTGCAGAAAGAGCGAGCGGCTGCCGACGTGCCGCAGAGTCGACAGGTAGACTACCTTCGCGACGAAGTCGCTGCGCGTCTCTGTGATCGCATCCTCGACATCAACCGATCGTTTCCCCGAGTGCTCGACTTTGGCGCCAACGCCTGTAACATCGCGCGCATCCTCACCCGACCTGATCCCGATCCCGATTCTGCGAAGCCGTCTGTCGAGCCAATCAGCCGGAGGATAGAAAATATTGTATGCGCAGAGACCAGCCCAACCCTGCTGTATAGAGACCAGGACGAACCATTTAATCGCGAGGTCGACATTACGAGAGAGGTCTTGAACACCCCCGAGTACGTGCCGTATGAGACGGACACGTTCGACATGGTCATATCTTCGCTCTCGTTGCATTGGGTGAACAATCTGCCTTCGGTGCTCACGCAGATCAACAACTGTCTGAAGCCGGATGCCCCATTCATTGCCGCGATGTTTGGCGGAGACAATCTGTATGAGCTCCGTGGATCTCTGCAGCTGGCGGAGCAGGAACGGCTGGGGGGAATCGGCACCCACATGTCCCCATTGGCAGATGTGCGCGATGTGGGCAACTTGCTCAGTCGAGCGGGCTTCAAGCTCCTGACTGTGGACGTGGACGACATCATTGTCGACTATCCCCACATCTCTGCGTTGATGTCTGACCTGCAGGCCATGGGCGAAGCGAACGCTGCCCTACGCAGAGGCTCCGGGCCACTGTCAAGAGAAGTCTTGCTTGCAACAGAGGCAATCTACAGGGAACTGTATGGCGAGGAGCAGGACGACGGCACGATCACGATTCCAGCTTCGTTTAGAATCATATACATGATTGGATGGAAGGAAAGCGATAAGACACCACAGCCATTAGAACGTGGTTCAGGTGAAATCAATCTCAAGGACCTATTCGAGGCAGACAAGAAATAATAACGAGCAACCGCTTCTTGCTGAGCATGCCTCAGGCGTCCAAATGTCTACAGTCAGGTGGCAGGTGAGCTCTGTTGATCGAAGGGGCTCTTTCAGCTTGCGGTAAAAATGAACCCGCATGGTCTACGGTAGCGATGACATGTGTGCGGCACAACATCAAGCAAGGAATACATAATGTGAGTTTTGGGAATCGTGGGGTATCATTATTCAACCTGCGACAGAGGGTGGAATTTTTGCAAGAGCATCTGTCTGCTACACGCCGCAATGCTCTTTCTATAATATCAGATATGTCCCTGCGCGAGTTTTATGACGGCTCACAGCCCCGCAAGACCAGGCCATTGTCATGAGCGTCTAGTACTCAGCTGGAGCTTGTGGGAACTCGAAGTTCACGCCCTTTCCGGTCAGACGCTTGTAGACTTCGGAGTAGGTGTCGAGGCGGTAGTCGACACCACCACGCTCCTTCTCGTCAAGGATGACCTTCAGAACCTTGGCACCGTCCTCCTTGGTACGAAGACGCTTGCCGACAATCTCCACTGGGTAAACGAGGTCGGCGAGGATGGCATCGTGCACAGCAGTGAGAGTGCGCGAGCGTGGGCGCTTCTGGGTCTGGCTAGTGCGGCTGCGGTTGCTACGCTTTGGGCGTGGCAGAATGCGGCGCGAGGCGACGATCAGGACGTGGCGGTCAGAGAATTTCTTCTCGAGCTCTCGGGTGAGACTAGCAGCTGCGTTAGACGTTGTCTATGTCATTAGTTGTGAAGAGACTTACCGCTGCTGGGAGCGGTGCCAGCCCTGGAGGAGCGGTACAGGCACGAAGATCACAATTGCCTTGCGTCCGTGGCCCACCTCGATCTGTAAGAATCCTGGTGTCAGCGAGAAGCTGCCCAGTGCCCACCGCGTCTTCAAATTCGATCGAGTGTGGTATATGTCTCCCAGTATTTGTTCGACTTTCCAATCTTTTTTCCATTCCACTCTGGCTCTTCTCATCTTACCTCGCGGGCCGAGACGAATTGCAGCGGGCGCAGAGCGGCCTTCATGTCGGGGATGTTGCTCTCGAGCTCATAGAGGGCAGTGGCGATCTGCTGCTCCGTCTCATTGGGCTTTTGGCGCGAGGGGCTGTTGGGCGCGATCTGGACGAAAATGCTGTGTTAGATCAATGTAGTTCGCATGACGTGTGCCAGAGCAGACGGAGATCATGGTAATGGTCTGCTGTACCTTGTTCAATGCTTGCTGAGACATGATGGGCAACGTGCTGCTGTGCTTGTCGGACGAGTGCTGGTTCAGACAGTCGGATGGCAGTATCAAAAATGGAGAGTTTGTGCACAAATGCCCCGTCCTTGGCAGCGGGAAGCGGGCGCGGGCTTTCCCGCTTCCATCACTCCACCCTCGCCGGAAGGTCTTTGGATTCCAGTATGTTATCACTCACATGACGCCTGTCGCTCTATGCAACGAATGAACATCATGTCTGCAGTCAGTAGACCATGTATCTCGACCTGGATCGTCATCTCCTGAGCTTCGAATCTTCAAGAGGGACTTGGCATCAGTAAGAACTGCCTCATGAATATTCAAGCCTCAGCGAGTGGCCTCATGCCTAGTCGCGAGTTCATCAGGGCCATAGAGAGATACCAGTGCACGTGTATATATATTACACGGCCATCAAACACGCTCGCCACTCCTCTCACCAACAATTATACCTGGCAAACCAAGGGCATCTCTCCATCCAGACCGGCAGCTAGTAATAGCATCCCACTCTCGATCTTGCGCACGAGCTGACGTGGGAAAAAGCAAGAGGAGCCACTGATACCACAGGTACCCTCTACTATAGTAATGGGCTGCATCACGAGGTAGCCCTGCGGTTATGGAAGAGTACCTTGAGACTTGAGTATAGACGCCCCTGTTTGTGTTGGAACCACTACCTACATGTACCTTATACGTAGGTACTGTTGGCCGAGAGAAGACGTCTTGGCAACAATGTGATTTTATGAGTCGGTGTGGTACCAGAGACTCTGATGATGCTTCATTTGCACAGCGACACTTGCGGCATGCCATTGACCACGCCGCAGCAATGTTCTCTACACAGCGCTGTTGAACGAACAAGTTTAGCGTACTTTCTTATCCCGATTCATGAGCCATGTCCGGCCAAGCTCGGCGAACCTGCCATCACCTTCCACTACCTCTTCGGTCCAGCCAGACAAACACATTGTCATATTAAGACAAACAAATCATTACATAAAAATTGAGACGACAGCCAGAAAGTTGACGACTCTGGCCATACCCTTGACTGCAACTTCCCTGCCCATCCTAACATGGCCGAACAACTGAGTCGAAAGCCGATACCTCTATGGCTCGATTGCGACACCGGTCACGATGATGCTCTTGCTATACTTCTCGCAGGTCGTGATCCTTTGAGCAATCTCTTGGGTATCAGCACAATCTATGGCAATGCTACTTTGACGCATACTACCTGTACGTACACTGTTGCTCCAGAAGTTCCCCAAAACGAGAAGTCCGAGAAAAAGTTACTGATTCCCAGTCGAATGATGATTTCAGACAATACTCGCGCCATCTTGAAAGCAATCAAGCGTGAAGATGTAGGCGTGCACGTCGGTGCAAGCAAGCCTTTCTGCAGAGCGGCCGCTGTAGCTGCTGATATTCATGTGAGAGCATTGAGAAGTCCGAATTACGTTGGACCGTGACTGACAATCAATGCTAGGGAGAATCTGGACTTGATGGGACGACCTGCCTACCAACACCCGATGTTCCAGCACGGCCAGAGGTGACAATGCCGCTCCATATCAGTGTTCCTTCTCTCCCGATTCAATTGCTAATCATGCTCGATAATGCTGCAGATAGCAGTAGACGCAATGTACAAAGCTTTGATCAGTGAGGCTCCAGGCACGGTAAGATAGACAACTCATCGATCAAGGAATGGACACATGAAACGAATATACATACTGACTGTTTTCCCCCATCGATCAGGCATACATAGTAGCGACAGGAGCATGTACGAACATTGCCTTGCTATTCTCCATTCACCCTGAGTTGGCAGAGCACATTGCAGGTCTTTCCATCATGGGCGGAGCAATTGGAGGTGGATTCAGCGACGCCCCCATGGGAAAGGTGCATGGACAAGGCGAGAGATTTGGCAACTGGACGCCTTGGGCAGAATTCAACATTTACATCGATCCGGTAAGTCCCCAACTCATCTGCATGTACTTCGACTGGATGGTCCTTAATGATAACACGATGATTATAGGAATCCGCCAATGCAATCTTCTCCAATGAGACATTAGCGAAAAAAACCACTCTGATCCCTCTCGATCTCACCCATCAATTCCTCGCCACTGCAGAAATTCAACACGCTTTACGATTCGGCTTCGACTTCAAATACTCCTCCTCCGACTCCTCCTCCCCCTCGGCCTCCTCCTCCGACTCGGCCTCCTCCAACAACTATACCCCCGCCACCACCACCATCACCACAGTCCGCAAGCTCTACAGCCAAATCCTCACCTTCTTCGCCAAAACCTACGCCGACGTATTCGGTCTCACACAAGGTCCACCGGCCCACGATCCTCTCGCGGTGGCAGCAGTGCTGCAGCCCGATTTGTTTTTCGAAAATACGACAGGTACAGGTACAGGTACAGGTAATGGCGAGAGATTTGCGGTGCAAGTCATCATTGATGGGGAACATGGAGCGTCGGATCATGTGCGATCAAACAGTGGATCGCAGTGTGGACGGACCGTGGCGACGTTGCTTCCTGCGCATGAGTTGGGGGTGAGAATACCGAGATTGTTGGACGCGGAAAAAGTGTGGCGCATGCTGGACGACTGCTTGGCTCGAGTGGGGTGAGTCACGAAATGGAAATAGATGGGCACATGCCCGTATCAGCGGGAAAGAATGGAGGTTCATAACCGTTGAAATTCGGAATAGTCGCAATGACTTTCACTACATCTATCCAGGGTCATTCTTCGTGCTTGACTAATAGCCGCGCGTACTCAAATCAATGAGACGACATGCCGGCCGCAGCGTCAAAACCAAGAAGCTCATATTCCAACGTTTCATGTCATCTGCAATTCTGCATTTCCAGAGTGGTTATGAAATCCGCCTATGCCTGTGCCTGTGCCTCTGCACCTAGCATCCTCGCCCTCGGCGCACAAACCGAGTACATCGTCGTTACTCCATCGAGCTCAGCAGGCGCGAGCTCAAGATCGTCATCGTTACGTGGATGCAGCTCGCTTGTAAATGTTTCGTAGGTAGGTAGGTAGGTACATACTTGGAATTGCCTGATACGAACGACTTTCGTCATTCGTATCGTCAATTATTCCATGTCGGGGAAAGTCGGGGGAAAATGTCGTCGTTATGTGGAAGCCAACGTGATCCAGCTGCTGGTTCTCGTTGGTTGTGAAATGTTCGTAATCAACACGCGGCGCCTGTGGCTGGGGTACCTTGCACCTGGGCGCAGAGTGTCGATTTGGTAGTTCTGTGTTCCATAGGGATAAAAAAAAAGTATCGTCTTTCCAATCAGTGAAAGGGGATGAGAGATCGAACGCCACCCATGTCAATCCAGGATCTTCCATCAGCACTTGAGTAGGAAGACTGGTGCCCAGTATCGTTCATAACAGGAGGGAGAGAGGGGTAGTCAAAATCGGTGTCTGTGTCTCGTGGGCACACGGAGCGGGAGACGTGAGAATGCTCACATGCTGCCCATGCTCAGCAGTGCGGCCACCGCATCGCGCTCGGCCGGCGACTGTACGGCGCCAAGCCCTCGGTAGTCGCAACTGGGGACAGAAGAAGAGAATGCAGTACGAGCAGTTGGTATGAGAGGCCCTCGGCTTCCCGTTCGTGTCGCATATCTGCCGGTATATGGAGCAGAGACCTTGCGGTAGTTCTGGATTGGGGCATTCGGAGTGGGCAGTGAAGCCTTCCGCAACGCCTCGACGCCAACAGTGGTCCAGTCCTCATTGTCAGTCTCGTCGTTGGTTTCCGAGGAGTCGCTCGAGTCGCTATCGAGTGACATGTTGTCGGCAGCGTCTTCGGCGGGATCCATGTCCATATCGAGCTCATCCTCTTCTCGAATGCTGGATGCGGTCCAGCTGCCGCCAGAATAGGGCTCTCTTCTCTGAGCGTGTATGTGTCCCGGCGGGATATGAATGGCAGAGTCGTTGTACGACGGCGCATAGCTGCCATGCTCGCTGCGAGGAGGCGAAAGGTTCCCATCGTGGAAGTAGTTGACCCCAGAGTCTGAGCCTTTAACGTGAGCATCCCAGCGGCCCCAGCCCGTCTTGCTAAACGATACGCTGCCATCGACGCCACCCCCGTCGCGACTCTCCAGAGCTGCGACCACGATACGACGAGCCTTGGCAGGTGGTATGCGAGAGAAGCCGGGCACGGTATGGTTGAGCTCGCCCATGACGTGGCGAATAGCTCTCGGCCCACCGCCGAGCAAGATGCGAGGCAGATGGTTCCTCGCGAGGAAGCTCGGGGTGATGGTGACGGCGCCGTCGAGGCTCGAGAGTGCGCCTCTGCTCAGAGGAGTGCCACCTCCGCTGGGGAGACTGGTGCCCTCGACGGCATGGCCGTCCAGCATATCGGTATCGCGCTCGATATTGATGGGCGGCGGTGACAGGGCGCAGGCGTGCAGCGGGTGGGCGGCCAGCTCGGGACTGATGGAGGAGGGAGGAGTCAAGAGCGCGTTGGCGCGCTTCTCGAACAAGGCAGTGCCCGAGATATCGGCGCTGTCGCGCACGATGGGGATACTGGCGGAGGAGGTGGCCGTCGACATGGCGGCGTGTGGGGCGTGAGCCATAAGTGGGCAGCGGGTGCTGGAGAGCTTTCCTGCGGCGGAGACGAAAGTCAGTTCGGTGTACGTGTGCGAGTGGGGTGGTGAGGCCAGCGGCACTCACTTGACGGCGCAAGAAAGCTGTGGTAGTTGCTGTACAACGACGAGCGCGTTGTGGTCGGCGGGCGGGCGGGCGTGGGAGCGTTGCGTTGCGATGCGGCGAGTGGAGACAGTGCCGAGCTTCGGAGGTGGGTGGCAATGGGCGCAAGAGTGACTCGACGGAGCTACAGGAACGTGGCGACGGCGGCGGCGGCGGTGATGGTGGTGGTGGTGGTGGTGGTGGTGGTGGTGGTGATTATGGTGATGGTGGGAGTGGGAGTGGTGGTGGTGGTGTTGTTGGTGTTGTAGTTGAGCAGCAGCAGCAGAAGCAGAAACAGCAGCAGCAGCAGCAGCAGCAGGAGAAGAAGCAAGACATGATTCACTCACGAGGAATCGGCCGCATGACTACCCTTAGCAAATACCTTACCTTACTACGACAGGAGGTACGTAGTGGGTGCAGCACACCTCACACGGGCAGTCCGCAGTCCACACTCGAGTCGACTACTGCAGACTGCAGAGAGGAGCTCCTCAGAGATAAGCTCTAGGCCAAGGCAGATAGGGACATGTCAGGTCCTGTCGGCAACCAAAAGCAAGACCAGGCTCAAGGCTCAGGCCAGGCCACACGCACGAGCACGGGCACGGGCACGTACTTGTTACTAGTGCACTCGGCTATGTGGGAGACTGGGAGAGGCACGCGCACGAGGCAGAATCCCATGGAAACACTATCGGCCACTCACCCCGACACGTTCCATCTTTCTCTCTTTCTGGTCTCTCTCACTGTCTCTCTCTCTCTCTTCTCACTTCCGTCCCGCAGCCACGGCTCTTCTTCGTTGTTTTTGCGTCAGTCCGCATCCATCTACTGTACATCTACATTCCACACCCCAAATCCACCGACGCCCTGTGCTTGTCCTGTGCTGTACTGTGCTGTACTGTACTGCATGAAGCATGAAGCATGAAGCATGAGCACACCCGTTCTCATCCATTCCCGGAACTGGCGCTTGTCACGGGATCCGAAGTCTAATCTGAGCAATTTCTCATTTCTCTTCCCGTCCACACCTCCTGCTGACGATGATCACGAGCCGAATGCAGAAAAGCAGGTTTGAGGAGGCAGCCAAGTAGGATTCGTGGATGCATGTCCGCCCCCCTCCTCAAAACACTCTCATATAGGCGGTATGTGTAAGTACATACATGTAGTCTCTGCCTCACAACACATCACCAGTCATCACAAGTACATGGTAACCACTCGGCAATTGCCTCTGCCAAGAAGACTGTACACGTTGACCTCCGTTCGGCGTTCATCGTCAGCCACGCGCGGACGGCAAAGGACTTGGAAAGAGTACTATGAGGTACCACCAAGGAGGTAAGCAGAACGGTCTCACAGACTAAATCGCAAACGACTCATCCCAAAACCACACATCTCTACCCTTCTGCGCCCACGGAGAAACACTCTTCCGCAATTGGTGGCTCAGCGATCGCGGTCCACATGCCACGATCGCGACGCTTTCGGTGCCGCCGTGAGAGAAAACTTGATCAACCACACGCACGACGTTGGGACGTCCACTGCTCACTTCCATGTTGCATGAGAATTCCGTCGACGTGTTCGCACTGTTTCCTTGTCCTTGTAGCAACTCCTTCTGCTCATCAAGCTCAATGCCCTCTTCCTCCGGACCATCGTCTGCATCGCTGTCGATGACAAATGCACCGCTGTCAGGAGCCTGTGACGTCGTAGCGGTGGTACTAGTACCTGTTGTAGTAGAAGACGTAGTAGTAATATCGGCCGTCTGTCTGCTGACATGCACGCTCAACCTTTCCACAAACCCATCTCTCTCCTTCGACTCCACGGGCAACGCCCATGTCACATCTGCAAGGCTTCTCGCCACCCAGACGAAGCGGACCTTTTGTCGCCGGTAGCTGCCTTTGGAAGGCGACAAATCCGCGAGTAATTGTCTGTACAGCGGCACCACAAACGTCGCCCCAACACCTCCTGCCACAAAGAGCACTCTGTCATATCGGAGCAGTGTGGCCGAGTGAGTCCCTATTCCATAAGGGCCTTCGACCGAAAAGGACAACGCATCATCCCGAATGCTTCGTGCCAGTCTCGCCGTATTACCATCCATGATGCGCGCGATGAAACGCAATCGATTGTCCACCAACGGAAGCGAAGCCTGCGTAAAAGGATTGCTTCGAAATGTGCGTAGAAACGGATGACCCGCCAGCGAAATGTATGCATGCTGTCCCGGTTGCCATTTCATCGCAGCAGCAGCACCACCACCACCACCACCTTTGCCGAGAGGAATACTGATTTCAATGAGATTACTACTACTCCCCCTCCCCCCTTCCACCCGCTGCATCGTTCCCATGTAAGTTGTGCTCGCGAAATATCGTAAAAGTACATTGATCGCGTAAATCGCTGCCGTCTCGTAGATGAATGGCCGAATGTGTTCGACGTGGAAGTATAGGACGGGTAATAGTATCGATGCGAGAGAGACGTGCGTGTAGTAGAATACGCGATAGCTCCACGTCCTCAGCACTGACAAGGACGTCGTGGTCACGATCGAGAATGCTAGGATACCGAATACCCCGCCTGAAGACGCCGCCGCCGTCGTCGTCGACTAACAGTCAGTATGATTTGCCTGCTTTGGGGGGGTATCTCATCTCAATGAGAAGAGGGTGGTGCTCTCTCTGGTCGAGAGTAAAGGAAGGTAGTTTTGTACGCACAAAGAACATATGACTCCTGGAGTTTTTCGAGCAGCAAAGACTTGAAGACGTAAAAATTGAGATAGAGAATCGCATGAAGCCAAAAGAATCCCGTGATAATCCTTCCCAAGGCTTTGTGAATCGAAAGCAGGGTTGCTTCCGAATATCCTGTCAAGAGCAAGAGTGGGGACCAGGGCGACTTGAGCGATAAAAGGTAGTGGAAAGGAAGCTGTGAGGCACCAATTGTGCCCAACCTCTTGGTGAGGTGAAGATAGTCTGTGCATGTTTAGTATCAGAGCGAGAGTGTGTCAATCATGTCCAGGAGTCGTTGTTCTTACCTTCTCCAGTATCAAGCACTGATAGCGCTAGCAGCCATCCGGTCCTGCGCAAGAGAAATGCGTCAATTCTTGAAAGAGCCATATAGCTTCAACACATCTCTCTGTCTATAAGCCTGTCGCCTAGAGCAGGCTGAGGCTCAGGCTCACAGACTCTGTGGAGATCGGGCATGGGCGATTTGTTGAACTGCTAGTACACCTAGGAAACTAGACTTACCACGCTATGGCGCCTAGAATCTCTCCCCTCGTACCAAGAAGGAATCCCCATATATGAACAGGAGTCGTACTCCACCACAAGACCTGCCGCCATCAATCAGATAAGATCCACGAGGAAAACAAGGTAAAGTACTCTTCAATTGAGGATAAACAGTATGCATATAGTGAGTGAGTGAGAGAAGGCAATCAATATCGTCTCAACATTTCTTAAGGTAGGTAGGTACCTGTAGATAAGATAGATAAAAATAGACATTCAACATACTCGTCGCCATCTCGACTGGATACTACTAAAGTCCCAAAAACGTCGTGCAGCTTTGATACGCGGCGAGCTGGGCGATTCTGGTGTCGACTTGTTGTTGTTGAGGTACAACAAGCACTTGGAGGCGAGATACGCTAGAATCACACCGGCCACGGGGACGAGGACCGAGAATTGCGCTACTAGTCCGTAAAAGTCGAGCAGGTGACGGCGATCCAGCCTCTGCTCACGACTGAGGTCGACAAAGTGGTACATTTTTTTGTTGCGTTGTTCTTTTTCTCCGTTTTGATCTGGTCCTTTTTTTGGTTTCTTCTTCTTCTTTCTTCTTCGGCCTCTCAGGCTTCTGTTTCAGATTTAGGGTCGTGCGCTTCAAGGCTGGCTTGTACAAAAGACGTGTTTGGAAGTTACCTGTACCTTAGGTAAGGTAAGTGTTGCTACCTGAGGTTGAGCAAGTATTATTGAAGTGCGAAGAATCCATCGGATGCCGGGTCTGTTCTATTTATAACCCTATTTCGGCCGTAAGGTATCAATCAGAGGACATGAACGGAAATCCCATCAACCCCGGGTCATATTCACGAAACGTCCACGCGGTCGAGTTCTCACTCATCAGGCCTGCTTCAATTGCTCGGTCACACCACTCCTGTCCTCCAACCCATACTGAAGCGCCGCAATTCCCAATGCCACAAGTCCGACGTTGCCGAATACACCTGCAAGCTGTGTCAGTGAACCTCGACATCAACCGTCTCATAGCATGATTACCACCTACCGATATCCATGGCAATAGTACGGTGAGACTCCAGGCACCAATGCGAGTATGCTCCTACGCCAGTAGCGACATGATGCAGAATCGTGATGAGGATGACGGCTCGTGCATATGGCTTCTTGTACGAGACAGGAGCGTAGTCGGATAAAGAGGACCCGGTAATTGCTCCAGGAAGCGGAAGGGCGTCTGATACAGCGAGTAGAATTGCTGCCAATGCGAGCAGACAGAACGCATCCGTACGTGTCGTATATAGTTCGAGATCATTTGGTTCGACCAACAATCCGTCAACTGGGGGACGAAACCAGCCACATACCTGTATGTAACAGATGATGATGAGTGAATGCTACCAGTCAGGCGCGCAGTTAGACTTACAGTCGCCGGATCTATCACACGGACGATGCCCCTCAGGAAGTACCAGAAGCTGGTACCGAATACATAAGCATGGTAGGTCTGATGAGTGCGCACGAGTATTAGCTAGGCGCCCAGATCATGTGTACGGAACTATTCATCGAACCTACATTGGCGTACTGGAGGAGGGACGACATTGCGATAAGTAATAGTTGATGGTGTTAATGAAATCTTGGAAGCAGTTCAAGTCTTCAAGACAGAGGTGAAGTGCATCAGCCTTGGAAACTTGTATCAAACTGATCCGAAGGACCTTCGGATCTGATTGATTGCAGAAGCTCAAAACTGCGTCATCATACAGACACAGCAGTCCCAATGAGTGGTACTGGTACCATATACCTGTATTGCGGAAAATATCATTGTGATGCGTACATTTCATACATGTCGTGCCTTGTTTATGACCATGTCTAAGACACGTACGTGCAGCATCGACTCCCTGAAGGACAGTGAACGTCGATGCCGATAAGGCATGCTGTATGTTGCGCTCGCGTGTGCTGAGCGGTATGCGAGGTCATATGATACTCCAGAGCCCGATCTTGTGCTGTAGGCTTCATTTGCACTTGTCAGGGCAAGTCCTTGGTCGTTGCAGGGCTGCAACGCTTCTCATGCGCCCATAGTGTGGACAGAAGTTACCACATTGTGACCATACCGCCCTGAATAGTGAGTATTGCTCCAGCGCTCGAAAATCTCGCCATCGACCTGATATGGCTGCGCGCTCGGTTCACAGTGCTCATGCTGCGAACAAAGCTATCCTGAGGCCATGCCTCTTTCGCGCCTTGGATACATGGCACCTGCCATGTGCCACTACGGCACGGTTGCTTGCTTACTGACTGGACACCTTTTTCAAAAGAGCCGTAGGTCATGGCATATGATGTAGTTGCCCGCGATAGTGCTCAGCCATATCTCTCCAATTCAATCTTCACGATGTGCTGTCCTGGCAATACCACCAAGCCCACAAATCTCTTCTTCATGTCCAGGTGGAAGTTGCCACTCGCCCCTGTTTGTTCATGGCGTTGAGCCGCACGTTGAATGTCGAGATGCGACGGCTGGCGATACTCGTGGGTCATGGCCAGAATGAGGTTGCGTTCACGATCGGTGCATTTCAATTGCCCGACGAACATGCGGCCGTCGGCAGTGTGAACGTGCAGCGTCCGATTGAGCATTTGCGTGAGGTACGCCTGCGGGTCCTCGATTGTGTCGGCCATGTGGGCGGATTGAAAAGGAGGTGAGCACGGTAAGATGGCAGTAGAGCAATCAGAAAAGTGCACCGGTGTGTAGGCAGGAGTGACTAGTATTTCAGAGAGGAGCTAGGAACTATAGCGCAAAGGTTTAACCACCTAGCTTCATGTACCTGACTAATACTACCTACCTAGGGGCTAGGTATCAAACTCAGGTACATGTACCTATAACCGTGTGCATGTGTTTGACCCCGAAACCAAATGTCAGCCACTCGCACCAGAGTCTGAAGCATGCGCGAACTGACCACGCGGATTATGCACTGGATGATGACCGTTACTCTGGGCAAAACCATGCAGGAAGGAGGCCCGCGAAGTTTTGCTTGTAAGATTTTGCTACTAGGTACTTCACTTCCTGAGCATTGTTTTGCTCGGGAACCCAGCGACGCACCTATGCGTGCATACATGCCATGCAGCACGTAGCCAGACCTTTTCATTTCTAGCTTGATAGAACGTTCCTCACTGAAGCTCAGTAGCATCACAGCGAAGCCACATGCTTCCAACTTTTGCTTCGGCGAGTGCTGTGAGCTTCCCATCTTCCCTGTCGTCACATTTGAACCCGTCATACTGCTCCCTTGGCACCTCAAGTCTCCATGGCACTCTCAGTATCCATCCACGCCTTGCTTGCTGTAGTTGCAAAATATCTGACATCGATATCATCATCCTGCATGAGCTTCTCAAGCGGCGGCATGACCTCGTCCCTGATGAGCTGCTGTCCTCGCGGAGAGCCGGGGAAGTTGGTCTCGCCTTGCTTCTCCAAGTCCACAATGGTAGCGCTTGGAGAGTCCGGAAGACGTTTGAGGATGTCGATGAGTACCGCGTAAGACTTTGCCACATTGAATCTGATGTTCGGAATGGGGTCATTCACCAGAGTCTGCAAAATAGGCAGCACGGACTGAGCAACGACGGGCAAAGATAATGCAGGCGCAAGTATCTGTGACTATCATCAGCGTGGAATTTCAAGCGAATAAAGAGTGCACTTACAGATACTGCAAAGCACGTCGTCATGCGATAGAGGTAGTTGGGGTGCTCAGCCATAGCAGCGACCTTGGGCACGATTGCCTCGCTCGCCCATTCAACGCCAAATACCTCAGTAAGCTTCTTCAAGTTCTGCGTGCTGGCTTCTCGAATGCTGAAAACCGTATCTCCCAGCCAGGACATGCACAACGTGCTCAGTTTCTCGTCAAAGAACTTCACTCCTAGCTGGGAAGCAAGCAGAGGCACATATTGGATGATAGCCAGCCTCACTCGCCACTGCTTGTCCTCGGCCAGTTGCACTATGGCGGGCAGAAGCGACTGCGAAAGGAGCTCAATGCCAATAACATTGTTGACTTGCTCGAGCTTTGAAATGATATTGAGTCGCACCTCTGGAAAGTCGTCCTTGAGCATCTGCAAAAGCATTGGCAGGAGATGCTCTGTAGTTTCTTGTTTGCCCAGGATTGGCGCCAGACCGCTGATCTGGTTGCCAAAAGCTGCTCTGACGTGTTGTGAAGAATCAGAAACCAGGTCCTCAATGGCAGGCATAATGTCTCGCAAAAGAGCCTGGCGGTCGACGAGCCGACAAAAACCTATAAGGGAGAATTCGAGATCAGTATGCCATGCCAATTTGGCAAGTCATATGTGACGTACCTGGTATCTGCCCAGCAACAGCACTCCTGACCTCAGCCTCGTTGTCTTTCAACAGTTTGACGAATGCAGGAACCAGATCTCTGGCTATGACTTCGTCATCCACAGCTTTTGCAACCTTCTCAAATCGGTCAGCGACCATGTATCGCACTCTCCAGCTCTTATCCTCGAACAAGCTGCGAAGTGCTGTGAGCAAGACGCCATGGCTGCTCTGCTGTTCCTTGGGGACTGCCTCTGCAATGGCTATGAGCACCTCCACCGTGAGCAACCGGACACTATCCTGATCATCGCCGGCCAAATGTTGGAACAGTGGGATCATGTCTTCAATCACGACAGCAGCAGGCATGCTCTTCACGAATTTGGCAAGATTATTGGCCGCCTGTCTCCTGACCATAGGCGTGTCATCGTGAACGAGCTGGTGAAATTGCTGTCGAAGGCCCTCTTGCGACTGCGGTGTAGCGTGCTGGTAGGGTGTGTTGTAAAGGCCAGTCGCCGAGATCTTGGAGGTGAACCAGTCGGCTTTCGATAGACGGATGGTCAGGGGAATGAAGTATTGCTCCACTTGCTGCTGTGATAGCTGTTCGCAGATCTTATTGAGTGATTCCACAGCCTTGCTTCGTGGTCAGTTCCAATTCCGACTACGCAGCAAGCATTGCATCTTACTTTGTCCCGCACGAGCGGCTCCTCAATCGTGGCCAAGTTCTCGAGAGGCGAGAGGAGCACGTGGCCATAGTCGGGGCCTCCCACGTACTCGACGAAGTTGCCCAACTCGTCACCCAGCGCGGTGAGTACCTCGTCTTCGTCTTCCACGGATTCTGTGTAGCTGTCAGTCTCTGCGCGCGCTGCACAGGTCTGCAAGCAGCTTCTCGTGCGTACCGTCCAGAAAGGGTATCAACTCTTCTCTGGTACGCTCTGGACCCAGTGCCAGAGCAATGGTCGACAGCCGGCGAATGGCATTCAGTCGCAACAGGACATCGTCGTGCTGCGCGTAGTGTCAACAACAATATGTGGCATCAAGGAAGGGAGCTCTCTGCAACGCACCTTCAGCTCGTCGATCAACACGGCGATCGGATACAGCTCATCCTGCGCGCCCCGCTCCTCCATGCTTGCTCGCGCTGCAGCTGGGTATTATCTCGTGGAATGAGGACGGTATGGCCCAGGGATGGCCTTCACATGCAGATGGGGAGGAAGGAGTGCAGTTGCGCAGTGATCAAGAGAGAGAATCGAATCGGGTGTTGGGGAGGCGCAGGGTCGCGTGGTCTTTCGCCAATTGTCTGCGTCCGGTGAGCTGTATTCCCATCGACGCGGCGGAGGTGTGATAGGGTAGGGTATGGTATGAGGTGCAGTGACTTGCGCTCCGAGCAGAGGGCGCTGCTGCGGTGCGGCAGGGTATGGAGGGGTTGGGGAGAAGGCAGAGTCGGACACAGATGCTACTGCTGTTACGCGCGGTGCGGGCGGGAGATCAACATACTGTGTCTGGTGTGTTACGAGGTTCGAGGCGGTGGTGGTGCTGGTGATGTGGGAGTACGTGCAATGTGCTTGTTTGGGGTGTTGTTCGTTGAGGTGTTCAAAATGATGCTGCTATGCTGTTGTGGCTAGTTCTAGTCGAGCAGTAGCGTTTATCCAAACCTTGGTGAGAAAACAGTCACATCACTTCACCTGACACGCCTGGCAACCCAATTCTTTTCTCCCACACAGCACCGCAGATCCCACGTGTCATCCAGTGGCTCTTCCGGCGCGATGCCTACCATTGCAGTCGATAAGGAAGCCTTCTACAAGGCCATTGGAAAAGACCCCAATACCTACACCAAAGACGAATTTGACCAGCTATGCTTCGATTTCGGCATTGAGCTGGACGAGGACACCTCGGACAGCAAACGGCCGGTGATCGACGGTGTCGAGGAGAGGCCGCAGCTGAAGATTGAGATTCCGGCCAATCGATATGACATGCTTTGCTTCGAAGGCATCGCCCTGGCTCTGAATGTTTTTCTGGGCCGGCAGCCGATGCCAAAATTCACACTGGCTCCGCCCAAGGATGGCAAGCTATTGACTGTCCATGTCGCCAAGGAGACCGAGCAGATCCGCCCGTACTTCTCCTGTGCTATTTTGCGTGGCATTAAATTCGACAAGGCGCGTTACGAGTCCTTTATTGCTCTTCAAGACAAGCTACACCAAAACCTCGCACGTCAACGCACATTGGTTTCCATTGGAACACACGATCTGGACACAATTGAGGGGCCGTTCTCCTACGAGGCACTTCCTCCGGACGAGATCAAATTTGCCCCACTGAACCAAACCAAGGCCATGACTGGGAGCGAGCAGATGGAGTTTTACGAGAAAGACAAGCATCTGTCACGGTATTTGCACATCATCCGTGACTCACCGGTATATCCCATCATCTACGACAAGAACCGAACAGTTCTCTCGATGCCACCAATCATCAATAGCAACCACTCCAAGATCACGCTCGAAACCAAGAACGTCTTCATTGACATTACGGCGCTCGACGAGACGAAACTTGAACTCGTCAATCACGTGTTGTGTGCCATGTTCTCGCAGTTCTGCACAGAGCCATTCACCATCGAGCCTGTGCAGATCGTTTCGGAGCACAACAAGCGAACACGGCAAACACCCAGCCTGCAACCTCGCAAAACTCAAGCATCGGCCTCCTTCATCAACTCTGTCTGTGGACTGACAGAGTCGCGAGATTCGCTCTGCCAATTGCTAGAGAAGATGGCATACGATGCTCGCCCTTCTGCAGATGACGAAGACAAGCTTGACATTGACATTCCCATCACTCGTGCGGATGTGCTGCACCAGGCAGATATCATGGAGGATGCTGCCATTGCCTACGGCTTCAACAATCTTCCCAAGTCCTTCCCTGCTTCGTCCTCGTCTGTCGCTGCGGCACTGCCTATCAACAAGCTTGCAGACATTGTACGACTGGAGTCTGCCATGGCAGGTTGGAGTGAAGTCATGCCATTGATACTGTGCAGCCACGACGAGAACTACGCATGGCTGAACCAGAAGGATGATGGCAAGGCAGTACGATTGGCAAACCCCAAGACTGCCGAGTATCAGATTGTACGCACATCCCTCGTGCCAGGCTTGCTCAAGACCATTCGAGAGAACAGACGCCACGCAGTACCGATGAAGATCTTTGAGGTCGCGGATGTGTGCTACAAAGATGCAAGTCTCGAACGACGCAGTAGAAACGAGCGACACTTCGCGGCTGCTTGGTACGGAAAGACCAGTGGTTTCGAACAAGTTCACGGTCTGCTTGATCGCATCATGCTCATGCTGAGGTCGGCATTCATCACGAGGGAAGATGGTCTCCAAAAGGAAGGTTTACAGGGCTACTGGATTGAGGAGGTTGATGGTGAGTAGAGGATGTGTGCTCGCTACTGTCTCGCATGTTGGCTGACCCTGTTCTCAGATCCCACCTATCTGACTGGCCACTCGGCAGCAATCTATCTGCGGCTTGCTGGCACTGAAGCGCAGCGCATCGGAACCTTCGGCATCTTGCATCCGCTGGTGCTCAAGAATTTCGAGCTCCCCTTCCCAACATCAGCGCTCGAGATCAACTTAGAGGTCTTCTTGTAGCCTCTCGAGCTCAGCCGGGCTGAACACGATTCACTATGATCCTCGCATGAGGTGTATATGATAGACTGACGGGATGTGGCCGCCTAGTGTCCCGCTGTCCATTGCAGGCTTGCAGCGATGGTCGCGGCCTCATTGTTCGAGCCCCGATACCACTGATGCTTCGCACACGTCATTCACCACCTTGACGATGCTCGACCACGTTCTGCAGTATATGCCAAGGGGCCACGGCATTCCTCTACCTTACTTTAGAAAATGAAGGGAATCATTCTCGATCTGCTCCGCGTGTGCTCCTCTCCGAATTTTCGTGCGTACCACTTTTTCGTGCCATCAGCAGTAACGCCTAGGTTAATAGCAACAAACGCCAAGGCACAGAGAAGTGTCCCATTGCAAACGGAATGAGCCGGTGCGGCCACTATTGCTATGGCAAGATAAATCAAGCATTCTGCAAAGTAGTGCGGCGAGAGTGACAAGTTCCAAGCTGGATGTTCAGGTAGGGAGTAGTCTGTTGAGGGGGCAGACCCGTCCCGGCGATTTCGTGAGGCTTTCAGCGAAGCGAGGTAGGCGTGACAATCGTGTTGCAGTCCGGCGGCCAGAATATAAGCCAGGACACCAAGAAAGATGCGAAGGCTTGGTGCCCTGAGGGTAAAGTCTTGCATGGCGAAAACATGATTGTGTAACGCAGCTGAGCGGCAATTAGCAACGGGATGCAGTGCAAGCATGATGTTCACTCACCAGTGCCCTCGATCCAGATAGAGACACTCGTACACAGATAGAACAACATGCCCAACGCCCAGTGGCCTATCCACATGCTCGCGGCCGAGGGCTTGGACCAACACAGACACTCATATAATCTCCTCGTCCCCTGCAAGAACATCTGACAGCAAAAGGTTACCAGCTGTCCAGAGAGAAGGGGGGTAGTGCCTCACCATGAGCCAGGCCACTTGGACCTGACCTACAGTCATCGAAGCCGAAGCCGATGAATGTCGTTGTAGTGGTAGTTGAGAACGAGCAATGGCGGTAAAAGCAGGCCCCTTGGATATGAGCTCGACGGCCCAGTAGAGCGAAGCGGCCACAGACAGGGCATAAAATGAGGCAAACCAGCCGTGCGGCACGCGTATGCTGGCGAGCACGTCCAGCAGCGTCGTGACCAGTCTCGTGGCAGACGGACTGCTTGCATTCTGGGCCGTCGAGGTCGTTCTCCTCGTGGCGTCCGTGTCGTCGGAGCGGGCGCCGTAGGAGAGGAAGCGGGTGCGCAGAGCGGGAATGGCAGCGACTAGCAGGACCTACAGAGGCAGCAGATGTGACCGGTCATCAGCCATCGTTCGCTCTCTTCACGTGAGGTGGCCTTCGCTCACCACTATCGCCGCGCCCAGGTACGCGCCTCGCAGGAGCAGCAACGCGCCCATGTCGTTCGCCTTCTTCAGGTTCCCTTCCAGTCGTTGGTTCGCACCAAGGGGCACGTCACGTCGGCCTTGGCAGCCTTGAGCACTGCATATACATGTATACCATATGGAGGTGTGATGCCTAAGGTACCTCCAGGTAGATATGCGAGACCGATGTGGTTTGCTACAGGTACGGTACGGTACATAGCGGGAACTGCAGCACCTCACTTCTGGGTAGGTACTGTACCTCCTAGACCTACCCAGTAACGCGTCTTCGGAACTTCTCGCCACAACACAACCGCCGACATCACTGTCTCACCATTCCTCCGCCCTCCATTCCTCCATTCTCCGCTTCCACTCCCTCTAATGCACCATTACGACCCCCATCACCTCCATCACCACGCCACAATGACCCATTGCCGCCATGGCTAGCGTATCATCCCTACTCAATCCGTCCGATGGCGACAATTCCCATCCATCACTACCACCAGCACCACTTGTGCCCGATCAGCCTGCGCAGAATGAGACGACCGAGGTAGCTCAAGAGCCAGACACTCTGTCAGGTCAATGGCAGGAGCAGGACAGCAACACGCGATTGGAACGTCAGCCTGTGCACGAGCTCCCACGGCCTTCCCGCTCGCCTGAGCGGTCCTCTGCCCCCGAGTCACCGCAGCAGTCCCATGCCACACTGCCACCCATTCACAATTGGGCATCTACCACTCCTCAGACGTCTGCTGTGCAGCTGTCAGGCGCAACATCACCAGCAGACCACGCCCTCAAGTCTGTGGCCTTGTTGAAGATGGAGTCCAGCCAGCGTGCTCAGTCGCCGCTACGCGAGTCTTCCATACCAGTGCCATCCACCGAGGACCCCACAAAGGATGAGCTGCCAGTGCCCGCGAAGTCTAAGCGCCCTGCGCCTGCAAAGACTAAGAAAGGCACGGCTGCTACAGTCAGGAAAGAGAGGCCCCCGCCAGCCAAAAAGCGAAAGTTGGAGAAGTTGGACTCCAAGAGAGCAGACACACCTTCCTCGCGTGCCTCCAAAGCACCAACTGTCAAAGGGGCAAGCACCAAAGGAACTCCCATGAACTCCTCTCCCGCGCCGTCGATGCGATCGAACTCGGCAGAACCGGTTGATGAGCAGGACGAGGAAGACGAGGATGAGGACGATGAGGGAAGAAGTCAAGACGGCGATCTCTATTGCATATGTCGCAAGCCAGACAGTGGCACGTTCATGATCGGTTGCGACGGCAAATGCGACGACTGGTTCCACGGCAAGTGTGTCAACATTCCGGAGCGTGACAAGAATCTTATCGACAAGTACATATGTGCTAGTTGTCACGAGGCGGGCCTTGGTCCAACGACGTGGAAGAGGATGTGCCGCCGCGAGGGTTGCAGGCAACCTGCCAAACTCAGCAAGAGTAAATCGGGAGGTCACACTAGTAAATATTGCTCAGAAGATTGTGGCGTGCTCTACTTCCAAGACTTAGCTGCCCATGCCCGAGGGCAAGTGGATAGCGCAGGTCGTCGAGCAGCACGGAGTCAGGACAGCCTGGAGCCCTCAGACAAGCAAAACAAAGATGTTGAGGCTCGAGGTGGCGCCCTCGCTGCTGGCGAAGTCAAAGCTCTGTTGAATGCCTCGCAGACGGCCGAAGAATTCCGTCGACTGGGTGATGGTGTACTGAGTCCACCTGCCACTCCAGACGACCTGGACGAGAAGATTGAGGCTGCGTTTACTGAAGCAGAGATACGTGAGCTCCAGCGCATCGACGAGGAGAAGGAAGGCGCACGACAGCGCCACACACTGCTCAAAGACCGCATGAAATTTATCACGCTGGCCAAGCAGGCTGCGAGCCGTGTGACCATGGAGAGGGAATTGAAGTCCAAGGATTATTGCGGCTATGACCCTCGAATGGAGTGGCCAGAGGATCGATTTCTGGCGTGGCGAAACTCTCCGTCAGGCAAGAAGGCTTTCGAGCTCGATACCCTCGCCTCGGAGAGTCCGGATAATGTTGATGATCATGATGATGATGGTAGTGCACCCGTGTCGGAAATTTGTGATCGCAAGAAGTGCGCGCGGCATCTTGAGTGGAGCAAGCTCACGGTGGATCACCTGCGCTTGGAGATGAGCGACAACGGCGACCGCATGCGATCACTGGACAGGGAGGAGTCCGAGATCCGAGCACGGGCGGCACTTCGCATCAAGACGGGAGCGCTGGGCGATGTCGGGGGCACTGTCGAGCTGCACACTCCTCGCACCACAGTTGCGGACCCCGAGGCCATGGTCGTGGATGGTGCGACGAACATGGCACCGACCCTCGAGCAGCTCAATGCCATGGCAGTCGACCAGGTCTGAAGCGACCTACATGTAGCTGGCTAGTATTCCTGTATCACGACGGCACATGTATGATACGAAGAAATATGAGCCCACAAGCATGTACATGTAATTTGAATGCGCACATATATATATCTAGACATCTACTGATACATGTATTGATGATACATAGCTACAGCTGGTGATCACTTGAGCTGCAAGTGATAGGTCTCGAGTTGCTCGGCCGTCATCCTCGCGGGGCTCTTGACGAGCACATCTTCCCCCTTTCCACTCTTGGGAAAAGCAATGGCATCACGGACCGACTCTTTCCCCAGCATGACGGCGATCAATCGATCAAACCCCAACGCCATGCCTGCATGAGGGGGACAGCCAGCGCGCAAGACTTCGATCAAGTGCGTAAAGTCTTGCATGCGTTCGTCACTCATTCGAAGGACCTCCCGCAAAATGTATTCTTGCATGGCAGCATTGTGAATGCGACGACTTCCGCCGCCCAGTTCCACGCCATTCACCACGAGGTCATAGTGGTCCGCCGTCACCTGGAGCGGATCGGTCACGAGCAAGTCCACGTCCTCGGGCGTCTTGGGTGCGGTGAAAGGGTGGTGCGTGGCTGCAATACCCGCAGCTCCGCCTTGACCCGGTTCGTTTTCTGCCGTGGGTGAGAAGAGAGGGAAATCGGTGATCCATGTAAAGGCAAACCCGGAGGGTGGTGCCGCAATGTAATTGTGTCGTACTGCTGCTTTGTGCAACGCGAGACGAAGGTTGCCCATGGGTGTCGCACCGCCGGTGAAGGGTGCGTCTTTTCTCGCTTGAATGACCACGAGGTCGCCATCTTCAAGAGACAGGGTTTCTTCCAGCTGCTCGGCGGCTTCGAAGCCGAACGGTTGTAGTCCTTGGAGGGGTTTGCGAGAGTCCACAATGAAGATACCGGGCTGGCCCTCGGGATTCTGTATAAAGGGTTGCGCTTCGGGTGAGTCCATGAACGTGTTGACAAACTTGCGGGTCTGTTGCGTGTCGTCTGATATTGGTATTTTCATGACTTCCACAATCGGAAAGTCCAGAGGTCCAATCTTTTGTATCAAGTCCACCGGCAACATGTATTCGATCCTCCGAATCTCGCACCCCAAGCGGAGATCGGGCTTGTCGGAACCATAGCGCGACATGGCCTCGTGATAGGTCATGCGAGCGAACTTTTCTGGCAGATCCACCTGCAGAAGGTCTGACCACAACATCTTGATGACCGATTCCATCACGTTCATCACGTCTTCTCCAGTGGCGAATGCCATCTCCAGATCGACCTGTGAGAATTCTGGCTGCCGATCGGCTCGAAGATCCTCGTCCCTGAAGCACTTTGCAATCTGCAAGTATCGAGGAATACCGCTCGCCATCAAGATCTGCTTGTACTGTTGTGGGCTCTGTGGCAAAGCATAAGCCATGCCTGGACTTCTCGATGGTACCAGAAATTCGCGCGCGCCCTCTGGGGTCGATTTGAAAAGCAACGGTGTCTCGACCTCAATGAATCCATGTCGATCACCGAGTTCGTCTCGAATCTTGCGAGCCACGCGGCTGCGGAAGGCCAGGGCGTTGCGGAGCTCGGCATCGTTGCGAAGCTGCAAATGTCGCTGTTCTGCGGGGAATACGGTATCCTCATTCATGATGATATCCTTAGGAAATTCATTCAGTGGAGTCACCTTCTCGACCTTCACTTCTGCGCCAGTGATTAGGGTCCCTGGTCTTCCGGGAGAAGTAGTGGCCCGAGGCGCCTTGCGTGGTTTAACAGTGCCGGTGATGGCCACGGGTGTATGCTCTGCAAGCAGCCGGAGCTGCTGATGGGCGGTGTCGCTGCCTTCCTGTCCTTCTGTGAGAGTCGACACGAGCTGTATGGAGGATCCGAGGTGCATGTCGCGAAGCTCGGCAAAGGTCAGCGTCTTGGATGCATCTCTGCGAGTACCCAGATAGCCATGTAGAACCACTTCGTGATTCAGGAGCAAGTTGCAGTCCCGAAGAAGGTCATCGAACGAGCAACTTGCTGCTGGGAAGTTCAGCGTCTTTTTGAAGTCTTGTAGAGCCCGAGGTATCACGGACGGCCCATCTGGAGAAGTAACAGCATTGGTGGAGCGACATCGAAAGGCTGGATTCGGTGTCAGTGCCAGGCGAGGTTGCCATCTACATGTAAGCCAGGCAGCGCATGATGATGATGATGGACCATGGCATCTCGAGGCTGCGCGAGCAGACGCTAGAGTATGGCACCGGAGCGGCAGCATCAAATTCGCATCAGAATCGCATCAAGAAAATTGGAGTGAATTGGAAGTGTGTACTTGGGGGATCCTGGCCTGTGGAGTGTGAGTTTGTTTTTTTTTTTGGTAGTTGACTCTTCTTGTAGGAGGTACATGTTATGGTATGTGTATGTACATGGGCTTGGCAGGTGGAAGTAAGTTGGGGGAGTGTCGGTAAAGCCAAGGCGGGTGTTTCCGATTGGTGGGCTCACAGTATATACGAATTCGAATTTGACACAACTTTTCCGTCTTTTCTTCTTCAATGATACCTCCTAGTCAAAAACATGTACGTCTTACTGCTGCTGCTATACACGTCTACCTACAGTGTATAAACTAACACATTATTCTACAGATGATGAAAGCCTAGCGTGTAGCAGATGAGCTCCGTTGCAGTCCTGTCCTCCCCGCTCTCCCTTCACCGGGCTCAAGGGCGCGGTGGGCTGCTGTGACAAGAGCATGAAATCTGCGTTCGGCACAACTCCTTGTTATACACCACGGACGCGAAGATGGCATCTCTGACTCGCCTTTTGGCCTAGGAGGTTTCTGGTTACAGATACAGTATGTAGAAGAAGAAGAAGAAGAATACAAATGTCACATTCACACAATCACACTCGGCGCAAAGTGATAGGTCGTCGTATCATCAGGGCAAAGCAGTGATATGTGTACCTCTGGTCAGGTACATGTAGTGGGTGAGTGACAGAATTCGCGCAGTGGGTGGTTTGGAGTGGAGTAGAATAGACCACTGGTCTGTCAGGTAATCAATATATTGCAGGCCCCTGGCGGCACGACAACCACCACCCATGTTGACCCATGTTGACCCATGTTGATCCCCCTCCCACCATCTTGACTGAGGAGACTGCACAGAGAAGTAGTTCCAGTTCAAACCGCCTCATCGTCACCTAAGCCCTCTTCCGAGTTGACTGTGTGCACAATTGCCAATAACATCTCTCGCCGCTCATAATCATGGCCCTTGGTAGGCAGTAATTCCATCCCCTTGGAGCGTGAAAATTGAACCGCGAACTAATCCTCCATATTGGTAAATCATCCAGCTACATCAGCAGCAGTCGCCGCCACCGCAGCAGCCGCCGCCGCAGCATATCTCGATGCCAAATTCCACATCACAAAAGATGTCGGCAACATGCGCGAGCAGCGCCAACTGGCAGCAATGGCGCAGCGGCTGGCGCAGCAGAATAAACGCTCGCTATACTACATGTTTGAAGAGCAAGCCCTCCTTCGAGGAGACTCTGCTTGCATCTGGTATCGACCTACCGGGGATGGTGCAGCACCGGATACTCCGCCCGTCACATCCAGCTGGAGAGAGACGTACGACAGCGTGAATCGGTACGCGCAATTTCTGCTCGAGAATCATGTCGCTCCGGGGGATTTTGTCGCGACATATCTCATGAACTCGCCGGATTTTATCCATCATTTACTGGGTTCGTGGGCGATTGGAGCTGCTCCTGCACTGGTGAATTATCATCTCACGGGAGAAGGGTTGGTGCATTGCTTGAAAGTGGCTTCGAGTAAAATTCTTGTGGTGGATGAGGATGAGGGTTGTCAGCAGCGAGTGCAGCAGGTGCGGCCACGGCTGGAGGAACTCGGTATACGCGTGGTGGTAAGTTTCTTTGAAAACCACAAGAAAAAAAGAAAAAAAGAAAGAAAAAAAAGGGAATACAGTCAAGACAAGAGAAACTCGCTGACCTTGTGAGCTTATCACTTGTAGGTGCTGGACGCAGAGACCAAAAGAAGCATTCATGACAAGCAAGCCAAGAGACCCGACAACACCTACCGAGATCATGTTGCCGCCGACTTTCCCATTTTCCTCTTCTATACATCGGGCACCACTGGTATGTCTCTGATGGATTTGTTCCACCTGCAATATTCACCACTGACCACAATCGATGCACTCCATCAGGCTTACCCAAGGCTTGTGCCTTTCCCACCGGCAAGGCTCTCGTCCTCGGCCTTCCACGCCTGCGATCAACGACACTGCAGCCGGGGGACGTATGGTATGACTGTATGCCCTTCTACCACGGTAAGTTTGCGCACAGGGAGAGCCATACGCGGGAGTGCAAGAGTGATGATTAACGTGGAATGGATCAGGCACGGGTGGCACGACGGCCGTCTGCTGTATGATCACGGGACTGACTCTGGCCATTGGCCGCAAGTTCAGCGTCCGCAATTTCTGGAAGGACATTCACGACTCATCGGCCAGTGCCTTTGTCTATGTGGGCGAGACGGTGCGCTATCTGTTGGCAGCTCCAGCCTCTCCTCTCGACCGGGCACACCAGCTGAAAGCCATGTATGGCAATGGAATGCGACCCGACGTGTGGTTGCAATTCACCGAACGCTTCCACGTTCCCGTGGTCAACGAGTTCTTCAACAGCACCGAGGGCATGTTCTCGCTGTTGAACGTCTGTCGAGGTCCGTTCCATGTCGGTCACGTCGGTCATCACGGCGCCCTGGAGCGTCGCAAATTCCACAATGTCTTCATTCCTGTCGAAATCGACCATGAGACAGGCCAGATCTGGCGCGATCCAGTCACGGGATTCGCCCAGCGCAAGAAATATGAGGACGGTGGGGAGATACTCGTGGCGTGTAAGAGTGATCAGGACTTTTCGTACTGGAAGAATCCCGAAGCGACCGAGAAGAAACTCGAGCGAGATGTGTTTCGGAAAGGCGACGTGTATTATCGGACGGGTGATGCACTGCGGCGGGATCATGATGGCAGATGGTATTTCCGTAAGTCTTTTTTTTCCTTTTCCTTTTCCTTCTCTTCTTCCTCTTCTTCTTCTTTCCATGAATGATGATGATGAGCCAAAAAAGAAGAGAGACGACTAACTTTTTCTTTGATATCACCAGTCGACCGACTCGGCGACACGTTCCGCTGGAAATCCGAAAATGTCAGCACAGCCGAAGTCGCCGAAGTGCTCTGCCGCTTCAGTCCATCCATTGTCGAAGCCAACGTCTACGGCGTCCAACTCCCCAATCACGACGGCCGAGCCGGTTGCGCCGCCCTCTACATTCCCCCCGCCGTCCGCCCAGACTTCGACTACACGGCACTTCTCCGCCACGCCCGCCAGCATCTCCCTCGCTATGCGGTGCCCCTGTTCTTACGCATCGTGCACACGCCCTCGTTGATGCACAATGGCAAACAATCCAAAGTCGCGCCGCGCAGAGAAGGCGTGGATCCGGAGAAAATTTCTACGAGCGAGGTTCTCGCGTGCAGAGAGGATGAGATTCGATGGTTGAAACCGGGAAAGGAGACCTATCTTCCTTTTACACGTGGCGATTGGCAGGAATTGGTGGGAGGAAAGGTTCGATTGTGATCTTTTTTTTTTCTTTCTTTTTCCCTTTTTTCCATCAAGAATTGTGCAGGAGATGAGATAGATGGTATGAATAGAATAGAATAAAGCAAAACAAAATAAAACGTGCAACTCTACCCGCCGTATACCTACCCGTCATATAGGTACGTTACACTATAACTAACGAGCGTTACAATTACATGACTGTCTAACCGTTGGCACTACTGCGAAAAAAAAAACGTTGACACTACTTAACCTTCCACTGCGAGAGCGTTGGGGCCTCTTTTTTTACTCTTTTTCTCGAAGTTTCAATAAGAGATCATAATCCCGTATATACCTATATATACATACCTTCCGTCCTCCTTCTCAACTCGAGAAAAAAGGGCCGATCAGTTGCATAAATTCCTTGGCTGATTGACTCGAATATTCTACCTTCTTGGCACTAAGTACCTTCGACCGTGCCTTCTTCTTTGTTTTCTTTTTGGTGTTCCTTGTTGACAGTGAAGAAGAAAAAAAGGTACTAGTTCTCGCGAGCAATCGCGCGAGAGACTTGGTTATAAAAGTGACAGTTTGAAATGAAAGAGGGAGAAAGAGATAGATAGAGACATGGTGTTGCATTACTTTCCATCATCACCATCCTATTCTATTCCTCTATCCTGGGCATCTATATCTTCTCGTAATCGTCATAAGGTATCTTGTCCGACCCACCACTCGCACACACACAGAGTAGGATCCGATCCCAAAAAAAGAATATTGCGGAAAATTGCCAAATGCGATGCGCCTCAACGCCTGCTCATTGTTACATGCAGCGATGCGACCAGAAGGATGATGTTGATGATAATCTAGCATCCGTTGTACCCTTTCTGCTGCCACATCTTCGCGCTCTTGATAATCATCTCACCCTTCTTCTCCCACGTCGGATACCATTGGCTGCGGGCATTCCAAAAGTCGCGCTTGGACGTGTCGGATTGATCCACCCATGGCTTGCTCTTGACGCCATCTTCGAACCAGCCATTGGTGCCGCCCACGGCGACGTTCAGAATCAGGTAAAAGTCCTCGTCAAAAGGGGTGCTGTCGCGGCCGGTCTGACTCCACGGGTCCACCAGTCGCGTGCCATTGGAATCGGCGGCCGGGAAGTGGCCCTTGGCCCAAAAGGGTTTGTTGAAGTTCGTATACATGACTTGGAGGAGTCGCGTGTCGATGTAGGTGAAGATGTACTTCTCGGTCCACTCAAGGCCGTAGGTGTGGAAGCCAGAGCTGTAGGTGGTGTGCAGAGCTTGTCGCTTGACATTGCTTCGCCACCATCCATCGTTGTCGGAGTCCGGACCCCAGTGAATCGTCGACGACACGATATCGTTGCCACCTTGCGGATACGAGTAATTGTTGCCCCGCGACTCCATAATGTCGATTTCTCCCGATTGGGGCCACACGCCATAGGTGTCGTTGGCGGGCAACATCCAAATTGCGGGCCACATCCAGTCACCCTCGGGAAGCTTGGCGACAACTTCGACTCGGCCAAACTTAATCTTAGCTCCCTTTTTGGAGCTGACGCGGGCAGACTTGACGGGGTTGACAATGGTTCCGTTGGTGGTGTTCGTCACGGCAACGCAGTTGTGCCAGAGATCAGACGTACATTCTCCGTTATCCAGCAGATTGACGACGTTGTTCGAATTGATGAGTGATTCATCCTGGAGAGTAGGCTTGATATGCAACATGCCGTCTTGGATGAAAGCGTTTTCATCAGTGTTGGTGGTCATCTCGAACTGGCCATTGCTATTGAATGCGAATTAGCGCTGCACAGTCACAAGCTCACAAGATGAATGAGTGCGTCTCCTTACCCGTAACCTCCCACTTCGACTTCCTTGGTCCAGATGCTAGGGTTCAAGCCCCCAGAAAAGTCCTCGTCCAAGACGGGGCAGTAGGTGTGATTGGTCACGGACGACAAGCCATCGTACACGAGGAAACCGACCAGGCCGATACCGAGCAGCATACCAATGACGGGAATGATAGTGACCCATTTCTCCTTGGGATCCTTCTTTTCGAGCCAAGGCTTTTCGATCTCGGCCTTGTTGACTCTGCGGGAGTGAAAGTAGCGTGGAGGAGCGCTGGTTTGCAGACCAGTGGATGAGCCGATGGCGGAGGCCGGCATGGATCCATAAGGAGAGGCGAATGGATTTCGCGGAGGGGCGCGCTCAATGGGGTCGCTATCTGGCGTCCCGGGTCTAGGAGTGTTTGTGGCCGTTGTGGTGGCCGTACCGTGTTGGTAGTCCATAGCGGCGACACAACAGACTCGGGGTAACAGCACCAGTTATAGGAAGGGATCTCAAGGGCCCAGTGATCTCTCACAATGTGGGAGATGCTGGAAGCGGATACGAAGAGCACAAGATATAGAGGCGAAGCGAGAGAGGGATAAGGGATAGATAAGAGTTAAAGAAAGAGGGAGAACAAGGGAGGGAGGGAGTGAAAGAGAGAGAGAGAGAGAGAGGGTATATGGATGGGATGCGCTGGACTGGTGAGGCACCAGTCCAAAGAGGCGCGGGCATTGACTCAAGGCGGCGGATTGATCGCCCATTGTGGACTGATTTGAGTTCAGCGGTGCCTCATGGGAGAAGCACCAGCAGCGTTTACTAGTGAGCACACATCAACAGCCTCGCCTCGCCTGGCCCTCCCTCTGCCCTGAGAGAAGGCTGGAGGCCCTGTTTCGCAGCGAGCGAGCCTGTTCTGCATCTGCATCTGCCGCTGCCTCTGCCTCTGCCTCCGCATCTGCATTACATCTGCACCGGCGCCGGCTGCGGTTGAGATCATCGGCCCCGACAAGACACGCAAAGACGGCCGGTATCAGCAGTACCGTGGTGGAGAGGTCTCGTAGTAGTAGAGCGGCGGCGGCAGCGGGCCGGCAGTGGTAGCGGCGTTGCTATACAGCTGTAGCGGCGCCCGGCAGTGGCAGTGGTGGCGGCGGTGATGACGGTGGTGGTGGTGAGGAGGGTGGTGATAGTGGCGGTGACGGAGCGACAGTGAGGCCGAGTGGCAGCGGTGATGGTGGAGATGGTGGTGGAAGGGGAGTCGAGACGAGACGAGACGAGTTGAGACGTGAGGTGGGGAGGAGTGCAGTAGTGTCGAACAGCGAAGATTCCCGACGAAAGCGGGAGGTCCCGTTGCGCGGAAGTCTATTCCCGTTCCGGGACCATGTCCACGGGAGGGAGGCGGGGGAGAAGCGATGGGAAGGCCTGGCCCTTCCTTAGTCATCAACCTTATCGGTTTCCATCAAAACTTGACGACTTTTGATTTGGCCCTAGTCAAAAGTCAATTCCAGTGTTGCAGCTCCCTCTCTACCTGATTTCCCTACCTCCTACTGCTAGGAGGTACTAGGTACCACCACCACCACGACGACGACGACGACCACCACCACCACCACCACCATCACCACCACCACTACTACTACTACGACTACGACTACGACTACTACTGTTACTGCTACTACTACTGATTAGGCACTACCACACTACCTACACGTATTCTATTGACCCCTTTTGGAATCATGTCCCATTATTGACTCCCTGCTTTTCATCAGCCATTCCAGAGAAAACCATCACCATACCCTATCACTAAAAAGGCATCCCCACGACCGCTATACGAGTTTCAAGCTGCTGCGGCCTGTGTCCCAACGACGGGGAGGTGGGATAATTAGTTCTTCAGGTACATGTAGGTATAAGGCACGCTTCGGACTTCACCTGACTCTGCATGAACTAGCACCGATCGCATCCCGATGTGTCCACTTTCCATCTGCACTAGGAGGTATGAAATATTGGTTTCTTCACTTCTGGATATGACGAATCGATATCACCACTACTAGAAGGTAGTATACATGTACACATCAGCGTCGTCACGACGCGTTGCCTCTTTCGGTCCCTGTGGCCTTGACCTTTCGGGCCTTTGTAGCGCAGCTCATACCATATTGGGATCCGTGGCTTGCTTTCGCCTCACGACACGTTCCCGTTCGGCATGTTTGGGGCTCGGCAGTCTAGCGCCACGCCTCACCACGCCACGCTGTGACGGACCTCCTCGGCCGCTTGTTGTTGGTCTGCCGCTCGGCTGTAGGAGCCATGTATATTTATCATTCTCTTCCCGATGTCGATGTCGATGCGGATGCCAATGCCGACACTGCTAGCCTCCCTACTACCCTCTAAAAGGGGAGAGAGGTAACCTCTATGCTGTTGGTGCATGGGCAATGATGGACCTCTCTATACGCTAACACCTCGTGTTCGCAGTCGTCTCCGCGAGTGATGGTCCTACACTACCTCCCTTTTTATGCTTCGTTACGTTTCCCTCAGGGACACGATTGTCCAGACTGTGCTGGAAACCGACACTCAGCACTGGCATCAACCCTGTCACATCACGCGGCAGCATTCAGTGTAGCAGAAGAGCCCGTGTGCCGTCTCTCGTTCATACATTCAGTGAGTGAGTGGGTGAGTGAGTGAGTGGGTGAGTGAGTGAGCGAGTGAACGAGTGAACGAGTGGCCTTCGGGTCCCGAAACACGTTGGTGGCGAGAGTGCCCTTCATAACCCGTCGTGATGGATGGTTTCCGCTACCGCGTAGCTGGCACCGTCCCGACAGTCAATCGACAGGTACTGACAGTATAGCGGGATCTGATTTCGAGCCAACCACGAGCCTATGCCATAGCCAGTGCTGGTGTTCGTATAGTAGTGCCTTGCTATCGACCGGTCCAGGGACGATGCATGGCAGACGTCCTTTTGACCCGATAATATCGTGAACTCTCTGAACCCCAGTCTATCCACGAGTGCTCAACGATTCATAGCTCACATGGAGAAGAAGCCGGGTATGTCTGGGGATGTATCTAGGCCCAATGGTGTCCCTCTTCTTGCACATACCTTCAGATCATCACAGATATCCCACCTCCACCGTCGCGCTCACCAGGGGACGCAGCCCTGCTTCGTTACTTGAAGCCTCTGCTACCTCCTAGCAGCTACAGCCATCATACCCTGCTGCAGTAATTGAGTTGCTTCCAGTCATGGGGCTCAAAAACTACTTCATGTCGTCGAAATCGACCGCGGACCCGCATACACAGCCAACAGAGAAGCTAGAGCAGAGCGTGACACCGACGGGAGCACCGCCGACGTATTCTGGACGAGACTCCTACGCAAATGCATCTTCGAGTGCCTCCTTGGCACCGTCGGCCCATGCTGGTAATGTGGTGGATGGGATCAGACGTGAAGTCCTCGTCAACTACCTCTTCCAGCAGCAGTGCACGTCGCGATGGATCGGCAATGGAGTCGGGGACTACGAAGGTGTCATGGTGAGGCAGATGAAGAACGATTTTTTGTTCTGTCCACCGGATCTCCACGATTCTGTCTTTGGTCGCTGCTGCATGGCCCTCAATCTTCCTTGTGCCATGGTAAGTTCCCGCAGCCACGAAGGCGTTGAGGTTGAAGAAAGCCATAATCTGGCCCGTTCTGCATCTGCTAGAGAAAATGTGCTTACTTTCACCCTCTTCGTAGACCGTCAATAGCAGGGTCATCAAAACTTTCCTGGCATGGTCCCCCAATGCTGTGGATGTGCCCCTTAAAAACGGGTTGCGGGTACAGGTGTTGCCGTCGATGGACGATCTTTCACGAGCGAGAAAGATGCAATTTGCCGCCTTTATCGCCCAGGACGGTCTCTTGGTGGTCTGGGACGATGACCCAGCCAATCTCATCCAAAGGGCTCGTTCCATGGAGGAAGACTTGATCGACCTAGTCTGGAAGACAGGGACTACAACGGGTGAGGAAGAAGTAGCAGCAGCAGCAGCCAGCGACGAGAAGAAGATTCCTCGTGTCACAGCGGTCATGGTCGATGAGGAGACTGGCACATATGCTCCAGAAAACCGACCTACTCACCTCCAAAACACAGTTCTTGTGGCAATCACAATGTGAGTTTCAGTGCCATCACATTCGCTTCAACAACATTATACTAAGTCTGATGAAGAATCCTAATCTTGGTCCTGCTGGGCGCTGGATTTCGTCAACTGGCCATAGAGGTAAGCTGTACTTGTACTTTGCGATTCTCCCGAGACCACATGCTCACCTCTTTTCAACAGGTCAAAGTAGATCAAGGCTACGCTCGCCTGGCCTTTCTGATCCTGACCCCGATTCAAGTAAGCTGGACGCTCCGCCCTTTTACATTGAAGGCATATGCTGACTTGACGGGTAGATCTTCTTTACTCTGGTAAGCTGACTTGTGGTGACAACGATGATGATGATAAAGACGCCCTCCTGACAACAAGAACAGTTTTTCGCACAAGTCATTGTCGGCTGCCTTGCTCAATGCGTGTAAGTACAAGACTTGTTTCTCCTGACACTCCAACAACAACACTAGAGAGAAACATTTGCTCACCTTCAATCGATACCCATTTCTAGTGGCCCTATCCATCAGATGAAAGAAAACAGCAGATTCTACTCTGCCATGCTGCCCGTCCGAATGACATCTCGCACACTTCCACACGTGACAATTCAGTGTCCCGTCTACAAGGAAGGTCTCGATTCTGTCATCATACCCACCATCCGAAGTATCAAAGCTGCAATTTCGACGTATGAGATGCAAGGCGGAAGTGCCAACATTCTCATCAACGACGACGGACTCCAATTGCTCGACGACCAAGAGCGGGAAGCCCGCATTGATTTTTACGCCGATAATTCTCTCGGATGGACAGCGCGACCCAAACATGGTTCTGAAGGATTTGTTCGAAAGGGAAAATTCAAGAAAGCGTAAGCAAGCATATCTGACCGCACCCCTCGCCTCCCAGTCAGCATTCGTTTTGTCGACATATGTCTAATTTTCTTTTCCCCTTTTTGCAGGAGTAACATGAATTTCGGTCTGATGATATCCTGCAACGTGGAAACCAAATTAGCCGCAGTCGAACGAAGTGACGACTGGACGCAGGCCGATGAAGCACTAGAGTACGAGCGCTGTCTTCGTGAAGTAGTCGAAGAGCACGGTCGTGCGTGGGCAGACGGTAACATTCGCATGGGCGACTACATCCTGATCGTAAGTCTTGCGCGAGTTGGACCTTTTTTTCCCCCAAAAATACAAAAAACATCGATGTGGCTCGAGGGCTGTCATGATGGCCAAGTGTATACACTGACAAATCTCGTGGTTAGATCGATTCCGACACTCGCGTACCCACCGACTGTTTCCTCGATGCCGTCAGTGAAATGGAGGCTTCACCAGATGTAGGCATCATGCAATTCGCATCTGGCGTGATGAATGTCACCGACTCGTAAGATTGCCTCCTCCTCGTCCTCCTCCTCTTTCGGCAATTTCGGTTTTCCTTCCTCAACCGCTGACTGTTTTTTTTTCCTCTTCTCAAGATTTTTCGAAAACGGAATTACATTTTTCACGAATTTAATCTATTCTGCAATCAAAGTGAGTAGAAGTACCTGAGTTTGGGCGGATATCCACATTCGACGACGATCGTAGGGGGCGGCCGCTAATTTACCTTTTTTTTCTTTTTCTTTCTTCGCTAGTATACTGTCTCCAACGGAGATGTTGCACCATTCGTCGGACATAATGCCATCTTGAGATGGTCTGCCATCCAGGTGAGTCGAAGGGACGTCCATTCGGGCAAGAGAGGGTATCACAAATTCTTTTTATTCAGAGCTAATCGTGCCTGACCCTCAGGAAATCGGCTACTTTGACGAAGATGGCTACGAAAAATTCTGGTCCGAGAGCCACGTCTCCGAAGGTGAGTGAATTGGACACATCTCCAAAACATGTTCGCATTTGGTGTTGGAAATGCTAACGTTGTCCTTGTTTTTGGGTAGATTTTGAGATGTCGCTCAAACTTCAATGCCTGGGATATATTATCCGCTTGGCTTCTTGTAAGCATCATACAAAACGACCATGCACAAACCGAAACAAACCCACTAATCACATTCGATGGGATGTATAGGGGACAACGCAGGTTTCAAAGAAGGTGTTTCACTGACCGTCTACGACGAACTGGCCCGATGGGAGAAGTACGCATATGGTTGCAACGAGCTTCTCTTCCACCCCATCCGGACGTGGTTATGGAAAGGGTATGTATCAATTCCTCACACCCACAAGCAGCAACAAAAGAAAATTCCTCTTTTCTTTTTTTTTAAAAAAAGAGAATTCATACTAACAACCATTGGGAAAAACCAGACCCTTCACACCCCTCTTCCGTAAATTCCTCTTCTCCAACATCCGCTTCACCTCCAAAGTCACCATTGTCAGCTACATTGGGACCTACTACGCCATTGGCGCCGCATGGATTTTGACCGTTGCCAATTATTTCGCCATTGGCTGGTTTAATGGATACTTGGATAAGTACTACATTGACAGCTGGAAAGTCTGGTTCTCCATTGTCATTGTCTTCAACGGACTCGGAAACGTCTCGCTGGCGACGATGCGATATCGAATTGGAGAACGCGGATGGTTTTCTTCGTTGTTTGAGAATTTGAAATGGACGTAAGTATTCATGGTGTAGTTGCACTACTACATACACACTACATGACACACATCGGGAAGAGGCGAACTCGTGCTAATAATCATCACGAACTTGCAGATTTATGCTGGCAATCTTCCTCGGAGGCTTGAGTCTTCACGTCTCGCAAGCGCTGCTTTCTCATATGTTTGAGATTAATATGACATGGGTAAGTCTGTCCTTTTCGTTAATCAATTCTTCCTCTTCCTCTTCTTCTTCGAAGACGTGTGACATTTCTTCACAACTATCAATTACATATCGACTAACAGATCTTTTTCCAAAAAAAAATAGGGCGCAACATCCAAAGAAGCAGAACAATGTAAGTCACCATACCTATAAATCCCCCCTCCAAATCCATCCCCCCTACTAACCCATTCTCTCACAGCAAACTTCTTCATCGAAGTCCCCAAAATCCTCGGCCGATTCAAATGGTCCATCTCCTTTGCCCTCTTCTTCATCATCGTCATGATCGTCCTCGCCGTCGGGACCTTTCTTCCTCACAGCTGGATGATCAAAGACTTCATCGCCATTCTGCCCCTCTCGACTGTATCCGTCAGTCATTTGTTGTTGCCGATTGTCTTGAATCCGGCTTTGATGACTTTTAGTTTTTAAAAAGAAGATGATATGAGATGATGGAAAAGGCGAAGTGGGCTGGAGCCTGGCTAATGATTATTACCTCAAGTCAACCAATAATGATAATCTTATGGATCAATGCCCACAAAATTACACACATACAGATAGATCATAGACGTATTGTATCTAGAATGACCATAAAAAGCTCACCCAATCAAATCCTACTACCTCCTAGTACGAGTAACGAGTTTGCTCGTCTTCCCGTCTCAGTCAGCATCATCATCGCCTCTTTTCCGGCAAATCCGGCGAACCAGACATAGTGGGAGGGGTTCCCCCTGCACCCGACAAATGCTCCGAAGGTGGTGCAACAGCCCTGGTCGCTATGGCGTGTGCCCCTCACGTTATGAAAGTAATCGCCATTCGCCTGTTGCAAGGAATATTTGCACCGTACGTGTAATGGGATGATACTGGATAGTACAACTCGATTGCAGCGTGTAGAGCTATAGTACATTATCTGATAATTGAAGGCCAGCTGGAACGTGACAATGTCTTTCGACAGGTCAACAACCTGGACTCTGCCACCATATTTTGATCATTTCGTGCTGATGGTCTGGACGTGCATTTCGGCCCTAGAGCAGCTTATACCATAGCATATACCACAGTACCGATGGCGGCAGCGACGAGGCCCATGCTGACGCGTGCAATCGACGCACTTCCGACCTGATCTCTTTCCGCATCAATCTTGACACACAGTGGAGTGAAGGTGCTGCCAGAGTCGATTACCACCATGTGGACGCGCGTCTCGGCAATGTCGAGGAAAGTGGTGTTCCCAGCGTCGAATGGGTCGCTCGTGATGTGAGCGAAGCCCCCCGTGAGGTTACCAGCAAGCTCTGGAGCAAGAAGGTTGTAGGTCGAGAGTTTCGTCTCCTCGTTGAAAATCCACTCGCATTGAACGATATCGGTCACGTTGAGGTTGCTGAGTCGACACCCGTTATCAGCAGGTTGTGTCTTCGCCACGCGGTCGTTGATGGCATTCAGACACTGATCTCGCAGTGCATATCGGCAGCTCCCGTCGCTAGCGTTGCTCTCGGTGTCGGCGTTGTAGCGATTTGCCTCTTTGCTTGGGAGCAGACTCTCGAGAATAGTGACACAGAAGTTATTCTGGTTCAACTGGCCGCTACTGGCTGCAACTGCCTCGCTCAGATTGCCACCGTTGGGGTAACCAAAGTCGTACACCTAAGAAACCCATCACATGTCAGCGCGTACTCGAGACATGTCTGAGGTGAGCAAAGATCCAACTCCCAGGGTAATTTGGCACTTCGCGCACGGAGCGGCATAAATGACGGAGCTGCTCGCTGGGGACCATGATACTGACAGTGTTGAGGACTGATGCATCTGGGATGGCACTGTCCGGAGGTGCGGCTTGCTCGAGGCGCGTGATCAGCTGCCAGCGCGGCGCGTTGCCCTCGTTTGGGTAGAAGAGATCAAATGACACCGTCTTCTCCGTAGTGACCTGTGCATCATCGAGGAAGCTCTGGCCCTCAGGATATGGCCCTAGAATTGATAAGCATGTGGTTCATGAGCGCACAAGAGCCATTCCGCTTCGCATTGGACTGCTCGAGGCACTCCTACGAGGACCACGACTCACCAGGGCCGCTGAAGGCAGTCGCGTTCTGGGCAGCGACCAAGCCAGAGCTCGCAACGAGCGCGGCGATGATGGAGCGTCGGGAGGCCATCGTATTGCTGGAGAGGTGGAGAGAGGAGCGGGTGAGGAGTGCTGACGAGCAATGGCCTGTGTTATGAAGTTTTCCTCTGCCGAGTAAATTGTTGTGCTTGGTATTGGAATTAACTTTAGAGCTACCAAGCTAATGATGTTTCAATCCGACGGTGCCGGGCTCGCACCGGTGCAGGCGCCTTGCCAATACCTTGTGCAGTAGCCAAGTATTGGATGGCCATGGCGAGGTCAGAAAGACCCGACGGAGCCCGGGCATCGCTGCAGCAACGGCCACGATGATTGCTGCCGTGTGACAGTGACAGACGACCTGTCAGCGACATGCCGCCGACAAAGCGGAAGCCGGCAAGCATCTCGTTGTACAAGAGTCATCACAGAGTCACAGACCCCAGGCCTGACCCGGACGAGGAACTGAGGATTCACTTATTATATGGGCCGAGTTTCTTGGCTACCAAGTCTTCTGGCGTCTTCCGTGCTACTTCATGTCTGGGCAGGCTGGGCAGTCCGGGATCTGTAAATGAGGCCCGGTCCGATCGGCAAGGCACCAGCAGACGAGGCGCCAGGAAGTTGTGCTGACGTGGAGACTTTCATAGGTGGACGTAGTCGTTCCCTGGTGCTGAAGTAGATGTAGACGAGAGAGAGCGTGAGAGTGAGGGACGAAGCAATATATAAGGAAAGCTTGGGTGGGAAAGAAGAAAAGAGGTGTGTGCGGGTGCCTGCTAGGACGGGAGGAAGCGTCCGAATCCGAGGGGAGGGTCTCCACTCTCTTGCCAGAGTGCCAGTCACCCAACAACCACCACTACCTCCCCACAGCTACCGACTGCATGTTCTTGGACCAAGGTACTACTACATACAGTATTGACTAGCCCACAGCCTTCAACAAGTCACTGTTTCCTGCAAGATACCAGCCCACAGGCGTCGAGCGTTGTCACTCTTCCCAGAGACGATACCATGGTCGTACGCACACTACTTGTCCCAGCGACTCTATCGTCCGCCACTACAGGGTGCTGACCATCAGTGCAGCTCGGCCGCCTCGCCCACTACACATTCGACGCAGTTCTTGTGTCTGCCTTCCTGGCCGGTGTCAAGCGCTCTACGGGCCTCACGTACGTCTAGTTCTCCTACCAACACCTTCGACCGCCTGGCCGCCCATCTGCTCTCCTTTCTCATCACGTTTCGTGCGCACGCAAGAGCAAGCCAGGATACCGGCGTCTGACCCTAACATTAGTCCTAGCCTGAAACCAGACACGTTTTCAGAGTCTCCGGGCGTCAAGAAGTGGATAGAGAACTATCTGTGGGTGGGCGAAACAATTATGGATCAGAGTGTTGCCATCATGAGTTCGAGCGGGTACTTTGAGCGCAAGAGGTGAAGTGTCGCTGAAGGAAACCATGGACACACACGTGAGAGCAAGTAATAGTGGGCGGCACGGCCCAAAAATACGAGGACCAGCGACCCAGACAACGACGTGGAGCTCATCTCAGCCATGAAAGCGCAATGCCGAGAGCATACCTGCATGCGGCTGCTAATAAATGCAGAAGTTGAATCGAGGCATGCGAGCCATGTGAATGCATTCGGTCTTGTATGAGTGCGGACTGGTGCGCTTGTGTCGCATCCATGACATGTCACCCCGTACGCTCAAGCAACATATAATGATGCGAAATGCGGCTCTGCCATGTCGCAGCGTAAGGTTAGGTAGTTGTACATTGCAAACCCACACAGTCGCACCTATCGCACTGTCCGATCTACTATAAGCATGCAACGCGCCGAGGCAAGGGGAATCTATGCATGAAGACTGTTCTCATTTTGGCATTTTGCTACGCCGAGCTACGATGGTATTGCCCTGAACAAGTTGATCGATCGCCTGGTCAGCGCCAGACCCGAGCCGCTCTGCCCTAACGCCATCCGTTGATGCAGCTGCTCGTCAAAGGCACATTTATCGCCCTTTTTCATCGCCTGATCATTTCCTTGAAGTACATCGTCTCGTCGCTTAGAACTTGGTGAACTGCTTGACCTGTTTGCCAGTTCTTGGGAGGACACGGAGGACGTTGAAGCGGACCTGTTCTCGTATTAGTGCATTTGTCTCTGACATGCCGTTCCTTGTCCTTTCGTTCGTCTTACGGTCTTGCTCAATGGGCGGCATTGCCCAACAGTAACCTGATCACCCTCAGAGACACGGAATGCTGGAGAAACATGTGCTGCGAGGTTCTTGTGACGCTTCTCGTAACGCGAGTACTTAGGAACGAAGTGAAGGTATTCTCGGCGGATGATGATGGTGCGGTGCATCTTGGCAGACACAACGGTGCCAGTGAGGATACGACCGCGGATGGAGACGAGACCAGTGAATGGGCACTTCTTGTCTGTGGCATCCTGTAAGCGTGTGCCCAAAATATACAACCTCACGTTGCATGGCCTGTCGCGCGCTGGTGATCCCGACAGCCTTGCCACGGCCCACCCCCTCATGAACAGCACATACCGATGTACTGGCCCTCAATGGCAGTCTTTGGGGTCCTGAAGCCCAGACCGACGTCCTTGTACCATCTCCGGCCACCCTTTCCGACTCTGGTGGACTTCTTCTGGCTCTTGGAGTTCAAGAAGATGTGTGGCTGCTTCTGGAAAGCGCGCTCGCTCTGGACAGTCAACTCGGTGGCCATGATTGCGGTGTCGCGGGGTGGTCGTTGGGTGTAGTCGGCGGCGAGGAGTCTGTCGTGGATGTTAGGTAGAGTTCGACAAATCGTGCTGGTGTGCACATGCTTGGCGTCGGCAGAAGTTTATCCGAACTCCACAGGAACACAAAACCACAAAACCACAAAGCCACAGAGGTCGGATGGAGTTCGTGAAAGGGACAGCAGCAACGACATCCACGTAACCCCGACACTTACAATACACACATTCACTCTCTCTCTCATACAGACGCGCATACAAAATGCTCGCAGTGCGTTCAGTCCTGCGGCAGTCGCTGCAAATTCAATCCGCGGCGAGTTGGCTTTGCCGCAGCACTGCACCGGCCCAGAGACAGCTCAACACGTCAACGAAGAGCAATGCGCTGCAGACCAGACGACAAGGCACTGTGCTGGGTGCGCTCCAGCCCTGGTGGTATCAAGCAGCATCTCGTGCGCTCGCTGAGCAGCAGGTGCGCGGCATGAAGGTGCGGAGCAGCGTGAAGAAGCTGTGCGATGGCTGCAAGAGTGTCAGGAGGAAGAGCGGCAAATACGTGTACATCATCTGCAGCAAGAACCCAAAGCATAAGCAAAGGTAGGAGCTCCACGAGCAGCTACACCAGATCGGCACCGTCTGACAGATGACAGGCAAGGATAAAAGGACATCCACACAGCTACCGCATTGCCGTGTCCGGACAAGCACAAGCTGGCAAGAAGTTGCTACTCTCGGTATCAGGCCAAACGAGCGCAGATTTGGTAGGCGCGATTGCACGTTTCGACCACCGAAATTACAGCTTTTTCGAGGACAACTCGGCTCTCATCAGGACTGTCCAATTCCCACAGAACCTGAGCACTTCATCCAGGCTATATAGAACGTGGTATCCAGCATGGACTGAGAGGAAACAGAAATGCCATTTCTGGTTCACTCGGGAATTTACAGCCCAGAATACCTGCTATTGCCACAACGTGCGCTTAAAGCCACTTCGCAGATCTGACGCTGGCGCGGAGTGGAAAGACAGCATGTATCATTGATTGAACATGGCGTCGCATATTGGGGGCGGCCTTTCTTGAAAGTCCATATAGTCTGTACGTTGTTGAAGCCTTTCCATCGCACAAACTCTCTGCGTGACGAGTCGCAGTACTATGCCTAGCAATGAGGCTTTTGTGACCGGGTGACCTGATCGCAGTCGCAAGGCATGCGCCGTGAAAGGTCGATGAGTGCATGGAGCGAATTTGAATCTCGATCCGTATAATGGGCGCCCAACAATCGGTTATGAGTCCGCAGATGCGAGACGCAAGGCATTGAAGACCTTTACCCGGGCAGGTAATGCTCTACCTGTAACCTGATGGGTTTCTGACCACGACATTTGTATGACACCAGGTATACCTGTATGCTACAGGTATCAAAGACGATGCCTAAATGTGGAATTTTGCAATGGTCCGCCATAGGTGCTAGGAGGTAAGTATAGGCAGATGAAGTTATCAGGAGGCTACCGTAATGTAGCAGTGTTTGTTGGCCTTGGATCAGTCTTTGCCTTTCTTTTGGGGAGAGACTCTGGATTAGGTAGGTACATGTCACTACATGTACCTGAGGTTAGGAGGTATGTAGGTAGAGATGCTACATTAAGGTAGGCAGTAAGGTAGGTACCAGGTACAGGTAGCTACGGGGTGGATTATCTCAGCCCTAAGGCACCTCCTTACTACCTTACATGTACCTACATATATCATCTTGGCTCCATCTCTCATCACGAATTGGCACTGTATACCGTTCAAATAACGCTTTCATTTTTCAACGACGATTGTGAGCAGAAGCATGGCTTCTGTCTCTCCATCTGACACAACGGCGCATCTTCCACCAGAGCATCTTGCTGACTCAGACGTCGCGATCGCGGCTACGTCGGTCGAGCAAGGTAAGTACATGTAGTAGTAGGTAGGAAGATGGCGAGAACGCGGTTCCAGCCCAAGTAATGTACAGTACGTGCTCATCGGATACACAGGCGACCAGACGGAGCCAGCCGTGGCCACTGCACAAACGGACACGAGTATCGCCATTGAGGATGGAGATGCTCCAGCTCCAGCCCCAGCCCCAGCCGCCTCGACCTCCATCACAGGCGACGCCGCCGAAGATTCATATCCCGAGCTAGAAGACCATATCACGCTCCAGCCTCCTCCTCCTCCTCCTCATCCTCCAGCTGGATTCAAGCCCTACTTCACACTCCTCGAAGATCGTATCACGGGGGAACAACACCATCCGACAGTACATTACATTTTCGCAGACGACGACCCCGATCTGCTGACTAACGCTGCGCTCGAGACGTTGCTGCATACACCACATCATCATCAGCAACAACAACCGGACGCGGAAGTCGCTTCTACGGAGAGATTCATGCTGGTAGACATGAGTGCAGATGGACAAGACATCGTGTCAACATCTTCTCTGTCTGCAGACTGGCAAAGTTTTGAAAGCAGTTTGGCGCAAGCTCCTTCCTGGGGGAACGATAGCGCCTCTACACAGTTAATGCTACGCATTTCCGGGCAAGGGTCGCTGCCTGTTCTTCGCCGTGGTCGTGGGGATCAGCGACGGATGGACGATGTGGCTGGCCTGACTCGACTGCTCGATGATGTTCAGATGGATCTGGAGAGTGTAGTAGTAGGTAACGCAGGTCATACGACGCAATGAGACTCTATAGACAGAGGAGGTCACGATGTCAGTAATGACAATTAGTGACATGGACGAGCACGAGAACGAGCAATACAGCACAGACTTCGGGGGTTTCTTGTTGTTTGTTCTGTCGAAAATGGGGGTATCTCTAATGAAAAGGCAATGTATTTGATTAACCCTCGCTGATTCGGACACTTTTTCGTGTCGCCCGTCTTGGTCTGCCACCCGTGTCAACCTCGACGGGCGGCTCTGTCGTTTGAGATGGTTTCACTTGCTGCAGCGGCATCACCGGGGATGCCGCCTTCTCCGACTTCATTGCGCTTGTTTGCGCAGGCGCTGCCGCTTCTCCATCAGTCTTGGTTTTGAGCATACTACCACCTTTCTTCGTCTTGGTCGCTTTAGCGGTGGGCCGGGTTTTCACGTGTTCCTCGACGACGGGTGTTGCCTCTTTCGATACGTTCTCTTTCTCCGTCACCACTGTGCTTTTGAAAGGCAGACGAAGGGCCAGATGTGAGTCTGGTGCGCGTTCGCAACGTTGCATGACGGCTTCCATATATGAGCGCACTTCCTCGGCTGGTTTGACCCACCGGCGAACGCAATTGAGCAACTCCTCGCGTCCGTAGGCGACTTCGATCATGATTGTTATAGGCTGCCAGTATTCTGCGTTGGGCTCAAGACCATCGCTGTCCGCTGCCTGATGGCCTTTGCGGATTACGATGAAGCTGACTAGTAAGTGCTGAGGGGATAGAGTCTCGAGAATGCTGTGTTGTGGGAATAGGAATCGGTCTTCAGTAGCTCCAACGTCCTTGAAAGCGATGATGACGGGTAAGGCAGGAGCCACCCAAGGTTGCTGTTGGCCATGCTGTTGTGGTTGTTGTCCAGGCTGTGCAGGCGGGTATGGCTGTGTACCTGGGGCGAGTTGCATTGTTCCATTCAGTGTGCTGGAGACTCTCATGTCTGCTTGTCCATCGTATTGAATCGTATTCGGCTGCTGGTAGGCTTTGGCTGTCGAGTCGTCTTGGTCTTGTTTCTGTCGTGTGACCATGGCTGTGAGCTCATCGATGTGCTTCTGGAATACCTTGAGCTGCTCCTGAGTGGCATGGCCTGTAGCCACTTCCTTCATAAGGGACTTCAGCTCCGGGTCGGTCGATGCACGAGTGGCCAACATGCTAATGACCGGATCTGGTTTCGTTCCTGATTGGGGCGCCGGGCTACTCGCCTGGGGAACACGAGGCGGCGATTGCTGAGGTATTTGGGGCTGGCCTGGTGGAATCGTGGGGGGCAGGCCACGATGCTGGTACTGCTGAGCTGGTCTGTAGTGCGAAATGGGCTGCTTCGGCGCTACAGGCGCTTTCGCTCGCTCCTCCACATACATTTCGGCCACAAAAAGATGGGGCTCGATTCGTATTCGACACTCGCCTCGACTCTTCATCAACTTGACGTCCGGATTATCGGGGGGAGGCGGTTTTCCATTCTTTCCCCCCTCGGGCTTGACCCAGTATCGCTCGAATATCCCATCAGACACCCAGGAACGGCGCGATTGCTCCAGAGCTGCTGCCAGCACTGCACTGGCTGCCACAGTCTGATATTCATCTGGGGATAAATCCAGCGGCTGGGGCTCTGCCAGGGTCGGAAGCGGTTTGTTGTCAGATAATTTCGATATCAAGCCTTTGGTAGAGGTAGTAGCCACGGCTGCGGGCGACTCTACTGCTGGACTGCCGGTTTTCTGCCTCTTCGCCGCTCGCTTGCCCACCGCAGCAGGCTCTTCCATTACGGCCATGCGATCTTACTCGGAGTCTTCACGCGCCGTTAGCCTCTGGCATCACTAATTGTCTCTTGGCAGCCCGATCTGGTTTGCTATGATGGACCTATAGCACCTTTAATTATGTAAGGTACATGTAGTACCTTAGTCCTGATGATGGCCTGGGGCTGGGTCGCCAGGTCTTTCTGGAAGCAGTCTCTGCCAAGAAAAACAATACATCGTCTGTTTCTCCCCCCGCCCCTTGCCTTCATGTTGCCATCCATATAGGAGGTCAGGTAGTAGTCCCGCACAGCAAATCAAGTCGCGCTCATGGCTTCACATCTACAGAAGCTCGCAGTTGGTCTCGCGGCTGCCGTAGGCCTCTACGCAGTCCTAATAGGCGTACTGCTCACGCCAGAGGCCCAGAGATTGTAAGCTGGGAATGGCTGATCGAAAGCGACCATAGGCTGATGCACCAGTAGTGCTCTGTGAGTCTCCGTGGCGGACGCTTGGTATACTGATGGCGTGGCCTGACTGTCGGCTCGTAGATATGCCAACAAATTCCATACTTTGAGATGGAAAGATGTTCATCGCGGTGAGCCGTAAGTGCACGAATCGCCCAAATGCTTCGCGGACTACATGTGCTTGTCATTCACATATTATCGATAACATGGGCGCGGACGTGGAAATGGATGATAGTATAGTGGAGGCACTTCTGGGCTATTCGCTTACCTCGCCAGCTCCTATTTAGGTACGGATTCGCCAAACATCAAGTAACCCCCTTTCATTTGCCGACGCGAGATGGCGAGATATTGTATGCCTGGCATATCCTCCCTCTCGATCAGTACGTGCGACACGAAGCCGCCATACTACAGGAAGCACGACCGCCTAACGCTGTCGTCCCCGACCTGACGCAAACAACAGCCTTCAAGTTGTTGACATCAAATCATCCCTCTCCTGCGAGAGTGGTCGTGAGCTTTCATGGCAACGCAGGGCATGTTGCCCAGGGCCAGCGAGCTGCAACTAATCGTTACATGGCTACTCAACCCAATACTCATGTCTTTACCGTGGAGTAGGCCAGCCTTCAGTTTGAGCACCAGTGTGGTACTGACGGCGATATATAGTTATCGAGGCTTTGGCCATTCGACTGGAGCTCCCACGGAAACTGGACTGATCGTGGACGGAGTCGCGCTAGTCAGCTGGATCGTCTCGGTTTGCAATATACCCCCCGAAAGAATCGTTATATATGGCCACAGCCTCGGTACAGCGGTATCTGCTGCAGTCGCTCGTAAGTGAATTGCCTGCCACCAGAAGGCACTATCCAGTCAATCCCCGTGTCTTCACCTCCCAGGAGACAAAAATACGTCAGAAATTTGCTTACCGTCATGATCAGTACACTTTGCAGACCCAGGCAACACGGAAAATCCTTCGGCTGTGCAGACGTTGTATCCATTGCGCGGAACGAGCGCAGTGGGCTACCCGTCTACTTTTGCTGGCATCGTGCTCGCTGCGCCTTTTGACAGCATCCCTACTCTTCTGCTTACCTACCGCGTGGGTGGCTTAGTGCCTCTACTGCTACCACTAAGGCCATTTTCCTTCGCTGTTGAGCTCCTGAATAACTTCGTCGATACATGGAACACTGCCAATCGGTTGAGAGAGTACTATCATGTTCTGGAGGGTAATCCTGATCTGTACAGCGGTACACGGATTACCGGCTCGGTTCAGATCATGTAAGTACGCATTCTCAGACGATGCTAGCCGTGGTACTGACGTTTTGTGAAGTCATGCCTTGAACGATGCGGATATTCCATTTCATCAGACGGAGCTCATCTGTCAGAATGTCCTCCGACAACAGTCTTTGGATGCCCGTGTGCCGGACAGCGATGAGCTCGAGGCGCATGAGACCATCAAGGGCAGCGAAGGTGCAGCTGTCCTCCGTGTCCGTCGAGAAGGCTCTCCATCACTGCGATTTGAGTTTGTTGAACATGGCGGCAAGTCACTCTTCTCACACCAGGTGTCAGTGGCGTTTCTTTGGCTGATGAACTGTTTCCAGGCCACAATCGCGTCATCACGTATGCTCCAGTAGCTGCGGCTGTCTTTCGCGCATTCGAGGGCCTTCTCACATCAGCCGTCACCGAGGGAGAGGAACAAGAAGGAAAAGTTCAAGCGGAGCACTGTCGCAGTGAAGGTGGAATTTAGCGGCGCGTCGCCCACGGCAGCCTCCACATCGCGACGGTTTCTGCACGGACACATTGCAGGTCCTGATTTGTTTGCTCGAGAATACATGGAGTCTCTTCATTTGTAAGTGTCAGCTTTGAGCTCATTCACCCAACTATCGCCATACAAGAATCGGCCAGGAGCGCCCATCCAGCCCAAGGATTGATTCAGCCAAACGTCTGCAATCAAAGAGTCTTCACAAGGGCCGAGACTCCCACCAACGCAAGTCAGAATCATGACCATCAAGCTCATTCCGCGGCTAACCTCCGCACCCACAAGCTCGCTATGTCGTCCGCCATCTCCCCCATCCTTCCGGCGATCACCAAGCTACAAATTCTCGATGCACTGATTTGCGCTGCGTTCGAGCTTCACTCTGGCGGACGAGCAGTTCTGGAATTTGCGAAAGTCCTCTTTGGCAACGTGCCTGTAGCCAACGCGGTAGAGGAACGCGAAGAAGATGAGAAAAATGTTGGCATGAATGGCCATTGGGGCGAATCGGGGGCTTGCACTGCGCTTGCTCGCGCCTACTTCCTCCTCATCGAGCATGGTGAAGATGCCAATGCCGAAGAAGTGAAGAAGATCGCGATGAGCAGGTTCATCAAGGCTGGGTTCGAGGCGCAGGTAGCCAAGATCAGAGAAGGCGGATAGTCCAGCTGGGACGAGGGTTGCCCCAAGCATGGCGCATAGTCTGTCGTGCAGGAGGTACAGTTGGAGGACGTCCTGGCTATCACTGCTACCTAGTCACTGTACGAGGGAAGGGCTGTTCATCGGGCTGTTAGTGAGGAGTACGCTTGGCCGGGAATTGGGCAGATAGCACGACTCTTTCACAATGTTGCGTAGCCCCTGAGTTCACGTTGGACGAGTAGTACACCACCGTAGAACAGGATATCACATTGTCTCGCCATACCTAGCCCATCGTAAGGAGGTTGCTTCGGCTTTGTTGTCAATTTCATGCTACATGTAGCCACAAATGCAAAACCACGACCTGTTGCCTTCTCTAGATGCACAGGACACAATATGGCAAATCCAGGTCGTCCAAAAGACAACAATTTTTTGACTGGATAAGACGTGATTAGTCAGCGTGATATGACATCGATGGTGGCGACGCCGACGCGACCTGTCACCTGTTAATTGGCGACCGTCATTACCTAAGGCATTATTGGTTTTACGCGTCGAATTTCAGGCACGACATCGACTCCGGTACTCTTCAGCTTCGAGGGCGTCCCTCATGTCTACCACTCACGAGACCCTGAGCCTCGAGACGCGGAGCATGACAGAATGTTCCGCAAGCCTCGCGAATCGCTGCACGTTGAGCTAGGGAGGAGGCCTACCTCGCCACCGACTGGAGACACGCACGCTGTTCCACCACCCTCTTCGATGCGGAAGCCAGACTCGTCCGCCATGTCTGCTCGAATCAGGTCAGCCAGCAAGCCGACGCCGCTGCCCACAATCGGACGACAAGGCCCCAGCAGTACTTCAAAGAAGTCTGGCACGCCCAAGAACAAGCTCGGCAGTAAGGGCAATGCCAGCATTCTCAGTTTCTTCAAGAAGTCCGACGACGGCGGTGCTGCTGAGCTGGGTCTTTTCGTGGAAGACAGACGGTCCTCTACAACTGTGGGGTCGCCAGCAGCCAGAGGCGACCATGCTTCCGTTGCTGCCACGGAGGACTATGCAGAGGACCACGCAGATGGTACTGATGGCTTGCGCTTCAACGAGCACGATGGGCCCGTGAAGCGGCGCAAGATGAGTACAGATGAGGCACCTGAAGTGGGAACACGACCGTCAACACCAGCGGTCAAGCCGCGCAGTAGACGGATAGGGCCATTTTACGAGGAGTCGGACAGTGAGCTAGAAGAGGAAGCGCCAATGGCCGTGACAGGCGCCGGTCAACACTCAGGCAGTGGGATGGGAGCCGACAACACACCTCTACAGGAAGAGGCTTCAGAGGAGGCATCGGCACGGCCACTTGCTTCAGGGGAGCAATGTGACGGGCCCGCGTTGATCAAGCAAGAAACCAGCTTCGATCCCGGTCTGGACGAGTTCGATGAGTTTGGAGACGGCGATTTTGACGAGGATCAATTTGAGGGTGGTGACGAGTACCGTGAGCGTCGTTATATGGAAGCACAAGCTCGTTTTGAGGCCGAACATGATGAGAAGGATTATGATCCATTACCTTCGGACATCAACGTGAAAAGTGAGACTGTCGATCACATTACAGATGGTCCTGGCGAGGCTCCTCCATGTCCGATTTGTGGCATCAGTCTGGACGGCGTCAGTGAAGAGCAAGCTGGCGTGCATGTGAATAAATGCTTGGATGGCAATTGCACACCACTGCCGGCATCGGTTAATAGACAGCAGCACATTCCCCCCTCAGACGTGCCACTCAAGTCTGAGGAAAGTAGTTCCGTCACCCAATATCGACGTCCTGTCCGGCCACCTCGACCGGGCCAGGCAAATCCATTTAGCCTGGGAGAACCAGACGCCAAAGCAGTCGGCGGCGGCTCGGCGTTCAACAAGCTAATGTCCAGCCACACCGAGGAGACTGCTTGGGCTGAAGCTGCAGCATCTGAGAGTGCGGCACGCGGGAAGCCCTCGTATCAGCGGACGTGTCCATTCTACAAGATCTTGCCCGGCTTGTTCATCTGCGTGGACGCCTTCAGATACGGCGCTGTGCAGGGCTGTCAGGCGTATTTCCTCAGCCACTTTCACAGTGATCATTACATTGGCCTGACATCCACTTGGACCCATGGTCCCATTTACTGCTCCAAAGTCACAGCGAACCTGGTAAAGCAGCAATTACGTGTGGATCCCATATATGTGGTACCTCTAGAATTTGAACAGCAGGTGGAAGTGCCAGGCACTCGAGGAGTCAAGGTCACAATGGTATGAGCTATACACCCAGGCTAGAGGCGGGAAGCGCTTACTGACTTATATGCGCGTATTGGCAGATCTCAGCGAACCACTGTCCTGGTTCATCCCTTTACCTGTTTGAAAAGACGCTCGGGGTCAAACAGAACGGCGAAGCTCGTGCGCAGAGAATCCTTCACTGTGGAGATTTTCGAGCCTGCAAGATGCATATCGAGCACCCTTTACTGATGCCGGATGTGCTGGACAAGGTGAGTGGAAAGACGAAAGAGCAGAAGATTGATGTCTGCTATCTGGATACCACGTATCTCAACCCGAAATACGCATTCCCTGACCAGGAGTCCGTGATCAAGGCTTGCGCGGACATGTGTGTCTGTCTGAGCAAAGATACTGCCGATGCAGACGACGGGTGGGAGACGATGAAGCGGCAGCGAGCTGGGGAAGGGATGACCAAGTTCATCCAGCGTGAGGCTTCGAATCTCGAGGTGGAACAGGATTCTGAAGACGCGACAGCCGCGGACAGTATGACAGTGGAGAAAAACCCGCACGCAAGCCAGCAAATAATATCGTCACTGAAGGACAAAAAAGCACGAGGTCGGCTGCTGGTAGTCGTCGGTACCTATAGTATAGGCAAAGAGCGCATTTGTTTGGGCATTGCAAGAGCGTTGAATTCGAAGATCTATGCTCCGCCCTCAAAGCAGCGCATAGTGGCGGCATTGGAAGATGCGGAGCTGGAGGCGCGGATGACCAAGGACCCGAAAGAGGCACAAGTGCATATGACCCCTCTGTTCGAAATACGTGCAGACACCTTGGACGACTACCTCAAAGACTTCTGGCCACACTTTACACGAGCAGTGGGCTTCCGACCTAGTGGTTGGAATTACAAGCCCCCCAAGAGCCGCTTCACGGATAGCCCGTTGGTGTCAACGGTTCTGCAATCGGACAACTGGAAGAGCACGTACAGCATGCGCGAACTCGTGCCACAACGAGGCAGCTCAAGCCGAGCCAGCTGTTTCGGCGTTCCTTACAGCGAGCATTCTAGCTTCCGAGAGTTGACGGTGTTTTGCTGCGCGTTACGAATCGACAAGATTATCCCCACGGTCAACGTGGGCAGTGCGAAGGGGCGTGAACGGATGAAAGCGTGGTGTGATCGCTGGGCAGCGGAGCGAAGAAAGAATGGGCCTTACAAGATTCTGGAGGGCGACAAGTTCTAGCATGTGGACGTGCTTCAGAAGATGGTCTCCTCAGATGTTTGTCTAACTGTACCTGGATGAATGGATGACTGCTCAGAGATATATATTGCATGTGTCGTGAAGTAAAGGCCGTCCATGATTTGGACAGGCAAGCTCGTATCAGCGCTCAGCTAGCATGTACTGTACATTACACTAATTATATCAACAACAAGTTGGTAGGCAATGATCTCGACACAAGGTATATGGAAGTGAGTATATGTTAGACTATTAGTTGGGTGCGAGTTAAGCCAGGGTGGTGGTGAGCGTGATGGTAGAGTAGGCGGAAAAAGGTTAAGGCGGTCGGAGAACGGGCAAAGACGGGGGTGTGTTGCATAACCACAAAAGCCGAAGCTTTCAAATACTTTATAGCATTGGTCAGGCTTTGCAATGGCAGAGCATTCCACCAGCAGCACTGCGAGTGCTGCCGCCGCCTCCACCACAGATGGCGCTGCAAAGGGCGCCGCAAAGGCTGCTTCAGAGCAAAACCCGGCCTTTCGCAGGATGGGTCTGCCGCGCCTGCGACTGCCTTCGAGAAACTGGTCCATCTTCTGGACCATTACCGGCTCCTTCGCTGCCGCGGTGATGTACGACAAGTATCAAACGAAGCGCACGCGCGAGAAGTGGGTACAGCTCGTCGCACACGTCGCCGACGAGCACCTGGATATCAAGACGCTGCCGCGCCGAGTCACGATATACCTGCAAGCTCCTCCCGGCGATGGCTTGCGGACCGCGCGTGAGCACTTCCATCTCTATATCAAGCCGGTACTGGTGGCTGCTGCCATGGACTGGGACGTGGTTGAGGGCAGGCAAGAGGGCGACGTGCGTCATAAGACGGCAGAGAAGATCCGGAAATGGCGGAGGAGAAAAGGCGAAGGGGAGCCTGAGACGGCCGAGGACGACGGCACGCTCACAGTGGAGGCTCTTCGCGAGAAGAACGGCGACGTGGAGTATCCAGGAGTGGCAGGTGATATTGTCGTCGGACGGCATGCGTGGAAGGAATACATACGAGGTCTGCACGAGGGCTATCTCGGCCCTGCAGACTTGCCCAAGGACCCAAAGGAGCACGAATCGACGACGCCTGCACATCACGAGTCCACCAGCAATGCACAAAAATCGTCACCCACTGAAACCGTCACTGCCAGAACAGCGACAGGCGCAACGACCAGTGATATGGGAGATTCGCCAGTATCTTCCTTGGACACAGTCGTTGGGGACAGTCCTCCTGTGACAGAGGCCCAAACGAGCGAGGAAACACTGTCCGGCGAGGCGCTCACGAGTGACGACGGCAAGGAGACACGGAAGGAGGGAGAGGCGAAGACGAAAGCAGAGGATGAAAAGCCCAAACGACGATTCCCGCCGCCTTCCATCTTGCCAGGAGACTATGCTGCAGCGTCTCTCTCGCCTTTTACGCCTGAAATTCTTGGTCCCAGTGTAGCTGTACGCTTGCCACATCTCCTTGGATTCCTGAACACTCCGACACGCATCTATCGGTTCTTGAACAGGCGACGGGTGCAGGATGATATCGGGCGACAAGTAGCTGCCGTCGTGCTCGCCGCACATCGTCCATACACGACCGCCGCCTCGTACGATGCAAGCAGTGCTTCAGAAATGCAGGTAGAGGTACGGGAGCAAGCAGGGTTGCTATCACACGAGGAGAAAGACTGGTACAAGCTTGTTCACAGGCCACGTCAGGAGCATGAAGAAAGCCTCTGGACGGAGCCCGTCGTTCTCGATGAACGCATCTCCAGTCGCATGCGTGCATTTGAGCTGAGTGCGGCAGACGAGGCCCGCGCACGGCGCATCGCAGCGGGCGAAGAAGAAAAGGCCCAGCATGAGACGTGAGTTCCTCGTGCTGGTTTTGCCATAGATGTGGAGTATAGATCCCAACTCCTGCGAGCGTGTAGAATAGTGTACAGACTACAGAACCGACTGATGAATCAACCTCCACGTGCTTCGCAGAGCCCACTGCCTCGAGGCTCGAGCCACGACCCCGATGGGCACCGCCTGCTTCCTGGTGGTCCTTTCATATGCCGCCCCTGTCCTGATACTCTCTGTGTGACGGCCCATGGAAGCCGATCCCACGCTCACAGCGTGCAGACTGGATGTTGGAGCAAGGCAGCCTGCTGCTAGCCTGTTGCCTCCTGCTGCCATTTATGTGGTTACAGGTACATATAGGTGTGATAATCGAATGATGACCTGCATACTTCCAGATGTGATCTAAATCATCATCACTCATCAGCATCGTGAAGATTGAAGCTGAAGGTCCTACAATCTACCATGTCTCACAAGCACGTGCTGCCGAGGAAAGGGCGGGCTCATTGCAAGGGCGAAGATGCGATTGGCGGGTTCGTATGACTTCGACTCAGCCACTAGGCTCGGAATAGTTCGTAGTCGCAACCTTTTGTCCGATGTGCCGGGTTTGGGGTCACTTGGACAGACAATCAGATTCAAATTGATTGAAATTGATGCCGGCGGCCAACGCTGGCTGCTTTTCACATGGAAATGATGAAGGGAATGATGGAAACAGGACGCGGGATCTGAGGGACCTGGTAAAGGTAAGGTACCTAGGTAAGGTAGGAGGTAGGAGGTAGGCATTTGCTCAGTACCTAGGTCCTAAGGTGGTACCTGACTACCTGTACAGGACTACAGGTCTAGGTAGTTACCGTTAGTCTCCCCCCAAAATATGTCGATGTCAATGTCAATGTCAGTGTCAACGTCGTCGTCGTCGTCGTCGTCTCCTCTGTTGATCGATCCGTCGCAGCCGTGAGAGAAGAGAAGGCCATCCTCCTGCACGCACCACCACCACAATAACGTTACCGTACCTCACCTTACCTAAACGCATTTAGACGCATTTTCGACGAGCTGGTCCTGATTACCTACACCCACCTAAGGCGCAGGTACCTACCGTACCTGACAGTATCACCCGCAACCGCGGCATACCGGTACCTGACGATTTGATCCTCCCTCCCTCTCGCCCTCTCTCTCTCTCTCTCTCCATCGCTCTCGGACGGCTTGGAAGCGCCGCATTGCAATGAATGGGTCTTCGTGGATATGCTCAGCCCATCCACGACGGTGACTGTGCGGCCCCGGTCCGCCTCCAGCATCAGCAGCAGCAGCAGCCCATCCATCATCCATCATCATAGTAGTAGTGCTTCTCCTCCAAACGACCCCAAGGCGGTGGTTCTGCGCCATAAGCAGCTGGCCAGAGCAGAACGGCGGCCGGGCCACCAGAGGCGATATGCTCCCAAGACGAGGACCGGCTGCATCACATGCAAAGTGAGTTTGTTTTTGTTTTTGTCTTCTGCTTCTCCTTCTTCTTGATTGCTGCATGCACCACACCTGCTGTCCGTCGTCGTCGTCAAGTCGTCCTGGGCGCGGCTTGAGTAAGGTAGTGGCAGACTGGCAGCTGTAGTGTGCGACCGCACGACTCGGACTTGCCGCTTTGGGACTTCTGTGCGCTGGGCTGGTATAGAACCGGAACTATACCTGACCGATCATTACACTTTCTGCTCCATTCCATCCATCGCACCTCAGGCACCAGACTCGCTAACATGCCTTCTTTCTCCTCCACCAGATCAGAAGGGTAAAGTGCGATGAGGACAAGCCGCATTGTAAACGATGCACCACGACCGGCCGCAAGTGTGATGGCTATGCACAGCTGGGCGACTCCTCGAATACGCCCAGGTCGCCAGAGCCAGGTTTGACCGTGGCCTTGGTGAATGATGTATCCAGTGATGCTCTGGAACGAAGGACTTTCGACTTTTTCCGTGCTCGGACCGCTCCTTGTGTTTCTGGCTACTTTGCGGACGCCGTCTGGGATCGACTGGTCCTACAGCTGAGCCACCACGAACCGGCCGTGCGACATGCCATCAACGCACTGGGTGCACTCCATGAGGAGCGGTCATTGCGAAGGTCGGCCGGGGCAGAAGGCATCGACGTGTCGCTCGTCAAGACTGGATTCCCCATATTACAGTACTCGAAAGCACTCAATGAGATGCAAGAGCTGTTGAAGAGCGGCAAAGCATCCTTGGACGTGATTCTCTTATGCTCACTGTTATGTATCCACTTCGAGGCATTGCGAGAATCCTTCGTTCCTGCTCTAATGCATGTAGAGAACGCGATCCAACTCCTCAATTCGACCGCATCGTTCGACGCGCGGAAAGTCAACCCCAGCCTGGTGCGGGCAGTGATGCGGATGGACTTGCAAGGTACACTATATCTGGGCTCGCGAGTGCCCGGAATGCCCTTCTTTACGGCAGCCACAGATTCGGTTCTACCGGAAACCTTTCATGATCTTACCCATGCTCGGGATCTGGTCAACACCTGGACCAGTCGTCTTTTGCATTTTATGAGGACAGTGGGTGATCACCACAAAATCAGGTTCCCTGGCAACTTCTCCATTGATAAGCTCGCCCAAGCGCAGGCGCTAGAACAGACGTTTATACAATTAGATGCACTGCTGTGGGAGTTCATGCACAAACCTACCGCGAAGCTGAGCACCAGGGAACAACATGGCCTGGGCATGCTCCGCAGCCGGACGAAGATGAACCGTATCCTTGCTTCCTCCAGTCTGTACACGGAGGCGTGCTATTTCGATCAATTTCTTGACGAGTTCGAGAACATACTCACCATCTGCATGTACATTATGGGTTCTGACAACGCGGATCGGAGACTCTTTTCCGTCAGCCTGGATGAAGGATTGATCCATCCTCTGTTTTTCTGCGCGACGCATTGTCGTGATGGCAGGATCCGACACCAAGCGCTGGCCCAGCTGAGGAAACTTCCGGTGAGGGACGGAATATGGCACGTCGAGACCACGACGCGGACTGCCGAGATGTGCATACGGTTCGAGGAAGAGTTGTGCGGCAAAGCCCCTGGCACCGCTCTCTGCTCTGATATCCCCGAGTGGCGAAGAGTACACTCTGCCAGCTTCGACACCATGGGCGACGAGTCCGCCCCGAAGAAGAAGGTCATGGTCAAGCTTCGCTCGAGACCGAATGGGACCGATGGCGAGTGGGTGGAGCACGAGCAATTCATTGATTGGTTAGTCCCGAGCCAGCACAAACACATTCGCGAGAACGTTGGACTCATCATGCAAAACTCTTCAGCTCCCTCTCGGGCAATCGGTCAATAATCAGAATCCAGCAAATCGAATCCCGATTCAACCCAGAGGGCGGAGCTGCACCCAGAAAGCAGATCAGCAGATGGAAAGGGAAAGGCGATTGAAGCTCGCGTATGAGTTTAGCCAGAGGTGTGCGCGTGATATGTATGGGTTCATGGTGCGAGAGCGGGAGCAGAGATCAATTACTATATCAATCAATCACAGCAGGCCGAGCGTATCCGGACGCGATCGTGTAGGAATATATGTACGAGCTGGAGCCATCTTTATATGTACTTGTAGATACCTTATATATATACATATGTCGCTGTTAGGTATGAGGACAGTCTTTCGTTGATTCGATATATCCATACACACCTTAGGTACCTTACCTGTAGGTACCTTATACACCTACCCAGGTACCTTAGCATCCCGTCAGGTTACAGGTACATGTATCTGACCTGATGATCACGGCAGAAAACGCCAAGCAATTCAGAACTAGACTCGACCAGGTAACACCCGATTGCGACGAACGTCGCGGGTGCGCTGGAGCTTCATGCTGTATCCCATGTTGGCCGAGTCCATACCTGTACCTTTTTAGCATACCATGCGTCTGTTCGCGCTGGAGGCAGCGGCGCGCACGAGAGGAGGATGCCCGTCGAGCGCAGACATGCCATCGCCGCGGCCATTGTCGCCTTCATCAGCTGGGCCTACCTCACCGACTGGCTGCCGCAACTGCGATTTGTGCCGCACGCCTTCGTCGGCGGTGTCCTCGCCGCTGCGTTGGGGGCGGTATATGTCGTCGCGACGACGGTTCAGCCGCGTGCTCGCTGGGCGGGCGCGCCCCGCCGCGGACTCCCGACGACGCTCGCCTTCGCCCAGCCGGCAGTGTGGGCAGAGGAGAAGACGGCCTTGAAGGGCCGCGAAGAGTATCGCCGGCCCATCATCTTTCCTGAGGCAGAGAAGTTCTCCAAGCACATCGACGGGCTGCTCGACCTGGTGCTGCGCGACTTCGTGACGAGCTGGTATGGCCACATCAGCCAGCGGCCGCTGTTCCAGAATGAAATTGATCGCTGCATCCGCTCGGTGCTCCTCTCCGTCGCAGCCAGGCTGACCGATCTGGACCTGGTGGAGTTTGCCATTGCCAGCATGCTGCCCGTCGTGACGAACCACATGCGGGACTTCTACGATGCGGAGCGAGCGGTTCGAGGAAAGGCTCTGGAAAACCATGTCACGGAAAGCGAGGAACTGAACATGGCCATTGCTGGCAAGTACAAGGCCGGCAAATTGCATCCCGTGGCAGCTCTCGCGCATGCAGACGGTACGCTCGCGGCTCAAACGCACATGCGAAGACTCCTCGAGAAGATCCTTCCCAGCGTGCTTCCCACGAACATGAAGTCCAGCGCAGCTGTCATGGCGCTGATTCGGGAGATCGTGGCTTGCGCTGTGCTCGGGCCAATCATCAGTATGCTTGCTGATCCGGACTTCTGGAACCAGCAAATTGTAAGTGTAGGCGGTGCCATGTTACAGGACCGCAAATCCGTTCGCAAAGTTCGCGCTGCGCTGGACCAGCACGCGCCTGCGTCTCCCGGTAAGACAAGTCGAGGCAGTCAATTTCCGCGGCTGAGACCATACGACAGCGAGCGTCAGTTTGAGCGATTCATCAGGTCTATCAGACATGTTAGCACACTCAACGACGCTCGTTTGTTCCGAAGCCAAGTGAGCCTGCAATTACGAAGGGATGCACAGATTGAAGGTCAGGATATTGCTTACATTCGGCGACTGGAAACGGGGAGACGACTGCTCGACCAAAAAATCGCATCACTATCGGCCACAGATGATGGAAACGCGGCGCAAAGCGTGCCCACGACAACTCGAAACACAGAAACGGTGTCACGCAAACGCTTTGCTTCCCTACGAGAAGTCATATACGACGCTGCTGGCCTGAGCTATTTCATGGAGTACATGGATCGGCAGCACCTCATGAGGCTCGTACAGTTCTACCTGGTGGTAGACAGCTTTCGAAATCCGCTCGAAGGCGATAACGATGAGGCTCCAGCATCCTTGGCGGCAGACCCTGAGAAAATGGACATTGCGCAGATGTATACAGAGTATCTGTCCAAGCCAGAATTAGAAACGCCTGCCGAAACCATGCAGGTAGTGAAGCAGTGCTTGAAAGCTGGGTCAAAAGCAAGTGTGCGTGACTACATCGCGGCCCGACGAGAAGTGTTGCGGATGCAGAGCAAAGTGTACAGCACCATGAAAGAGAAACATTATGAGGCATTTAAACGGACTGATTTGTACTACAAATGGCTCGCCATTGACGATGCACCCAAGTTTGGCCCAGCTCTCAGCGGCGAAAGTGACCTGTTGTCATCGCAGCCAACAGGTACCCCTCTCTTTGACGATGGTCAACCCTCCCACATCCGACGGCCGCAGCTTGTGCTGCCGCCAAAGGAGCCCGAACTGCGGCGTGCAGTCCTGTCTACATCTGATCTCAAAACGGTCGGGCGCAGCAGCTCCATGTTCTCGGACATTTCTCGTCGTTCCCTGGATGACGCGAATGAAAACGGCAGAAGAGCCCTGTTCGGAGGAGAAGGCACCAGCACGCTGTTTGGCGACAGCATCGATAACGAGAAGATGACGCAATCTGTTACCAGCTTGAAAGGCTACGACTCGGACGAGGAGACCGCCAGGCATGCCCAGGAAGAGGCCAAAGCTGTGAGGGAGATGCAAGCCGCACTCGATAATATTGTCAGCGACGACCACGACCAAGCTAGTTTGTTCGCAGATGCCGCTGGGAGACGATCGCTCGATGAGGAAGATGGACGGAGCTCGATCGATATGCCTAATAGACCGGGCCTGCCTACATCTGCTTCACAGACCCTGGATCGCGGAAAGCCGAGCCTGTCTTCCTTGGGACTGGTTGGCGGTCCATCGAGCCGCGGTGTCTTTGTCGACGACTTATTCGGTCATGAACAGGAGAAATTTGCCGAGGACGAGCGCGAAGATTCGAATGGACCAAGCGATATTGACGAAGACAAGATTGAGGAAGCTGCAGCGGGCGATCTTGGACTTGCAGAGGCCATCGATGTCCTGAATGCAGACATCGAGCGGCTCAGTGCCCAGAGGAACGTCCTGGATTCGTTATCTGCGAAAGCAGAGCTGACAAACAATCAAGCCGAGCTTCGCATCTTACGGAAGTCCGAGCAAAGTCTACAACGAGAGATTAGGCGCAAAGAAATGCAAAAGCAGCAGTATATCGTGCAAGAGAGCGACAACGGGCTGTACGGGCGCGCGCTGGTGTCCATCAAGTCTGTCATGGTGGGCAAGGAAGATGATGGACATGAATATGCCTTGTACGTGATTGAGATTCGAAGACAGGCTGGCGAACAAATGCCAGCGGCAACATGGGCAGTCACCAGGAGGTACAGCCAGTTCCACGAGTTGCACAAACGGCTCAAGGCACGATTTCCGGCCGTGAGAGAGCTCGAGTTTCCACGTCGACAGACGCTGTTCACGCTCCAGAAAGACTTTCTGCAGAAACGGCGCGCGACTCTGGAGAAGTACCTCCGCTCTCTGCTTCTCGCCCCTGCCATCTGTCGCAGTCGCGAGCTTCGTGCATTCCTCTCTCAGTCCGCAATCGCGACGAATGGCGGCAACGGCACGCAAGCTGATGCGAAGGATTTCGTGACTCGTATTTACAATTCGGTTTCAGACGGCATGGAAGAATTCCTCGGCAACATTCCCGTGCTGGATCAATTGTCGGTCGCAGGCCAAAATCTGATATCTGCCGCGACCTCTCAGATTAATGGAGCCTCACCTGTAGATGGCATCGATCCCGCCGTGCAAGATCCCGCAACCTCGACGGAGGCGGAAGCGGAATTGAACGCATACGAGACCAAGGAAGTAGAGCCGTTTGTGAAGCCCATTTGCGATCTCTTTCTGGAGACGTTCGAGTTGTCCAAGGGGAACAGCTGGCTTCGTGGTCGCACGGTAGTGGTGGTGCTCCATCAGCTGCTCGGCGGCACCATCGAACGCAAGGTCAAGGAGGCCGCGGCCAGTGCACTAGAGGACGAGAAGCTAGCGAGCTACGTTGACACCCTCAAGCGTACAGTGTGGCCCGATGGCAAGATGCGGCCGCCAAGTGTACCTCGTACCGTCGCCGAAAAGGCGCGCACGAGAAAGGAAGCCGGGATATTGCTCGGCGCGCTGGTGCCCGATCTCGCAGGCAGTGTAGTGGGCAAAACTAACGCGCAAGCTGCCAGTCGAAAAGTGGTTGCTATGCTAAACAACCCCAGGCTAAAGTAAGTAGTGGCTGTGCAATTTCCTTCTTGGGACTGGTGTCGTAACACACCCGCTAACATCGGATATTAGTCTTCACATGGTCTTCACCCTCATAGATGAGGTTGTAGGTAAAATATTTCCGGAAGCATTAGATCAGTAACGTCCATTTACATTTCCAAAAAAAAGAGAAAAAAGGAAAAGAAAAAAGAGCTGTTCCAATGGTCCAAGACACGAATCAATGTCAAGGTGATTGAAGCCAATTACATCGTTGCTTAGGGCACGATTATTCGTGATCCTTCAACATGCAGTGCCATTATGTGATCCGATAGACTGGTCCTCATTATGATAGGGTGATATCAATCGTGCGCTTGCGGAAGTCCTGCGGGCAGATCGTGTAGAACTGTTGTCTCAGATCTACGGTTCCAGAAGACGGAGTCGAAGACGGCATCCTCCGGCTACACTTGCACGGGAGGATCTCATCGTAGTCCACGATGACATGGGGCTCCGGTTGTGCAGCCTGTAAAGTCCGAACTCACATCCGCCAGGTCAGGATCTCGCTGCTGGTCTTAGGCAGAGCCACGCCAGGGCTGATGATAACTGGGTTCAGCCCTGCCAGAAACAGATGTTGTCCCAATGTCCCTCATAGTACTAAAGCGATGTAGCTTGAATTGTGCACATATCGTCGCTGGTTAGTCAGCTCCACCCATACCTGTAGCCGCCATGAATTGTCGCATTATCATGCGTCCGGACCATGGCATCAGGGGGTTGGTGTGCATCCGCAGTGTTGACTTTGGCATCAGACCTGGGGACAACGTTGCATGCCTCCCTTCTTTCCACGATCAGATATTTCCCAATCATGTGCTGTTGAAGACCAAGTCGCTTGCGCCACCTCGAATGCTCCAGTGCTGGAGAGCGTGATGGTCTCCCATGCCTTGCGTAAGCCTTCACATATCCGCATATCCGCAAACATATGCCATTTACTGCTGCTTCAAGCTAGCAATGATGGCCTTTTCCTTGGCCGCGGCATCGAATGGATCTCCATAGCGATCTGCGAGAGTTAGCTCCGTCGCAAGCGAGACGCACAGATCATGTGGTTTGCAACATACTCTGGAGCATACAGTCTTTGTGTTGTAGACCTTCTAACGCGCGAGTGATCTCGTCCTGGGTCTTCTTGTTCAGCCATGCATAACCCGGTTCGTCCTCAGGCCTGCTGTAGGTGTAGCCACTGCTCGCATGGGTCTTGAAGGACGCTTCGGCCTTGGACTTGCCGTTGGCGTTGGCCATTTCTGCTGTCCCCATCAGTCTCATGTCCTCATACACGCCCAGCGCAGCACATGCTAGGCGCAGCTCTGTCACACCTTCTGTGTCGTCGGCGCCGTTGCTGATAGTCTGCAAGGGCCGCTTGCCATTCGAGTTCGCAATCGAAGCGCCTGACGGCACCGTGGGCATCGGTTGCCGCTGCGAGTCTGGCGGCGACGGAACGGGCGCGGCGGCGTTGGCAGTCTGATTGACAGGTGTGGTGATTTCGTTATCAGACGAGTCCTCGGGCGAAGAGATCATGTCCATGACGACGAGTGGAGCACTACTGTTTCGTTGGTGTTGGCTTGACCGTGGGATGAAGGTGGATGAAGGTGGATGTGTACCGGATGTACCTGTGAGACTACCAGGTAGGTATGTTCTATTAGGTCGCACTACACTACTCTAAACAATGCGGAGGGCGGGGCGGAGTGTCGGGTCGGAAGGTGTGAATGGGGTAACGCTAAGTTAAGGCACACAGTAGATTCTACCTAAAACAGGCACAACCTTCACTACAGTACTTGGTACCTTACCTAGTACTCTCTCTGCATGACAATGGCACGTCGGCTATCCGCGGTTCAATGGTTGACTGTGCGGTTGAAGCACCATCGGTGAGAATAACGCTTGGAAGTGAAGACACTGCACTCAGCACTGCAGCATTTACCAAGTACATGTATCCAACAGACAGACCGATCATGTCGCCGCCCATGTCTTGAGCAACGCACAAAAACATGTTGCGCACCAGAGCGCGCCTGGGCTTTGCTGCCCTTTCTCCGCCTCTGCCTCGCCCATTCCTCCTCCACCACCACCAATTCCATGCTTCTGCCCGCCGCCAGGTCGTCAAGCCGTTCCTGCTCGCGGACATTGGCGAAGGCATCACAGAATGCCAGCTGATCCAGTGGTTCGTGCAGCCTGGCGCCCGGGTCGAGCAGTTCGACAAGCTATGCGAGGTGCAGTCCGACAAGGCAAGCGTCGAGATCACGAGCCCGTTCGATGGAGTCATCAAGAAGCTGCACTATGATCCGGACGACATGGCCATCACGGGCAAGCCGTTGGTCGACATTGACATCCAGCAGGACCTCAGCGAGGTCGACGAAGCGAAGCTGGGTGGACCCGCTGAGAGCCCACAGATAGGCGAGCATGCAGCACCCCAGCAAGAGGTTGAGTCCGAAGGAGGGCGAGCAGAAGATACAAGCATGCCACAGCGACAGTCGCGCGCTCAAAGTAGCGGCATGCATGGCTCTCTTGCCACGCCCGCGGTACGCCACTTGATCAAGGAGCACAAACTTGCCATCGAAGACATAAAGGGCTCAGGGAGAGACGGGAGGGTGCTGAAAGAAGACGTGCAACGTCATGTCTCTCAGGGTGATTCCATGTCACCCGCATCGTCGACAGCAAGCCCTACGGCGACCACGAAAGACCGCCAGGTCCCTTTGACGGCAGTCCAAAATCAAATGTACAAGGCCATGACACGCTCCCTGCATATTCCGCACTTTCTCTACAGCACCGCAGCAGATATGACGGCCATCACAATGCTGCGAAACAAGCTCAATGCGTCTGCTGAGCCAGGCCAAAAGATTACACACCTTGCTTTCATCATGAAGGCTGTGAGCTTAGCTTTTGCCCGACATCCCATCCTGAATGCCACACTCAATACCAAACCAGACTCCAAGCCCGAGCTGACGTACAAGGGCAGTCACAATTTTGGCATCGCAATTGACACGCCCAAGGGCCTACTGGTGCCAGTAATGCGCGACGTCCAACTCCTCAGCATTTCCGAGATCGCTCTCAAGATGAGAGAACTCTCTATTGCTGCACGTGACAATAAGCTCGCACCTGGAGATTTCAGTGGTGCTACATTTACAGTGTCGAATATTGGATCCGTCGGAGGTGGAGTGGTTGCCCCAGTCATATCAGAGCCGCAGGTTGGCATCCTGGGTATTGGCAGGAGCAAGATTGTACCGGCATTTAACGAGCGCGATGAGCTTGTCAAAAAGGAAGAGCTCGTTCTTTCATGGAGCGCGGACCATCGTGTAGTGGATGGCGCCGAATGTGCGCGATGTGCAGAGCGCGTGAAGACTTTATTAGAAGATCCATCGGCGATGCTGGTCGATTTACGGTAGACATTTTCAATCAAACTGTTCAGATCTCAAGACGGAAGATACACGAGTGAGCAACCATCAAGTATCTTTCGGATGTTGTTCCGATGATTATAGCGACAGGAAGCGTTTGTACCTATGCCGTGTTACGCGAGCCGTTGCCGTCGGCGTTTGATTGCATCCACCCGCCGGGCAATCAAGTCTAGGCGAGAGGAGGTTGCATTATTTATTGTATAAGGCACTTGCAGTCGCTCTTCATTCATAAATTCCCTGGAACTTGTCGTCGTACAACCTGACTTTTCTTTATCGCTGCATTCCTGTCCCGTCGGTGGAGCGTACGTTTGTTTGACCTGCGATTGTTGATAAGACAGAACAGCAGCAGCAGCAGCATCATCATGTCGCAGGAGGCAGTGGTCCACACTCCCCAACAACAACATCAACACCAACAACCACAACATCAACAACATCAACAACAACTGCCTCCCACTCCACCATCGGAATCCTCACCAGAACCGTCCAACATGTCCTCCATCGACGACGCCCTGTCAGGAGACGCGACCACTTCTGCACCTCCACATCCCTCTCCCTCTCAACACAAGCACATTTGGGTCATAACGGGACCAGCGGGATGTGGGAAAACCTCCGTTGCCGAGCACCTGCACTCCACATTATCGTTGCCATATCTGGAGGGAGACACGGTAAGTCCACGCGGGAGACAAAAGGGGAAGGGAATTCGGGCCGAAAAATTGACTTTTGGTGCGCGTCACCCACCAACTATGTAGTTCCACACGCCTGCCAACGTCGACAAGATGGCACAGGGACAGCCTTTGACTGATGCGGATCGATGGGACTGGCTGGTCACTCTGCGCGAGGAGTCGGTCAAGACGCTTCGAGCCTCGTCGTCGTCGTCGTCGTCGTCGTCGGCCGATGGCGTTATTGTCACCTGTTCGGCGCTCAAGAGAAAATACCGAGATGTGATTCGAATTGCGGCATATCACCATCCAGAGATTCGAGTGCACTTTGTGTTCCTCAAGGCCACAGAGGCGCTCTTGATGGAACGAGTGCGGGCGCGACAGAATCATTACATGAAGGATTACATGGTTCACAGCCAATTCGAGAGCTTGGAAACCCCGACGCAGGACGAGACGGATGTCCTGGCTGTGGATGCCAGTGGCACCAGTACGCAGGTACAGGAACTTGCGCTCCGGATCGTCAAGCAGGAGATGGCGAGCGAGGCAACATGACCATCTATCAGCACAAACTTGCCCTGAGCCCCATTGCAGCAGTCCTGGACTGTCTTACGAACTTGTAGGAAATAAAGCGAGACATTCCCCATTTTGTTACCTAGGTAATATCTGATGCATCAGCCCTGAGCCCATGCTTCTTCTACAATATCAGCGAGCTCTTGAAGAGTTTCCACACGAAGTTTAAACCCATACTTCTCCTCTGCCCCTGTCGTATCGCCTCCCATAAACCCTTTTCTATCAACCCACACGCCCTGCAGTCCAACCTGCTTCGCAGGACCATGATCATGGAACAGCGACTGTGCCACATGACACAGCTCCTCCTTTTCCACTCCCAATTCCGACTTGACATGATCCAGCAAATAATAAAAATTCCTCACATCCGGCTTATACGACCCAATATCTTCCGCCGTATAAATCCGATCAAAATGACATCCCTGCAACGGCCCCGCCAACGTCTCCCGGAACGACGCATGATCCACATTTGACACGGGAACGAGTTGATATCTCTTTCCCAGCCGCTGGATCGCCTGCACGGTATCTGCAAAAGCAGGATACGCTCCAATTTGCGTGGAATATTCTCGTGCGGCACGCTCTACTTCCTCGGAGGTCACGTGGCCTTGTTCGACGACGCCTAGTTCGGCGGCATAGCGACGCAGGCCTTCTGCAATGATGTCTTGTTGTTTACTCGTGGGTTGCTCGCGTTGGACGGACGTGTCGTGGCGCTCAATGGCGAGGAGCAGGTCGCGGTCACTGGGAGGTAGGAATGGGGCGAGAGCGGTGGCGCGTGCTGATTGCGCGATGCCGCTTTCCCAGTCAATCAGAGCTGGGTGGTGGCGTTCATCGTTAGTTACCTCACTTAACACTCTGGACCTGATCGGATAAGTATATATGCATGGGAAAAGGGATTGTACAGACTGCCGTAAATGTCAAATGAAAGCGCCTTGATCTGCGTCCATGGGATGGGGGATGTCATATTGAGTGCTTGTCAGGATGGAGAGTTCGGACGGGTGGTGGGCTACATATGTCGAGGTGCGTGCGGTGGGTGTAGCTCGAGCAAAACACATGTACATGTAATAGGTACCTATAAGGGTTTTATACTCGCCAGTCACGCCCTATGACAGCGCAATCTCACGCATGCAAGCGCTCGTACATGTACCACCATGGAGTCACCACATTCGCTTGGTCGCTTCTGGTGGAGCTCGAGCTCGCAGCGCTAATTGTGCCGACCTAAACCACTGTAGGTAGTCCTATCCTGCAAATATTCTGAATTGCTGATGGTACGCATTGATGCACATCCGCCTTGTATAGGTAATTTCCAGTTTGCTCTCATCGTAGTCGCACATGGGACTGGATTGCAAAAATGCCTTGGGAAGGTGACTCAATGTAGTTATGCTCCCAGTACACGAGTTGAGCTCTAAATCTGGTGGCACGGGGTGAATCGATTTGATGATGCCCGGGAGAAACGGTTTCTGGGATGCCAGTGTGGAGCGAGACACATTTTCACATCGATGCCATCTAACCCAATCTTCTAGGCTTCTTGCCTCTCGGCCCACCCTGCTTCAACCTCGTGGCATCGACCACACTGATGATGCGATTTCTGATGAACCTTCCTTCACTTCCCAATATGACCTTTGTGACCGCTTCCCTGCCAGCTCCGAAGCCTCTGAGCACGACCTCCAACCGATGCATGTCGCGCAACATTCCCTTTTCTTGCATCTGCTTCAAGGCGAAAGCCGCAAGCTGATATGCTGCATCGTAACTGCCTCGCCCCGCTTTTTTGAACCCGATGTTGCCGCAGCTAATGGACAGGAGCACGTCCACCATTTTGTTCTGGTCCTTGGCGGATGCTGAAGTGGCCGAGACGCCCGAAGATGTCGTTTGCGACGCAGGCCTAGGCGGCTGCACGAAAGTCAGGTGAGTGTTGTGTTTCGTAGCGTAGATGTGCAATCGGTGTGGTTGTTGTTCCTGCGAGCCCCCGGCCAGCTCGTCCATGAAGGTGGAATTGCGCAGCTTGTCGGTGTCGGCATTGAGGAGGTCGCCAATGGAGGGCATGTTTGCCTGCTGTCCACGTCCGCGATGTCGAGGATTGTTGGGGGTGAGAGACCCCAGCGAGCCGAAGGCATCGCCAGAGAATGATGAAGACGACGGAGAAGACGGCGGAGGTGCCGCTACTCGAGGGGCAGTGACAAAGGCACGGTATGGGACGGCAGGCAGCAGTCTTTGGCGACAGCTGAAGCACGTAAACGAGCGAAAAGTGCGTGGGCTCGCCATCATAGTGCAAGCGGATGTAGTCTGATGATGGTGTGCATGGAAGACAGAAGTTGCTTGTGCGGCGAGCGGGAGTGGCAGACCACCGTCAGCCTAAGACCCTCCGGGCTGCTGAGGTAGATCTTCAACTGAGGAAAGTATTCTTCCTCTTCCGCCTCTTCGCCCTCTTCTTGCTCCTCTGCGCTCATCCACCTCTCATCCGTTCACACCAACCGCTCGTCATCCTCGTCGTCCTCGTCATTATTGCCGTCGTCGATCCGGAGCATGAGCACATCCGTACTTCGCGCCCTGTCATCGCGAGCAGGAGGCGGCCAAATATCACACCAAGGCCGCACTGCTGCCTACCGTCGGATAGAAGCATTCGCCAGACAATACAGTGCAGTGTCCTTACGGACGCGCCAGCTTACTGGGGCTCGGCCATCGGCCATAAGACCGCAAATATGCTCGCAGTCGCATTTCCTGCCGCCCCCAGCACTTGCAACCTCTCCGGCCGCTTCAGCGCGATATGTGAGCTTCAAGGAACTACGGGAGCAGCGCGCAAAGGAGAAAGCGGCGGGAGGCCAGCAGGCTTCTGCGAAGCCAGCAGCTGCGACATCAGCGTCTGCATCAGCGTCACCAGCTGCAGATGCACAGCCAGAGCATACCACGAGCAAGGCCGCCCCCGAGCGATCTGCTGCCGATGATGCGTTTGCCCAATTCAAGGCACAAGCTGACAAAGAGTGGGAGGCGCGCCGGAAGAACGCCGAGCGGGAACAGCATGAGGAACAGAAGCAGGGCGAGGGCGAGGAAGGCGCTGAGGGCGAGCAGAAAGAAAAGAAGAAGAAAGACGATGCGGCTCCCCCTCCGCCACATGGCGGTAAAACTCCTTGGCAAGTCTTCACCGAGACTCTACAGCAGGAGTTCAAAGCCAGCAAGGAGTGGAACGAAAGCACGAAACAACTGGGCGGTACGATCCACGATTTTACGCAGAACCCAAACGTACAGCGGGCCAAGAGTGCGTACAGTAAGGCTGCAGAAGCTGCAACTACTACAACTGGGAAGGCGCTGTTCGGCACAGCGAGCGCCATTGGAAAGGGTGCCGCCTGGACTTGGGACACACCCGTGGCTAAAGTCGTGCGAAAGGGTGCTGCAGCTGTAGGCTCGGGCGTGGACAAGGCCACGAAGCCGATCAGAGAGACCAAAGCGTTCAAAGACGTCAAGGATGTCATTGATGATGGTGCATCATCTCGTTATGGAGGCTGGACGGAGAAGGAGGAGCGGCGACGGAAGCGTGAAGAGCGAGACTCAAAGATGGGATTCAATCCTAATAAAATGCCTGAGAATTTGGAGGAGGATCCAAACGCGGGGACAAACGTGACGGTGCACAAGGATGCAGCATGGAAAGAAGCCTGGAAGGATTTCCGCGACAACAGCAGCATCGGAAAACGGTTCTCCACGTTTGGTTCAGTCTATCGAGAGTCGGAAAACCCGCTCATCAGTACCGCTCGCAGCGTCTCCGATCGCATTGCTGGGTTCTTCGCCGAAAACGAGACCGCCATGGTCATCAAAAAGTTTCGCGAGATGGACCCCAACTTCCAGCTCGACCCCTTCTTGAACGACATGCGAAATTACATTCTGCCAGAAGTCCTCGAAGCATATGTCACCGGGGATGTCGAGACGCTGAAGCTCTGGCTTTCGGCAGCACAGTTTCAGGTGTACCACGCTCTGATGCAACAATATACCACGGCCGGGCTGAAGTCAGACGGCAAGATCCTGGATATTCGTGGCGTCGACATTCTTTCGGCCCGCATCTTGGATCCTGGTGAAATTCCTGTGTTTGTGCTCATGTGTCGCACGCAGGAAGTGCATGTGTATCGCAACGCCAAGTCTGGAGAATTGGCCGCCGGCATGGAGGACAAAGTGCAACAAGTCACGTACGCGATAGGCGTGACAAGAATCCCCGAGGAAGTGAGCAACCCTGAAACCAGAGGGTGGAAATTTATCGAGATGCAAAAGAGCGCTCGAGACTATCTCTGAGCTCGATGCTATTTCTCAGTCCCCTTCGAGCTCCATGTCACTGGCGACTGCACGACTGCGATTCTGCAGACCAGGGTATCTGCTATGGGCGCAGGAAATGCTTTCATCGTGGTCATCCGCGCCCAGGATCGCAGCAGTTGCGCAACACGCTTTAACACGCCGTCTGCGGCTTGTGTCCGTATCACGGGGTCATCTACTCGCGCAAGGTAGCAACCGGGGATGCCTCGGCGTCCTCTGGCATGTACAGCTGTGGTGTACATAATGATTGAGTGTTGCCCGCGCTCAGAAAGCCTTCGGCGTTGGCGGGTCATCGATTTCCCGCCATTGTGCGCATTAGCATCGAAAGGAAGAGCATAACGATCCGCACGGCATCGACGCTGTGGGCCATATCGGTCCACTTCCCCTCCACTCCAGTGTGTATATATATCGAGAGACCTATATGACTTGTGCTTGTATGATATCGGGCGAACAGTTCGGATGGGGCCCTGTACAATAACGCAGTTCATGCCACGACAAGGCGGCCTTGCCCAAGCCGAAAAGCCAAGAATTTGCACTTCCAGCTAATGCGTTGAATGAAATCTTGTCTCTCTTCAGACCGCCCAAATTGAATCCCTTACATTTTTCTAGACGTTCGCGCAGCAGACCTATACACACTGTGCATATGGCGCCATGAGCACAGGAGCAGATGGGGCCGACGACGATCTGTTCAATGGTACGCCGTACCTTTCGCCATGTACAAATTTCTTTTTAAAAACTAACATCCCCTGGACCGGCACGGCTGCGCTCACCAGTAGGAGGGTAGCTAATGGTAGGGATACATGGAGTGCTCGGGTCTGATATTAGAGCGGTGTATCATTTTGTCTACATTCGAGGCTTTCGAGGAACAGCTCAAGACATGGCCGCAACCTCGCCAGCGAATAATCGTCAAATGTCATTATTCCCCCGCAGTATGCCAGAATACCTGTATGGAGGGGATCACGGCTAATCTGCGGACGATGGCATTGGCTCGTCCACGCCAATGTCTCCCTTACGAATCTTCCCGAGGTTCTTCAGCTGGAAGCTACGCTTAAAGTACGTATTTGGATGGAGTATAGTGTCCAATTCACTTGCCGGCCATAAGCTTTCGTCTTTCACCTACACACGATATAGTGTCAGTAATGCTTTTTTTCCCGGAGGAAGATGCTAGCATTCTTACCTTCTTGATCTCATTCTTGTGAGCTGCTTCAAAGACTCTATTGCATGCAATATGGTATCTTTGCCGACCAACGTCCTCTCGCACGCCCTTCAATAACTCTCTGTCGTTCACTCCAACGTTCTGCAACAAGGTGATCAGGTTATCGGGGCTGTAGGTCCGATATGGACAACCATGGTTTTGTCCGCTTGCAGGTAAAGGTTCTGTGAGGAGCTTGTTGCAGCTGTAGGGGGTATAGCCTCGACCTCTTCTGTTCGAGTCGCCACCCACATCGCCATAGGCGTGGCGAATGTTGTAAAGATATTCGGACTTGAATTTGTCTGAAATACCACAGTTAGTCAAGGGGTGGTCGGCACCCAAAACGACAGGTTCCACCTACCATCTGTCACAAGCTTAAAGCTCCGTCTCCAGAAGAGTATACATTCCTGCAGATTCAGGCCCAGCCCTTTGAGGAACAAAGTGTACTGTAGACGCGAGTAGTGCTTGAGGTGACTATTCTTCTTGAGCTCACGGTGCAAGTTCTGCATGCACAGGGGGAAGTGCTGGCTGTATGAATCGATTGACGCCGCTGTGACGTTGGTCATGTCACCCAGACTGGACTCTTCTGAATAGCCCGCATCTGGCGCCACGAACGATTGAGAAAGGTGATGCAGTATTGGAGCCAGTCTATTGTCTTCGTCCATGCGAGGCAAGAATCGAGCGGCAACTTCCAGGCCTGACTCCAGCTGTCGGGAAAATTCATTTACAACCATGCTCATCTGCTCACGGACATGCACGTAGGCTTTGCCTTTTTTCAGCAACACCTGTCGCCTCTCCACCAGCTCAGGCACATTCTCCCACTCGCACTTGAACCAGTTCTCCTCGTCCGTCTTGGCGAAGAAGCCGGTTGCAGCCTTCAGCTCTTCGAGCAGCTGCGCTTTCTCGTCCTCGCCCACAGTCTCCCATGACATTGGCAGTGCTTCGATGAATGCCCTTCGCTCCCGCAGGTCGTCCTGCTGTATGCGCAGCTTGAACAGCTGACTTTCGAGCCTGGCGAACCGTTGTCGTAGATCTTGCGTGCTGGAGAAGGCAAGTCGGAGGGTCCAGTGGCTATAGTGGTCACGCTTCCTCTGCATTGGGATATCATTGTGGCGCGCGCTGTTGCTGGATAGCGGCATGTGTTTGTCGAGTATCGGACGCATGTACTCCTCTGTTTCCGCAGGACTACGATTGCGGAAGTGGCACGACTCCAGCTCGGCGAGCACCTTCAGGCGAGCAATGGCCCATTCCTCGAACTGCTCCAGCGTCACGTCGCCGGTAGGAGGGATGATGTAGAAGTTCATGCGGTGTGCGTAGTCCTGCTCGGCAAAGGTGGCCGTCTGGAACGGCGCCTGTTTGTGGTGGACGGCGCGTTTCTTCGCGTCGATGCGCGGCGCGTGCGCTATTGCCAGCATGTCTGCGGTGAATGAGGCGAGAGTAGCGTAGAGGGAGGAAGTGTCAATGGCGCAGAGAGAGAGTGTGTGTGTGTCTGGGGAGTCGGTCGGTGGGTGAGATCAATTTGTCGCGTCCTACCTGAGGGAGCACGCGTCGCGGCGCGTTAACCTGGCTAAGGTTTCATTAAGGTGTAGAATAGAGACTTGGCACGATCATCGCAACCGCGATAAATTTTTGATGATAAATAGTCAGTAACCATAGCAACGCTGCTGCGCCAAGTACTTCGTACTTTCGTACTGACAAGACGACAGCCAGCAGCCCAGCCTTACGTTGTATCGTCTTCACCTGAACGTTCATTCGTACCGCCATTCTATCGCACCACACCGCACCACACCGCACCGTACCAGCATCCCGCAACCCGTAGGACACAAGCCCCAGATCGACAACGACATTCCCTCCCGTCAACCCCACCCCACTCCACTCCACACCGCCCCCAGCGACGAGAACCATCCAGACTCCAGACCGGCTTTATTCGATCCCAGCAACCTTCGACAAGCACTGCAGACACCATGGTTTGAAGCAGTTGTGCGCGCAATCGCCGAGTTAGAAGCGCGCAGGCGCGGCGTCGTCGAGAGCCCGTCCCGCTCTCATTCACACAAACGCCATGTCTGCCGATGATGGCTTGTCCGCTCCCGGGAGCAGCATCTACGATAGCACCAGCATGTTCGTGGGGGATGGAACCTGGGATGCTACTCGTAATACCTTCCTGCTGCCCAATCTCCAGGGCCTCAACTTCGATACCATGCGGTACAATGGAATGGGCAATCGCTTCCGAGGCCTGTCGCAATATCATACCCTCATCTTGGGTCACGGAGTAGTGGCTGCCATCACGTTCATGGGTGTTGTGCCCGCCGCCATCTTCATCGCGAAATACTACCACTCCGGTGGAAGGTTGGCCTACAAGCTGCATGTCTACCTGCAGATCTTGACAGTCTTCCTAGCTACAGTGGTGCTAGTGCTAGGCTGGTTCGCAGTGGGGCCCGATAGGAGCCTGTCCAATCCTCATCATGGTATTGGAGTCGCTATCTATGTCTGTGTGCTCGTGCAGTTTCTCTATGGCTGGTGGATGTCGCGGCGGGAGCGAAAGAGGACAAGTCCACATCCGACACTACCTTTGAAAGTGCATCTGCATCGTTTGTTCGGACGCGCTATTGCTATCCTGGCATTCGTGCAGATTGCGCTCGGTTTGACGCTGTACGGCTCTCCGTTGGTGCTGTTTGTCTTGTATGCCTTGGTCGGGACATTTCTGCTCTTACTTTACCTCGTACTCGAGTACCGAAACAAGCCTCGCATTGGCGATAGGGTCTCGCCGTCTGGAGCAAGGTCCGACTACTACTCAGACTACACTGGGAGCTATCTGACCGGTGATCGCACGGAGCTGACCGAAGATCGGCAGTCTCGAAGGAGTAGTCAACAGCACGATGAGAAGAGCAGTGGAGGATGGGCCAAGAAGGCACTGGTAGGAGCAGGTTTGATCGGTGCATATAAATGGTGGTCCGGAAAGCGGAAGAAGCAAGACACGGATGAAGATCTGTACACCGAGTATACCGAGAGCAATGTCGACCGTACGCATCGCCCGCCTCGCACTCCTGGGCCTTCGGAATCATCTATAGCACCTTCTGGACGGCCGCCGTATGAACCGCCCGGAAGAACACCTAGCAGGCCACCTCCTCCTGCTAGCTACGCAGGGCACAATAGACCGCCGAGTCGAGGGAGCCACATGGCTCGACCGCATGGAGACACTGTACTGTCCCCCCAGACCTGGGAGAACGACGACTACGATGGAGATGAGAAGTTAGGCGACAAGCCGCGAGACAACACCTGGCGCAATCGACTCCTAGGCGCAGGAGCCGGCATTGCTGCTTTCCAAGGAGTAAAAAGTCTGTTTAGTAGCGGCGGAAAACGCAAGAACGGACACGGGGACTCACTTGTCAACTATAGGCCTCCGCATGGGAACAATCAGAGTACAGTTAGTCAAACGGATGTGTCCCGGGTGGAGGCAGGCCAAGCTCCTTTTTCACCAGACGATCCAGGAAGAGTTCACAGACCGCAATTCTCAGAGACGACGCAAATGACACCTTCGCGGCCGCCTAGGAGAAGAAGACCTAGTGTGAGCTCTGTGTCATACGATGAAGACGGTAGTTATGGGCCACCGCCAAGAATGAATTCCGACGAGCCAAATCTGCAGAAGAGCATTGCTGCACTGGGCGCCGTAGCTGGGCTCAGAGAGTGGAACAAGCAACGGAAAGCTCGCAATGAGCGGCAGAGGCAGGAGCGCATCCGACAGGAGCAGCTCGAACGTGAAGAGCAATACACTCGGCGAAATTCTAATCGATACCCTCGTCCCCAGGATGCAAGCGGTCGAAGAGCTAGTCACTCCGATACGCTTATGACTGGTCCTGAGCATGCACCTGGAAGTCATCCTTCTGGGTCGAGACAGAGTATCAGACCAGATATCAGTCAACCTCCACTGCCGATGGTTGCGGGAGCAGTTCCTCTATCAGTCCATGATCCGGACCCATTCCATGTCCACCAACAACAGCAGCAGCATCAGCAGCAGCAGCAGCAGCAGCATCTTCATATTGTACTGCCTCCACCACCTCCTGGTCCACCACCCAGTGATGGCGCTCGGCCGATAGGATATCAACCTCCACCTCCGGGCTCACTGCAAATGCCTCAGGGGGCAATCGATCCAGATCCATCGAGACTAGTATCGGAACAAATGCAATCATCTAGCCATTATCACGAAGATGTCACAATCGCTGCTACATCTGCCGCGACTGCGAGTGCGGCATTGGCAGCAGGCCATCAGACACAGTCGTCATCGCCAACAAGGCGACAACACTCGCGGACAGGTTCAGAATCCAGAGTTCCAGGTCGCAGGGGAAGCACGACTTCAGCTGGCTTTTCAGGAGCCAGCGCCTTAGGTGGTGGACAGAGCGTGGAGACCCCGCCAGTCAGTCTCAAGATGAAGATGCATCCGGACGGTCAACATGTCACCCTTCGACGACTGAATGAGGAGGAAGCCGCGGCCGAGCGTGCCGCTCGTAGACGCGAGAGAAGGGCTCGACGAGCTTCTAGTCTGAGCAGCGCCGAGGAAGGACCATCGAGGTATCGAAGGAACGGCAGCAGGAGACCCTCCAGCCAGCAGCCCATCACAAATGTGCCTGTTCCGCCCCCAGCGTTATCGAACTCAGCCATTGCGGGTCATCGACCTCCGTCAGAGCTCAATCTACCTCCTTCGCCGCCAGTGCATCGTGTTCCACAGAGTTCGGCATCGCCTTCTGGGATGCCACTGGCGACTGGGCCTGCTGGAAGCGGGACGGTGGGGAGTCCTGGTACCGTAGGAAGTCCTGGTACCGTAGGAAGAGGAGGAGGAACAGATCTCGGGACAGGCACTGATGTCAGCGCTTTCGACAACAACCGGAGACGCCGGCGGGCAGAAAGAGCCCGGAGACTGGAAGCATCCAACCGTGGTGCCAGGGTGGAGTTCTCGTGAGCACACGCGCACAAAACTTCCACAAACGATGTGTACGAAATTTCGGGCTGGGCCTCATGAGCGTTCTGAGCGAGCATTGTTTTGCGTCTAGACACCCAACTTGAGAGAAGGTGTCGGTGCACTTAATGAGCTACGAAATCTGTCTGGACGAATTCATGGCAACTTCTTGCGGAATTCTGCTACCGGAATTGTATGTAGATGAGGCTGTTCATAGAGTGCTTGGAAAAGTAATTTTTAGGAGCCTTGCCTGCTGACTCCACTCGCCCATGCCTGCGCACCGATCCGTCTTTGCTTCCTGGTCTGCTTCTCACGTGCAGCGGCCTCTTGAATACATGCAGCTTTGGTCCTGTTGTTCATCGACATGGCTTTTTGGATGATACTGCGGTCGGTCTTTAGTTTTGCAAAAGGAGGCGGGACCATATTACTACTACTACCAGAAGGAGCTGTGGCCTCGGTCAATTCTTCCCAAGTGTGCACAAGCCTCGCGGGCGTACAAGAAGTACCTGCAGCTTGTCTCAGACTCGTTTGGGCAGAAGCTGTGTGCAACAAAGGGGCAGGAGAGCGCGGAAAGATGGGAGGTGAATCTTCTCCTCGGACTCTGTCGCCGCCGTGTGCAAGTGTGGGAGTCATGATATCTCGTGCTTTCAGAATGTGAGAAGGCAGAATAGGGCCATCCCCGTGGTCATCTTCTGTGATTGTGACACGGGGAACACGGGGACCTGGCTTCGATCCATCTTGCCAAGTACGAGTGCCACGTCGCGGCCGGCTTGTAGCATGATCCATGTCTGTGACTCCGGCTTCTGCTTCTCTTTCTCTAGTATTGGCCTTGCCATGTTCGAAATGCGGGCGCAGTGTTGCAGCAACATCCATATCAATGCTCTCGCGATAGGGAATATGTGTTGCTGGCGACAATATTTCGCTTGTGGCTTGTTGAATGTCGGATGGAACGAAGTCGGTTGTAGGGGCAATATGCTGTGCTGCGTTTTCAGAGCGCAGAATTGGAGGTTGAGTGGCAGCTTCGTTTGACGGATCGCTCGTCCACGCAATCGCAAGGTCAATTCCTGCGCCTGTAGCGTCATCTATATGATGGAGCAGATCTGTGACATCCGGTCTGTCCGAGTTGGCACGTTCAACCGGCGGTCGACCTGCTGAGGCTTCCGCTTGTATAGCATCGGCCACCTGCAACAACTCTCGTGACAACCGCAGAAGCGCAGTTACGGTCGGCGCACCCTTTCGCAAATTCATGACCACGCGTTCCAGTTGTCCACCACGCTCGAGGATCACCGCATCAAGACCTTCTCCGAGGTCGGAAGACACAACTGTATTGCCAGTGCTTTCGCGGCTGTCGATGTAGTCCCTATCGGCATCGCCTTCAGAGGCTCGGGACGACCGAGACTGTGAATGGGGGCCAATTCCTTCATTTGTCTTGGGCTTTGAGCTTCCGTATCCAGGTGTTGCTGAATCCATCGAGCTGTTGATCAGAGCGTCCTTGCTCTCGTTAGACGATTCCGATCCCCTCGCGAGTCGCATCGGAGTCGCCGTAGCATTTGCGTCGGCCTTCAGTTGTGGAGCTACGTCGAAGGGACTCTCGGAACATACATTATGCGGGGATGAGGCAGCAGCAGGCTGGGTAGTCTGGAAGGAAGTATCTGAGGCCGTCTCGCGCTTTTGTATGCTACGCATATCCGTCAATAATGGCAGTACAACGACCTCATCCGTGAACCGCACTCACCCAAGCTCAGTCAAACAGTCCGGACATGCATCGGTCTTCTTACACTCCGAATATCGGGTCAAGTTGCGTGCAGTGTACGGGCTGGTGACCTTCACTTGCTCCAAGCCAGCAGGAATGTGCCGACCTCCATGAACCTGTTTGTAGATATCCTTGGCGTCTCCGAGCAAAGCTGCTTTACGACCGTGGCGCACGCAGGAGTCCCGTCGACCGTGTAAATGAGAGAAAGTGCCCATGGTTGCCCGTGTTGCTGTCTCTGCGTGCTTCGGCCATTCCGTCGAATTCACTTGATAATTTTGAAGAGCAGATGGCACCTTGGCTTGGTCCAGACCATCTTGACTCAAGCTTACACGTCCACCAGCTGGGATTGCAGCAGCCAAATTCATCGTGAGCGGTGCTGCTTCGAGAGCACGACCCGAATCGCTTGCTGAGCTCGAAGTAACCCCCTCTGCTGGCGATTTCACCATGGGTATCGCTCTCTGGGGTAACGGGGAATACAGCTCGGCGTTGTCGACTGGGATCGATTGATACAACGGAGATTCTGGAGACTCTGGCCGGAACAACACGCCTTTGCCTGATCTTCGAGTGAACCGCCGGACATGCAATGGGAATACAAGTGGCACGTGCTCACCAGCATCAGGGAGATCGCGGTGTTCGGGTCTCACTTTGGACGAGCTTCTCGGCCTTGCTTTTGTTTCGAATGCTTTGATCCGATCTGCCACTTTTACAGATTGGATTTTGTTGATTTGGTTTCCAGTCCGCGCCTGAGCCGCAACTGTGTCCGCACTACCGTCAAGCTGCGCTTCAGCTTGGATTTGACTCGAGCCGGAGCGGTCTTGGTTCTGGATATAATACTCGTCGCGCTCGACCGTATGCTGGTCCCGTCGCACGAACTTGGCCCCTGTGTTTGACTGGTCGGCACTCTTTCGAGAGATGAGATATCTTCGTAGTAACGACCTTGACTTTGAGGAAACAGGGAACGTGCCGTCAGTCGTGATTTCGCGTAGATGCTGCCAGGAGGTGTGTCGGCGAGTGTGTCGATCGTGCTCAGGGTGTTCAGTGTCGCTAGCGATGACTTTCTGGAGAACGGCAGTGTGTGATCGAGGTCGGGTGTCGGTTGCCGCTCGGGATCTGGACTTGGGTTTGCTGTAGATTTCAGAGATGCGGAGGAGGTTGGAACTGAGCCATGAGGATACAGACTTCTCAGAGAGTCTGGAACAGATCGCTTCGTCGAAAAGGCGTAGGTGACTCTGGTGTTGGCACTGTCTATGGTATGCACCTCCGCATCGTTCGGCTTCTTGCGCCGCGCTCGATCCTTGCGCGATCGAAAACGCAAAAACCGGTGACGCTGTAGAAAGGCATCAGCAAGGAATGTGAAATAAGACTGCTTGGACTATACTGTCTGCTCGCCCATGCCCGCCCAAGACCAAACGCGGAGCGTGACAGGGTATGTGATCCAGTTGTGTGCAAGAGGCAGGGACGGAGACTGCCTCGGTGTCAGGCGTGGTTGGCATCTACTGATATTTACATGAATGTTAGGGTATAGAGTACACCAACGTGCTCGAGGAGGTTCCGGGAAGATGGTTCTTGTAGGAACGCAAAGCACGGCATCAGCAGTGTGGCAGCTGGTGAGTGGCAGGTGAGAGGTGCAGTGACAGCTTCGGCTTCGGCCTGGATCCAGAGCCGCTGCAGCAAGTGCCAACCCGTCTCAACTCAGCGGGCAGTGGCAAGCAAGTGTCGCGGGCAGCAGGAGCAACGTCTGCATCGGGCAGTTCACACTTCCAAATGGTACTTTATACAGTATTTACATTTGCAGCAACTCTACTTGAGCTGAGCCTGCAGGGTCTCGAGGACCTAGATCGGTGTTAGCAATGTGGTATTGTGGCGCAAGTACATGGCTCGACATACCTCCAGCTCTATCTTTGCTTCGGCAATGTCCTGCTCGCTACCACTACCGCTGGCAATCTTTTGTGCCTCAGCGATCTGGTTCCTCACGGCCTATATATGGTTAGAATGGTCCCGGCGGTGCGTAGGGGTGTGATTGCACATACCTCCGCGCTGAATGCTTCGAGCGGGTATCCCTCCACAGCGTTGATGCTCAGCACTGAGTTAGGCTGCACGGTTGCAAAGCCGCCAGATACTGCACACGACATGTTAGCCGTGCCCGGTGCACACACACCTCAGAGCTCCGAGGCGCTGGTCGGGTCCGTTTGTATCCGTCCTCAATTTGCTCGTCACGCTGTGCTCACGTACAGAAAAACTGCTTGCTACCACCCTGCTCTTCAATGACCTCCACAAGGCCTGGCTTCAGCTGCTCAATGGATGGGACATGGCTGGCGAGGACACCCATCTCTCCGGACTCGGCGGGAATGTTGACTTGCACGCTGCTGTCTGGTCAGTGCTCGTGGTCTGGCGGGCGCATGCTGGCGTGCGAGCGAGCGGCTTGTGCCATGCACAGTAGGACGTACACATCCTTGGACTTGTAGATGGCTTGGTGAGGCAGGGCCAGAGTCAATTGGATCTTGTCGGATGCGACATCGGCATAGCCTCGACGGAGGGCGGGCGCGGCGCGAAAGGCAGAGGGCGCAGCCCTGACAGCACTTCGGGCGAGTCGGAGGGAGTTCATGGCGTGGTATGGCGAGTGAGATGCGGCGGTGGGGTGGTGGAGGTCGTAGAAGAAGAAGATGGTAGAGTGGGAAGATCTGTAGCTTGGGATTGACGGAGGCAGAGATGTGCTCCTTGCGCTGGGACGGACGCAGCCGAAGCCGAAGCCGTTTCCGCCGAGCCGCCTCTGACCCTGCCCCGTGCTGTGCAATGTGCGACCTAATCAATGCTTAATGAATATATGGATAGAATACCTACCACCTGGTTAAGAAAGATAACAGAGGTGGTCTGTTCGTCAACATGGTCATCCATGCGCTGATTATTGAGTTGAGCAAGCCGGCTGTAGTACGAGGTACTAGGTAGGCACTTTACTACCTCCATGTGCCTGACTGTCGTGCCATTTCTGTCTTTCCTACCATTCCATTCGACTCTCACTATGTCCCAGTACTGCTGGAGTGTGACATAGAATACCTGAAGCGGAGGTGGAGCCCGGACGGAAGCTTCCCGCACATCATCCAGGCCATTGCGGACGTGGAACGGTCTCATCATGGCGACGGCGACGTTCGCAGGTGATGATCCGTGGGCAATAATGGACGAAGGCAGCTCTCCCTGGGATGGTCAGTTCACTCGCTCCGCCCCTCTGCTCCGCCCCGCCCAGCGCCAGAATCGCTGTCATGGCGCACTGCTAACCGCCGACCCTCGCCCGCAGACGTACCCTCGCGCTCGCATTCAGTCGCCGCAGTCGAAGACGCAGATGCTCCGGCAGCGACGACCTCAACCTCCACATTGTCATCGAAAGCGACAGCGATAGACGGGTCGAACGCATCCGCCTCTGCCGCCCTGTCCAAGTCGACTCCCAACATCGCAGCAGGCGTCCGACCTGCGCCCTCCAAAACACGAAGAGGCCGTGGTCATGCCACCCTCACGCAGTCCACGACACTCGAAAGCCTCGATAATGATTCCCTGGGACCACTGGGCCCATTGGGCGTCGAGCCACCAGATGAGCCCATGGCACCGGCTCCGCCCGTGAAAGAGCTGGCCTCCAGACCGATGAGAAATACGGCAGGTTCGCGACCGTCCACTGCGGCATCAGGCGTTTCCAATCGCAGCGCAGATCTGGATGATGATCGTGCCGGTTTGAACGGCGGCCCTCGTCAGCCTCCTCCCGTTGAACCCGCGCATTTTGGAGGCCGTCAAAGATCTGCCCAGCCGTCGCAGCCCGTGGAGCAGGCTGCGAAGCCAACCTTTCACATCGTGGTGGGCGATCCGCACAACGTGGGAGGAGCTGCGAGCAGTCATACCGCATACAATGTCATCACCAAGACCACATCCAAGGCTTACATGAACCCCACTTTCACAGTGACTCGGCGCTATCGCGACTTCCTATGGTTATACGAGAGATTGCATGACAATAACCCTGGAGTCGTGGTCCCTCCGCCGCCCGAAAAGCAGGCCATGGGACGCTTCGATCAGAACTTCATCGAGTCACGAAGGCAGGCTCTGGAGCGCATGGTCAATAAGATCGCGTCACATCCTGTCTTGCAAATGGACGGGGACCTTAAGACGTTTCTCGAATCGGAACAATTCAGCGTAGCAATCAAGCACTCGGGCAAAGACCCGCTGCTTGGTGGTCACGAGTCGAAAGGTATCATGTCGAGTATTGGGCTTGGTGGCAGCTCCGGGGGCAAGTTTGTGGAGCATGATGATTGGTTCCACGACCGTCGCATTTACCTCGATGCATTAGAGAGCCAACTCAAAGCGCTCCAGAAGAGCACCGACACCGTCGTCGCACAGCGCAAAGGCCTTGCAGAATCCTGTGCGGATCTCCGTCTCTCCTTGCACAATCTTGCTGCTGTCGAACTCTCACCGAGCCTCAGCGGACCTCTGGACTCGCTTGGAGATCTCCAGCTGCGAATTCAAGAGCTCTATCAACGGCAAGCTATGCAGGACGTTCTGACTCTAGGAATCGTGATTGATGAGTACATTCGCCTCATCGGTTCCGTGAAGAAAGCCTTTGAGCAACGGCAAAAGGCCTTTCACTCGTGGCATTCCGCCGACGCCAAGCTGATGGAAATCAAGAGGCAGCAAGAAAAGCTACTACGAGCTGGTCGCACGCAGCAGGACAGGCTCGGCCAGATGCAGGCAGACGTTGCAGACCAGGAACGACGCGTCCACGCCACACGATTATTGTTCGAGGACATGGGGCGCCTGATGAGGACAGAGCTTGATCGCTTCGAGCGTGAAAAGGTGGAAGACTTCAAAAGTGGAGTGGAGACATTCTTGGAAAGTGCAATTGAAGCGCAGAAAGAGGTGAGTTATTACTCCATCTGTACCTTGTGTGTGTGTGTGTGCCCTCCTGCTAACACATGCTTCTAGCTCATTGAGCTGTGGGAGACCTATCTCTTGCAGCTTGACAGCGACGAAGATGGTCCGCCACTGATGCCTGCCGGTGTAGTTGCAGACGCCGATGCCAGATCTGAAGGCCACTCGCAGAGGGAGGCGAACCGAGCCCAGCTCGACGAGGAGAACGCGGACAGCCCAGACGACGAGCCGCGAATGTCGGCACCCACTTCTCGAGACAGTGATGACCTGCTCCGCGATAGCAGTCAGGATGCTCTACACGAGAATGTCCACGACCCTGCCCACATGGGTACCAGAGACGTGGAGGCATGATTTTATGGAAACGCAGCAGCAGCATAATTTCACCATGATGGTATGAAGACGGTTGACGCGACTGCTACATCCATAGGTCAGTTTGTACCCGTAGGTATTGTGGGTGTGCCATGAGACTCATCACCTCCACAAAGGTCGTAGGGTGAGTCAATTCAAACACATCGTTTCTTCTGGGAACGTCGAAAAATTCGTACTCAAAACAGTGCATGGAAGCAGCGTCTGGTTGAGGTGACAATATCGTTCCGTACAATCATCTCCAAGGAGGGAGGGGGCTCTTATGGGAAAAGGAAAGTGTGAAAAGTTCAGCACACAAATGATGCATGTTGCTTTGCTGCTGAACGTTAGCTGTTTTAGCTGCAGCTGCAGCTACTTACTGCTTCTGCTTGATCATGCCTTCTCTTCCGCATCAGCCTCATATATGCATCGAGGGCATAAACAATCACCTCCTAGTGCGCCCCGAGCCCATTCACGTCGTTCCTTCACCGGCAAATCGACATCGCAGTAATGAGATTTGACTTCTTCGTCCTTGTGAATTCCCGCCTGAGACATGACCGTCTGCTGTCCGTGTGCGCCCGTCCACGCGACTCGTTCCCTCTTGGTCCAGAATTTCATGGCCCCGGCCCACTCCCAGCTGACATTGGGATCGCACGAATGGTTGGCGAGACACCACATGGGGTGCACGGCAGAGACTTCGGGGCCTCGAATGGCGCGGCCGCCCAGGCCGGAGAGGCGAGCAGAGGCTGTTCCGCGGAATTTGGCATAGAGGGTGTTGAAGACCCAGACGTCGTATTGAGGGTTGGCGAAGATGTCAATGTCCATTTTCTCGAGCATGTGGAATGGCAGTCGGACGTTGTTCTCGAAGCTGAATGGTAATGTGCCGGAAAGGAGGCTTGGGCTAGCAGCTGCGTCGAGGTCGTGGGAGATTGTAGTTTCTGCGTCAGGTGCTAGGACGAAGTCGCCCCCTGAGATCAAACAGGTCACAAGGTAAGCAAGTATATCTCGCTCTCTTTTTTTTTCTCTCTCTCTAAGGATGAGGATGTGTTTTCAACGGGTCCGCCCTTCGACTTGATCACCGAGTGGGCGCAGCAAGCACAGAGAGACAGACTTGGAGTAGTGTAAGGAAAAAGTCATTTGGTATGTCGCTGTACTTACAAATATATCGAATGTCCGGAAGCTCGAGAGGATGACATTCTTGCGTCTCTGCCATCGCCAGAGCTCGAAGAAGTAACAGTGAGTACAACGAGTCCGCGGCTTGGGCTGGTGGCACATCCTTCGCGATGGCTTCTACATCCTTGTCGCAGAGTGCAGGGTGGTAAGAGTCTCGAGCATTCTCAAAACACCAGTCGCTGCAGAAGACGACTTCGCATTCGGCACACACTACTGCTTGCTCCCAGTCCGCGCTACCGACCTCGGGAAGATCACGGCTGCAGGCATCGCAGAGTGCATCCTGTAACTTGTTATTCGCAGTGAGCAGCGAAGTCTCATCCAGAATGATGTCTCCTGGTGTAATGTCGACTTTGGCGAAAACACCAAGTTGGGTCACAGTCGCAGTCGCGTCGCCATTTAACGCTGGGAGATCGACAGCACGAACCTCCAATTTGTCCGATACGCCGCTCATCAGCATGTTGATTCGTTCCAGGTCGGCGATGCGATCCGGTTCTCGCTTGTTCCAGGGATATATCTCTCTCCGCACGGAGCCACGATCAGGCCACTCGCTTGAGGGCGGGAGGGTGCCATCACCACTGGAATTCAGAGCTTCGGAAACTCCGGCATGAATGCGTTCGCGAATACCGAGCAGCTCCTGGTCGTCGGGGTAGAGGGCAAGTCCTTGCTCAACGTACGAGTGGGCAGTCCGGTAACAAGTGCAGAGAAAGAGACTTCGCGTCAGGATACGGTACCTAGATAGCCTGTGAGCAGAAGACCGAGCCACGGAGTCCAGGAGAGAACGTACATGATCAGGCGATAATGCATCTTCAGCCAGAGGGTAATCTCGATGTCGAGTGAAGGGTCGAGCTCAGCAGCGACCCCACCATTTTTGATGCCAGCATCAATTGCCTGTCGAATGATCTTGATGCGATCCTCCAGCGGTTGCTCCTGGATGATTGCCTTTAATGATTCACAAGCTTCCTCGTGATATTCCTCGGCATCGTTGTCCAACGCATCGGACAGTAACAATGCTTTGTAGGCCGAACCTGCTGCTAGATCCGGATACCCCAGGCCGAGGTACTCGATGGCGATCAAAACATGGACGGGTACTGAATACGGGTGGTCGGCGGCATATTCCCATGCATTGTCGAGCCTCGCCAAGCGAGCATCTCTTTTCACAAACGTCTCCGGATAGTGCTGGCTTGCTCTCAGCGCCAGTAACAGGCCGAGGAGGTCCTGAGCATGGTCTGAAGACGAGGCAGGTCCATTCGCATCGGCCTGCGGAGGATGGGCAGTGACCTTGCTCTGCGCTGCGTGATGCCCGGGTACCGCCCTGGTGTTCTCGTTCGGCTTCGGTTTGTCCACTGAAGACTCTTGTGGTGCGGTGCCAAGGAGTCTATACGAAGCCAAAGTCTCATTCAGGCGGGTGAGCGCAGTGTCGACATTTGCAATTGATGTCTGGTACTCGTCCATTCTTTTCGTTGCCCGACGGATGCACAGGCACAGGGGGAAGTTTTGCACACAAAATTGCGTGCGTCAGTGCGAAAGCGAAAATATAGAATAGTGGGGCCGAGTGCACGTGCCGATATGGGCTTATCGTGAGAACAGATGGCAGAGGATCACATCAAGAGATACAAACGTCGCGAGAGCGACACGAGAGAGTGAGTGAAGGTGAATTTATCGTATTATGAGCGGTGCGAGACTGGGCAAGCCATACACGTGAGAATGAAAATACATTCGACCTGTCGAGCAGCCTTCACATCTTGCCTGCTCATTTCGCCGTCCTTCGCAGCATGGCATGCGCCACGGATGCCATCTTCCATCTCTTCTCTCCGGGCGCGCAGCTCGCAGATGCGAATAGCAGAAAGCTCTCCTTCCGAGGATTCCTGGCATTAATACAATGCCTCTACCATGCTTGTATACCCAATACGCGAAGAACAGCTCTACCGAATACTCCGGACCGCCAGAGCTGTCAAAAGACTAAGCCTGGGTTGTGCACATGGGCAGTGGAACTGTCGGTTCCATATGGTTGTGCCGAGCGAGGATCCTGCGGCGAAGCAGAAAGAGCTTGCACCGGTTCGGATGGTGCGCACGACGCTTCTGTGACCTTGCTGGCACTTTTGTCCGCTTGATGGTGAACGTCCTGGTCCTTTTCGTGCTTTGGCACAGCATCGACTGTTGCTTTGCTCACCCCCATGGATGATTTCAGGGTGGTTTTGGGAGACGCTCGCCGGTTGGCCTTGCGTGGTGCCTTCGTCGCTGGTCTCGTGCTTGCCGTGGACGCCACCTTTCCAGTTTTCTTTGCTTTGGGCTTCGTGGCAGGTGTTTGACTGACCCCGGGTTGCTTCTTACCTTGCGTGCTTGCGGCTTTCTTGGTGCCGTTGGCGGGCTGTCGTGCTCGTGCGAGTTCTGTGTTCGACCCTTTGAGATTTGGAAAGCTCGCGATATGCAGGATATTGCTTTTAGCTGGTGAGCTTCGTGTGGACTCCGACTCGGAGGGTGTGGGCATGCCATGGGGCTGCTGGTGAACGGAGTGCATCATGTTCGGGATACTGTGATCGGCCTGTACCGATTGCTCGATGCTCTGCATCACTGAAAGTTGCGGTGTGCCGAGAGGACTCCAATCCATCGGTCCCTGCTCCATACATTTTCGTGGCGTGGTCTCGCCCAGCGCAAGAGGCTTGAAGCTGTTGTTCCTGTGAAGGCTGGTTTCCGGCGCCATCTTTGGCGCATACTGAGGCTGCTGGTGCTTCGGCGGCAGGTGCACACGTAAGCTTTTAGCAGTAGTCTTCTTTGCCTCTCCCTCGCTCACCTCCGAATAGACTTCCGAAGTGGCAGGCTCATCCCATCGGCGCATGGCAGCATGTTTGGCGACATTGTCGCATGGTCCTTGTACAATAATGTCCCAGCAGTCCTCTAGATCCTTCGTAATGGGTGGCGGGTCGCTGTTGATCCATATCGCGACACCTCCTTTCCTATCTCGTACGGTAGCGCACATCTCGCGCACGATCCTTCTCACCCCCGGAACCTTCAAAGTCGTGCCCACAACGATGACCGCGTCGGGCCTTTTGCGCAAATCGTCCTTCGTCACGGCGCCTATCGCCTCATCGTCCGGGTTGTGTTCGTTGTACAAGACCATTCGTGGTCGCATTCTGCCGATACCGTGGCTCCGTTTTCCTTCCACTCCCACGCGAATGTCATTGACCTCGACACAGCGTGTGCACGTTGGCGGTACGGGACCGTCGAACAAGGTTGGTTCCAAGTCCGCCAGGTCATGACACTTGGAGCATACCATTTTGTCGAGTCCACCGTGAACTTGTACGGTGCGCGGCCACTTGCCGTCAGTGCCCTTTGCCAGCGGTATAGCCGTCTTTAGAGGCTCCAGTCCCGTGTCGATACCGTCGACATTTTGCGAGTACAGCCGAAGCAGTCGGTCTTCCTGTGCAATGGTGGCGAGCATATGGTGGAATGCAGTAGGCTTGGCATCCTTGGTCAGACGTGACATGGTGTTGACCATATCGTGAAAGGAGGATGTGGACGCGTCGTCTTTGTAGACGGACGCGTCGAACAAGTCTTTGCCAGAGCCCTTGAGGTTGTACTCTTCCTTGAGGGTGCGGAACAAGCCCTGCGACGAGCGGAAATCGGGGACTGTATGTGGGTTGTTAGCACGTGGATGGACGCGTCAAAACACAAGATGAGGGTAAATTAGGTGGGTACGCACTGCCCGCTGACACGGAGATGCCGGCGCCAGCAATCACGACAATCTTCTGTCGGCGGTGGAGGACGTTGACCAGACGATCGAGCTGGCGCTGCTGGTCGGGGTGGACGGTGTCGCTGCGCAGATCGAGGTGTTCGGTGGTGCGTTCGGTCTTTCCCGATATTCTTCTGCGCTTCGCCGGCGGTGGACCATCCTTGTCTGCAGCCATATCGCCATCTGGCGCGGGCGAGCCGTTCTGCGAGTGCTGTTGCGAGGCAGGCGGCGAAGGATATGGAATGGAGGGGATGCGAGGGCGCATCATGGCGGCGGGAGGTGGGCTTGGCGAGCGCGATAGGAAGGACAATGGAGAGCAAGAGCGCGAAGAGGCGGGCGCGCTGCTGCTGCTGCTGAGCAGGGAGGAGAGGCCGGAGTCGGAGGCCATGGGTGCGGGAGGGGGAGGTGTCGGATGTCTGGCGTTGAGACGGCGCGCGACAGCTGGACGGTACAGTGCAGGCACAGAAGAGGACAGGCGGAGAGATGGAGAGAGAGGGCGGGTGCGCGCGCGCGCGGAAGCAGAGTCCAGACCGAGGCAGAAGGGGTGCAGCGCACTACGACGACGATAGCATCCTCGAGGGCGGCGCGTAATTATGCGTACAGAGGAGTGCCAGGGGGCGGAGAGGGTGAAGAGGGCGTGCAGAGTGTGATATATGTATGGTGCAGGCGAGTGAAGGTGGAGGAGGAGGAGGTGGTGGTGGTGGTGGTGGTGGTGGTGAATGAGGTGATGGCTGATGGGTCGGGTAGTGGTTGGAGAAATCGGCCTAAGACGGCTAGAAGCACCCACAGTAGTTCTAGCGGCTTGTGGTCTGTTTACTACCAGAGGGATTGGTGTAAACAGTGCAGAGTGCCCCGGAGAGACATTGGCGACCGACTATTATATAACCATCTCTAGGTACAACTCGTTCATCCCCAATATTATCGACAATACTGAGCATCTGGCAATGAATGAGGCTTCCTCATACGCATCCGCACGTCGGCACCACAACGACCGAGCCCGGCAGCAAGCGTGGTTGTGTTCTTTTGCCTTTGTGGAATACCTGGTAGAACTCACGCGCCTTTCTTGGCACTCAAAGCCGTCCAAGATGTCACCTTTTGTTCTGGTACCGTAGTACTATACATGCACCTTATGGTCCGCTCAGTTTCCCAAGACAGGTGTGCATAGATAGACCTGAGGTATATTCCTCTAGCAGAGATGTTTATTGTGCATATACCTTGTGTAGTTTTAGGCAATGTTGTTGGAGAATGGAGATAGGAGGTAAGGTACTCTGGTACGTTGCTTGTCCCACACTCCCCCCACAGGAATGTACATGTACAGGTAGGAGGTAGCTGAGGTGTAGCGCCACAAGTCATGTGTTCACTCCTCGTACATGAGCGTCATCGGTCCCAGCACATGGGCACAACGAGGCTTTCGACTGGTACTACCTTAGGACGGGAGGAGAGGTAGGAGGTAAGTACATATAGATGTAGACTCCGCATTCAAGAACTACCTGACCTTACCTAAGGTACCAGCTGCCTACCTTACCTGACCTGACCTTACCTACCTCGACCTCGACCTCGACTTCGATCGACCTCTTTACCCCTCCCTCCCTCCTCTTTATTACATCTACTCCACTGCCTACAACATATATACATACATACCTACACAGCAATACCGTGTGACAGATACTAGACTACCTCCTCGATACATAAGGTACCTACCTACCTACCTACCAGGTCCAAGTCATTATGTCCGACGCGCCCAACACCAAAGGACACCATCCATCTCTGGTCGGAGGCCACGCAGTAAGTTGATTACCCATCAAACAAAAACGACGGTCCAGTCCCAACTTGCCATATTCTCTCGTTACTAACGAACTTTCCCCTGCAGCAATATGTCAAGGGACTAGGCGAGGTACGTTGATCTTTCTTCGCGGTGTATTCGATACATACATTACCCGGGTGATGAGGGTACAGTGTACCTACATTATCTGTACCTGTACCTGCCGAGCGAGAGCTCTCATATGGGTCTTGGTACTCTTGGTAGGAGGTACCTACCTGACCTGTAGTCACGCATGCACGGTCTTGGGAACTGGAACTCTTGGTGATGACGATGATATATGGATCTGGAAGGTACATGACCTTACTGACGATTTATATATATATGATACAGGCAGGAGTTGCAGCCGTCACTGGGAATTCCGCCTGGCAGCGATCCGCCGACGCCGACAAGTCCCAAGGCATCAACACCATGAAAGCCGCTTCTGCCGCACGGGACCCGCAACAGCAAGGAATGGGGAAAGTCGAGGAACTCGCGGGCAAGGCCGTGGGTTGTGAAGGCATGCAGCAAGAGGGAGCAGAGAGCGCCGCGGCGACGACGAACACGAACACGACGCAGAAGAAGACGGGTGAAGGTCATACCTATTACTCGAGAGGCGAGAATGTCGAGATCTGATAAGAGGGTTGAACATGTACCTGTACCTAGCTAGGTACCTAACTTGGTCGAAGTGATTTTACATATGGAAAAAGTGATGTGCATGGTGCATCCCACACATCGGCGTCATGTATAGATAGATGGACATGATGGGGAACACGATGTGTTTGCACAGTGATCCATCCAGTCCGTGCTCTCCGTCACCACTGCAGTTTTCCAGCCCTTCGCCTGCATGAACTCTTTCGCCTCCGGATTCCATACACACACACACACACACACACACACAAAGAGCCTCCTCGTCTGCCATAAAAGCAAAAGAGTGTCGGTATTAGTAGTCTTGTACATTCGCACACGTGATATGTAGATGAATGGACTGTATATATATGGCGTCGCATCGACCATAATACGCCCACGCCGTTGGTTATCTCAATTCGCTGGAACGCTGCAGATTGTAAAAAATTCAAAGAATTGTGGTTGAAGAATAGGTAAATAGCAGCTCGGAGCAAAGTGGGCATGCACAGCACACCAACACTCATAGCCCATCGAGCGTTCGCTTGGCTTCGTCGAGAGTATTACGCAGCATGCGACTGGCAAATGTGGCATCATCTTCATCCTGCATCTGCCTCACCACTCGGCGCAGACTCTCAACGACGCTGAAAAGGACAGCGTTGTTTCTCAACCCCAGTGGCCGCCCGTTCGGATCAAGCAGTGCTTGCACAGCAGTAGTAGTCGGATCTGTCCGGATCAATGGAGATAATGGTGGCGTACTGGTCACACTGTTATTTGACGCTTTACCTGCGTACTTGTGGCTTCCGGCAAACTGCAGTGGATAGTGGTAGTCACTGCGGCTCATCATTCCCACGCCAGAATCGGCGCGGTCGGATGAGCTGTCGCTCCGCGTTACCAGTCGGCCATTGTTGCCATGTTGAACGTGCGATTGACGGCTACTGCTTGCGCGATATGTGGAGCTTGACCTTTGTGTGTTACGTGACTCTTGCCGGGAGTGCATGCGGGAAACAGATGGACCCGGAGAGTGAATTGGTGACACCGAGTGTTGCCTTTGCGCGTAGCGACCGCGATATGTGATAGGTCCCTCGATAGGCGAAGCTGGCTCCTCCTCTGCTCCTTCCTCGGCAGTAGCGAAGGTACCTGCGGTGGTAATACTCTCGTTCGAAAGGGTGCGTTTGTGCAGGTTGCGCTCGATCTCGCGCAGCTTCTCGGGCGTTTCTGGCGACGTAGGGGGGGAATCGTTGAAGGGCTGCTCGAATGCCTCTTCATCCTCGTAGCCTACAAGCGCAGGTCCTCGTGCTGTTTCAATAGAGGCTTCTGATGCCGCACTAGACTCAGACTGTGCATACGTCGCCATAGCACTGTGGAGGAAAAAATGTTCGTAATCAAACGCATCCTCTCGGTCTTCGTGCGCGACCACGGAAGCTTGTTCTTTTGCGTCTTCATACACGCTTGACTCGGGCTCTGAAGTTGCGTACCCATTTGAAAAGCGTGCCCTCGCCTCATCAGACGATGAACGATGGCTCCCGGTGGATTCATTGGCAGACGATGCAGGCGAGGACTCTGGGAGGTACTCATGTTCAGCATAGTGCGCCGAGGGCAGATCAATCACAGCCGCACCGTGGAGTCCAGCTTGCGTGTCGTGGTATTGTTGATGCGAGTTGCGACTCTTGGACGAGCTCACCAGCGCACTTCCACTTGCTGTCCTTCTTCTATGCAACTGTGGCTGGCCCTCCTGCGTTTTCAAACTTGATGCTGCCACCTGGAATTTGCTGACTGGAGTCTTACACTCTCCCATCTTGCCAACGCGAGCTTCTGGAAGTCCTGAGGATCCCGATGTCGCCTGTTCTGCGAACGCCTTGCGACTGCCATTGGGAGCTCCGTTGAAGGCACCTGGGTCGTGCGCATCATCATGATGCTCGACAGGTGACCGGGCGTGGAACACTCCTGGCGGCGTCGCTGCTGCATTGTTGAAAGGCGACTGATGCCGAAGATTCGACTGAGACTGCCTTCGAATACTGTCCTCACGTGCCCGTTCCTTCAGCGTAGAGATCTTGCCTTTCAAACTCGACATTTGGTCACGCAGATCCGAGGTCCGGGACGACGGGCGATATATGCCCAGTCCGTTGTTGATGCTCGAGGAAGAGTGATACTGGCTGTGACGTTGCGACCTGCGCTCCTCATCCTCCGCCAGCGGCTCCAGGTGCATCTGGTCTGGTGACCTCCGATTATGAAAGGCGCGGCTGCTGCTGTACACTCCACTGCGTCCCAGCTGATCATGACTGCGAGCTGTCCGTAAGACGCGGCCGTGTGTTTGCTCTGCCGATTGCGAGTAGTCTTGGAGGGTGGAAGTAGCGACATAACGTGAGCCATGGTCCAAAGACGTGTGTGGCCGATCGGGTAAAGCGTCGCTCCAGTTGCGATGGTAGTCCTGGTTCATGTGAGGTGAAGACTGCTGTGAATGCAAATTGCGTGGCGAAGCTGCCTTGGCCTGCTCATTGTCGTAGTCATATCGCAGCGTCCTCCCATTCCCGTATATGGCCGCTCCAGACAACGACGTCGCACGCTTCAGATTTGCAGCTGTTAGAGGCTGCACGAGATCGCGAGCCCCTCGCAGGTTTCCCTCCATGACATTGAGTCGCCGTTTGGCGTTGGCGAGGATCTGCTCGGCGCGCTGGCTCAGGATGGCGGATTCATACTCCTCTTGCTCTTGTCTGCGCCGAAGCGCTTCTGCATCATCGTCAATGCTCGTGCTGCTGTCCAGCTGAATGTCGCTGCTCTCGTACAAGGCCTCGTCGTCGCTGGAGACGCCTGCCCTGGAATATTTGTCGAGGAAGACGATGGAGCCAGAGAGCTCACTGGACGAGCTCCCGCTCGTCCTGCGCAGCTGACCGTTCGCAGAAAGAGGCAGCTGCAAGAAGTCGCTCTCGGGCTGCTCTGGCGCCAGATTGCCGACGTCCTGTAGTATGGGCGAAGAGGGTACCAGATCCACGGAACTTGGGGAGGGCGAGCCACGAACGGTGCTGCCATTGCTCGACGTCCGACTCCTCAACATCATCATTTTGCGACTGAGCCCGAGCCTTTCTTTCTTGCGCGACGCGCCCGCTGGGCTGGTCGCTCCTCCTGTTGCAGCAGTAGCTGGAGCTCCTGCTGGCCCTCCAGCAGCTCCTCCTCCTCCTCCTGCTAGTACTGCTGTTCCTCCGCCTCCCCCACCTCCTGCGCCAATGCCGCCGTCGTGCCCCGCGCGGTCGCGCAGGTAGCTGGGGCTCGGGGGACGAGGTGGTGCGCGCGGAGGAGACATGGCGAGGTGGCCACTCGCCATGGGCAGCACCATATCGATATTGCTCAGCGTGGGACTACTCGGTGTGTCGTCGGGCACCCACGTGGTGTGCATCGGTGGTAGAGCCGACATGGCCTCTGTCGGACGCTCTCCCAAGAGTAGTAATGACATGCCACGAATAACGAGACCACGCAGCGTTACAGAGAGAGCGCTCTCCCCTTCCCTCAGGTAATCTATGTGCGAAAGCAAGCGCGCGAGAGCGTGGTCGGCTAAATCTAGTCGGAGTAGTCGGAGGCTTGGTATAGCCCCAGCAGTCGGCTCGCGAGGTAATGCCTGGTGGGCGTGGCCATGGACGGTGATAATTATAGTGCGTGCAGGTAGAAGTGATGAGTTAGGTAGTAGTGGTAGTAAAGGTAGTAGTAGTAGTAGAACTAAGGTCAGGTAGGTAGGTGAGAGAGAAGGACCTCCTAGCAGTATGACTACCAGGTACTAGGTACGGTGCTGTAGATGCAATAATGACACCTGCTGCCCTGCAGAGGCTGCAGCCTCCTAGCGAGAGTGTCAAAATTGACTTGAGGCTCGTTGACCGTTCCTCGTCCTCATCTGGGTTACTTGATCAGGTAGCCAGCCGCACGGGGGGATTTGGGGGGGTGGATGGAAGGGAGGGGACGGGGGAGGGACGCGCTCATCCCCCCCAAGGGGAGGAGGCACCACCTACAGGCTACAAGCAAAAGGGATGTATTGTGATGTAGCCTGTAGGTTATCGTGATGAGATGATTTGCAGCACACGAAAGAGAAAAAAAAATTGCAATGTCCCGTCCATCCGCTTGACCCCTTCCGATTTGCTGACTCGTCAGTTAAGCTCATATCCGGACAGCCCGGTCCTGGCTATCCGTCCCTTGCTCGGTTGCTCCTTTATTGCCGTCGGCGAGGATTCCCTACTAGTTCGAGTTCAACCTACCTCCTAATGTTCTCTAAGGTAAAAAGACGGTGGGAAAGCTCCCGTGAGTCCCGTCCATTCCGTCCATGGCGACGGGCGACGGCAACAATGTACATGTATCTGGCATGTTCAGTGGACGCGACGACCGTGTTCAGTGTTCTGCAATCACATGATCCTCATCGATAGCAATATTAATAACAACAATAATCACATGGAATCACAACATAACATTGTTACAATTGCTGCTTTCTCTAGGCAGCCGGAATACCTAAAAAGGTACCTCTTATATGTACTCCAGCAGTTGGCAGCACTTAAGACCAGACCCACTCCACCGTGCCGCACCCCGCACAGAAGCTCTTCGTGCACGTGGTATGTACCTGCATAAGGGAGGCTCAGGTCCTTTTTCATGAATGCACGTGACTGCATAGTCCTGGATCTCACTTCCTGTAGGCTGTTACATTGTACCTACATGTACTTGGTGTATTTCATATTCCCGCCGAAAATCCCATCTGCTCGCTCGTTCACTCCTTGTTGCAATGCACTAAGGTAGGTATATGTAATTACTGGCCTCCAATATTGGTAGGTAATATAGTATTCGTCGCCGCAGCATTGACATCCGGGACACGAGACTTCTCGCCGCCACGCCGAGATCCTTGGAGGTAGGCTACCTCTATTCTTTTCGGTTCCCGAGGGCTGCCGTACGGAGTGAGACTGTGAAAAGGCATCAGGTAGGCTATCATATCGACGATATGTCTCATCTGAGCTCTTTGCTGGTACAAGGCATAGACATTGGCTGGTAGGAGGTACTTTGTGTCAAACCTTGCGAATGTGTTGCGCTTTCTCATGCGAGCCTGATCCATTGCCCGATGGTCCGGGCGCCCAAGCGGTCGTTCCGATCTTCTCTGAGCTCGAGTCCATACTGTAGCCTGTGTCTATTCGAGCATCGATGAAATACAGAGTGCCGTGAGTGGGGTGTCAAGTGTGTGTTTATTCAAAGTGATCCCAATACTCAGACTCGAGCACACTGCTGCCGAAGAAGCTGGACTGTCCACGTGGACCGGCGGGACCACTGCCTGCAGCAGACCCTGTGGACCCGCGCTTGACGCTCTCGCACAGATTTCGAAAGAAGCGAAGTAGTGGCTCGTGCCTCGGTGTCAAAGGGTCATCAGGCGCAGCTGAAGTGTGGGCGAGCACAGAGTCAATGGTGCTGTCTGGCTGCAGCATGGACGTTAACGCGCCTGCTTCCCAGCCGCCTGCGCTTGGAAGAGGCCGAAATACTCGTGACATGAGAACCAGGATGTGCAGCAAGTCTGCCCAGTCTACGATGCAGATCTGATGTATGGTCGAGTATGGCTTGGCTAACAGTTCGTCGACATATTCCTTGATCGTGCAAGCGCATTGGATGAGAACAGACGAATCTGCACTCGGACCAGCTCGAAGTAGTCGTTGGTATACATGAATGGTTGCCGCTGTAAACCCCAGAGTGCCGCCTAGTCCTGGATACTCTCGTTTCAGGGCCTTGAGGCGTTGACTTGCGGCTCTAGTATGTCCGTCGATGGCGTGAGATGATGTTACTTGCGGACCATCTGTCATTTGCCGCAATCCTTCCTCCATGTCATCAATCACGCAACAAAGCTCCAAGGTGGCCACGAGTGTACGATCGGAGGGCATACCACCGGTTGCAGCAGCACTCTCTGCACAAGTTCGCAGAAAGGTGGTCCACCTGAGCGGGTTCGGTTTGTCAAATCCGACTGCAGACAAGTGACTGCAGAGATAGTAACAACCCACGAAAGCTCGATCTCGTTCTACTGTGCTCGATGCATCTTCTGGAGGTAAGAAAGGTCGATTGTACAAGCCGAGATCTGCGGCCATTCCAGCCAGGAGGGAAAGCTGCTGGTACAGCTGATGTTGCGACATGTAATGATGATGCCACGCCAGAAACACCAGGAACCCGGTCAAAAGATCCACGCTGCGCTCACTGCCTAATATGACTTTCGAGGACAATGCATAGCGAAAGGCCTGGCTCAGACGAGCCTGCACTTCCGGAAATGCACCTGAAGTTACAGTACATATCGCAAGGGTCAGCACTGGGCGGCTGGCCACCGTTGGTATGATGTCTGCGCCTGGGCTGAGTTCCACGAACGGGAAGAAGGGTATCAGCTGCGCATATACTGTGAACGACTTGCGGACGAAATTGTAGTCAACACCGCGTAGAAGTTCCTCGCACGCCTAATGTGATGTCGATTAACACAGATATATACAGTGAAAGGCACCGAAATGCAAGGCAGACTCGTCGATGACTTACAGTCACATTGCCTGAGAGAGTCAAAGGTTAGCAGCTGTCTTCGACATGACGATGCCCTCCGAGATGACTCCTCTTACCGAGGCCTCTTGCAAACAGAGACACGAATGACTTGCTGCTGTTGTAAGATAGATCGTGGCGTGACAGGAGTTCGCTGCGATCTGCTGGATACTCGGGCGGCTTGCCGCTGGCGGGTTCGGATTTGGTTGTTGGAGAGCTTGGTTGCAAGCTGGAAGAGCCTGCAAAATCGCCAATCGGTATGCCTTCAGACTCGCCTACGTTGCTCTGTGTTGCTCGTTTCCTTTGTTTAGGTATGGCAGGGCGGCATTCTTTACTGCATCTGATACATCTGAGGCAAGATTGGGGTTGTTAGCGCTCGGAGGGCACAACAGATTGCGCTACATCGCTGTCGACATTCATAACGGACAAGCACATGCGCTCCGAAGCATGTTGATGACAATACCACAGTTCACGGTACCGGAAGATGGATGCCACGGTGGCACAGGATCGCGATACCTAGCCTGCCTCGACGACCTGGCCGAAGCTTCTCGATACGCGACGCGAACACGTAGAACGTAGGTACCTAGCTAGGTAGGTACGGTACCTTACTGTAGTAACCTGAGGTAGAACTACCGGAACAACGACTCACCTCTCACAACGGCCTGTCTCCGTCGAGATACATTTCATCTGCCACGAATTAGCCGTCTCCTCGCGCACGTGAAAGCTGCTGGGCCGCGGCGATGAGAGGTCACGAGAACTGCCTGACTTCGAACTCCTAATGCCGCCCACCACCTCACCTCCTGTGCCAGAGGGTGCCAGAGGGTGCCAGAGAGTAACGTGGCAAGCAGAGTGTGCCTACATACCTTGAGAGCTGCGCAAGCCTGACATGCTGAATTTCGGGGCTGTCGCTTCCTTTTGGCCGCTGCCGACCCGATCTCTGGCGACCGGGGCGCGCTGTCCGTTTCCGTGCTCCTGGTGACTTCCATGGACCTAGTACTGTACGGTACTTCTGTTGAATTGACGAGAGGGCGAGAGAGAGAGAGAGAGAGGGGGGGGGGGGTGAGAAAGAGAGAAAGAGGGCATCCCGAGAATGAATCGCTTCACGCGTTCCTCAGGTGTGCCGCCATCGGCTTCGGAGCGAGAGGTGGGGCCCGGCCACCGGCGTCCGCGTGGTCGAAGCCGGCGGACTTTGCGGTACCCGGTGGCACGGACGGGCCCTGCGCATGGAGGTCTAATAGACTCAGGTAGTACGCTGGACTATGATAATTACTTGGCATTGCATGGAACATAGACAGTCGCACGGGTGCGGAAGTGCAAGTTGATTGATGATACCATCACACTGTGTAAAATGATCCAAGACCAGTCTGAGCTCGCGTTGCTGTGCCCGCGAGCCGTCTCTTACTACCTTGAACAGAACGCCGTCATGATTCCAATTCCATCTTGTCATCATACAATCCGTTCTCGCACCCTCGTGTGCTTGCCTCATAAAATTATTGCAGCTACTCCCACAAAAGCGGCAGCAAGTCCAGCTGTGTGACGGGCTCCGTCGCCCTGCAAGATCGCCGCTGTCGATGTAGTAATCTTTGCAGCTACCATGACATTAGCACACATCGGGGGATGTCATGAGTACCAAATGGCAAAACAGGTGTTGGGAGGATGTTGGTTGGCCTGGTAAATGCAGAACAATACTCAGCTGTGTCTTGCCAAACTTACGAAGCAGTCCATTGGTCACTTCACCAAGCGGGTTGCTCAGCAGGCTGCTGGTCAACGGTACGTTCAGCAAATTAGTGGTTACACCATTCAGCAAACCTGCAAGCGTAGTGGTCAAGGTCATCGCGGGCTGTGTGACTGTCGCCGTCGTAGTGGTGACACTGTTGGATGTTGTCGTGCCTATGATTGTTGTGCCTGGGCCAGTCGAGATAATGACCGTGACCATAGGAACAGTTCCCATCGCAGTGGTTACCAAGGGACTTGGCGAAAATGTAGTCGTGATAACCGAAGAAGCAGACAAAGGCGAGGTGATTGTAGCCGGGACCGTGCTGCCAATATTGCCAATATTGCCAATATTTGTCGCGGTCGTTGCGATTTGCGAGACACTTACGATGGTCGAGACGCCTGTGGAGCCTGATAGAATTGTCACAACCATGGGCACTGTCTCAATGATAGGTACGCTTGTCACGAATGGTACCAGTGTGGTCATGGTTCGGCTCAAGCTCGACGTGATTGTCATGAGCGGATCAGCGGTGATTGTTGTAGCAGCAGGTCCAGTGACGGTCGTGGTAGTGATGTAGCTGATATTCGGTTGTGTACTAGGCGTGATGATCTGCGTGCCGGTTCCAGGGACCGTGACTGTTAGGGTTGCACCAGTCGGGCTCGTTGAGTTTGCAGTGATGGTTTTCGTGAGAGTCGGGCCGCCTTGCGTAGCATTAACGGTCACAAAAACGGTAGCACCATAGCTGGAGACACTCGGAGATGACGAGCTGGCTGAGTTTTGTTGCGCAGCCGCTGTGACGGTCACAGTGTGGGCATAGCTCGTAGTACTCCCGCTTCCCTAAACGGTAACTGTGGTTGTAGCCATGCCACCAGATGCCATTGTCACATGGCTGGGCGCCAATGGAGCTCCGTTGATTGTGACTGTTTGAGCTGGTTGACCAGAAGCACCGTTGATTGTGACTGTTTGGGCAGGTGGACCAGAAGCACCGTTGATTGTGACGGTTTGGGCAGGTGGACCAGAAGCTGTGATCGTGACCGTATTGGCGTTCGCTGGAATTGCTGGTGCAGCAGCTGGAAACTGAGCAGCGGACCCTGCATCTTGTGAGCTCAACGAAGACATATGTCCCTCAGACTGAATCGTAACGGTGCTGATGATGGTGACGGGGAACGTTGTCACAGATAGGCCGCCGTCGTGAATCAGGGACGATGAGCGTGAGTCGGAGCTCGTGTGCAATACCGAAATGTGGCTGCCGTCTGAGCCCGAACCCAACGGTGATGGTCCACTCGTGCTTGCGGCGTTCCCAGATTGGGATGTGCTTGGACTACAAGTCGCTGGCAAGCCAGGTGCAGAAAAGAGGCTTGGTGACGGTTTCTAGCCTGGAGGGGGAAAGGAATGCATACCGGATAGTGTAAAGTTTGCGCATGCAATCGCAGTCTGATTGTCGAAGTGTATGACAAGGCTTCGGCCTTTCATGCACTGACTACAGCCCGGTGCGGCGTTGTTCGAAATGTATTCGTCAATGTAGCTTTTATTGCGTCAGTTCAGCTTCCAGGCATACCGCTCAAGGTTACTCACTTTCCCGAGAAGGATGTGCCGTTGATGTTGCCATGCTTGCCAGACAGATCCCCCGCCTCGCAATTCTCTGGATGGTCGATATCTAGGCATGGGTACTGGCTCGTATACGGGCTCAGGTGTGCACCTGCAGAGGAACAGTTACCATCGGCGCTGAGGGCTTTCTCGTGAATGTGGTAGACTGCGTGCAAGTCAGCGAGCGGGAAGTCATTCGTCAATGATAGTAGCACCCACGGAAAGGCCCTCCTGTGGCCGGCAGACCCGCGAAGCTCGCCTGGACGCTGACTCCATTGCCACCTGGGCCCTGTCCGATGAGCACGTTGCCAGAGACTTGTTGTCCGCCTGGAAGCGTCGCATTCCACTGCTGCAGACCATTCTCCTGAGTGACAGGAGTGAGTGCGAGCGCAAGCGGCAGCGTGAGCGTGGCAGCTAGACTGGGCAGAGCGCGGCGTGGCTTCATGGCGCAGGCTGCAATTGAGGCCGCGACTTGATGGTGGTGCGGAAGAGGCAGAGGGACAAGAGAGATGTTGCTCGCACAGGTGTCTGGAGTGCGGTAGGGCTACGGGTGCCGCGTACGATGGCAGCACGAGAGCCCGGTACAGTTGTCCAGGACGGGAGTGAGGTAATCAGCAGTGAGAATGATAAGTAGGCGCTTCAAAGGATGTACAAGGTCGTCAGGAGTGTGGGATGAGTTGCGATAGAGCGGGACAGATGAGGAATAGACAGACAGGTAGAGAGAGGGAGGGAGGGAGGGGGAGAGAGAGGGAGAGAGAGGGAGGGAGAGAGGGAGGGAGAGCGGGAGAGGGAGAGCGGGAGAGGGAGAGCGGGAGAGGGAGAAGACGGACAGAGGGAGAGACGGAGGGAGTGAGGGAAAGAAGGAGAGAAGGGGAAAGAGAGAGGGAAGGAGAGAGAGAAAGAGGGAGAGAAGGGAAAGAGAGAAGGAAGGTGTCAGGGCACCTTCTGGTTCTGATGGCTCCATTGTAGGTCAGGTCAGGAAGGTACAGGTATAGGTACATTCTAACACTGAGGTGGCCCTGCCTGACTGTAGCTGCAGGTTGTACTGTAAGATGTAGGTACTGTAGGTCAGTAGGCACAGGTAGGTACAGGTACTGTAGTTTCGAGAGGTGATGTGGGGGCAGGCGCCAGCGACGCAAAAGGAAGTTAAGGCAAGTGCTCCACAGCTTACCTAATCCAACAACACCTCACCTCCTCCCCAGAGCGCGACCCTCCTTGCGTGATGCGGCCTGCGTACAGTATCAACACATTGCATTCGTTTGTCGGCGCTGTTCCCGTGTAGAATCAGAGTCACTTACCAAGTATGAATCCGTCTTCAGATACCGACCAGGCCAGCTATAGTACAATATGGGCTCGAATTTGAACCAGTATTTGAGCAAGAAGAAACGCGTCTTTGATCCGCTCGAAGAATTGGACCGCAGCAGTGATGATGAGGATGATGTCGGACGGAAGGCGTCCGAGCATGCCTTGAGCCGTGCCATGCAACGACGCCAAGAAGGCATGCCAGACTGCAGAATGAAGCAGAGGCCAGCGCCGTCATTATCTGACGCCTTTCCCCCTCTCGAGGAACGGCCTCTTCCCGACTGCGGCGCCTCGTCCTCAGATCCCAGTGATGGCATGGAGCAAGCACGAATCCCTCCATCGTCTATGGAGCTGGAGAATGAGAAAGGACTGGTGAAGCCACCAGTCACGTTGAGAAAGACAGTAAGCGATACTACCACAAAGAATGCCTCGGGGAAGTCACTTGCACAAACCACTGGCAAGCGAAAGCGTGAACCCGCCGCGAAACTTGTGCCTGAAGCCCTTCGGGTGTTTGATGGTTGCCACTTGTATTTCTTCCCTAACAACGACGCCGCACCCGCTCGTAAGAGGCGCATCATGAAAGCCTGCGAGTACGGCGCTATCTGGCACAAGCAGTGGGACGCTCAAGTGACGCATGTCGTTATGGACAAGTCCGTAACTTTTGACCATTTGCTGGCGTGGCTCAAGTTCGAAGGGCTACCTGACAATGTCGTTATGGTCAACGAGGTTTATCCTGCAGAGTGCATTATATACGGCGTGCTTCTTGATCCCTCGGTGCCCAGATTCGCGGTGAAGGGCTCCATCCCATCGAGAGTTGACTCGGCAAACTCGGACACGTCTCTGAAGCCGGGTTCTAAGGATCGTACGGGAGAGTATACCACGAACGTTCCAGCCTCCGCGCGCACCGCGAACAACAAAGTCGCTGTCGAGAATTCGAGCACCATTCCGCGCATTGGTCAGAGCTTGCCAGCATCTGAAATAGCTAGCAGCAAAGAGCTAGACGAAGCCATTGCAAAAGCAAAGACTTTGCAAAACATTGACATCAGCGAAGATGAAGAGGATGTTTTGGAAGGGAATCATTCCAGTGACCAGTCCGGTGACGAGGAGGAGGAGAATGCAGGAATGAAACGGGCTGCAAAGCGCAAAGGCAAGTTTCCCAATGCACAAGACAAGTGGCAATGTATGCAGAAGAACACGGGTGACCACACAGGACAGAACCCCAATACCGACACCATTGAAATTTTACAGCAGATGGCAGAACATTATGGTCAGACTGGCGACGAGTGGCGCGTTCGAGCGTATCGGAAAGCGATCGCTACTCTACGAAGACACACGGTCAAAATCAACACCAAGGCGGAAGCGGGAGCCCTACCCAACATTGGGCCTCGGCTAGCAGAAAAGATCGAAGAGATTGTATTCACTCGCAGACTGAGGCGGTTAGACCATGCCCGGGCCGAGCCCCACGACCAAATCCTGCAGACTTTTCTGGGTGTATACGGCGCGGGAATCAAGCAGGCGACCGAGTGGGTCAACGCCGGCTACCGGACCCTCGGGGAACTTTTGGAAAAGGCGCCCTCTCTGACGCCGAACCAAATGATTGGGATTGCGCACTACGAGGATTTTGCGACGCGGATCTCACGCTCCGAGGTCGAGAAGCACGGCAGCTTCGTGCGAACCGCTCTGCACCGGCTCGATCCTCGTTGTGAAGTCATCATTGGTGGCTCGTACAGGCGCGGCGCCAAGGATAGTGGCGACATTGACTGCATCATCACGCGTCCCGACACGGGCGCTGCTCACCTTCGGAACATCGTGCTCGGTCAGCTGGTGCCACAACTGACGGAGAGTGGCTTCCTGGTGGCCAATCTGGCCATGAGCTCCAGAGACGACGGCAGTAAGTGGCACGGGGCTTCCTGTCTTCCCGGTTCCAAGATTTGGCGACGCTTGGATCTGCTTCTGGTGCCATCTGATGAGATGGGCGCTGCTTTGATCTACTTCACAGGTAAGTGTAAACTAATGTCAAGCCAGGGGTAATAACGAGCATATGATGATAACAAAGGCAATCACACCATCTAGGCAACGATATCTTTAATCGGAGTTTGAGACTCCTTGCGAGCACAAAGGGAATGCGATTGAATCAACGAGGCCTGTTCAAGGACGTGCTTCGCGGGAGTAATCGCGAGAGGTTATGCCAAGGAACTTTGGTGGAAGGCAAGGATGAGAAGAAGATATTCGAGGCTCTCGGTGTACCGTTTCGACCACCAGAGCATCGCATCTGCTAGACGATCACGCGGTATCAGCAGCGCCAAGATATGTGATTCAGGTCTAGACGTTTTCGGGCGACTGTGGACAGTCCAATATGTACAACAATAAACAAGCGCCATGCGGGGTATCATAATGAGCGCCATGCTGTGTCAAATTCAAATGATGACGCTTCATGCTCTCGTCGCATGGCTCATCACATCAACGTGAGGTGGCACGTACAGTCCTCGCTCCACAGCAGACAGGATCTGCAATGTTCTCAGAATGGCCTCTCTCCTCTCATCGTGAACGGCAGGAATCTCTTCTTCGAGCGCTCGTAGGTAATTTTTCGGTAGTGGTGGCGGCGATGGCAACGAAGGCGAAGACGGCGGGGGGGAAGTGCATGGTGTGGATGCCGATGCTCGTATAGAGTACCTAGTTCGATGATGCATTGTTACCACGATTGCTCTTCTTCTTCAAGCTGGACTGATCGGCACTTGCTTCGCGCGCACTTCGTTTCTGTTTCTGCTTTTTGAGGATATCTGGCTGGACGTGTCTGACGTACCCTTCAGTCGGTGTAGGCTGTCGACTGTGCGCTCGTTGTGAGTCTCCTGAGCCGCTTCCCGTACTACCATCGGCAACATTACTGCCTCTACGAGTGCCACTGGTATGGCTAGCATTGCTTGCACTGCGCTGTCGCCGACGAGCCTGCTCTTCTGCCTGCTCAACTAATTTCCGCTTGCTCGCTTTGTCCGACACTGCTGATGTCACAGAGGAAGCCCGACCAGGACGACTGCGGCTGCTCAACCTGGAGATGGTTGGACTGAGAGCACCCTTTGTCGAAGGCTGTGCTGCTTCCGATCCGTCAACGTCAACTTCAGGCACCGTGGACAGGCGGTCGGGCGTGGTCACTGAGCGCGAAACTTGTTGCTTGGTTGGTAGCCGCTGCTGTTGGGTTTGTTGTGCGCGAGCGCGCTGTGGACTCACTGCTATCGCGCGGTCTATGAGCAAAGGAGCTCTGACTTTGGGTGTGACTTGTGGCGGAGGAAGTTTATTGCTTTGCTGTAGTGTTGCGTCACGAGATCCTCGCTTGACCATTCCTCCAAGCGCTTGGACCATTACCGATGCATCTGCAAACTCGTCGTCATCCAGGGCTTCCGAAGAGCGGTATACGTCCTTGATGGTTCTTCGAGCCAGGCTTCGTGAACGCTCGTGCTCGTGCGCGCAATCCCACAAGAATGCTGCATGCTCCAGTGAAACACACAAACGCAATGGATGTGTCGCTGGCAGAAGGCTGTGGCAGAGATCTTGTGCCAGCTCGAAGTACTCTTTTGCCAGAGGTACAAAGTTCAGGGGTGGCAGAAGAAATGCCACTGCCGATTGTGCTGCCGGTATGTTGATCAGTGGCAGCCCAGGGGGTCGCGACGGTGTGCGACGAGCTCCCTCGGCGGGCAGGACAGCCAGTCCAGGAGGTGGTGTTGGGGCCGCCGTGCCCGAGTAGGGGTTGGTAACAAAGGAGGCGTCGGACTGTATGGAAGACACTGGGTCGCGAAGTGGTGCCTTGCCCGCTCGCCGCCTGCTTGGCACGTCGTTCGATGAGGCTTTGGATGGCGAAAGTCCAGTAACGTCCATGGTTTTCAGGTCCTTCGAGCTCGACGGTGGACTCGCTGACGATGCGGAGCGGCCACTGAGCTGACTCACAGGCGGGTGGTTGTGGAAGAGGCAAAAGACATGATAGAGCGAGGCTCGCAACTTTGCCGCCATGACTCGACACTCGGACCCGTGCTGGCCATGCTGACAATAAGGCAATATGTAGACTTCGGTGAGGGACAAGCCTTCTCTAGCGAGCCAAATGATGTGGTGGTAGAGGTTCAGGGAAGGCGTATCTCTGGTGAGATCAAGCTTCCGAAGCTTTCGGGCTCTATAAAGCTTGCGAGAGAGCAAGATAGAAAGGCCTAAGACCTGGTATAGCGACGCAGAAAGGGACGGATTCGCGTATTCGGTTAGTTTGGCGAGTCGACCCAGGATCTTCTCTTCGATTTGCGACACGGCCATGGACTTGTCTCCACAGCAGATGCGAGACGCGTAAAGAGCGTCAGAGGCACACGACGTCCACTTTGCTTACCTGCTTGCCTGCTTGCTTCTGTTGGACATACGCCAAGTGGGTGAGCGGACGTGACAAGTTGGGAGCGAAGTTGAGAAAGTCGATTCGCATCAAGCTTCTTAGAACGGCGAGTAACGTGGATATCCCACTCAGGTCGTACTCGGGTGAATGAGCAAGCAAAATCAACGCGAATGACAGTGAGACGGCATGGCAGGCCTTTTCAATCCCGCACCAGCACCTCGACAGCACAGACGATGTGCACAACAGTGCGCAGCGAGAGGGCGCAGGATGACAATGAGTAGAGCAGAAGATGCAGTCCGCAAGGCCAAGAGACTGCTTTTTTCTTTACAGGGACCAGCTTGTCGCCGTCTTCTTTGATGCTGTTGGTGTTGTTGGTGTTGTTGGTGTTGATGTTGGTCTTGTCGTCCTTGTTGCTGTCGTCGTCGTCGTCGCCGCCGCCACCGCCGTCGTTGATGATGCTGGTATTCGATATGGTGTCCAGCAGTACGTGGTCAGCCGCTTCTCCTCTGTGATGCGATGAGGAAGAGGGTGTGAATGTGTACAGTATGTGCGTGCGGGTGTGGGTGTGGGTGAGTCTGTAGTGGGTGTGGTGTGTGTGTGAGAGAGAGAGAGAGGGAGAGAAGGAGAGAGAGGAGACGGGAGAGAAGGAGAGAAGGGGAGAAAAACGCCATTGCCATTGCCATTGCCCAAGTGCGATTAAATTATCCTGTATCCTGTCCTTGTTGTATGCAGCTGAGTGGATCCCGCTGGTCCCAGATACGTGGCACCGCTGCACCGCTGGGAGCTTTGCCGGACATGCTGCATCTTCAGCTCTACCTAACCTGACCTTATCGAATTGATTGATGGATTGATGGGTGGATTTGATTGAGGATTTGATTCTACGACTATCTACCTGACTACCTTACCTAAGGTAGGTAAGGTTCTTACCTGACTTCTACCTGAATGATGCTGCTTCAATATGAGTATACCTATACATGTCAGGTCTCATTTGGCACTCACTGGCTGGAGGTATTTCTCGTTCGGCTCGCATCCATGTACTACCAGGTACGGTATACATGTACTGGACTACGGTGTGCCGGGAAGTGCTGCAGATTACAACAGAATGGCGGTGTACCTCACTGTAGAACGACCACGCCCCAATTTGTATGCATCATAGGTTGCCGCAGTCCGAGCCCACGTGCCCGGTCTAGGCTCGGTCGGCAGCATAGTAAGTACCTACCTTACTTACTATGCAGGTAGTCAAGTAGTTCTCGTAGTACTGTAGTACCCAAGGTATTTATTCCGGTACATGTATTCATACCGACCCTTCCAAATAATGGCAAGAAACCGCTAATAGACTACACATAGTATGTTGATGGTCTTCGAATCATGCACGAGGAAAGGTATACAAGACTGGTGATCATGCCAGCAATCAACCCGAAGCACGCTCGTGGCACTGAAGGGGACTTTTGGGTGTGAAATGTGTTGCGGGTTTCAAGATTCCATTAATGGATTTCTGGCTTGTGCGACGACTGGTGGTGGCCCTGTTCATCTACCTTGCGCTGTACATAATAGCTGCCTCAGGCATACAATCTTGGCTAGGTACAGTTCAAGTGAATCATGTCACTCCTTCAAACTCCTCTCGGTGATCCTTCAACTACATCTATAAGGTAGGTAAGCAAGTGTTCGTCCTTCAGCGACAGACGCAGCATCCGACTTACTACTGAGCCCTAACCCTGGATGACAAGTGCCCATGCCTCTGCATGCATCGGCAGCTATCCATCATGTACAGCGTGCAGGTGAGAGAGGAGACAGACTCTGCAGGCGACAACGAGTATCCGCGGTATAGGGCTCGATGGTGACCCCATCTCCTCATCATTCGATTGGTACCTTGACCCCCGAGAATAATAGCTGCTCGCTGCAAGGTCCCGTGCGTGCGTGCGATGTTTGCCGATTGCGCTGTACCGACTTTCGAGACCTGATTCCCATCTGTCGGTCCGACTATCTATCATGTCAACTGTGACACAAGCCATGGCTTCGACGGAATGCTGCCTACCTACATTGCATACCTTCGTTGTTGTTGCTGTAGGGCTGAGCTCATTCGCCTCTCTGTTGGCCCTGCAAGGCAGATAGGTAGGCAGGTACATTACATGTACCTGTAGGTACAGGCAGGTAGCCGTCGATTTGTTGCGCTACATGTCGAGGCCTACCTGACAGATATTGATTGCATTGCGCCAGTTCTGCACAGTCGACCTTTTCCCGCCTGAGTACAGCAGCACCTGCGTCGTCGAACCTGGCAATATCTGTAGATTTTCAATTTCAAATCCAGGTCCAACACAATCAGTACGACGTTGCCAGGATGATTCGGGGCGGTGGTGCATGACAGTGTGTCTGGATTGACAACGAAGGGATAAAAAGGGAAAAGAGAGCCCCCTCTCACAAGAAGAAGATATTCACCAACCACCACACTCATACGGGGGATACATACCAGCACAACAACTTGGAACAGTACCTGAACTCTCTGCAAACGAGAAGGAAGAAAGCAACAGAAACCGCCTCAACTTTCCAGCAACTTGCTCTTACCTCCTACTCCACAACCGAGACCTACCTTCCTTCCTATATAGGCGGCACAGCTGTCTCCACATAGTATATATTAAGGTACCTCATCATCATTGGGTCAATGTAAGTGCCTCTCTCTCGAATCAAGCCTCACGATTATACATACAATAAGGTGCCTAATATAGGAACTAACCAACATTCCAGCAAGTCTTCAAATCCCATTCCAACAACCTTTTCACACAAAAACACTCCTTCCACACAGAAACAACTCGCCCACTTCCAATTCAACAAGACCACCACCATCTCCCTACCCCCCAAAAACCCAATCATGTGCAAATACTATGCCCACTCCCATCCCTGCGGCCACGTCAAAACCGTCTTTGCAGCCTTCTGTTCCTCTGCTGCCCTCGTGCAAAAGCCCTGTGGGAGAGGAGATATTTGGGCGACGGTGAAGGTGGAAAAAGAATGTCAGTTGTGTGATGATGATGATAATGATGATGACGATCGTTCATCAGCAAACGTTTCCCGAGCGAGAATGGGTGGGACGAAGAATAGTAATGGTACTAGTAGTGGTAGTGGTGGCAGTGGCAGTGGCAGTGGCGGTGGTGCGACTCGGAAAAAGGTTATTCGGCGGTGAAAAATCACGTAGTTGGCTTTTATTCATCTGTTTCATTCTGGGTGACTTTTTGGGATAGACTGGACTGCAATGCTAAAATACACCTTCAAATGCAAAATAAAAAATACACCCGGCAGCTAAAGACATTGCCTCCTCTCTCTCAAAACGCAATAGTAACCTTTCCACTCTACTTGACATACAGGTAAGCATCCGGAGTCTCGTCGCCGACCTGCTGCACCTTCCAGGTAAAGGAAACGCAGCCTGCACCAGCATTGCTTCCCTCCACGCGAGACTGGGCCCAAATTCCATAGCCCGAGTTGAACTTGTCCGTCTCACAAGCGAACCAGTCTTTGCCTTCGAATTGCAGCTTGCCGTCGTAGACGATTGCGAATCCATCGAAGAGAGGTGGGCCTGAAGTGGCTCCATCTTTGGTTTGCACGAACTGTGATGGACGGATTAGTATAGGAACTGCTCTCTCCACTTCCAAACGACTCGCCAACATCCCCAGGGATCACTTACCTTCAGTTGACCAGCCAATTGTCCAATGGATTCGTCGCCCGCAGTCACGTAGACCTGCTGACCACCCGGGAAAGCGGTCGAAGAAAGCGACAGCTTGCTGAGGCCATTGAGGTACGCGAAGATGGTCTGGTCGGTATTGAATTTGCTGGGATCGACGCCCGAGCCTGCCTCCGGACCGCTAGTTGTCGTCGCCCTTCCAATGGAAAACTTTCCGTCATTGGCGTTGAGGGTCTGCGAGTCGATCGGGGTACCCTGAGCAAGCGCAAGGCCCTGGAAACGAAGGGGCTCCGAGGTACCCGCTTGTCTTGCCTCCAATGCCAAGGAAGCTGGGGCGGCAGCGCCGAGAGCAGCGAGTGCGAGTGTAAGTGCGCCGTACATCTTGTTGATGGCTATGGTGGATTCGTGGATGTTGTTGGGCACGCGGTGAGTGTTGTGGATGGTTGTGGAGGGTTGAGGAGGCTTGTGGAGGGTTGTGAAGGTATTGCTGGGCTGTTGAGGCTGTTTGAGTAAGATGTCGAAAGTTAACGTAGGGTACACAAGAGGACCTTATATATATTCTGGATGCGCCGCCGCGTCTTCCACCATCTAGGATAATCATCGGCGGAAGCTGGGATTATGCGTAGCGGGTGATCTGTCCACGTCGCACGATACGAGTAAGATGTTGCCAAGACATTTATTCTCAGGTGCGACTCGTACTTGACCCAGTCCGTATACAATAAGGTAATGCTGGGTAGGGAAAAAGTAGGTCAGCTAACTGGATGATCATGAACTATGATGTAAGAAAAGTAGGCGGGAGTGGCGCGTTTCGGTGCAGCATACCACGAACGTTACCTGTATGTACCTGGTCGCCCTGAAAATACTCAAAAATAGTACATTTCGCAAAGAACCCTAGGTACGTACACTACCTCATAGCCTCATAGGTACGGTGACCTGCCCTACCCGCAGCCGTGACGCAATGATATGACAAGTCAAGCCCAAAATAGATACACGTAAACATCCATGTGAACCTGTACCTTGTTAGTAATCAGCTCTTCGAGTTCGTCTGGACTCTCTGGAGCGAGGCATGAGTAAGGTCAGCCATCGCATCTTAAAGTACATGTAGTCGGCATCCTTCGAGTGCCTTGAGCATGCGCTGGCATCGAATCTTGAGCTCAGGCGAAGACTGGCCATCCCATCTTACGGGATGCGAGACGTGAAACGGCTTCACAGTCGGGATACGCCACATGCACTTGACGTGTTTGCCGTTGATGAACATCAGTCATCTGCTAGCGCGGTTGTCTGGGAAGCCTGGGCTCCACGTGCCTCTCCGCGGTCGCGTAATTTGGACTCCGGCTCGCTCTACCCGCTGAGCGCGCTGAGCGGCTTGCACTTTTGGCGGCGACGGAGTGAATAGATGTGCATGCTACCCATTCAGTGTGCGCAGTAGCAATACCGACCAGTAGTAGGTACCTCAAGCTCCAAGTACCTTCCTGAGCACATGGACGCAGCAGGTAGAAATGCTGGATTCATCTGATCCAGAATGGAGCGCTTCCGGCAGATCCTGACCGAGTACTCATGCATGTTGCGGATATCGGAACAAGACGACTCGCCTCCTGGTTCCAGAAGCACTTACTTCTTGCCCTTCCTCTTCTTGAACATCACCGTGGACGTTGCAGGAGCTTCTGTCTCTGTCGTTGCCACTGTTGCATTCCCAATGAGGTCTGGGACTTCGCTGAGAGATTTCCCCGGCAGTCCCTCTTCCTGCTTGACCTCATCGCCATCTTCTACCTTTCCGACGGTTGGCTTCACTCGACCTAGCAACGCGTCCAAATCTCCAACATCGACTTCTTCCGCCTTGCCGGGGTATGCCTTGGTGGCGCTTCCCCAAACTTTGCGGCGCTTCGGTGCTGCGTCTTCGTCCCGCGGGTCATGCTCATCGTCGTCGCCGTCGTCGGCTTTGTGCTTCACGCCGGCGCTCTGCGACTTCTCGCCGACGTGCTCCCCCTCTACTGTTTCCGCCTTGATGCCGCTCTGTTCCTGCCGTTCTTGGGCGAGGATATCTGCAAGCGAGCGGTGCACAGTCACAGCATCAGTGGGTGTCGCGTCTACTTCCTGCGCGGCCACGAGCTCGAACGAGCCGACCCCCGTAATTGCCTTTTTGAGATCTTCAGGCAGCTCCACCCCCATGGCCGCCAGCTGCTCAGCATGTGCTATCCTTTGCTGCGCGGTCGTCGCCGCCGTCGTGGACGGCGCAAGCTTGCTGGTTCGCGCGACATCGGGCGACGCGCTCACCGGCGGCGGCGGCGTTCTTGCAGTCGTCTGCCCGCCAACAAGTCCATTCAAACGCCGAACTTCATCTTTAGCGCGCTGCTTGTCCCGTTCCTCGCGCTCTTTGCCTTTGTGCAGTTCTCGCAAACTCCGCTGGATGTTGTTCTGATGTTGTGCGGAGCTTTCGTGGCTCTTGCGCTCGACGGCCGTGTCGCGTACATAGCGCGAGCAAAACTTGCACCAGTATGACGGCGTAGACTTCCAGTATTCGGACATGGAAGGTGGCGTTCAAGTCAGGTGGTTGTTCATCATCGTCGTGGCGATGGCGATGGCGGGTCTACCATCAGCTTACCTAACTCTGGAAACCGCTCAAGTGCAAGCCAAAACTGCTTACATCATCTTTCGGTGCGTGTCACGTGCGCATATACGACTTGCTTTCTAAGGTACGTCTTCGTTGATTTGCTTTGCTGTGCTGTCTCTGTCCGTCGGGCCATCCATCCTATGCTCCGGCGAACTCCCTTCGCCGCCCTTCTCAAGCCTGCCTGTTACCGAAGCATCCGCCTGTCAAGTAGCGACCACGTGGCCTGTAGTTGCGCTCAATCTCAGACACTCAATCCCTTAATCCGCTCGCAATCTCGCATCATCACACTATCGCAGCCTCTGCGCCAGTCCCGCACCACGCGGTCTACAAAGCCGAGAAGACGAACAGCTGCAATTGGGTCAGCAACAAACCTGGGCACTGCTAGGAGAATTGCCATATACTCACATTGTTCGTCGCCGCAATAGCGATGCTGTCTTCCTGTGGATGCCAGGACATGTGCAGGATCTTCTTGTTGAAGTCAATCTGATCCGCGTCTGTTTCCTTTCGCATTCTCTGCGCTCCGCCCACAGGACTGCTCGCTCGAGACCCCTTCTTGCCATCCTTTGCGCCCGCCCCACCATTGTTCATTGGCGTTGGAATGCCGACCTTCTTCGCCTTGAACGCACTCTTGTCAGCCTGCAGCACGACTTCAGTGTCCTTGCCTTCTTCTGATGGGTAGATCATGAAGTTGTTGTTGTAGGATCCCGTCATGACGTTCTTGGCATCGCCCGAGAACACGACCTCGAACTTGTCAAAAATGCTGTCATTCTCGTATGTGTCACATAGTCTGGGCCGCAGATGCTCATGAATCGGAATAGTCTTGACCGGTTGTCGCTCCATATTGACATCCCAAATCTTGACCGTCAAGTAGTCGCGCGAGAGAATATATCGGCCGTCATGGGAGAAACGCACATCGGAGATACTGGAAATGATCTCCGAGAAGAAAGATCTTGATGAAGGATCTTCTTCTTGCTCAAACTCTGATGCTTCGTTAGTCCTTACACCCAACTCTGATCAGGATGAACCTTACGCTTTGCATGTTCATCACAGAGAGCTCTCTGTCGCATATCTGCCAGCTTGATGGTACCTTTGCTGGAGGCGTACATGAACCAATTGCAGCTCACCGGGTGGAACTCGGCAGCTGTGATCACCTCCGTAAGCTCCTCCATGTTAGCGGGCTTGATGTCCACGATGTTGAAGCTCTGGTCCTGAATGTTCAGGTTCCATAGGTTTATCCGTAAGTCGTCAGAGCTGATGAATGTCTCGCCATCGCTGTTCACCGAGATGCTGTTAATGTGATATGCATGTGCATTGGCATACACTCTCCGGGGCACAGCAGCAACCACTGTGTCGTGATGTGTCATGCGCGGGAACTTGAGCTCCGAAGCGCTCTTGTATGCCTTGTTTGGATAGCGGACGGGTCCACCACCATTCGCGTTGCCTGTACCGGCCGGCGTGAGCTCACTCGACAGGTTGTTCTCGGCCACGACCTTCAGCGATTTTTCAAACACTTTCCAGAGCTTGATGGTCTTGTCATTCGTCGAGAGCAAGTAATGAGATGCGTTCTGTCTCCGGCACCATTTGATCTTGTTGATCTTCTCTTCGATCTCCAGTGATTTTAGATAGTCGAATTCGGGTTCATGAGACTGAAACTCCGTGTGGAACTTATATTCGCATGTCTTTTTGGTCTCGTTTCGCTCGAACAGAACTACTCGTCCGCCTTTATCACCCGTAGCGAGGTAGTTTCCCGTTTGATCGAATTCGACAGTTGAGATTATATCGGCTTCTGTGATATCCTCAACATCGCCTTTATCGCCAAAGCACCTGTCACAATGTGGTCAGTCTACAAGTTCTGCTCAAAGTTTGAGACGATGAGCGTATATAGTGTGCGGGCAAAGACAGGCACACTGTGCGAAGCGCCAGACGTGTTCGGCCACGGGAAGGTTGTTCTGGTCAGCTCGGTATTGGGGATCATCGTAATCGCAGTCGCTGGAGTCCAGGTCAGGGAGCTCGAGATGGTGCTGTCGCTGAACGCCAATGTTTTCCCAGTCGTGGTCCTCGTCCTCATCATCCATAACGCAATCCACCACTGACACGGATGTATCTGGGTGATGGCGAAGGGCGAGCGTCTGCTGCTGCTGGTCTTCTCGGCGGGAATTGGTGCGGTCGCCCAGCAGAGATGCACGTATGCCTGAGAACATGCTGCAATAGCAATGAGGCTTTCCTTGAGGGCGTGTATCGTGCGAATGGTACAGTAGTGCTGCGTCGTGGTCTTCTATCTCATGGCCGGGCGAGGAAGGCCCAGCCCTGCGCTATCCATGCAGTGACATTGGAGAAAATGGCACTTACTGTGTGAACTTCCAGGTGGGCTGGCTACCGCCATCTGCAGCTTCCACCATCTTCCCGAGAGGCTTCCGCTATGACCTCGCTACGCGGGAAGCTCGCTGTCTGCTGGCTGAGCGAGAGCGTGTGTCCTCGCGCTGTGTTGTTCACTGGCTCGTCTTGTGCTCGTAGCAATACCAATGCGGGGCGAGGTCTATGCCTTGCTTCTCCGGCGCTAAACGGAATTATGGTAGGGGTGTAGACGCTGTGGGCGGAGATGGAGGCGGTGGGACGAGAGCAGGTAGGTGGGCGGGTAGGTAGGCGCAGACCGGGAAAGGCGAGCGCAAGGTAGGTGATGTGAGGGAAGAAGTCGGTAAGGTATCACAGCTCGCGGCCGAGTGTGTCTCGAGAGTCAATCGTGTAGGAGGTACGTCAGAGACAGAGGCAGAGAACTGGAAGCCGGTCGCACTTCGCCACGGCAGCGCAATCTGCTGGTCGAGAAAGGTGAAGGTAGCAGAGCGGCGATGAATGAAGCATGCACGCAAGCAAGCAGGCAAGCAGTCCGTCGATCCGTCAGCGCAGCCAGCTCGGCGGGTCGGTCAGTCAGTTGGTCTGTCACCTGGTGAGAACGACGCGCTTGTGATAATGGGTGAGGCAGGCTGAAGGTCACAGGTACCAGAGACCTACTTGCAGCACCAGCAGTCTTGGCGGATTCGACCAGGCCAGGACCGTCTTTTGGGATTCAACACAACAAAGAGATGGACACGCAAATTGTCAGGAGGAATGCAGTCAGTCTCTTGCTCAGGCCTCCTTGTGAATTGCCTGGGCACCTCAGGTGGGAAGAAGCTCCCGTCGTCCTACATGCACATGTACTTCCCGGCGTTTCGCAGCGCAGCATTACCTAGACTGCCGCTCCAGCCATGTTGCTTCTGTATGTCCGCTCATCTCTGCCTCGAGCAGTGTCTCGACAGTCAGCTGAAGAACCCCTTGTTGGCATACATGCGGGCTATCGTCGTCTCTATGTACAAATGCACGTACTATACCCATGTTCGTTGGTAGTAGGTAGGCGCCTCACATTCTTCTCCATGGCCGTCCCAGTATGTACATTGATTTCCCCCAGAACTCCCATACGATGCATTAGATCGCCACAGACCAGAAACAGACTAACGCTGCTGCTCCTTCCATATACTGAATCTCGATTTTTGTTCACTGCTTTCCATCATATACGGAGTCGCCATACCTGGGCTCGCCAGTTGCGAGTGTGTCGTCAGTTGAGAATTCCTCGCGCTGTTGTATGGACTGTTGTTATCCAGGAGCATCGAATGCCCGTCCGACGCTCTCTTGCGTCCGAATATTCCTTGCTTGACACTCGCCATCCTTGATAAGCCTTGCACCTCTGTCCCGCGAGCCAAACTAGCATTCCAGGCCGGGAGTTTGTCCCTTTCATCCAAGTATCCCCTGTCGCTGTACACAGGGAGCTGAGACAAACGCTTCTTTCTACTATTGTTCCGGCCGCAGCACGAGCAGCACCGCTTGAAACCTCCAAAAGCATATGCGCACGCGACGATCAAGCCGATCAGGGCCAGGACAAGGAGGATGACAATGGCGGCGATCGCGCCGGACGAAACGTGTATTCCATCTCCTAGGCCACTGAGGGCACCATTAAGGCCAGATGTATTATCTTGGTTGGAACTTGTGGTTGTATCTGTTGTAGACATGGCTTAATGCAGGAGCCTCTTCTGTCTGTCGTGGCGAATACTGCGAGGAGTTGCTATTTCTCCAATACTAGGCGTGCCGTACCCCCAAAGCTTTCGTCGTCGCTGGCGCGCCGTTGATTCGCAGGCAAAGGTCCAGAATAGTTGTGTAACCTCGGTGAATGTATGTACCCGTGACTGTTATCCGTTCTCCCCGAAAACCACACCGGAATACAAACGATTGTACACTAGGTCCAGACTTGTCTGGGAGCGATTGTTATGCTGTAGTAGGAAAAGAATGTTGCAAAAATGAGAGGAAGACCCAGCGAAGGGGGCGAAAGAGTGGTGGTCAAAGAATATACTCCAGACGTGACGTACTTGGAAAGGGGAACTTGGAAGACACTTGAGCAGAGGACGATTCGGTGAGGAGGTTGGCTAGTTGGCTACGGACACGCACAATCACCGACTGACCGCGCGGCTGAGTGGAACTAGCGCCGCCTTGTCTCTGGCCACCTATGAAATTTGAACCTCCGCGGATACGAGACTCACTACTCTTGGCACACATATGTTTCCCAGTTCCCACCTTGACCAGCTGTATTATACGCACACGACGTCGCAGGCACACAAGACCTCAGCACCTTGTACAGCAGACCACATGCTACAATACCGTCAAGTTTCGTGGCGACATCTCATGTTTGAAGCGGGCCGCACACATGGAATCATTGGAATGAAAGAGGTCTGGTCTATATAGACCGCCAAGGTAATAACCGCCCTGGCCGAATTGCGTTGGGGTGCCTGCGCTGATTCAGGGTAGCATGTACTCGTGATTCGTCGTGAAACAGAGCTAAACTACAATGGCTATTCATGTTAACCTAAAGCAACCAGCACATCATTCGCTTCTCACTTGGCTTCCAATTGTTGAATGTGAAATAGCGACCACTTCCCAATTGAGCTTCACTGACCCCGCTCAGCGGCCTGCTTCACTCATCTATACTGTGCCGTCCGTGAACAAGAAGGAAGTAGACTAGGTAGTCTTAAGCGAAGGCATTAGCGCCTTTTTATCAGTATCCACTAAGGCATCCATCACATTAGGCACGGCGCTAAGAGCTTCGATATAAAGTCATTTCCTCCCGTAGGAGGTAGCTACTGTACGTTGCAGCGTGAGACTTTCGTATTTGCGGAGTGCTAAATAGCAGCAATTGTCAGATATTTCACTACCTATGTGAGTACTTAATACCTTCTTGGTGATGGCTTCACATCATTGGGGGGAAGAGAGAGAGAGAGAGAGAGAGAGAGAGCGCGCGCTCTTGCCGAGGGACCATGGATGCATTGGGAGTGCGAAAGAGGTAACCACAGCAAACCACCACCACCACTACTCACTCGTAAAGATGGATCATGTTTGCTGTGGAAAGTCGCATAGAACTATGATCGGTACATACCGACGGGTCTGCTCCACTCGAGCGCTGCAGTTAATGTTCCGCCCGCCAGCGGCAAAATGAATCGTCAATATGTATAGATACGACGAAGGTGCTGATTTCCGAAGCGCCGACATCTATTTTGGCATCATCATTGCAGAGTCCTGAAAAAGTCCATTACGCCTGTGAAGACTACCAGCAGGATCCCACCTCCTGGGCCGAGTCTCAACACCTTCGGCAAAAAGCCCTTGTAAAGTGCAGCAAACCCTTCCTCCTTCGCAACCGTGCCCAGCGCTGGCCATGCCCAGTTATACTTTGGTACTCCACCAACCACCTTTGTGCTGTTCTGAATTCTGCTCTTGACCACATCCATAGGTGTGTTGAGAATGGTGCCCACAGTGCCTCCGATGGAGCCTGACAACAGATCGTTACGCATCTGGATGGATTTATCGCCGCTGGGGTTGGCAGGCAGCAGGGCTCGCACTTGAAAGATACAGCCAAAGTAGCCGCTGTTCCAGAGGATATGACGCCACATTGTAGATTCGAGACCTTGGTAGAGCGTAAGCGGGCCCTCGTTGCGGATGATTTTCGTTACACAGTCAATCATGCCGTTGTACTTGGCGGCTTGTGCTCTATCTGTTGCATTGTCAATATGCTGGTGCTAGCGAGATGGCGTGAATAGCGACCGAGTAGATGAGGCCTCCTCACCTTGTAGCCGAATCTTCACGAGCTCGAATGGCACTACCACGAAAGCCTCCGTCGCTCCTGCCGATGCGCCAGTCAGGATTGACAAGGACTGGTTCATCTTGGCCACGCCGAACAAGTTCCTGTAGAACTTGCCCCATTCGTCATTGGCCGCGAACTTGGTTGCACGCTTCGGGGCTTCCATCAGAATGGGCGCTGAGATGCCGCGATACAGGCGCGAGAAGCTGCACGAAATCAGATCCTTAACAAACACTGCTGTCTCATTTGCTCTCGCATCTTCCACGCATGCTCCCTTCCAAAAGCGCCAATGACATACCCTTCGTTGGCCACAATCTTCTTGAAGCAGTCGCCCATGCCAGTGTAGAAGTCCTGGCCTGGCACAGGCACCCGACCTTGGATTTGCCTGCGCACCTCGCGTTAGACATACTCGTGCAGCTTGGGACCATAGCCAGTGCCTACACTCTCGTCTTGACCACGTCCAGTGGGTACATGACTAGAATCTCCGAGACACCAGCCACTGCACCGGCCGCGAATTGATATATGAAGGGAAGCGGCTTGTCGGTCGACATGGCGGCGGCGGTGAGGGTCGGTCGGAGGGCAGGAGCGATAGAGCGATGGAGGCGTGCTGCGGTGCGGTCACTGAAGGCGGGAAGGGTACTGTAAGGTACCTAGGTAGGTTATTGATGTACAGGCGCACAAGGTCAGAGAGGTGAAACTGGTAATGATAATGATGTTGAGCGAGCTCCGGTCCACCACGCTCGGATATCTTGACAGTAAGAATAGTGTAAGTACATGTAAGCTTTGCTATTGTGGAGACGCCCCAGTCCAGTAGTCCAATCACATCGCCCAGTACCTGGACAGTACAGTATGCGTTACAAGAATCAGGTACCTACTCGACATACCTCCAACAACTGCTCCATGCGGCAGTTCTATGCTACACATCTGGGTTGACGATGCCGGCCAGTGGCCTTGTCGCCATATTGCTTATCACTCGTACTCGTCCGGGACCACGTCTGGTCTTCCATTGCCCCCAAGAACCAGACTATGCCCCGCAGCGTCGTGGCTGCACGGTGGGCTCTGACACTGACACTGACACTGACACCGACAGCGACGAGGACGAGCATGAGGATGGAGAGCAGCCCTCTGGCGTGTTCGTCCCTGTAGTTGTTCCCGATGAAGCTAGACAGAACCTCGACGGAGGTGCTGCACGAAAGGGGCAGACGCTGTTCGGTCGTTCTGTCGAGAGTCTCGAGAAAGTGCTGTCTCCTGGCCGTTGGAGCGACGGCAAGAAATTCGAGATCAACCTAGACGGCTTGGTCTTTGTTGGTCACCCGGTCTATGCGCACGAGAACGGCGACTGGTCGTCCGAGATTGCCAGGTCCGCCAGCAAAGATGGCACAGATATGGTCGGCCTGGATCTGGACAGCATTGCTACAACGACTTCGCCGAAACTTTCAGGCAAACGACGTGAGACATTGGCGGACAGCTTTGGATCAACGGCCGACCCTGGCTTTGGCACGTCCATGCAGACGGCCTCGTCGACAGGCTCGGATCCGAACGCAGATGGCAGCATGGCAATGTTCCACGTGGTATTTGTGCTTCGTGGAAGTAGCCCGCAATCACAAGCGCAAGTCCGCGCAGCTTATCACGAGGTGGTTGAGAGGCTGAACCGAGCCCTACATTACTGCCAAAAGGTGTCAAACTATGTGACGGAACAGAAACTGTCGGTGTTAGGAATGAAGGCGAGGCAAGCTGACGCGAGGTCCTGGTTGGAGTTGGTCAAAAGTAGTGAGCTGGCTCGGGCCCTGAACGAGACTTTTGATCGTATCGTCCAAGGCGAGGCAGCAGTTGTCCAACTGGATGGCATAGAGTTGTCCTTATGCATGCGCGACACCAAGAACCAAGAGACGCGTGCAACGAGATTGGATCCTCTGTCTGCTATCTTGCTTCTTGACAGCAAGGAAGATCTTCTCCGCGAGTTATCGCATCCTGACGCCTCTCCCCTGGCAACATTCATTCGGGAATATACGCCAACAAAGAATTTGCAAAAGAATGCCGCCTATATCGGCATGCCTATTGACGATATTCTTTATCTTGCATCACATCTGATAACGTGGCGAAAAGCGAAGGTGATTTCACCTCTACACCAGCGTAACACATATGTCGTGGCCCGTACGGCGCCCATCAACGATATTCAGAAACACATCAGCGAGTACCATAGGCAGTTCCCGACTCTACCGACCTTGCTTAACATGCTCAAAGTTTTGAGTGGGAAGCCAATAAGGTATGGGCTGTTGATTCCCAGCAGAGACCATCGAAATGCATACATGGAGATCCTGTCATATCTCGTTCGCCATCACTTCGTCGTCCAATTGAGAACTTTTGGCTGGCTCAGACTGCCGATAGCTCTTCTTGATCAGCCAACACTCAGGAGCAGCGAAACATCAGAGCGACCGCAGCCTGCTCGAGACAATCTCTTAATGCCGCGAACGGGACCTGCTGAATATGAAGTTGTCGGATCTCGCTCCGAACGAATGACTGCAGCACAGCTCAGCAAGCTCACTCGGAGAACTAGCCTCGGGTCTCAGGCCTCAGAGATTGGAAACAACAGCGAGAAAGACGACGTTCATGTATTAATTACGAATCCTCATGAGCCTGACGAACAGCAGAAGATGCTCATTCATGCACTGAGAAGCTCGTTACGAGATCCAGATATGCAAGAACTCTTCCCACGGCTGGTCTTGCACCTAGACGGCCAGAACCCTCTTGAAGCGATCGCTGCGCGTGAGGGTTGGCGTAGGGCCTGCGTGGAAGATGCGCTTGCGGAGATCGATAAGTATCTGGTGACGTTTCGCCACGTGGTCTAGGAGAACAGTATACTGCACAACTGACATCGCGCATACTGTACTTTACGCTTCGCGTATGGGCGCGGTCGTGTGCTCAGTAGAATCGGCCCGCCCGCAAATATGATGCAGGTCTTACCTACCAGGAGGAGCCCGTTAGCCATGCTTGTATTATACTTTGGCTTCGCAAGCTGGCGTGTGGGTAACATTGCTTAATTGCCCGTGCATACACACTGCAGTCTGCACCTCACTTGTCGAAGCATCGTATTGCCTTCCACACGCTGTTTCTATTAGAAGTTCTCCATACTTACTGATGTGTTAATGAATAAGGTACAGCCTCCTTGTCTTGGGAGCAATGGAAGTGTCTCCGAAGGATATACCTAGGTACATCTTCTAGAGCTCGAGCGTCGGCTGGGTGCCTTCTTTATCACAGGCGGCCTTCTTCGAGCCCGGGGCCGCTTGAGACTCGCGCCCTCTGCCCAAACACAAAGTCAGATTGTCAGAACTGGGTGCATGCGGCAAGCATCCTGCATATATACCCGGGGTGCATACTGTAATCACTAATCACCATTTAATCACGAACGCCCGCGCTTAACCTACCGAGGGACCAACATCCGCTCGCGATGTCTTCCATGCAAAGCCATGCATACAGGGCATCAGATGCGTACGGGGAACGCTGCCGGTCCTGTTCTTGAACATGGGCGGTCCCTTATTATGCTGGTTGGTGAATATGGTACTCCAAAAAATGCCCCTCGCCGCCCTCGCGATTGCTGTAGCCACGGGGACTATCTCGTGTACACATACGACACCCTACATACACAGCCTCTACCGTGCCCGGAGTACCGTAGATCGATGACCTTGTGTCATTGCGTGTCCACGTCAGAGGGCGCTGACGGCAGATGATTGTCGTAATATGGCTCCGTCTAGCTATTGCTAAGGTACCTATACAGAATATTTCGTCTAAGTGGGGCCATATCTGGTGTTAAGTGCCGAGTGTGGTAACTGCCCGGTTTTCCAACGCTGCCCGTGTACCGGGCAGGTTTGCCTATCGGTTTTTGAGAACGGCAGGGTAGGAACGGGCCGTTGCCTTGACGCATACGATTTGCTATAATCCTTGGAAGTGCTAGGATACTCGGGCTGATTTGGCGTGACGTCCGTAGTGGGTTCGACGGTGGACACAGGATCGAATTCTCGATGCGCCGTCGACGAACTTCCCTCGATTACAGACCTGGCTTTGCGGACTACCAGATGCGGTGCACCGAACGCCACATAGACAGGTACTGGAAGAGGTTCGCCAATGGTACATGTAGTTGAAGTCTGCACTGTTCGGCGAGAATGGCATCTTCAAATGCTGGCCTAAGTCAAAGAATTGTCGACTCTGGCAGGACTCTCGTACAGACGGCATTCTCCAACTTGGCATCCGACTCAGCCATCCATCCTCCTTTCGGAAGCAAACATGCCCCTTCAGGATTCGCAAATTCACTTAGAGCGATCATCCCTACAGACTTTTCCAGAAATGCCTCTGCTGAGGGCTTCTCGGGTGAGTCTTTCCGGAGTGCTTCAGGATCAGTCAGGCGGGTCGAGAACGAATACGAAGATTTTGTGTCCGGTTTTGCGTCGTCCACTTCTTCGTCGATGACAGGTGCGGAGATCATTCATGGCTGGTTAGAGATCGGCGAGGACTGCCAGGTTCATACTGGCTGGGAAACGCTTCCGGCCCGGGAACAACCCATCACATATACGCACCAGGGGAGTCTTGCCAACACTGCTTCAACCTGGGAACGAACATCTCAGGGTGAAGTTGTCTACCGTCCGGACGGCCGACCTGAATGGCGATGGCGGCACGAATGGCGCAGAATCGACGTGGAGCTCACACAAGAACCTCGAGTGGCGAGCGAACTTGCCAGATTCTCCAGTCATCTAGGCATTGAGTCGCGTGCGCCACGCTGCGATCAGTGTTCGGCACTGGCCCGTTTGCATCAGGTAAAGCAGCATTTGGCTTTCTCGCCCAGCTCTGATGGTACCAACCCATGGCTACAGCATTGGTATGCAGGGCGCCAGGGACGATGCGATTGGACTCAGGACGACGTTTTCCGATCAGCGTGTGACACGAGCAAAGAAGAGCCAGAGTGCTACTCTTTTGACTGCCATCAAAGAGGTTGCCATCATACGTTGCTTCGCATAAATGAAAACCTCACTTCGGAAATTCGACAACGGCTTTGCGTTCATGATGAGTGCAGCCATATATCTGAGACCGCCGAGAGCTGGCTAAGACATATTACTTCGCCTCATCATCATCAGCTGCAGAGCGAGATGCTCAAGGACATAAAGGACGATGGGCAGAGTCGTTTGCTGGCCTCTCAGAGAGAAAGTGAGGCTGACCGCTAGTTACTTCGAAATTACTGGCACCAGAACATGTGGCTACCAGACAGTCCAGACTTACGTAGATATCATGGATAGCTCTTTATATGTCTCTTACTCAACGGGACCTAGATAGGTACATGTATGTATGCAGTTGCCAAGTATCACCGCTCACGCGGAAACACGGTACCTCCTAGGACGAACATAGCAAATTTGCAGCCTTGGTGCCTGATCTCCGGCTATCAATTAAGATATCTGATCTTACTCAGAACTTTGACGGGCAGTTACCGAATACTCTATACGTACCTCCTAGTGGAGCATACCTACCTGAGGTACACAACGCTAATAGGGTAGTGCAACGCCGACGTCGACTTCAGGCGATCTATTGTTCCTTCCCTTTCGTGCAACTTTGTGCGATAAAATCATCACCACCACCGACCCACAGGACCGTGAGCTATCATGATCATGCAGCCTCGTCGACTCCTCTCCTCGCGGCCACAGGTGATGCGGAAGATGCCACATGTACATGTCGCCAGCAGAAGGCTCGAATCATCATCATCATCATCATCATCATCATCACAGGCCGGGGCAGGAGGAGACAACAACTTCGTTAAGCGATTGACGTTATTCAAAGTGGCCAAGGACGAGGACATTGAAGCTGTTTTGAAGGCATACGAAATCCTCAGAAGTACTGCGCTTCGGGTACGTACATTTCCCGTTGGGAATCGCAGTACGAATGCGGCTACCTCACCACACATGGATGACAGCAAAATCGCGAGACCCCTGCCGTCTTGCTGCTCACACGTCCAGTGCTCCGTGTGCTCTGGTGTTCTCTTATGCTGAATCACGGCGTGTAAACAGGACGGCAAACCGTACATAGTATCCAACAGCTCGCGCCGTATCTTGAACACATCGTCGCCGTTAAGTGAAGGCTATACTATAGCTTCGCAGTCCATTTTCAAAAACCACCAGGACCATGCGTTCTACGATCAAGAATGCCCTGCCCATCGGGAGTTGAAGGTATGCGTTCCATTCCATTCCTCTGTCTCACTCTATACAAATATTGACATCTCTCGTTCTGATTGATCGCAGAAAACGACCAGCAGAGTCCGTACTGGAGTCATGACGGTCGTTACGGAAGGGCCGCTGTGAGAGAGTGACCTCGACATATCTGACCACTCGTGTTCTGGTTTCCATTCACAGCCTTGGTGCAATTCATATGTGCCGCACGCAAGAAATCAGCAAACTTTTCATGGAGAGGCCTGCATTTCCCCTCCCGCCAGCTGAAAAGGAGTTCCTGGGCTTGGTTGTTGCCATCGATACATGATCCTGGAAAGGTCGCAAGGATTATCGAATAGGCTCTGGGACCGCGATCAACGCCAGATCCACTTCAGGCCATACCTGGCTCAGAGTAGCCAGAATCTTCTGGCGAGCCCGGCCAAACCTTTTTTCATAACAAAGCTCAATCAAGGCTCAAGCTCCACGTCGTCTAGTAAGTCCCATGTTGGCACTTTCGTCTTATCAAAAGTCCCAATGGCTTTGCCGTCAAATCTATGTTGTGCAGTCTTCTCGTCCGCATACTGCCGAATGTTAGTTCTACGAGATGCAAGACCTCATTCTCGGCGCAGTACCTTACCCATACGGCAGTATCTCGAACTGTGTCCTACAGAAATCGTCAGCACATAGACCACTATCATGTTGTCATGTTTCATCAGTCTGGTCGTATGTGGGCTGTGCCGGTCAGACTCACCCAATCAAGCACACGAGCGCCCAGCACACCGTCTTCTTCCATCAACCTCTCCAAAGCGTCTCTTGTCCAGTGGACACAATTCCAGCCTCCCGCGTCTCCATGCTTCTTGACTCTCGTGCCGCGCAGCACGTCTAACAACCGGTCAGTCTCGACGACTTTTGCGAGGACTAATCGCACAAGAATCGAGTCCACAGCCGTCAACCAGATTTTTCGTTCTTCGTATTGGAACGTCATAATGGCGGTTTCTTTGCCTTTTATGCTGTCGTCAAAGGTAATTATGGTTTTGGCATGGCACTTGATTCCTTGCGAAGACTTGTTTTCATTCTTGGGTCCGATGAGAAGGGCCCAGTAGTACGCGTCTTCCTTGCCTGGCATGCTAGGCGTGATGCCGGTGCGCGAATAGAGGGCGAGATAGAGGCGCTGTTTGTTGCGAGGCATTGCGGCACAGCAGAACAGGATGGGCCCCAGAGCATGTAGCTAGTGCAACTCCCACGGCGGCACAGGCGGGGCCGGCGGTGGTGGTGGAGGAGGAGGAGGAGGAGGAGGAGGAGAAGGGAGAGGAGGAGGGGGAGGGGGAGGACGGCGAGGGGAGAGAGCGACAGTCGAGAATGCCGCGCCGGTGCTGAGCGAGACTAACTACTTTACCTGATACAGTGCTGCGGTGCGGTGCAGCCCGCCCGTGCTCACATCCTGTCCTGCCTGTCCATGGGCTGGGGCCAGGGTTACCCAGGAGCCAGGAGGCAGGAGCCGAAAAACCAGCGGCGGGAGTTGGGGAAGGTGCATGTTCATTCACTGCGTTGTGAAGGTAGTCGCGATGACCAGCTAGCAGGCAGGCACAGGCTAGGCAGGCAGGCAGTGGCGTTCCTTCGTTCCTCCCTTCCTCCCTCCCTTTCCCCGTGCCTGCCCTGTCTGCCTGAGGCCCCGAGGTCGTCCCTGCCTCGTGCGACGACCCTTTCTGTAATAATCGCCCTCGCCGTCGCCCTCGCCGTTCGCCACTTCTGCCTCAGGTTCTGGACTCGCTCCCAATTCTGCATGGTACGTGCCTGAGGTCGTCGCCTGTGTCTGCCCTTTTTCGATTCCTTCCTTGCCTGGACCCCTTTCAGCTTCTCTCCACCTCGCGACTGCCTTCACCTTTGTCTCGCACCCGGCACATGAAACGCCCAGACTCGGCTTAAGCTTTTCGCCAAGCACACAAAAAGATCACCACAACACCACCCCACCACCGTCCTGGATACCCAGAATCTCACACATCCACATCCACATCGCCATCGCCATCGCCATCATGCCTGGACTTCCGCCTGGACTGCTCGAGGCCATTGAGGCGCTCCCTGCATCGGACAGCTGGGGCCCGCCGACGACCACCGAGACCACGCTCAACGGCATTCCGTATGCGCCGTTCAGCAAAGGCGACAAGCTGGGTCGCATGGCCGATTGGACTGCCGAGGGCAAGGAAAGAGAGGGACGCGGCGGTCGCGCGCAGTATAACAATCGATACCGCGATCAGGTCTATGGCGCGACCGGCCTGCAGACGGCGTTTCAGATCGAGGGCACCAACGAGGAGAGCTCCTTCTCTCTGGTCGACCGCAGCCAGCCAACTACACGCGGCAGGGGCTTTGGCAGGGGCTCGGCTGTGTTTGGACGCGGGCGTGGTGCTCGAGGTGGCGCTCCTGGCCAGCGTGGCGGACGCGGCACCTTCCAGCGTGTCGGTGGGCGAGGCGGACAACAGCAGTATGACTCGAGAGGTGGCAGAGGTGGTCGCGGTGGACGTCGTGGCGGCTGGAAAGACTGGGACAAGCCGCAGCGGAACCGAGAGGCGTCGGTGCAGCCCAAAGATAGCTGGCGCATGCTGGACGAGATTGATTTCAATCGTTTGCAAAAGCTGAATCTTGACACTGGAGATGGCGAAGACTTGGACGACTACGGTTTCCTGTACTACTATGACAGAGCTTACGACAAGCAGCCTGGTGCGCCAACGAGCATGAGGAAACTCACCGTCCTGGACCGCGCTGCCTACAATGTCACCACTTCGAGCGATCCTGTCATCCAGGAGCTGGCCGACAAGGACGAGGCGCAAATTTTCGCAGCAGACAACATTCTGTCTATGCTCATGTGCGCTCCTCGCAGCGTCTACAGCTGGGATATCATCATGCTGAAGCAAGGCAACAAGATCTACATCGACAAGCGCGAGGGCAGCAGTCTAGATATGGTCACAGTCAACGAGAATGCAGCTGATGCGCCCCTGGAGCTGAGTGAGGGTAATAAAGACCATATCAATGCTCCTGGTGCACTCAAAGACGAAGCCACGCACATCAATAACATCTTCCCCCTGCAGGTCGTGCAAGAATCAGAGACCTCGAAGCGCGACATGAGCCACGAGCATCCATTCTACGACCCCGCTTCGGAGACTGACCCGCCCGCCAGCAAGGCCTACAAATACCGTCGCTTCGATCTTTCACTCGAAGCAGATGCTGAGCCACTCCATTTGATTGTCCGAACCGAGCTTGATGCAGTGGTCAAGAACAACATTTCAGGCGAAGATCAGTTTCTCACCATCAAAGCTCTCAACGAGTTCGATAACAAGGCCCAAGGCAGTGGAGGCGCTCTAGACTGGAGAAGCAAGCTCGCCTCGCAGCGTGGTGCGGTCGTTGCAACGGAAATGAAGAACAACTCGTGCAAGCTTGCTCGATGGACGACGCAGGCCATTCTCGCCAAGGCCGATCTCATGAAACTTGGGTGAGTACCAATCTGCTGATCTGATTCGTCCCGTATGCTAATGCTACAAACCAGATTCGTTTCACGTGCCAACCCCAAGTCGACAACCGAACATGTTGTCCTTGGTGTCCTCGGCTACAAGCCACGTGAATTCGCGTCCCAGATGAATTTGAACCTCAACAACGGCTGGGCAATTGTTCGCACATTTGTGGACATGGTCATGAAGGAAGACGATGGCAAGTATGTCCTGGTCAAGGACCCCAACAAGCCAACCATTCGGCTGTATAACGTGCCGCCCACTACGTTCGAGGAAGACGATGTTGAGGCACAGAGCACGATTCCAGAGGGTGATGACGAGTAGAAGGCGCCTTGTGTCGTCCACATAGAGAATGGGTTATATGCAAATGACCAAAAGAGACAATCATGTCAAAGATGTTTGATCTGCCAGATTGATACGATTTCATGCTCTATTCAAAGTCTCTAAACTGAAAACAATACGATGAAAAAAATGTCGTCCCGTTCGACTCCTAGTGTGCGCCAATGCTTGTGCTCGACAGCTTTTTGTGGTATCAATTCCTTTATTTTCATCGTCCAAACGGAGAGAGCGCCTGCAATGACCTTTTGCCGCTTGTGTATATGTACATGGTCCGTAGATGAGAGATGCATGGCTCAAATTCGCGCGAAAAGGGAGACTGGTGTGTGTGTCAGTAGCGGAGGTCCTCCCCGGCTTACATCCCATCTGATTCGTGTATTTTTTATTCCTCACGTGCCCGCCACCGCCTGACACTCTCGTCACCGCAGATCATCGCTGATGTCCTGCTTCATCTTACTTTCCCCTCTTCGATGATTACTCCTGGCACCGGTGCTTTGACTTGACTCCACTCTTGTCAAGTATGCGGCGCTCGTGAAGTCGTTGCTCGCTTCAAACGAGGGCCGCGTCCTGTCCATGCTCGACCTCAGCCTGTCGAACGAAGGTCGTGGCCTGTCCGTGCTACGCCTGTCGGAACCAAAGTCATAATCAGTTCTCGAGAAGGTTGGCGTGGGAGTGACACCTCCAGACACAGGGGTGTCATAGTTCGAACTTGCAGCAGTCTCAATCATACTCAGCCCACTAGGCGCCGTGCCAGCAGTGACAGGACCAGGCGCATAGCTTGTATTGTACGAAGCATTGGGCCCCATTGCTCCGTTGCCAGATCCCGGGTAGGCAGGAGGATAATGCGATCCAAAAGGATCAACACTGGGGCGGCCGGAATGACCAGTATAATCTGTCCCGTCGCTCCCGTTATGACTGCGCGGGTTTTTGGTACCGGCTTCAGAAGGTGGATATATTGGTCGCATGTCCTCATCCATAGTCGGACGCCCATTGTTTGGCGAGCCATTGCGACGGTGGCCTAGTCGCTCTTGCTTCTTGGCATTGCTGATCTCGCTGCTTGACGTGCTTCCATTCAGGTTGCCGTGAGCAGGAACTTTCGCAGAGGACACACTCTCCGGGTTGACATCCTTCAGGTAATCGAATTTTCCTTGTCGAACTTGTTCGCGGATGATGTCAATATCGTATGGGAAATACATTTTCTGAAAAGCTTTGGCGGCGAAGCGAGGTAACAATGCCATGATTACGGTTAACAATCCGACGGCCCAGAAGGACAACGCGCCGTAGACTTGTGGTGCAGCCTTGTAAAAGGTAAAACCGGCCGTGAATGCGGTATAGACTCCTGTCCAGAACCAGATTAACAGGATCGAGATGGCGGTGATCAGGCACATGAACCAGTCCCAGCGGTATGTGTTGATCAGAATGTACACGTTGACAATGAGCACAATAGGGTTGACGATGTAGACTCCCAGTCTCTTGTAGTCGTTGACGTTGCGCCCGGATTCCGTCGTAAAGGTCGCGGGCGCAAATTCCAGGTAGGTGAAGTAGAAGCAGATAACGGACTGATAAAACCCGTCGACCATGTAGATCCAAAACTTGGTCTGCGTCCATTCCTTTTGTTCGATACCACGGCGATACAGCTGTGGTACAGCCAGCGATACCTTGTCGTCCACATCTTGGTCGAGGATACCCTGGAAGATGATTGGCAGAGAGGTAAAGGCAAGGTTGAACAGAAGGATGTAGGAATAATCAAAGGTATATGAGCAGTCGAAGTTGGCGTAGACCTGGTACCAGAAGAGAGCAAATACCCAGATAATATTCTGTAGCGGATGGTTAGCAGGATATAGGCCAGCACGATCATGACCCATCTTACCTTGTAGAAGAAATTGGCAACACACTCAGCCATGCGTCGGTAATCCCAGCGACCGTGGACGAGGAGCAGTCTTGTCAAGTAGCGGAACTGGCCGATGGCGTAGTCGGAACTCATCACAGCCTGGCGTCCTTCTTCTCCTGCGATACCAACACCCACATCTGCCTCCTGGATCATGGCAACATCATTGGCTCCGTCACCAATGGAGAGCGTCATCACCTCCAGGGTGTGCTTGACCAGAGCAACCACAGCAGCCTTCTGCGAAGGCGAGACACGACAACATAGCACAGATCTGCATTCTTTGCAAAGCAGTAGGAACTTTTGCCGCAGCCTGTCGTCCAGGACAATTTTGAGCGTATCGCCATCGATGACCAACGCGTGCGTGGGAGCAGGTGGCTCGTGATTCTTCTTCGCGGCTTTGAGCTCCTCGTCGCTTCCCGTCTTCCCGAACGTTCCCAGGTGCTTATCAAGATCTTCCTCCGCCTGCGCAAAGTCGTCTTCGTCGACCTTGAGAACAATGAGGTCCATTTCGTTGTCGAGTAGATTACAGGAGAAGCCAATGTTGATCGCAGTCTCCACCTTGTCACCAGTCAAGACCCAGAGCTTAATTCCGGCTTGCGCGAGAAGCGCAATGGCATCGGGAACGCCATCCTGAAGACGGTCTTCAATCGCAGTGCCGCCGAGGAGCGTCAAATCACGTTCGATGCGATCAGCAACTTCTTCAAGTTTGGCCTCCCGGTCCTGGACAGCAGCGGCCGCAAGCTCATGATCACGATTCCATTCTCGATACTCGTCTTCGTCGAGCTCTCTTTGCGCTATGCACAGTGTTCGGAGACCTTCTCGCGCAAACATCTCAAGATGCTCGGCAGTGGATTTGCGAAGTTCCGCTTGCTGGCCTTTTGCTAGACGGGAGTAGATGATGCTATCAGCACCCTTGCAGAAGAGGATGATCTTGCCAGACGGCATGCGAATGATGGCGGACATTCGCTTCCTGGTGGAGTTGAATTCCAGGGCGTTGAGCACGCTGTACTCGCGTTCCTCGCCCAGCACGTTGACGATGATACCATCGTTCGAGCGTCCTATCACGGTATATCCGCAATCTCGTGCCGTGGCCACCAGAGCGGCTTCGTCAGGGCTTTGCGCCTTGAATTCTATTCGTGGTGGGTCACCAGGCGTGCGTTCCGTTATGACGCTGTGACAGAGAGCGAGAGCCAGCATGAACTGTTCTGTGGCGGCCTTCTGCGCTGGACCACTTTCACCTCCCAGATCTTGGATGTAATCGGGCGCGACAAATGTAAGATCGTCGTCTCGGAGATAGGGGTTGTCGTGCAGATTGCGGATGTGACGAAGCATTTTGACGCGGTCCTCCGCTATGCGCACTCTTTCATGCTTTGCCACTTCTTCGACGTTGATACCCTGCCGTTTTTGCATCCCTGCCAGCGCCTCGGTGTATGCTTCTCCATAAGGCACACCGTTGACGGTGCACTTCTTGAACTCCATGACGTTTTGCGTGAGCGTGCCAGTTTTATCGGAAAAGATGTATTCGATCTGCCCCAGGTCATCAGAGATGTTCCAAGACTTGGGCGTGCAAGGGTAGTCCAGCTTTTCATAGTACATGAACGTGTCGGAGTAGATGAAGAATGCCTGCACAGATCGCACGATTTCCAAGGAAATGTACAGCGAAATGGGTACCAGGTTTTGGAACAGGATCACGGCGGCCCAGAAATTGATGAATCCCGTCAGACCTGCGGTGCTACCATAACTTCCAAAATCAAAGTAGTTCTGAGAACTGTTACTTTTGCCCCACGCGACACCGTTGACAATGGCAGCGATCAGACACATGACAAACAGAATGACAAAGTTGTACAGGACGTTCCAGTTGAGGTCTCGCATGATCTTGGGACGCTTCGAAGGCGTGATACCAGAGTTGAGCATGATCTTGGTGTCTTCACCTGTGAAGGCGACGACACCAAGAACCCATTCCGTGTTGCGGACGGTGCAGCCTCGCAGAAGCAGATTATTAATGCCCACTGGCTCTGCCATCTCTTTGGGCTCTGCCTCGGGATTCCGTCTATCGTACTGGTTCCACCTCACCACGCCAGAATATGCGTACAAGTTGGCATGTGGAGGCTCACTCTCGATAATGAAGTCTGCTTGCTCACAGTCCCGCGCTCGCTTGATGTCACGCCCAGAGTACAAAGCCGTCCGGACCTTGAGGTTGGTTTCGCCATCCAAGTTTTTGGTCTCGATATAACACGCTCCGTCCGCGTCACTCGTTGCCAGGACGATGATGTCTGAAGGAATCTCTTCGTCATTATATAGGCGGACAAAGTCGCCAACTCGCACGTTCTTCCAGTAGTCCTTCTTAAATCGTGCTGTTTCGGGTCGCGGCCGATTCGGGTTGATTAAGCTGCCATGGAACTTTTTGGGTACCGGCAACTGCTCCAGCTTGCCATTCTCTCCCACTTGAGGAACAAGTAGAGTATCTTTCATGTTGCCATGGCCACTGCCCGGCTCGTCATTGACCCCGTGTTCATTCACGTAGTTCGGTGGCCGTTGTCCTGGAGTCGGGGATGGCACAGGGGTCATCTCGACATCCCCATCAGCATTCACGCCTGTATATCCATCTATGCTGTCCAAACGCTGTGTCAATGCACTCATCCGGCGCTCGTCCGAATCGAGCGCACTGTCGAGCTTCGCATCTTGAGCGGCTGCTCCTTTTCCCTTCTTCTCTTTCTTCTCTTTCCACCATCTCCAGAGGAACAATATCGCTCTTGTATTGGCCTTCTTGAACAGTCGCCACGCGCCAATCTTCTCTTCCGATACGTTTACATTGTCCCAGTCTACCAGTCGATGCACTGGAGCGTTGTTCAGCTCGTTGTCGAGAACAGTTCTCCGCCAATCTTCTATGGCGTCCTTGATGGCAGTAATGGTAAGAATGACGATAATCGGCACGGCGGCCAGTCCTGGGTTCGTAACGCCAAAGATGGAGAAGATGCCCAGGATGACGATAAAAATGAAGTATACGTTGGCGATGTTGTGCAGTTGAAACCACAAGTTCTTCGGAATGAAAGATAGGGGTGTGTACTTGGCGGTTCGGATTTTGTTGCGCTTGAACTGTTGCAGCGGCCGGCCTTCCTCATCTCGCGCGCTGTCAGGGAGAGGCTGATTGACGAAGATGGTGCGCGAGGTCTGACCCTCGGGCGGATGATCGCTGGCGATTGCTTCCGCCTTGATGTCAATGTCGTCTGTCATGGCGGACTCTCGATTCCGATGGCTGCCACTCAGTCGCGCGGCGTTTCTCGAGAAAATGCTCCTCCGCTTCATCGTCCCCTTCCGTCCAGATTTCCGCACCGTGGCCCATCGCATGCGGTTCAGCGGCTGTGAGGTCTGGGTCCCATCCCGCTCGGCGCGCTGGGCGGAAGGCGTCTGCTGTGCATGTGTATCGAAGTCGACGGCCATGGTGGGCCAGCTGCACCACGCTTCACAGCGTGAGGGGCGAGGTTTGTCGTGCCGGTATTACATGCGACAGCAACAGAAGTTCTCATGCGGCTCGGTGCAAGCGCGTCGCCTGTGCAATGGGGGCGTGTTGCTTGGTGATTTCGGCCCTGGTCCTGGTGTTGCGGTGCTGCTGTCCTTACTGTACTACTAGAGCATTCGCACCTGCCCGTGCGGTATTGTATGGTATGGTATTGTATCGTATCGTGGCTCGCAGCCTTCCTCGCAACTGCTATACAGTCCAGCGTGTCCACCGCGATGCCAGCATGGGGGTGAGTGAGGTCGGAATGGTGGCTGCTTGGAATGGGAGGGAGGGGGCCTCTCAGAAACGCGGTCGTTATGGCGCGCCGCGCCGCCGACTCTGTCGCGGAGGGGGTAATGAGGAGCACTACCTAACCAACGTGGCGACGACGAGGGTAGTGTGTGTATGTGTGTGTATGTGTGTGTGTGTGTGCGTGTGGGAAAGGCGGTGGGATTCGCGGTGCAAACGATGCAAATGATGATGCTGACGAGGGTGGTGATGATGTGTTTCGCACGAGGATCCGGGTCTCGCGGTCGTTCGGTTGTCCTCGAAGTTGCGGCGGCCGCCAATGCTGCTGGCGATCGCCGACTCGGAGGATTCAAGGTTTACTGGTATGCACAGGCACCACAGCAGCAGCGGGCGACGAGGACGCGGACGAGGATGGGGATGAGGACGAGGATGAGGACGAGGACGACGGCGACGACGACGACGACGACAACGAGGTTTGGAGCAGCAGCAGCAGCAGCAGGCAAAGGACACGCAGCGACAAGCAACAGTAAGGTAGTGAGTGCTACCTCCTAGAAGAAGGGTGGAAGTGGAAGCCGGAGACGGAGGATCCAGGCTCCTCGAGGCTGAGCTGTGCACGAATAATCATCATCAGTCAGCAGCGGCGGCGGCGGCGGCGGCAGTAAGGTATCTACTACCACCTAGGAAGTACCACCTACCACCTACCTGACCTCCTAGGAGGTAGGAGGTAGCACCTACACCGACGGCCTCAGGTATTTGCCCCCTCAGAGTGGACTACCTCCTAGTAGGAGGTACGGACAAGACGGGAACAGGACAGGACCCGACGGACGGTACGCTACCACTAGATGGATCATGACGGATTGACGGACAAAAAGTAACAAGAAACCTGCGCAGTGCGCACCAGAAACCTTCGGTCTGTGAATGATGAACATGGAGCTCCAATGCTGACTAACAGCCTACAGTGCCTTTGAGCGAGGTGAATGGAGGACATCCCTGCTCGTATACTGAGCTAGGCTGTAGCGAGTCGTGATCAGTTATCGACTAAACCCCTAGTGAGATGAAAAACCGTATGAACACTGAAGGAGTCAGAAGGACCGAAGGTTCAAGGCGCCCACTCACACAATCAAATTATCAATCATCACACTGGTGACTGTCCAGTGACAGACTAGTACTACAGTCACTACTCACTAGCACTCAAAAGTTTCCCTTCTCAGCTTCGGACTAGTGCGGTATCGATATTTACTTCATCTGATACTGTATCTTGTTACTGGTAGGAGGTAAGAGGTTGGTAGACAAGTTCGACTGTTTCATTTGCCTCTATACCGACAGAGAGCTCTGGCAATAATGTACCTCCTAACCCCTAGCTTGCTACCTATCTCGCTCAAATAGACTGTTTAGTGTATACTACAGTTACTACTTATTCATAGGTAAGAATACGACCACGCGAAAGCCCTGAAGGCGGCGAACGGTAAGTACGAAGCGATACGATGGCAAGGGGGGGAAGTCGTATAGGTAACACGGCAAGTCTTGCGCAGGGATTGTATCATTTGTATGTAGGTCGGACCTCGCGGCACTGCAAGCGCGTAGTCATCATGGACCCATGGTCATCATCAGCATACCTGTACTACCAAACTACCTTCTTTGGGACATACCTATATAAAGTAAGTACCTCGAGCTCTCAGCGGGTCTGTGAGACTCAGACTCCGGATTCGACATGGCCATGAGCATGATGAGCATCTTCTGGATTCTGGACCCTCACTCCCTCTGGACCCTCACTCCCTCTATACCCTGCTCATTGTAAATAACAGTCATCTACACTGCTGGTGCTGCCGCCCCTCTCGACCCATGTATACTACCTCCTACTTGGTCTAGCTCTACTGCACTCCTAGAACGGCGTTCGGGCGGGTTCTCCTTTGGGCATAAGCAACTATTATCAGCACATGCACAATTGGTCGAGTGCCGGACGCCCCCGACCGCGTGCGGCGTGTCCGTTCAATGAATTTTATGATTTTCCTCCTGACCCACCCCATTCCCAACACCGGGATGGAAGGGGACCAACAGCTCCGCCCAGTTTTATGCATCTCCTGCCTCAGGCTTCGGCTCTTTTTCCTGTTCCAATCGACTATAACTACATTTCGTAGTGTGTGGTGTATACGAGAGAGCAGACGCTGCACGGTAAGGTAGGAGGGGAGGTAGGAGGTGGTGCCAGCCCAGCGACGGGTCAGCTCGGCACGTTGTGAAAAGGTGCGGTTGTGGTGATCGCATGTTTCTCGTATTGTGATTTAAAGTTTTGGCCTCCAGCTGCAGCGTGAAGTTCCGTGGAGGTGTTTGGGTGTGTGTTGTTACCTCCTAGGAGGTACCTTAGTAGGTACGAGGATGCGGCTTCAACTCAGTCACGGCGGACGCACCTCCGGATCCCGTGCACGTCTGCCTCTTGGCTGGGCTGGGCTGGCCAGGCGCGTCGCGTTACATTGCCGTCTTTCTGTCTTCTGGTGCTCGACGCGTCAACCCAACCCCCAACACAACCTCCATCACTTCACCGCGCGCCACTGCCCACTCTACATGCGCAGACGCCGATTCTGTCCGCCTGGTCCTCATGGCGCCCCTCCGACCACAGCTCTCGGGCAGCCAGAAAATCACGTCTTTCTTCTCCAGCTCCGCCCTTCCGAGGGAGCGACGGCCAGACCCAGATGGCATTCCAGTTGGCGATGAGGAGGTTGTCGTTGCTTCGTCTGATGCGGGGAGCCGCAGGAGTGCGCAGCAGTCTTCTCCATCGCCACCGATCTTGCAAACCAACTCGGGCGCGACGAAGAAACGGGAATTAAGAGCAGGTACACCAGTGAGCACTGCTCCTCTGTCGAGCTCGGTGTGCGACAGCGGCAACACCCCCCCACGCCTACGTGGAAAGACCCCAGAGAATTCCTCCCGGCTAGCAGCGCAGCGAGTCAGCCCTGTTCAGTCTCCGCCGAGATACAACATCAACCCGATAGACGGCGCCGCCGATGTGACTCCAACAAAGGACTCGCCATACCGCGAACCCGCTCAGTCGTCGTCCAGACCGCGCCTCGTCGCTGGTGTGCCGACCTCCCGCCCAGTTTCGCATACGGCCCTCACGCCGAGCCTCCCTACAAGAGCTGGATGCGTGCCGAATCCCATAGCTTCACACGCTTCTGACTCCCGAACAACGACCACGACGATGCCAGCCAAGTCCTGCTCCTCATTTTCCACGTCCATCCGTTCAAGCGCGGATTCAGTCACCGCATTGCGCTCCTCCACTAATAGCAGGCGCATTGTGAAAGATGGCTTAAAAGCTATTGCGAATTCAGACTCAGACATGACGGATGACAGCAGCGGTGAAGAGTTGGCAGATCTCAGTTCATTCTTCGTCAAAAGACGAAAGCTCTCGCATGAGCCTGTCAAGGCAGTGCCTGCTCCGAAAAGCACGAGGTCGTCCGGCGGCGTCAGGCAGAACGAGCTCCTACAGTCAATGATCAAATCGCCACAAAAAAGGGTCTACAAGTACAGTCTCGCGTCATTGTCTCGCGAAGACCAAAAGATGAAGGAGTCACAAGTGAAGATTGCCAGCATGCAACAGGCTGTGGAGGAATCAAAGAGACGCGAAGAGGAAGCCGCAAGGCAGGAAGCACTCGGACCGAATATCGATACTGACAAAACCGTATCCCTAGAATGGGCCAGCGATGATGAAGAGGGTGACAGGAAGCTGAAGGCGTTGCAGAGAGTCGAGGCGTTGCACGCGACTGACAATTACTACTTTTTCTTGGACGACGAGCCGCTGTTCCAAGATTCGCCCTTCCCAGTCAACTCATTGCCAAATGAGCCATGGAGTAAGCTCTATGCCACAGACACATCACGCGAACAGGCATGTGTCTCTGGACTGGCCGCTGAGATGGTCTTGCACTTTCCATTGCCCATGGCAGTCACGAATTGGATGGCGCAGCAGCTGCTTCATGAGCGAAACGACGCGTTGTGCGAAGCGTACGTCGGTATTCTGGAAGCCTCGAGCAGCCATAACGAGTCGCTTTCAGATACGATAGCATCGTTGTCATCGATGTACAAGACTCGTTCTCTGTTCGAGAACAATTGGAAAGCTCCTGTTCGGCGAGGTCTTCCCGCCGGGCTCAAGTACGTGCTGCGAGTCGTACAGTCTCGTGCGCCCGCTGTTGATGATGTTGCACCAGACGCCGCACCAATCAAGACGATCGAGGCTTTCTTGGACTTGGCCATGATGAACCTCGATGATTTAGTGAGGAAGAATCACAACTTGTCGTCCACCCTGATGAAATGTATCGAAGATCTCCTAGATTCCCTTTCGGAGACATCATTCGAGAAGCTTGTTCCAGGAGTGCTGGCAGTCCTGGACGACTCGGAGAGAGAGCTTCCAATCCAGCTTCACTGCCGGCTCATCGCATCTCTTCCAGCCCGCACGACGCGCTCATATCATCTTCGCCGCCGCCTTGCACTCGACGTACTGTTGCCCAAGGACGAACGTAGGAAGGCGGAATCTTCTGAACGCAACTGGCTCGAGACTATCTTGAAAGCTCTGGAATCCGGACAACAATTTAACATCGGGGATGCAACCGATTATGCACTTCTCATGGCACTCATAAATGTCGCCGATATCGCTGTATCTGCTGGATTCACAGGCTACGACGCACTCCACCCTTCGCAAGCCTCGAGTGAGAAGAGTTCCCTGAGCATATATGCTGGGCCGCCTCCAGTATCACAAGCTGCAAAGATTCACAACCGTCAGATCGACGCAATTGTGTCGGAATTGGAGTACATGAAGAGTATAATTCAGCATGAATCGACCTCTCTTTGTCGCCAAGAACTCAAGGCTGCGTTGGAGAGAGTGACTGCAAGGCTCGGGACCAGTGTCCGCACAAGACCAAAGCCAAAAAAGCAAATATTTGGCACTGAGCGAAAACAGGCGCATTTTGCTACAAACATGCTAAAGATCGCACCTAACGCTCTCGACAGATCTGGTGCGGAAGAGACGGAGAGCATGGGCTGAACGGCTACACCTAGCATGGTGGATGACTTGCCTAGTCGGCCCGGCATCGATGATGTTGAGTCTACTGTAGAGGATGGCAATACTCAGCTACCCACGCCTGCGCCGGAGGCTGTGCTATTGGTAGCAGACGGCGAAGATGACATGGCGGCCGATGGAGTTTCTAGCTCCTCTGACGACCTCCGCACGGCTTACGACAACAGCCAGCCTCGAGACCGAACGGATGAAGGGCCATGCCTGACTCGATTTACAGTGAACGGTCTGGTCTATCCTGTCAGGTCCGATCAAGTGCGATTGTTCCACAACTCATTGGAAATATATCTACACTGCTTTTACTACCAGGATCCCGTGGAAACGTAGAGACCTTTACGGGTGCAACTTCCCAGTAAGCGAATGATTCCACCCACGATTGAGACTGGTAGCCAAGAATTTCATCGCCCTCTCGCTGTCTGCCTCACACGACTGACCCAGAGACTTGTTCAGGAGTAGTCTTGGTACTATGCAACATTTGATCGGCCAATCTCGTCGTGGCAGATCGCTACCCCTTTGACTCGGAGGTGATTTCTACCGCATGGCATACTCCATGGAACCCGGCCGTCTCTTCGCCATCATATCGAACCCATCTGCTAACGAGCAGCAGCAATTCTTGCCAATGGTGATGATGATGATGAGCTCCATCTCTGTAGTTTACCACGTGCAAGCCTGGTGTGGTGCACACATTCCAGCTGGTGCTCAATCTGTTATCCACTCTTCCCCTCCGTTACGACACGGCGGTTGATCGTCGGCAAACTGTATCATCCTCTCCGCTATCCAGCCAGATTCTACTCCCTTGACTCTCTCACCCAGGTGGGGTTTCTTAGAGAGCCTACACCTGGATTCGGTGCTCAACGAATATTGTATACATACGTCCAGAGCCTCACAGATTACGCGACAAGCCTCAAGGTCTTCGACCGGTCCATAGTCGTCCGGAGAAGAGTTGTCCCAATCCAATTTCGAACCAAGTGTGCGTGGGAGGACATACATCTTGTACATATCATGGTGGTGAAGGACGGCTTCGGGTTCCTGTTACGAGAAGAGTCAGTCGATGCTCAAGAGCCACTCAGAATTACCTACATCGATCTGTGCGAGCCATTCCATCTCCCACCTCCACAAATCCTCGACGACATGCGGTACCAGATGGTGATATGAGACGGTCGGCGCACACCATAGTCTCTGCGACCCGTCGATTCGAGTCCAATCGATGGAGCCAATGTCATCTCCTTGAAATATCGGCCACGCTTGTGTCAAATTGGTTCCAGAATCACTCATGGCCTTCCCTAGAATACCATCGCCAGCCCAAAACTCATTTGCGAACCATTCCCACTCGGACTGGTGCCCATTGAACATGCTCACGACACTCTCCAATGCAGGCTTGGAGATTACGTAGCCAGTTCCGCCATGAGCGAACATCACATCGCCAATCCACATTGGTGCCCCTATATAGTACGGCCTCGTGTGATCTAAAGCAGCGAGATAGTTGAGGAGTGTCTGCCAGTGCACATATGTATCCGTTTCTAGGAATATGTACCACTTTTGGTCTGGCCACTCATATAGCGTTCGATTGACCTAATGACCGCAGGTGTACAGTCAGCAGTCGCCTCCCCGTAGATGTGGCATCGAGCAAGGCGTTTGCAAGGTCCTCGACTTACCATGGGCAAGAATTTCCATTTATCCAATCTCCAGCCGGGGTTATCATTCTTCCCAAAATTGGTGCCCCGGGGACTGATTTGCCCACTGAGCTCGTGTGGCTGAAGTGCTCGACGACCACCGCCGTCCTGCAGTCTTCGCCAGAGCTCGAAGTCGGGATGTTGCGATTTGGTGACAGGGTTCACCGATTCCAGAGCATCGTAGATGTGGTGACCCTCAAACGTTTCTTCATAGTCGCTGAAGATCATGTGGTTCGGGAAACATCGCAGAGACGTGTTGAGATGCACCGGCAGCTTGTGCGCGAGCTCGGTGCCCCCCGTCTTGAAGATGACGACCGAGTCATTCGCCGTGGGCAAGTTTCGGCATGGCAAATCCCCAGTTCCTGGGATGGTATCATGATGTTGTTGTTGTTGTTGTTGATGATGATGATGATGATGATGATCGACCACCTGCTCTGTGGTGCGTTCGTGCGTGAACACGGCGGCTCCTGTCGATGTCGCAGCAGACCTGTCCCGGACCGAGATCCAACATACGGCAGTGACGACGGCAGCAAGAATAATGAGCAGGCGGCGTGGAGCACGCTGTCTCAGCACGAGTATGCTGCTGTTGCCGCGCTGGGAGAAGCGTCTGTCGGCCATGTCGTCGTGGACCTTGTGGTAGTAGTCTGGATAGACATATTTGTTCATCGTGTCGCTGTCGTCGAATGGGGGAGGAAATAAGAAAAGAAGTTCAGAGAGAGGGGGAGATGGAGATGGAGGAGATGCAAGAATGACGAGGAATTAAAAAACAAGAGAAAGAAGAAGTCGTTCTTGTATTGTACGGTATTGTACAGTACAACAACAACAAAAAGTTATTATACCTCACCAATCCATTTCGATTCGATTGAAATTTCAATCACTTTGTGTCGCACGGCAAGAGGAGAGCCTTTGAGAGATGAAACACCCAGATACACACATACATACCTATACATACACATACAAAAGTGTAAAAAGTGTCCAAAGTGTAAAAATACAAAGAGAATCAAGAAAAGTATGTAGCACCGATTGGCATTTATGTGCAGATCTTTTCCCTTTCCCTTTCATGATCGCAACAAATGCACGCACGAGAGAGGGGGTGGGGATGCGGCGCGCGAAAAGGATGATTGATTGTGATGATCATCATCGGACTTTTCTTTTGGCTTTGTGGCTTTTTCGGCCCCTGAACGATAGAAGGGGGGTTGTTTGAACAACAAGAAGAAAAAAGCGATATAATTGGAGAGAGAGAGAGAGAGAGAGAGAGAGAGAGAGAGAGAGAGAGAGAGAGAGAGAGAGAGAGAGTCATGCGAGTCTACTAGTAATATTATCAGTACATACACACACACACACACATATATATATATATATATATATATATACATGTCCTCCCACTGTGTGTGTGTGTGAGAGAGAGAGAGAGATGGGGAATGATGGCTGATGACATGGCGATAGAAAATCTACCTACATACGCTCCTACGGGACATATAGCACGTAGGTCGTGCCCAGCAGCAGAACTCTATGATGATGTGTGTGTGTGTGTGGTGTTGATAAACTCCACCTGTGGGGAATCAGGGGGAAGATTCAAGTTACAGAAGAGGCAAGGAGGCAAAAAGGCTGCAGTGGACGAAAATGGCAAAAGGCAAACGGGCAGGGCGGGGTATGGGGAGGAGTTCAAAGTTGTGTCGAGTTTATCTTTTGTTGATGGCTGCGCTAGCGCTACCAGTATATATACATAAGTTATACACTTGTCAGAGTGTCCCTGACTTCTGATTTACTTTCCCTCCTTCTCTTCCTGGTACTTCAGATAGGCTGTGGTAATCACCTGCTGAGCTGCTTTATATGTCTTCACTTCAGGTGCACAATCAGCATTGCCTTGACAGGACCGGTACTCGTCAACGACGATGAACAGCCTTCACTCACCATCGCCATCATCGTTCTTCGCTTCACCCTCTTCATCCTCTTCCGGCTTTTCACATTCGAAAGTGATGCCGCCAGATTGCATTTTGATGTTGTACTTGCCCCCTTCCCACAGGTCCTTGATAGTCAGCTCTCTGGTACGTCCAAGCGACTCAATGTCTCCAATGCGGTCAAGGGTGGCTTGTAGAAAGTCGTCAAACCCTTCCTCTGCGCAGATCTCACGAAAGGCGTTCATCATGGGCACCGAGTCCGGCCTCACGTTTGCATTGCTGTCAATTGCAAAGATGTTGATGGCATCGTAGCTCTGGTACAAACGTCAACCGTGGTGAGAAAACATAGACATGTGGGCAACTTACCTGTATGAAGTCTGCTCGAGTCATGATCTCTCTTGCCTTGTGTAGGGGGATTTCGGGCAGGATATGCCCTTGCTCGGGATGATATCGGTGCTCCATTTGTTTTTCCAGATCAACCATCGCCTTGGCTAGAACCATGGCAGCAGATGCAAACTTCTGTTGATCCATTACATCGTCATCCATCTCCGTCCCAAGGATCCAGCATTGGTTGAGGAACCAGGTTTTCTCTGCGCTGAAAGGAGCAGGTGTAAAGGTTAGCAAGTATCTCTGGAATTTGCGGACCTGTTTCAGCAGCGTCTGTCTTAAAGGCCAGCGCCCGGTAGCGGGTGAGCTGATCAGAAAAGGAGCGAGGAACGAAGATGTTCTCGACGCTCTACCTTGCTTACCGGCAGATGGAGAATGCTGTCTTGACCATATCGTCGGACTTTGCACATCGACTCCTGTAGGATTGTAAGCAAACGCGACAAATAGATACTACGAGGAGGTGATCATACAGATACGACATTCGCCCTCCAACCAGGTCTAAAAGTGAGTGTCTAAAGGTAAGCAAATGTCTCCAAGAATGGGCCCTCACCTCAATAGTCTGCCTTGAAGCCTGTCACCAGGAATGGGCTGGGGCACATTGAGGCCACGAGCATAGGGGACGCATTGCAAGTGGTGAGTAACTGACCATAAACCTGCTCCAATATCGACTCACTCGGGTGGTCGTTGCGGTATTTGGTGCGATAGTTCCGCAGTGCTGCTAATGCCTTTTGCTTGTCTAGATCGAGGATGCGAATGACGTTCATTCTGGTGGCGTATTGCTTGAGTCTCTCATATATCCAATAGTCATCTTTGCACGACAAGTAAGCGAAATGTCTCGCAGAAGGGGTGGCCAACATACCTGAATTGAATATGACAGTTGCGAGATTACTAGCTGACCATTGCTCCGCTCGCTGTTGTATCAACTCAAGCAAATCCTTGCCCCCATCGTCATCTCGCCTGCCGAAGGGTCAGCAAGGATTCTACGAGTATGCGGACGGACGTGTGTCAGAAAGGAGCTCAGCGCCACAGAGGAGGCCAGCCTGAGCTTGGTAGGACGTCAAGAAAAAACGTCAGTTCGCTTACAATAGATGCATGGAATTGAAAATCAAAATCAGTGGTCTCCCCACTTTCTGCCGTCTCTTGAGTGCAACCTTCTCGAGCTTGTTGAACGCTCGCTCTACATCTAGGAGCGCACCAGCATCACGAGGACCGCGGATCGAGAAGAATGAGCCCATATTGTCCTCGTGAAATTCAAAGTCAAGAGCCTTGCCGAGGCGAATTCGGAAAATCTCTGGATTGGCGTGAGCATCGAACATGGCGCAGCCTTCGCCATCGATTTTGGCCATGGCATCAATCAACATGCTCGATTTCCCCGTTCCCTTTTCACCAACAATGAGATGGTATTGGCCTCGCACTCTACCAGCAACAATGTCATCAATGAGGGCCTGTTCTTCACGAATGACCCAATGCTCGCGCTGATTATCCTCATCCATAAGGACGTGCCCGCCGGTGGCGGAGCCTTGCTTGGCCGTGGCGGCAATGTCAAGCACGGGGTCTCCAGGGTTGAAGGCATTCTCCATCTTCTCCAGAATCATATGCTTGTAGTAGCGAGTATAGCCATAGCCGACGGCGCCCAGAACGGCGACGGAGGCGAAAGTGGTCAAGGAAGCTTCAGCCATTTTGAAGGCGGTCTCTTTCCAGTCGAAGCGGGCGCCATTGGAGCTTTCCGAGCGGGAGCGGGAGCGGCTGCTTGAGGCGGCGTCGTCGTTGTTGTTGTTGTTGTCGTTGCTCTCGGCGGGACCGGCATCGGGCGGGCCAGGAGTCTGCGGTCCATAGGGCAATTGCAGATGTCTCGAGTGCGTCAATGTGACTCCGGTTCCGGGATGGGGCCAGAGGTACGTGTATGTGATTCCAGCAGGAGCAGGCCGGAGCACGGTCCGGGCATTGACCGGCAGCCCCGCAACTGCAACCGCACGCGCCACGCGCCGCATGATTAGTGAATTACAATCTACTATGGGGACGCGTCACCTGACGACCGAGGGCGTGGCGTGGCGGTGGTCAGCGATTTCTCCGGCGGGGCGGAGTGGCGCGTATCGCAGCGTCTCACAGCGCCTGGTGAATAACACTGCCAAGGTCATGAGATGTCGACATGTCGGTGCAAGTGCGTGGTGTCGCGCAGAGGAGCTTGAAGCAGAAGAAAAAGAGAGAGAATGAAGGAAAAAGACGGAGAAAATGGAAGAAAATCAAACAAAAAAGAAGGCGAGGTGCACAGGCGCAGGAGTACCAGGTAAAGAGTGAAGGTGAAAACGACACGACGCGAAACGAGGCGAAACCTGAGGCCAGTACGGGAGCGGGAATAGATAACGCCACGCCCCGATCACTTCGATAAGCTACCTCACTCCCTCACTACCCTCCTAGTGGCTACATGTAGTTGCATTAAGGTAAATTCGAGAGAGAGAGTCAGTCACATGACCTATGCTTCTCAGCTAATCTTCGCATTCGAAAAGTCCATCTCGGGATGCTGCGCTTGGAACTTCTGCAGCAACTCCAGCTTCTTCTGCTCGTCACTCGTAGGCTTCCCCATCTCCTTTTGCCGCTGGTCATACATCATCTTCTCCACCATCGACCTCGTCTCGCCGTCCAGGTCGCTCAGCTTCGAGTTGTCTGGCGCAATCTTGGCCGTGTCGATCTTGGGCGCCGATGTCACCACGTGCGCCCACCACTCCATCTTGTTCGCCTTGTCGAGGTGAATTGACAGCTCCTTGCCGTCTTTGCTGCTCTCGAGCGTCCACGCCGACTCGTCGACGATGATGGGGTGGGGAAACGTGCCCTGCACACACGCACACACACACACAGACCGCGTTAGTCGTCGCGTCGAAGGAAGAACTTGAGTGGTAGAGGAGAGAGACAGAGAGAGAGAGAGAGAGAGAGAGACGCATACTTCAATCAGAGGCTCCTGACCCTTGATGCCCGCCTTGAGGCTGGTCTTGGTGATGCTGACTTCCATATCTCGCCCCTTCACGTGCGCCGGAACAGGCGCCGTGAGATCGAGGTCCTGGATCGTCTGCACCCATTGGTATGGCAGCTGGCTCTGTTCCTGCTGCTCCCGCGCTCGCGCCTCCTTGTCCATCCGCTCACGCTCTTCCGCCGGCGGTGACGCTGCCCGCTCGTCTGCCATGGTAATGTTGATGTTGATGTTGATGTCGTCGGCGTCGGTGGTGGTGGTGGTGGTGCGGAGAGCATGGGATACCTAGCTGGCTGTGCGAGGGAAGCGGAACTGTTTGTGTACATTAAGGTATGACCTGAACTAAGGTAGCCCGCGATCGGACCTGCCTCCCTCCCACTTCGTCTCACTTGGTCTACAGCAACGGCACCTTCCTACCCACATCTACCCGACCTACCTACCTGACCCCACGGCGACTTGATGAACCATGATGAACGTTGCTGGGTGTGATGGAACCGAGTATAGATCTTCATACAGTCTGGTCATGTTTACCCCTCCTGCACCACGAGAAGACGAGGCAAAGGGCCTTCTTTCGGGAACTTCAAAAGACTGTCTACCTACACATATGCCATGCCCTGCCTCATCCTCCTCATTGCTAGCAAGCCTCTCCACATGCCGTCTTCCTTCGCGCACCTCCAATTCTACCCTCTGGCGGCTTGGTTGGAATATGGCACCTCATCTTCGTGATCTCCTGTCTGTGCAAAGGGTGACGAGTAAGGGGATTCCATCTCAACCACGAATCTGTTCGAACCCGATCGGCGTGTCTTGCCCTCTCCTTGGTTGATCTCGGCGATGAAATGCAGTCCCTTCTGCTTCTTGAGCCGCGGATATACCTCGATCACGTCGCCGGTGTGGAGCTTGCCGTACGTTTGCCGACCAGGTCCCTCGCTCTTTCGCAGTTTCTCGCCATTGATACTGACGCCATTGCTACTGTGCGTCAGTATTCCCACATATGCGCCTGGCAGAGCATCGAGATGTTCCTCGCCCTCGGGTATATTCTCAATTCCGGTGGCGTGGGTAAAGATCGTAAACGCAAACTTTCCCACGCGCGTGTCCTCTTTGTCCTCGTACACTGTCGTGCAATGCCTATCACGACCAAACGTGTTATTGCGTCGCGTGAGCTCAATCGTCACGTTCGCGAATGAATCTGGAGTAGACACAAGCCTGCCTACAGGATCGCCCCTCTTCGTCGTCGGGTACTCAGCGCCCGATAGAAGAACTTCAGACCCAGCAGCAGACATGTAGAACCCTGAGTAAGAGAGTCTAGCTTCAGTGGAAGGTACTGTCTCAGTGGCGTTCCTGACAGTAGTGTTGCGCGTCGCATGCGTGCTTGGCATAGACAGAGGCCGCTTCGGGTAATACTTGGGCTCCTTGACGAAATCGTGACCGCTGACCCGAGAAGCATACTCCGCATTATGTGTACTGGGGTCGGCTGGATCGTAATAGTAGGATGCAAGCAGTGGCATGATTATCTCCCGCTTGAAAGGGACCTGTCTTGGAGTCTCCTCTTGATCATTTGAAACGGTCAATTCGTTATGATCGTCTTCAACGCTCCCCCGAAGTGGTGTATCAGCAGGACTAACATCGCCATCCTCAACATCAGTGGTGTCAAAGGAGCTTGGTAGGAATGGTGAGTCTATATCCATGTCCCGAACCAGTGCCTCTGTGCCACGTAAACTGCCAGTAAGACTTTGACCGTGCAGCGTGGATTGGCTTTGACCCGATGGTGCATCTGCTTGAGAGTCCGTACGGCTGCTCATGACAGCGTGTCGCTCCCCAGCGAAGGCCGGAACCTTCACATTTGTCTGGCTGATCTCACCGAACAGCTTCGGAGTCCTGCCGAGTGTCACTGGTTGAGGCGGAGGCCGGGCTTGTGCGTGTGCTTGACTATCAAGCTGAGTATCGTCGACGATCGGAATAGACTTCATGGACTCCGAACTCGAATCACCTAGCTCCTCTGAATGAGCATTGTCGTTATTGGTGGTCTTCACCCGCTTCGACTTGCGCGGGTCCAAAAAGTCCATGTCCGACTCGTTAAGGCTGACTTCGTCTTGGTACTGGCTGAATCCAGTTGCAGCCGCCGCCGCACGTTCGTCCAGACTTAGGGAAGCGACATCCTCTTCAGCGCCTGCAACCGCGTCGTGATCCTCCTCCTGAATGTCATGCAAAGCAAGCTCGTATGGTCGTTGTGGTGGATTCTCGAGCCCGAACCACGGATGGCGCAAACAGTCTTCGGCGGAGAAACGTGCTAAATGATCAGTGTTGAGCATGGACACGAGCAGGTCGATAGCAGAGCTTGACACGCCACGCTTGATGAGGGGGCTGGCATCCAAAGGCGTGTGCATGATGTTGTCGAACATGCCGCGACCAGTGGCATCCGCAATTCCCTCGAATGGCGGTTTGTGGCACAATGTATACCAAAGCACCGCTCCAAAAGACCAAACGTCGACTGCATGACTGTAGCTGTGGAATTTTCGATGAGCTCGAGGCTCCCGCGACCGTTTCACGCCTCGCTGCGCAGCAGGATGAGAGTCGTAATGTGGAAACACTTCGGGTGCACAGTAGAGCAAGGTACCACAGAAGGTCTTCAAGAATGTGTCGTTGTGGTTGATTACCTTGGAAAGTCCAAAGTCGGAGAGTTTCACCCGGAAATCTTCCGGCTCTGTAGTCAAGAGTAAAATGTTGTCTGGTTTGATATCGCGGTGGGTGATGTTCTTCTTGTGAAGATAATCTAAAGCGTCCAGAATTTGATGAGCCATCTGCTTTCCCATCTTCTCAGGCAGAGGGCCATATTGTGCAAGATACTGCTGTAGATCACCGCAAGGAACATACTCCATAATGATGTACAAATAGTCCTTCTCTTCGTGCCATCCCCTGTAGTCAACAACACTGGGATGAGAGATTGACTGCATGATCTCCATCTCGTTGTCAAGCTTACGGTCTAGAATGCCGTTCTTCATAAAGCGGCGCTTCTCCAGCTCCTTTGCGGCATACAGATGGCCATCACGTTTGGTGGCGAGCTGATAGACGCTAGCGAAGGCACCTTTGCCAACAGTGCCCACCACGTTATATTCTTTGCCGCCATTCCACCTCATACCGTGGTTGTTGTTGGGCATTAGTGCAGTGAAGGTTGTGTGGCGCCTAGGCGTGAAGTCTGGTGGCCCAACGGGTAGTCCCTTGGACATGCGCCATTGTCGGATAACCTCTGCTTGCCGAATCAGATAGTTCTGCATGGCGTTTTCGTACGCTGGGTAGTGCTCATCACGTTGAGGGAAGCGGACAATGAACTTGACCACCTCATCCGGAGACGGTGATAGAACCTGGATGACGGAGCCTTGGGTGAGCATGCGACTATGAGGGTGATGACTAGTGCTCCCCTTAAGAAGCATCTCATCCACCATGGTTCCATTCGTGCTCAGATCTTTAATCATAAGGACCCCTGTCTCGTTCAAATGAATACAGAAGTGTGTATTGCTGATACGTCGGTTGGTATCCCTCGTAATGGCAATATCGCAGGACTCTGGATTTCGGCCAAATGTCAAACCAAGCTGTGCTTGTTTAGGTCGGTTTGAGAAGCGGAAGGCCAGGTCCAGAGGAGCTTGTCCCCGTCTCGCAGCCTCATCTTCATCCACAATGAATGTCACATCTTCCGGAGGCTCTTCTTCCGGCAGATCTCGGTACTGCAGGCAGAATTGAGGCTTCGCTCGGGAGTGTTCTCGTGTGAGCTTGTATGCGGCCGGTGTCGATGGGTGGAGGATGCAGATGACATCCGATACATCCTCAGCATGCAGACCCGAGGCATTCAAGCCTAGTCGTCTCGGATCCACAAATTCCTGGGTCATTTGTGTGCATTGCGTGGACTGTTCGTCATCGAAGTCGTCGGTGGACACATTGCGCAGGTCCAGCGGATCGAGTCGAGGGTGGTTCATCGCAGCGGTGCCCGCACGAGGGGGCTCAGCAAAGGATCAAAGGGGGATGCACAATGGTGCAGGCGACGGAGGAAGCGTGAAGGTGTGAGGAGCCACAGGAGGAATTCACGAGGGCGAGGAGAAAGGCGGCAGGCAGTGGGTGTGTGCTAGATGTAGGTAGGTGTAGGCATCCAATGCCTGAAGAGTGAGCGATCGACCACGGGCTCGCAAGATTGGCAACGGCATCAATAGAGAGGTGAATCCGAATGGAGAAAAGAGTCGAAGTTGAAGATGGGCCGCGAAAGAAAATGTGACAGCAGCATATTGTCGTCGAGGGTCTTCCTGTAGGCAGCAAGAGCTAATGTACCTAACCGTTCAATGCGGAACGCGAAAGTTCCACGTTCCCAGCTCTTTGATTGGCCCGTCAAAAATCGCGAAACGACCCAGCAGACGATGACCTGTTTATGCATCTTGATCATTAGTTATTCCTTGGGTACATAGTGGGTGGTAGTACTACGACAGGTCTCTTTCATAGACCGTACCAGGACTATCAAGATACATGTATGTTCCACCAAGCAGAAGGTGCTGTACAGTGGTTCGGCGAGAAGAAGTCGAGAGTCTCCGACGCGGTCGAGCTGATGATACACGAAAAGTACCTATCTCCCAAACAGCCTACAGGTTACAGTCAACCGTCTGCAACCCGCGAGAGCTGGGCCGACACCAAAGCCAGTCGATTGCATCTGGATATGCTTGGCTGAAACGAGAGTGTACTGACAACATACCTACCTCCTCTCCTATAGGTACCCTACCCTACCTACATGTACCTACCGGTAGAAGTCAGGTACAGCCTTATAGGTACAGACAGGTACTGTACCTCCTACGAGTACCTCCTACCTCCTCGTGGGACCTCCAGTCCTGACTCGTGAGTTCAAAGCTCCCGATGTCCCCGCGACTCCCCGCGACCGGCCGACGTTCGTGCGAAAGGAAACCTCACATGGAGTGGGTGGGGGTGGGGGCTGGGCTGCCCTGTGGCTTGACCTTACCTAAGGTACCTTATTGTTCCTACCTTACCTTACCTACCTTACTAAGGTACCTACAGGTAGATGTGGTAGCTCGTCGGGGATGTCTTGGCACCCGCCGGCACGGTCGAAAGGATGCGACACACCACTTCCGACACGAGAGCGCCATGATTGAATCAACGATGCTTGGACTGTTAGAGCCGGAGCGCCCCCAGAGTGGGTCTCCACCACGACTCTTATACTACTACTTATCACTCCTACTCCTACGACAGCGAAAGGTACATGTATCCTCATTGCTGCCTGTCGCTACTACCTGTACCTACTACCAGTTACACTGTCTCGTGTGAGTGTACAAGCAGCTAACGCCTCTTCGATCACATGCAAGACTGACGACCTCGCCCAGCAAGACTGGTTGTGTTCTGCCAGCTATCGCATCCTCTCTGCACCTGCACCTGCATCTGCTTCCGTCCTTGACCTAGCCAACCTACTTCATTCTCTTCTCCTCGACCAGTAAAAGGCCATGGTGCCGCCGCCGCCAGAACCTCGAGACCTTCTGCCTCCACTTCTCGCATGTCTTCCAACAACATTCGTCTCCTCGCAACCTCCCCCCGCACTGTTACCACTGCTCGCGCCTATTCTCCGCCAACGAGTGAATTTCCTGTCCGGGAATACCACTGATGGCTGGTTGCCGTTGCTGTCATGGAACACGAGCTTGGGCGCGAAACTGCTCAAAACGGTGGAGCGGATGAATCTCGAACCACACCCCGTATCAGGAGAACTAGAGCTGGAAGATGTCAGGCCTGCCAGGTACAGGTCCCTGGATCGAGAGACGTTGCAAGCTCGGCTGGAGGTGGACCAATTTGACCTGCTGCCCATCTACGTGTGGTGTGAGAACGACGAGCACGGCTTGTCTGGGCCAGGATGGAGACTCGCAGAACTACGGACGCTTGACGATTCCGAAGACGGTTCACAATGGCTCGAATCTGCGGCCGAGGCTGGCGAAGTGGCTGCAAATGGCCATGTGCTACCAACGCATCCCGACGGCCGCACTGAGACTTTGGCCAGACAAATTGGGGACGATTCGAACGATGACTACTGGGCAGCATATGATAGGAGTCCTGGGCAAACGCCTGCGCGGACGCCGGCAAAATGCTCTCCAGCTCCGTTCGCAGCCAATGTCGCAGGAGGGTTCTCAAACCGAGAAGAGGAGGATTACTACGCGCGATATGGCGAGGAGGTGCAACCAGCAATGGACTCACACGACCCGGATGAAGAGTATGGCGAAGCAGCGGGGAGTACATTGAATGGCGATGCGCTGGCTGCCATTCACGCACCTGATCGCACCGACTCTGCCGATTATTATGCCTCCCTTCAACCACATGCGGATTGGAAAGCCAATAATGAGCAGCATGACTCTGCCGTCGCCACCGCGAACAAGCAAAGTCCTCACCAGAGCCACAATTCCCTTTCTATGCCTCGACCGATGTCGCCAACTTCATCGAATTCCAGCGTGGATCGATTGGAAGACAAGGCTGCAGAGATGGAATTGAGCTACGACCAAGCACAACTTGCGATCAAGCAGCATATAAGTACGGATATGAAGAGTCTATTTCGACTGGCAAAGGCGTCTGGAATGCAGCGCACAGAATTCGAGCGGATAGTTAGAAGGGAGCTAGACGTGCTTAGCATGCTTGATTCCGATGAGTGAGGCACGCGATCTTTGCGTACCTTCGCCCACATGATTGAACGATGGACAGAAAGTTGACGGCATGTTTAGCGAATACATTATACTCACAGGGAAGAGATTGGGCAGGGCAGCAAATACCTCTGTAGGACGTATCGCGCCACCTCTTGTAGTCCCTGCAACGTTTGTTAGATAAGGAAGGCTTGAGCAGGCGTCGGCAGTTATTACAACATCCCTTCGCTCCAGACCCTTGTCCTCCCGAGTACGGTATCGCCAGCACTAGGTACCTTAGGCACCAACAGTAGGTAAAACAGCACCGTCCACGGGTACCTCCCCTTCAATCACTTGCTCAGTATACATGTAATAATTGGTTGGCCGATGGCTTGGCCCCACTTTAATCAAGTTTGTTCCATCGCTCAAGGCTAAGCCTTTTGGCAAAAGCTTGACCGTGCTCGGCGCTCTCGGAAAGCACGGCAGTACCTGTGACGGGTGATATATGTCGATGCTCAGCTCCATACTATGTGCAAGCGAGTGATGGTGGCTCAGCACGGCGCAAGTGAAAGTGGCGTGGTAGAAGACGACGTGAATTGCGCCAATCAGATCCTGCTGCAGCCGGTGGTGGCAGTGGCCAGCCCACCACACCATTTGGAAGGTGGCGAAGCTCCGCCAGCTGAAGATTGGAAGAAGCTGGAACATAAGGTTCAGCGGTTGTCGTAATCGTACTAGGTTGTAGGAGGTAGCAGTTCCTCACCTCAAGAACTGGCTGGGCGCTCCATTTCTCGACTTCCCGCTTTCTTCACTCACATACCTTACTTCAGCCACAGCCCATCACCATCTTACTACCCTTTGCTGCTGCACACTTTTCCCACCATTTCGACCACCACCTGCGCAACACCGAGCAAATCTCGAATCAGCTCTCACCTTTTTTCTTTCTTGAAGCTCAAAAGTGAACCTGGACACGTAAACTACTCGCGAGCAACAGAAGCTCCCGTCCTTCGTCGCAACCCCAGACCGAGCTCGAGAAAGGCATCACACTCCTCCAAACGAACCTCGCGCTCCCGCTTTACACCTACCTACCTACATACCACACACAATGTCAGCTCAAGGCTACTATCAAGGCGGAGGTCAGCCCCAATACGGCCAACCGCAGTACCCTCCACAATCGTAGTAAGTCCACAACGATGTGATGGGGACCCTTTTGTCGCATTATATCACCTATGTTAACACTCTATTCTTTCATAGCGGTCAACCGCAGTACGGTGGTTACCAGCAAGGTCCACCTCCAATGCAGTACCAGCAAGGCTACCAACAGCAGGCGCCACCGCGACAAAAAAAGGATCGAGGTTGCTTGGGTGCGTGTCTCGCGACGCTGTGCTGCTGTTTTGTGTGTGAAGAGGGCTGCGAGTGTTGCGCCGACTGCTGCGAGTGCTGTATGGACTTCTGTTAGTTGGTCGTGTATCTTGAGATTGGGTCGCATTACGTGCACGATGTAGGATACATGTGATGGAAGGGACGCGACTGTGGAGATGGGTTGGTTGCGACGTTCTATCGGAACATGATGCTCAAATGGTAAACAACACAACATCTTTCCGGCACTTTTCATCATTCATCACTGCCGTTGCCACTGTTCCTTGCTCAAAATGCCTCCTAATAAGTTACCTTACGACATCGAAGTACCCTTCCGTCGCCCGCTCCGAGAAGCCTTTCACCATCTTGCGTGTGGCCTCGCCACTCACAGCTTCCAGGTGGTTGTGGTGTCAATACCAAGCGTGATCCCGGCTGACGGATGCCTTGGCAAGGAAAAATATCAGCCTTACGGGTGGAGCTGGTGTGGCGGTGATGTGGATGTTACTAAGGTAATGTGGAGCTCTTGGTGCTTGGCCGTTTCTCCGGTCGTCCTAGGAGGTAAGAGAGCGCATGTACCCGTGAAAATGCGTGTCGTTCCAAGGCCCCAGTACGGAGGGAGGTAGGTCCTCTCGCGGTGCGATCAAGGTCGGACCAGATAACTCCCGAGGGCTTTGTCAAACTTCTCTACACGGATCGGCATTTCCATACTGTAAAATGGATTCTTCATGACGAAGTCGCCATAGATCTCGTAACACCTTCGGACCACAAGATCCGTATTGGGCTGTTCGGGACTCGTAAAGAGCAGAAACTTGATACCGGTAGGGCTTTGGTAGCAAGTCAGTCTGAAATGACTGCTCTCCAGACTCTCAATTCCGGTCGTGAGTGGTCTTCTGTTTCCTGGTACGGCTGGCGCGGGCGGCGCGGGGTTGATGCTGCGCGAGATGGCATGAATGCCATGAAAGGTGCCGGCTAAGATGAGGTAGTCATTGGAGTCTAGCTTCTGCAATCCAGGAGCAAAAGTGCGATTGTAGACCAGGCCGCCTGTGCGGTGTTAAACGGTGCACAGGGCTGTCTGTTAGAGAGGGAGTGTGTGTACGCACCAGCTTTGTTGATGATCAGGAGCGCGAAGACAACCATATCGGCGACAGTGGAGACGGCGGAACAAACTGTAAGCTCTTCATATAGTGGGTCGAGGTGGATGAATCCGAATGGGTGTGGTCTCTCTCTTTCTCTTTCTCTGTCTCTCTATGGGTGCCATGTGAATGTGAGTGAGGCCCTAGGAGGGCAATCACGATCGACAGAAGATCTCCACTTTGGGCTTGGCTCCTCCAAGCTCTCTCCATCTCTGGGGACCTTACCTACATGTACCTACCTTCAAGGTACCTTAGGTACTTGACCTCCTCTCTCCTTCACTTTGTCCCACCACGACACGTGCTCAGGTACTGACCAGCAGTCACTGGCGCTTTTGGCTGACCATGAGCGGTCACCAGAAATCCCAGCCACGCTGAAACACACGCACCTACATCTGCAAAGCACCGCGTCGACCCCCACATCCGACGAGAAGTGCGAGGCCATGTCGAACTCGAATACCAATGGCGCCATTGCCCGGATCGCCAAGGAGATCGCGTCGGCGCAGAAAGGCAGCGACCTGTCGATTGCAGTGTCCTGTCGCGATAGCGACGTACGAAGCGTTCGCGCACTGATCATCGGACCGCCCGAGACGCCGTGAGTGGGAGTATCTGTTTTTCTGGCTACATCCACTGCGTGCTGTGGCTGACTCGTCGTCCAGGTACGAGTTTGGCTTCTTCGAATTCGACATGAAATTCACCAAGGAGTATCCCATCAAGGCTCCCACTGTGCGATGCCTCACGACTAACAGCGGTCGAACCCGCTTCAACCCCAACATTTACGCCGAGGGCAAAGTATGTCTGTCCATTCTGGGCACCTGGCGTGGGAATCCTGGAGAAGAATGGAGCGCAGCGCAGGGTTTGGAAAGCGTCTTGATCAGCATCCAGAGCCTCATGTCGAGTAACCCATACGAGAATGAGCCCGGGTACGAAAGCAATAAAAAGGAGGAGCCGCAGCCATCTGCGTACATTGCCAAGATTCGGCACGAGACGCTGAAAGTGTCCGTGTGCCAGCGCTTAGAGGCCTTGCTGCAGATACAGCCCGATAAGATCGAGCCCGCTCTGAAGAAGGTCAAGCTCAGTCCAACGGACGAGTCACCCGAGCCAGCCAAGTCGTCCTTTGCCGATGGCACGAACGGCTCGTCAACACCAGCTTCGGTCCATGAGTACGATGCTGAGGCGACATACAATGCATTGGATCAAGCCCAGTGGGATCCCTTCGCCGATCTCGTCAAGCGGAGGTTTTTGTGGTATTACGATGCGTACATTCGAGCCATCGACCTGTTCGGCGAGGCACAACCAGATGGTACAGCATTTAAAAGGATGGAATTCGAATACCCGCCAAATAGCATGGAAGGACATTTCGAGTACAAAAGTCTCAAGACTCGTATGGCCGCCATCCTCGCCCGACTGGACCAAGAAGCTCAGTCCTGGGAGCGTCTTGGCGCCCAACAAGTCATGTCGGCGACACAGCTGGCTACACAACTTGCTTTCCAGTTCAAGCAAATGGAGGACAAATGGAATGCAGGGTCATACAGTGGATGCCGCATGGAGATCAGCTTGCCGAACCCCAATAATCCATTCGTATGGCACCTGACATTGTTCGGCGAGCCAATGACCAACCTTGAGTGAGTATTGATTTACTGCGGTTCGTCGCCAGGGTCACTGACAAATCTCTGTTAGCGGCGGTATCTTCAACCTGGATGTATACATTCCTCCCGACTTCCCAACCACGCAGCCCCGGGTGAAGATTGCAACGCCCCTTTTCCACCACCGCGTGTCAAGCAATGGGCATCTCTGCTACTTCCCGGTCAAGGAGGACGAAATCGGCTCTCATCTAGACGCCATAGTAGCCGCTATCGAGGACAAGACAGCAAATTTCGATCCACGGGCCATGGTTAATCCCGAGAGCTTCGATCTGAAGTGGGGTGGAGAGGACAAGCGAAAGCAGTACAATCGCAAGTTGCGCCGCAGTGCACAAGAAAGCAGTGAGTTCTTGTGATGGTCTTCCACCAGGCCCTGGATATTGCGACAACGCACGAATCCAGACGGCCACCCAGCAGCGGCCCGTAGGCCGATGGACGGCTGACCGGTAGCTTTCTCGCAGGTCTCGAGTTGGACCCACGACAAGCCACCAAAACTGATCAGTGGATACTATCGACGATTCTGCAGCGATTGAAGCCTTCTTAGCGGAATGCAAAAAGGGGATGGTGGATGAGCACGTGACGATTTCAGGCGTTTCGGGCATACAACAGGACAGGACTCAGCATGATACCCACCAGATTTCTTTTCTAGCGAGGAGTTGTGGCACACTGGCTCCACATTGTTTGGACGCCCATGCGTGGTTTGTATCATAAGGTATAAAAGTTCGCCGTAGACCGGCCCCCCACAGCTGAAAATATCTACATGTAGTAGTCATGACCATGTTGTCGGTGTATCATCACCACCATCATCCTCCTCCTCCTCCTCCATCGCTGTCAGATGCCTCGGACCGTCTTCATCAGTACATGTAGTGTAGAGAAAAGTGTGTCGAACCAGTCCCGCGGAAAGCCTCCACTCCAAGTTTCGCTTTTGCTGTAGTTGACGTTCTGAACTTACGGCTATGTATTTGCCTGAGGCATACATGAGTGGATCCACTCGGAGCGCGTCTGCCTCGACGCGTACCTAGCTTTTGTTTGGACTCGGCAACATCTTCATCAACTCCATCCCACAACCGAACATGAGACGGAGGCGCACGAAGACGGAGGGTGTTCATCGACAACATGGTCGTGACGAAGGTGCTGTGCGTGGCTGAAAAGCCTTCCATCGCCAAAGCGGTGGCTACACATCTCGGCGGCGGACAATTCCAGACAGTGAGCACGGACAGCCTCATGGACAGCACGACGATATAGCCGTGACTCTCGCTGACTGCCATAGCACAGTATTGCGGGGAACCAGTATGTCAAGAATTACGAGTTTGGTTTCACCTTTCCCGGATGGGGACCCTGTGAGGTGACCATGACTTCCGTTCTGGGCCATTTGATGGAGCAGGATTTCTCTGCCGAGTACAAGAACTGGCGGTCTCGAGATCCATCTGCCCTCTTCGATGCCCCTATCGAGACCTTTGTGGCCGACAAGATGAAAGGCGTGGCCAAGAATATCGAAACCAAGGCTCGCTCTGCTCATTATCTGTACATATGGACCGACTGTGATCGCGAAGGCGAGCACATTGGTGCAGAGATCCGGGAGTGCGCGTTCAAGACCAACGCGCGACTCCGCAGTGCAGGTAAAGTCGTACGTGCGCGTTTCTCGAATGTGGAGCGCAACCATGTGATTGATGCAGCTCGACGCCCTGTCGCTCTCGACGAGGCACAAGCCAACGCAGTTTATGCTCGCACCGAACTTGACTTACGGATTGGTGCATGCTTCACACGCAGATTGACAATCTCATTGCAACCCATGCTGCCTGGGGCTGCTGAGGCCAAGAAGATCATCAGTTATGGAAGCTGCCAATTTCCCACTCTCGGCTTCGTGGTGGAACGATATATGCGCGTGAGAAACTTCGTCCCTGAGACATTCTGGTCGATCAAGGTCACGCATACGAAGGAAGATGCAAAAGTCAGCTTCAATTGGGCCCGCAAGCATCTGTTCGATCGCATGATTGCTGTCATTTTGTACGAGCAATGCATTCAGGCGAGACATGCGACTGTGACGAAGGTGCAGACTATGCCCACTTCGAAGTGGAGACCGCTGCCTTTGACGACTGTCGAGCTGCAGAAATGCAGCAGCCGCTTCCTTCGCATGGACAGTCAGCGCGTCATGGGCATCGCAGAAAGCCTGTATCAGAAAGGCTTCATCAGCTACCCTCGCACAGAGACCGATCAATTCGATCGGAACATGGATTTGCGGCAATTGATCCAGAACCAGGCTCAGAACCAATCACGATGGAGTCAACATGCACAAGGTCTGCTCAGCAATGGGTTTCAGTGGCCACGCGCTGGCCGGCATAACGACAAAGCCCATCCCCCCATTCACCCGGTGAATTTTCTAGGCCCATCCGCGCTCGATGCAGAATCACAGCGGGTCTACGAGTTCATCACCAGACGATTCCTAGCATGCTGCAGCGATGACGCCAAAGGCAGCAAGACCGAAATCACTATTGCGTATGGGCCAGAGACCTTCAGCGCATCGGGATTGACTGTCCTGGAACGTAATTACCTGGATGTATACCCTTACGATAAGTGGACGAGCAGTCAAGTTTTACCCGAATTTCGCGAAGGCGAAGTCTTCGTGCCCACGGAGGCCCTGCTTCATGAAGGCAAAACATCTCCACCTGGCTATCTTACAGAACCGGAATTAATCGCACTGATGGACACAAATGGAATTGGCACAGATGCAACGATGGCGGAACATATTGCCAAGATCAAAGAGCGCGAGTACGTGCAGACCAGACCTCGGGCTCGACAGCAACGTGACGTTGAAGACGCTGCATCTGACGAGGACAGTGACGGTGCGGCGCCTGTAGAACGTGGCCGGGGTCGTGGGAGAGGGAGAGGTCGCGGTGGTCGTGGCAGGGCAGGTCGTGGAGGCGCAAGTCGTCGAGTTGGCGGCAGCACTGCAGGCGTGGAAGAGTTCATTCCCACCACGCTGGGTGTCGCGCTGGTGGAGGGCTACGAAAGCATGGGTCACGAAATCAGCATGGCCAAGCCTTTCCTCCGCAAGCAGGTGAGTTCGATCTACTACTATGCCGGCTGCGTGGGTCCACTGACTCTGTTTCCAGATGGAACTCAAGATGAAAGCTATATGCGAGAGCCGCACCACCAAGAGCGCTGTAATTCACGAAATGGTGGAGCAGTACCGGGCCACATATACGCGAACAGTTCAAGGCATGAATCTCCTTCAGGCTGTAAGTCACTCGGGACAAAGTCATTGCAACAACACGTCCATGCTAACGTCAAGTGAAAGTCCGTCCGTCGATATGTGCAAGGCCTGCCACGCTGAGACATCGACTCCCGTCAATTTGCAGATTTGAGCGTGTCGAGGTTTTCTTGTGGCAGAGACGTTGACGCATTGTACCGCGTCGGGACCATGTGTCGGTCGACTCTGGGCGCGTTGTGTTCGGACCGCACGGTTGGCCATCACGGCCCTCTCACACTCTCTCTCCCTTGTGAGGCGACGAGTGTACGACTGTGATATCCCCAGACACATGAAAACAGAAATAGTTCAAATGAATAAATTGCCACTACTTGATTCGATGCGCTGCCTGGGCAGCCACGGATGGCGGAATAGCGAACCTTTGAATCAGGCGCGCGCACAATTTGCACTGATTAGAGTACCGAAGTCCATCTTCGAAGTTGCATGGACCTCACTTTATCGTGGTCCAAGTGACTGTGGGCCATTTTGTGCTTCTATACCTTACTCATGCCTCAGGCTAGCCGGGTAAAATGCTCATCCCCCCACCAGCAGCTCATACTGTACATTACTTGACACCGCCTCCTACATACTGTGCGTGAAGATAAATACAGTAGTACCTCACATTTTCTGTCTTCGCAGTGAGGATCCTCCGCATTACATTACGATGGCTCCCAGTCAAGCCCAATTGGATCACGTCGTTCTCCTGCTGCCATATCAGGACATTCTGCACCCTCCGACATGGCTGACCGACCACTTCGTCATCAGCGAGGGAGGCCGACATTCCGATGGCAAGACGGAGAACAAATTGATCCTTTTTGCGGATGGCTCATATCTCGAATTGATCGCGTTTGTCAATGATGATCCCCAGCACCGAGCAAACCACTGGTGGGATAAGCCGTTTGGAGTCGTCGACTATGCCCTGACGACGACATCGGATGATGGCTTTGGCACTCTCAAAGATGTCCGAGAGCGGCTGGCCAAGACGAATACGGGCATCTCGTACACCGAGCCACAGGAGGGCGGTCGCTTGAAGCCGGATGGTACCAAGCTGGAATGGTTCGTAGTTGCCCCCTTCTGGAACAGAAAGAAGAAAAAAAAAAGAAATTACGACACGCTGACACCCCAGTGCCTTGATGACCATCAGGAGAGTGACCTTCCCCACCGGGACAACACGAGGGAGCGTTCCCTTCTGGTGCCACGATCGGACTCCTCGCGAACGACGGGTGCCCATCTCAGGCAGCAGCAGCAGCAGCAGCAACAGTGCCACCCATCATCCATGTCAGGCGACTGGCATCCAAGCAGTCGTACTTGATGTTTCTGCATCTTCTTCCTCCTTTGAACGTCTCACAAACGCCACCGCGGCGATTTTGGGCTACGATGATGATGATGATTTGAGTAGTAGTGGTGGTGGTAGTAGTGGTAGTAGGAGTAGCGAGAGATACCACCACCACCAGTACGAGGTCAATGCGGTCTATCCAATTGCCGATGCGAAACCTCCGAGTATCAGAATGGTACAGAAGGCCAACAACAACAACAACAACAAGAACAACAAGAACAACAACGACGATGACGACCATGGTGAGCGGGCCGATTCATTATCCGTGGTCTTCCACACTCCTATGAAGCTACCACCCATTCACCGCAAAATCGGCGAGAGTGGTACAGTATCCCTTTTGTTCGAAGGCTAGGTAGCTAGGTAGAGCGACAGTCGTTCTATGAATAAGAGAGAGAGAGAGAAAGACAAAAGCCGGGTAGTATAGGGTCTAACTCTACCTATTACGTTGCTACTACTACTATACATACCTCCTATACTACGTTGTTGTCGCCAATCTGGGAAAGAGAAAGAGAGAGAGAGAGAGGAGGGAGAAAGAAGAAAAAAACCAGGTGTCACCAGGTACATCTATCGGTAGGTACCTGGTACTGTACTGCACTGTACTGTACCGATCCGAGACAGATCTGACCCTCTTGTCTTTGTGTCTGTGTAACACAAAAATATCGATCGGATGGATCCACTTTTGGCAGCTGTCATGTGCACCGCCAGAGTGGTGACTTAGTACCTTAGGAGGTAGGTACTGTACCTTACATGCACCTGATGCAAGATCATCGTGTCAGCCGGAGGGTGCGAGGGAGGGACAAGACCGCGACTTCCTTGCACCGTGAAAAGGATAATAAAAGTGGAACACAGTTTTTTTTTCTCTCCTCCCGAAAATCTTGGTGTGACTCGGGGAATTGTGCGACATGTCTGTACTCTCTCTCTCACACACACACACACTCACACACACACCAATTTTCACATCAAAAAAGATTGCTTGTGCAATCAAGGCGCACTGTCAGTAGTGAGACAAAAAGGCCTGAAAAGGTCGGCCTCGTTCAGATGGGTGCAAAGTGTGACGCAAAGTGTAGTCTTTGCATTAAATCAACTAAAAGAGCTGCAGTGTTGGGTATCTGTTGCAATTACAAAAAACCCGCTCAAGGCCATCCGTGGTTGTAAATCCAGTCCGAAACAGTAGTCGTGGTCGGTTGTCACCCGATCCAAAAACAAACAAAAAAAAAGCAAGCCCAGGTGTGTACAGACAGCCAAGCAGTGCCTCCTGTCCTGTCACGCTCGCTGCTCGTAGTCTCTTCCGTAGCAAGAGTGAATCTAAACAGCTGCCACCAACGCCTTTGTCCCATGCAGATAATAGTATACAGTTTCTTTTGTCCATGGCGGATTGCTCCGCACTAACCTCTAAACCAGAGACCGGTCGCCCATAGTGTTTCCACTCATACCCGTCTATTCAAACGCCATGTGAAGTCTCCAGTGATCCGTGAGCAGCAGTGTCGTGTGTCTGCGTGTGTGTAGAAGTGTAGGTGTGTGTGTGTGTGTGTGGTTGTGTGTGCGTGTTGGTGTTGTGTGTGAGTGAGTGTGTTTGCGCGCGTGTGTGTGGAGATATTATTGTAGTGGCACCGTGCAGTGCGCGAGTCGGATGTGGATGTGGCAGTCCATGGACCAGAAAACAAGTGCTAGGCAATACAAGGAACGCTCAAGTGGGTATTATGCTCGAATTCGAAAACAGAGGTGTTGTTGGCAGTTTGGGCAGTAGAGTGTGGTGATGTGGCCGGCCACTACTGGAAAGTCGATTATGAAGGTGGGTCTCCCAGCTGCAGGCTAGCTGCAACGTAAATTGGGAGCTTGGGTAGAATCCAGAAGAAGAAGGAGAGTTCGAAACGCGCGACTCGCTCTTCACCCGTCGCAGCGCCACGGACTGTTTCGCCATGAGGCTGTTTCATCGGGAGGTCCGTTCCGCCAGTCGGCTCCGGAGACCAAGCGGGAGCGAAGGGGTGAGAGGAAGAGAGGAAGCGAGATTGTGTGTGTGTGTGAGAGAGAGAGAGTGAGAGAGAGAAAGAGAGGACGGGTAGGAGGGAGATAGAGAGTCGGGAGCGAGCGGAGTGCTATCGTCTCTTCGGTTGCGGCGGTGGCTTTGGCTTGGGTGTGCTGTGTACAAGAAGTCAGTCGCTTGTACTTGCTGTGTGCTGGCAACTGCTGCTGCTGCTACTGCTGCTGCGATGGCAAGCGCGAGGGTGCGGGTGAGGGCAAGGGCAAGGGCAAGGGCAAGGGCAAGGGCGAGGGGCGCGAGTGCAATGTTCGGTGAGCGAAAAGTGCCATCAAGCAGGCAGGCAAGCTTACCCTGTCGTGTCGTATGCTCCGCGGCCCATGTTGAAGTCGTCGGTGGTGGTCCTGAGAATCATGGAGTTGGTGTGTCTGGCCACCAAGAAGCAGTCAGCAACAGTTGGGCAGAGGCTGGACTTTATATACCGCAGATGGATATCCACTGCGGCGTGGCACAAGGGACTTACATGGCTCGCAAGGGAGCGAGAAAGGGACCGGGAGAGGTAGAGTCGTGGTACAAGCGACCAGTCGGACCCAGAACAGCGCAGCGCAGAAGAGGCGCGAAAAGGTGAACGGAGGGCTCGCTGACGAGGTAGGGTGTGTCAAGGGCACAGCGAATGCGAGCAACGTGTGCTGGCTGGAATGCTGGCGCTCTGATGCGCGCGACACGTAGGAGTGGGAGTCTGCGTGAACGATGTACAGCGCTCGCTGCTGGTCTCTTCGGCAGCGGATGCTGGAGGCGAGTGCGCTGGACGGGCGGCGACAATAGTTTCGCGCGTGCGTGTGTGTGTATGTGTGTATGTGTGCGTGTGTGTGTGTGTGTGTGGTGTGTGGTGTGTGTATGTGTGTGTTGGTGCGTGGGAGCAGTGAAGGCGAGGTACGCAAGGCAAGGCAAGGCGAGAAGGACAGTTATAGAGGAAGAAGCAGAAGCAGGTCAAGAAAAAAAAAAGAGGATAGTGAAGGTGTGAGATAAGTTAATAATTAATTCTGCTGGCAAACTGATGAGCTGGTCGACCAACGACAAGGAACGCGGTGCCGGGGAGAATCCATACAAGAGAGCAAAAAAAGGGTGACGGATGAGATTGTCGTTCATCGTCTCATGACGCACGGTGGTTTTGGGCTGTTTGCAACTCTCTTCCGCGAAACATTAGTTCCCTGCCCTTCCCTGACCTCGCTTCCCTGTCGCCGTGCTGTTTCGACTATTTCGCTGCTGCTGCTGCTGCGGTTGCGACTAAGGCACTGCAGATCGCTGGGCTCATCCCTGACCTCCCTAACGGTCCGCGCTGTTGCTTCTTTGCGTACCTGCAGTAGTCCGTATGCACGGGAGCATGTAGCGTAGCCGATCCATGATGCGACAGACAGCCTGAACCTGCCGTCCGCTCGGGGAAGACGGGCAACCGGCTGTCTCTGCCCTGTCCCTCCGCCCGCCATCGTATCCATCTGTCGCTTGCTGCGCCGTGCCATTGCTGTCGCGGTTGTTATTGCGGTTGCTGTTGCGCTTGCTGCTACGGTCGCTTGTCGCTGCGCACGGAACCATTGCTGCATGGGCCTGATCATTGAGGTGTGCCATCCCCCCCCCCCCTCCCCTGCGGGGGTCGATGCGAAGCAGCCAGTGTCAGAATCAACGGACTTTTGGCGCGACGCACTACACCAAAGGTAGAATGCTTCTAGCGCTCCGGCGGAGTGACAGAGCCGAATATGTCCCCTCGATGCTAGTCGAGCTTACCACTAGACCGGGACTCAGGCTAGCTTCCGGCAAACGGGGCGTCTGGCCGGCTGACTGGCTGGCTCAGGCTGGGAGCCTGGCCTGGCTGCCCCCGAGGTACCACGAGAGAAGTACACATTGTACCTATACTGCAGCATCCATCGTGCACTGCGACCAGCGCCTCACGGAAGCATCGTCGACTGTGATGGGATGGCTGTCTGCGGATTGGGTGGTCTCGCCTCACCAGAGGGATACGCGGTGCCGCCAGAACGATCAGCAGCCGGCCCACCGCCCTTCACTTCAGCCCTTCAGCCCTCCAGGCTCCAGGCCCCTGCGTAACGCTAACAGTGAGTGCCGACGTGCTAGCAAGCTCGATTTAGGTGGTGGGTGGATTGGGTTGTGGGATTGGAATTTGGGTGCAAGTCCGGCTGGCTGGCTCTCTGATCGCACCCTGGAACCATGGCAATCTCACCATATACGATGTGTCTTGGAGAGAAATCACAATGTCTCTCTGTCCAGTGTCCACAGTGTCCACAGTGTCCTGTGCCCACTGTGCCAGAGAGTACCTATTTTACCGAGTGTGGTCCTTGCGCGCGAGTACATGAGGCCGCATGGGAACCGGTTCGCTCCCGCCGTGAAGTGATGATGGGTGCGACTGTGGCCACTGGCCAGCAGGCCCAGCGACATGCCTTGTTGCTGGTGTGCATGGTGTGTCGCTGTTCCGTTTGCATACGGAGCTGCAGGTGTTCGCATGCGCATTGAAAGAGCCGATGCAAGATTGATTGTCCGGAACGCCCTTCCGCCCCAGCGATTGCTGGTGACATTTTGCAAACCGACAGGTCCTGATCGCCACGTCGCACCATAGCATGTTTTCACCCCCCGACAACTCTTGTCGCGCTAGGCTGACTCGATTTGCTCGGGAGCCCGATTTGTACGGTCGGCAGGCAAATCCTGTATCAGCGGATTGCCATTCCGAACGTGGTGACCTACATACCAAGAGGGTACCTTATTCATCATGACCGTACATGTACATGTACTCTACAGGTCGCACACACGACCTGATCTTCTGCCAATAATTACTGGTCGCTTTGACAGATCGTTCCGACGATTTGGATGCATTTTGTGACCAGTGTCCCGTTCAGTCCAGTCCAATCCATTACGACAGCATGCCATCATGTACTGTAACCACCTTGCCTCCCTACATGTCGGTACCACTGTGGGTGCCGTCTCACCTTCCCGAAGTTCCCATGATATTGAGCATCCCGGCTTCAGCTATAGGGCGCTCGGGAGACCTGTCCCAGCATGCCCTGTTCCACGAACAAACTTTTGCACCATCTTCGATGGGCAGCGTTGTCAGCATGGATAATGCTATGATGAATCACGGACAGCTGCATTACAACACGTGTCTGTGTGTGTATGTGTTGGGTGTGTTTCTGCAAAAATAACCTCATCATGTCGGCGATGTGCAACACGCAAACGGAGATCTCGTAGCAATCTACCTCCCGTCACTTCTCCTGGATGCGACTCGATACGAGGCAGACCAGTGTCACCAGAGCCGCCTGCGTTGGCTTCCCGATGCGGCTCACCTCGTCATACCATTCCTGTCAATTAAGGTACCACGGCCAAATCGCACTGTAGTACCAACATTCCCAGTCTAGACGACCAAGCCAAGAATCTTCACGCCAAGTGTCACTTCGCTATGCATGGGCAAAAAAAGACACTCAGTATATTCCTGGTACTCGGATTCTCCATCTCCTCCGCTGTGGCCCTCATGTTGTTGTTGTTAGTAGTTGTTGATATTATTGTGTACCTGATGCATCTGTCGTGCGGGTTTGATGAGGCACTTTTTTCTTGCTTTCTTTTTCTTTCTTTCGCCGTTATCTTCGGGCCTGAAGCCTGTCTTTTTTTTTCTCCGCCACAACTTGTTGAGCGCGCACAGGAAGATGGGCCCAACCTCCCAGCCAGGGATACCTCTGGAACGTACAACGTAGGGAGGGAGGTTTCCAACAAGCCGAACAAAGCAATGGACAGCGTTGACGCCGGCTTTCCTACGGCCCGAATCATGACCGCTGCTGCGCGCCGAAAGCTTGTCGAGTCGAGCTTATTACCAGAATCATATTGATAAGCGTCTACCCATTGTGGCCGGAGGAGCGATAATAATATGAGAGGGAGGCTTTCCCATGCTCGAGCAAGTTGCGTCTCACGTTGCGCGTCAGGCAACGCTTCATCGCCAGCCAGGCCAGGCCCCCTCATGTGTTGTTCCTGCAGCTCCGACAACACTCAACAAGGCCACGGGCGCTGGTCCACGGATGTTGTCAACTCGTTCCGCATATGGACCGGGTCACCCTCTTGCAGTTGCGCACGCGACAACTTCAGACCTACCACAAACACGCTGCTCGTATACGAGGGCTGCCTGCATGGCATCAACTCCCGGAGCAGGTTGCAGGTATTGTCCAAAAAAAAAGTGCCCAACTATATACATGCAACGAAGGGGCTTCCATGGAAGATACATTGTCATCTTGCTCGTCGTACTCGTTGGGACGTATCCGCCTGGACTTTTTGCCCAGTTCAGGCATGGCCCTATTCAGCCTGCTCAGACGCTTGCGAAGCAGCAGTGGTCGAGGGGAGGGCCGAGGGCTTTGCTCACGAGCCTCGATGTACCGATATCATAGGTACATAGTGCCATCAGCACCTGATATGATTGCACCTGCACCTGGAGCGTGGGCGGTGTCTCCTTCACGCGGGATTTCCCATGGGGCACGGCGATATCAGTCGTACCAGACCAGAGCCTCTTTTTACCTCCTAGCACTCGCTCGGAGGCTGGTCGGTGATAGGCTCCGACTCCGAGCCTCCGACTTGCCAGAGTGTCAAGCTACCGCCACCGGAGTGCAGTCCGGCCCCAGTCCTCTCCTGGAACTGAAACGAGTGTCCGCGTTGCGCAATTGACTTTCTGTGCCATGGCATTGGGACAGGATCGTCGTGGCTGTTTTTTCTTGACTTCCGTCGCTAGCTCGTCATCTCGCGACAGTCGAACATGGTAATAATAAATAACAACATGTCTCACCCAGGTGGAGCCTCCTGTCGTGGCGGACGGAGCCGGTTGCAGTACTCGCGTACGGTATATACGGTGAGATAGGTAGGCAGGTACCTTACCTACCTTACCTATGTACCTTAGGTTGTATGTTCATATACTTCCCGAAGCACAGCGGGAACATGAAGGTTCAGATGACCCGACTGTTCCGGACAGTGGACTGATTGGTTTCCATTTCGCATCGACATGACTGCCCTTGATCGAAAGGTGCGCCCGTGCTATCTCTCTCATGTTTGTTTCAATAGCCAAGCCGGCCCGAGCAGCGACTTTGCGTTCACGATAGGAGGAGGACGAGGAAATGGGAACCCGGGTTGACCAGGCGTATCACATTGCGAACGCCTGTATACAAGTATGATATGACGCCAATGAAAGGATCTAGGTTCCGCAGTAAGGCCTCCGATACAAATTTTCAACAACTCGTTGTCCTACACTACAAAACGAAGAGTCCGAGTATCCGTGCGAAAGTGAGGCAGAAATTTGGAAACAATGATCTATTGTTCTGATTGTTCTGATTATTCATCACTACTGTCTCTGTCTCTCTCTGTGTGTGTGTGTGTGTTCGTTCCTCTGCTGCACAAGGAGAACAACGGGAGAGAGAGATAGGGAGAGAGAGAGAAAGAGAAGTGAAATGACCTGTATCCATGCCCGGACAAGGAGCCCACCTCTTCCTGACCCCCTGGCGACAGCGGACGACTTCCAAGGGTTTCCCTGCAGCCGTGGCCTGTCTGGCCCTCAGCCTACATAAAGCACTTAATATTCTCCTCATCCACGAATTCGCAACATCTGTGCTCCAAGGCGACCACGACGACGATGACGACGACGACGACGACGACGACGACGATGATGATGTGCTATTGATAGCAGTGACAGAACACCACTACTAGTACATACTGTTGACCTTGCATCGCGACTGACACTTTTGCCGCAATATGCCAAGGCCATTCATATTCCGACATCGGTACCTAAGGTATGATAGGAGGTACATGTACCTTGGCCCGCGGACGAGATCAGTCCACCAGACGAGACGTGACAAGACCGCCTCAGTTTCCACGGACGACTAGTCCCTTGTGCAAATCATCACACATTAATCGTTGCTCATCACCACCCCAGCCACGCTGATCTTCTGCAGGGCAGGCAGGGGCAAAGAGGCAAGCATTCAATCCAAACAATACGAGAACCCATTCGTAGATGTGGTGGGTCATTAATCGCCAGTTGATTGATTGATTGATTGATTGATTGATTGATGACGACGACGATTGATGATGATGATGATGACTTGGGAAGGAAATCCACCCTCTTTCGCACGTCCGGCAGGTTGGCACCAAACATCGTGCCAGGACACTGGGTCTTGGACTTCTCGGATGGTAGGCTGTTATCTGGGCAGATTTGCCCTTGGCAATGCACGAGAAGAAGACCTCCTGTTGAGGAGGGAGGCGGGGGAACAAAGTGTTCGCAACTGAACGGAGGTGGGGGCATGTCGTTCGTCACCGAGAAGCCTGATGGCTTTTCGAGTGAGACGGTGACAGCTACATCTGTATGGCGATAAGCTACCTAGGTAGATAGGTAGATAGGTAGGTAGGGTAGGTAGGGTAGGTAGGGTAGGTACTTTACCGTACTTATGCCCCCGTCGCATATGTAGGTCGGGTGGAAGCATGTCTTGTTCCATGGGTGCCAAACAAGTAGGTAGTTGGTGCAAGAGTAAGGGTAGGTACCGTAGGTACATAAAGTGTTGGGCTTCACGAGCCGAATATGTGCAAAGATCCCATTTTGGAACCACACCAGCATAACAAGTCATGCGAACCGGGAGGGTTTGCTTGCTTTGGCTAGATTGTGATTCTTGGCTGCTGCTTGCTGGAAGCACTTTATGCTCCTTCTCGACTCCACGCTAGTAACGCGTCAAATGTTGTTGCCCTTGGCTTTGAGAAGTAGACACAAGCAATATAGGTGGCGAGGACGGGACTATCGATGAGGTGTCCGATTGGGGTTACAGTACATACTTGAGCTTAAGGAAGCACGGCGGGGACAAACAAACTGGAAGCATGTCAAGCTCACGTCGTTCAGCTAGCGGAGGAGAGTATACAGACAGCGGACACAGAAAGTCCAAGGCCTACCACGTGCTTGCAATCGTTCCTCATAGGATATATTTGATCTTGTCGCACTCAACGCGACTTGTTACCGACTGACGCAAGCGTATCAGCGTTTCCGAATCTTCTCAGACTCTACTATAATGCTAAAGACGAAAGTAAAACATCCTACTATCCTACGCCCTCATATCCTTTGTTGCCGAGAACGCGAGCACAGTCTCCGCCAGCATCGCTACAGAAATGGCCTCGTCCAACATCTTTGATAGTAGATGCGACAATCATATCACATTTGCAAACAAGAGATAGCGGGTCAATCGCGCTGCAAACAGTCAGTACTAAGGGTCAGCCAACTATGTTCCAACAGCTTGCTAGGCTTACACGTACAACATGAGCCTGTAAGAATTCGATGATTCTTGTTGAATCATATCTTCACCGTCCTTAGCGACTAATGGTCCAATACGTTCGAAAAACCGCCTTTCGAACCACGTAGGAAAGAATCCAGCGTACTCCCAGTAAAGTATAGCAGAAATCTTCAGTAATACCGGGTCTACTACAACGTTATGTTGCGAGAGGTCGTTGTGGTAGAAGACGTATTCCTTACGAACGGATTGCTGAAGACTCCAGTCGTCTCCTAAGGTTGCAAGTGTTGCTCGATAGATAGGGTAAAATAACGATGCTACTAGGTCTAGGTACCTATTCTCGAGGACCGTAAACCTTGCAGCGTTTCCAGGTGTTGTTCTAGCTCCGCTTTGACGATCTTTCGTTGCGCATCGTCGAGTTCGTTTATACCGACGCCGTCGACGTACTCTATAACTAGAACGACGGCTTGATCGTCTTCGAAGTAGGAGTACAACTTGGGGACGGGAATATTCGTATGTTAGCGAACGTAGGCTAGTGCCGCCGCCTCGTTAAGGAGCCGTTCGTTGCCCAGCCTAGGAACATGAATTGTTCCTTTGATGTGACTGACTTGCCATTCGAAAGGTCGAAGGGAGCGCTTCACAAAGCTGTTTCCTGGATGAAAGCACTTCCTCTCAGACGTGATGGCTATGCATGTCTCCTCGCGGTGTTGATTTGCGACGTTGTTGGTAATTGGCATTATTCTGGAAAACTTGTAAAAGAAGCAAAAGAAGAAGTGCAAGCCTGCAACGCTGCAAGGCATTGATTGACAGCCCGGATGGGGCAGACCCCATTCTGAGTCATCAAGTACTTGACCGTATACTCACGATATGTACCTACCTAATTATGTACTACCTTAGGTACCTACCACGCTTCACCTGGGTACAACAAGGTACCTAAGGTACATATGTATCAGGCAGCTTCCATCACTTTAGAGACGCCCTGCCTGGAGGAGCAGCAGTCGTGGAGGTAAGGTGAAGAGCAGAGGAAGGAGGGGTACCCGGGTACCTATGCCCGAGTTGATTATATGACGTTATAAAGAGAAAAGACTTCCTCCACTAAAAGTGTTGATTAGATCCGGCTACTGCAATACCATACCACCCACCTTGCAGGTTCTACCCAGGCTTGTCGCTTGTCCACCTCGACACTGTTAACGACATTACATCCTTTGTACTGGCCATGCACGAGTCGCCGCCACGGCCACTGCAACACGACCACGACTTTCCCTCCATCAGCAACCCCTCCACCACCACCACCACCACCACCGCCACCACCATCACGAGCAACACCACCATTGCCCCCGCCTACACATACCACGCATTGCCGCCCGACTACCGCGACGACCCAGACTCACAGGCCCACTCCCATTCCCACTCCCACTCGCGCAGCTCGCACACCGGGTCGTCATCGCCTGTGGCGCCTGCCTACAGTCCCATCACGCCCAAGGTCCAGCCCGTGCTCCCGGCCTGCACTGCGCCGCCGCTCGTATCGCCTGAAGAACATCATGACCCTCACATGCCCAGAGACGCTCCCTCACTCCTGCCGCCAGCAGCGTCTCGCATACCTCCGGCGAACTACATACCCCAGCCGCCGAGTCTCCCGTTCTCAAGCGACGACGCTGGCGATGCGATAGCCTTGCGTGCAGCTATATCTACATTGCAGTTCCAAAAGAAGAAGGCGCAGCACGATATCCATACACTAGTCACTATCAAGCAGCGCGCCCTCGACCAACCAGAGACGTTCAAGGACGAGTTAGCCGCTGGCCGGCTGCGTGAACAGAGGCCTAGCTTGGGCGATTTGCGTGCGATCCTGGACAATATCGAGGACGATGACCTGGACGACGAGGTCACCTTAGGCGCCACGCGAGATGCGCAAAGCGAGAACTCTTTGCCAGCGGAGACACCAGACTCGGAGCCTTCGCAGCTCGCACCTCCAAAGATCAAGGCGGAGTCGGAGCATGAAGTCCAGAAGCACTTCCCCAGGATACCTGGTCCGCAGACTGTAGTGCGGATGCCACATGTCAATTGGGCCAAGTATGGCATTGCTGGCGAGCCGCTGGACGCTTTACACGAGCAGCAACGACGTTGGCCGGGCGCGTTCGGGCACGGTGACAGGGGAAGGGAGTATGCTATTGCTGCCCCGTACAGTCCTTTTATGGATGCAGTGGAAGGCCAGCAAGTGAACGACACAGACGTTTCACGGAAAGATTCCGGTCCGGCACCGAGTCTCACGGGGACAATCAGCGAGCATATTATGGAGACCAGAAGCAGAAATTGACACACGACTAACGCATCAAAAGCAGCTAGATATGATTAATGGATCGGGAGGTAGCCCAGACAAGATATGCATCTGCTCTCTTGCCACATTTTGGTCTGCGTCTTTTCCAGGTCCTGTCATCTGTCCATATTCCATTACACATCACCCAAGTAGACAGTGGAAGCACAGAGCAGCGGCAAAAAAGTAATGTTACACTGGTCAGTCGTCCTGTCTTGCTAACTAGCCTGCTGTCTCTGCGAGTCCCAACGCCCGCTGAACTACCAAAAACCACCTTTGATGGTCAGACCCAATCGACCACGCTGTCGTCCTGGGCGCTTTCAACACCATGCCCCTTTTACTTGGCAAAGTGAAAGTCATAATTCAACCACTTCCTTGCAAGAACCTGTGAAACCTCCAACCCTGGCGTTCCATACGTCAATGGGCTAAAGAACCAGAAGCTCCAGATGAGCGACGCGACGATCACGCCACTGGCAGCCCACGTGCCGATCAATGTCTGACCAGCAATGCGCTCACGAATCGGCTTGCTGCGCTGAGCTGCTTGTGCTTTATTGCCCTTTTTGCCGTCCACGATGGGGTTGCCAGAGCCAATATTTGGAATCTCTTGGGGCTCAATGTTGAAGATGAACTCTACAATTGCGCCGGCGACTAAACAAGACGCCAAGTGAGCTGGTAAATAGTGGTGGAGGAAGAGTTGACGGCCCATGATGAAAAAGGGGAGATAGTGGGCTGCCCACAACAGGAAGAAGAATCCTGTGCTGTTGTACAGTCGGGAACGCGAGCCTGTGAGCCGGTTAGTCATGGAGGCCGAGCGTTGCTATGCTATCGGCATTGCTAACTTACGTGTGTCGAGTGCATCCACGCCGCGACGAACAGATATTTGATCGGCGAAGATGATCCCTGCGAACACAGCCAGAAGAGCGGAAGAGAACCACCAGCCGATCGGATTGCCCATGAAGTAGATCTGCGACTTCGTGGTTGACTCGGTCCAGAAGCTGACACCACGGAGGAGGAAAGGCCACTGGATGGGTTGCGACGCGTACGGGTGGGACGACGTCAAGGCGTTATTGTGATAGAACATTGCACGCTGGAGCTCTAGGTACTTCTTCATGAAAGGCATGCTCTTCGGCTTTCGTACCTCGCGAACATTGCGAGGAGAGTCAGCCGGGATGCCTTGAATATCCTCCACATACCATGTGTTGGAAGTCTGTAGTGCGTTCTTATTCCCGTTAATTTCGGCCTGCTTGTAAGCCCATTCGGGAAGAGGTGTGGTGTGAGTCCACATAGCTACTTTGGTGGGCACATGTATGAGCTTGAAGTGTGAAGAAAGTGTCTTGAACTCCTGACCGGCCTTGCCGTTGTCAATTCTAATCTCGAATAGAGTGTCGTTGAAACGCGCGCCATTGGCTTGTTCGAGTGAGACTGTAGTAAATTCTTGGTTGGTGGGGTGATATGGTGAAGCAACATCGTGCGTCAAGAGCCAGGAGTCTGTAACGAGGTGTCGTAGGCGGACAATGTCGTTGTTCTTGACGTGATGTCCTAAGCCCTCAAGTGGTTCGGCTGGGATAATTTGCCAAAGGTTATTCGTATCGTTGTGTGGGTAGCCAGTGACTTGCTGACCCTGAGACGAAACACGCCCGTCCTCATATCGCAGTGGGTACTTGTCGAAGTGCGAGTGGAGATATACCTTGGTGTCCTTGTGGCGCATGGATATGGCATCAAAGTAGTCGATTCCCACAGCCTTCTGCGCCATCAAATTGTCAGAAAGAGTTTCTTGAAACTCTGGTGTCATGAAATCGTCGCCCGGTCCAGAGCGCGAGAGAATGGCAAAATGGACTTGGAACCAGAACAAGTACATCAGGAAAGGGACTACGACCAGTCCAATGACACGCGCGGCGAAGTGTTTGCCAAAATCTGGCAGGCTGAGAGCGCCCCTCTTGCGATTGACGTCTAACAACTCCCAGAGGTCGATCATCACTGGCACGCCAATGGAGAAGAAGGTAAAGGCTCCGACATATTTGGTGCTGATCACGCAGCTCATGCAGACACCACTCAGGAGCAGCCACTTCCACCACTTTCTGCCAAAGGGGGCATGACGCAATTTGTAGAAGCGAATATAGCACAGTACACTCAATGCCATGAACAGCACCAGGGTGGCGTCCAACAGAATGAGTCGCGTCTGGCCCACATGTGCGTTATCGAACAGCACAAGCGAAGCCGCGAGTATGCAAGCAGGCAGGCTGTACCCGGATTCCCACATGATCAGATATGTGACTGAGACCGTCAGAGCCCCCATCAGGGCCGGCATTGCGCGGTATGCGACGTAGGGGACGTGATTGTCGATGTAGGAGTCGCCGATATTCTCGAAGAGGAAGCTGCCGTCGTAGCCCACGAGCCAGCCGGCGAAGGCGAAAAGCAGCTTGCCGAAGGGGGGGTGGACGTCGAAGAAGTAGCTTCGTTGGAGATAGTAGCTTGCGAACTAGGCGTCCAGATCAGTATGCTCTATGTAGATGACCTCGATGCGTGCAGCAACATCATGCACATCATCCTGGGCGCAGCAGGTCCAGCTCCACGTACCTTGCCAAAGTGGACTTCGTCAAACACGACCTGGTCGGGGTGGCTGATGCCCCAAAAGCGGGTGAGGAAGCCCAACAGTGTGATGATGGCAAAGGCAACGCTGTGGTCCCAGTCGCTCTTCTTCGCGTGCTTGAGCTGGCCCGTCACGCCCGCCCATGGTTCCTCCGCCGTCTTTCCATTGAGCAGCGCGGCGGAGTCTGTGATCGGCGTCTGCGGTCGTTTGGCGTCTTTAGGTCCGCGCAGGCGGACCTGCTGTGCTTGAGACATGCGGCGTTGCGAGCACTGCAGCGCCGCAGTGGGTGCAAAGAGAGTGGGTGCAGGAAGAGAAGGAGAAGAGAGAAGAGTAGGAAAGAATGGAAGAAAGGACAGAAGACAAGAAGACAGGGCGGGCGAAGAAAGGAGGATTGTCGAGTATGCAGACAGCTGTACGTTTTACCGTATTACCAAAAGCTCGCGCACTGCAGGTGCTCCACAGGGGCGCTAGGAGGAGCCAAGATTCCATCCACTCCAATCCATCCTCCATGGTACCTATACCTACCTCCTACAGCTGTTTGCCATTTTGTGGAGAGAGAGAACGAGACATTCATTCCATGGCGATGACTGCGGATCTGACTGCACTTCTTCGTTGTCATTCATGAGCACTGTGCGCTGGGTATCTACCTATTCTAACAATATTATGAGTGGGAGAGGGAGAGTGCAAGTGCGACGTGGTCTGCCATGTGGTCATCCCTTCGGCACGGACTGCCTGCCTGTCCTTCCGATCTTCATCATAAACCACCAACATGCTACTGCTATACAATTCACGGTCGCATGGCCCAGCGTCACGATCGCTCCCCGGATGCATGCACCACGCCTTCACCGGGGCCTCTGAAGGGCTGCTGCTCAGATTGCCGTCTCACTTCGGCCACTTGTCGCTGTAGCGGAGTCGTGTCAAAATCGTGCTGAGCTCCGCTGACCTCTTTCGCCGCACTTGGCAGAAAAGCAGCTGTGCTGGGCTCTTTTTCGGCTGATCCTGGCGCATCAATCGTGCTCGCTCCAGAAATGTTCGAAATGTTGCGAAACCCAGTCAGCTGGTCGCCGTTCAGCCTGTGTTTGGTCACAATCAAAGGTGATGCCAAGTCCTTATCTGAATTAAGTTGTTTCGCTCGATCTGCGCTCGGAAGAGGGTCTGTAGGGTCGCTGCTGGCATGTGTAGTGCCAGCGCTCGATTGCTCGAACAGCGCTCGGCGCTGAGGCAGGGGTGTAGCATGTGGACTCACACGCTGAGAAGGTCCAACTGCGATGCCGAGGTTTCTGGCAAATTGCTTCGTGCCGGTACCTGGCTCTGCCCAATCCGGAGTATGAGCTATGTTAGGAGTGAGGTGGTTCATCATTGGGCCCTGCGGACGAGCCCATGGATTCTGTTCGATGAACTGCTCATGAGCAATGCGTTCACTCTGTGGCGGAATCAGGGTGGCTCTGTTTGGAAAGTAAACGGGTTGGGAGTGTGAAGCCGGCTGCTGAGTACGCTTGGATATCTTCTTGCCCGTCAGCCTGTGTTCACTATGCCATCACAGAGGGGTTCCCTACCTTCATAGCCTTCAGATCGTCTTCCAACATGTCGCGATCGGCGCCAGTGATGTTCGGCGCAGCGGGAAATCCAATGTACTTCGCAACGCCGCTGAGCACGGACACTTCTTGGTTGTATTTCGCCTGCTGCTTGATCTGATCGCTCTTTTTGGTGGGAAATTTATAAATGTAGCTTTCGTCTTCCTGCTGATTGTTTTGCCGTCGTTCATTTTGTATCTTGTACCAATCATCGCCGAGTTGCTGCATAACATCTTCCCGCAGCTGTCGAGCATGCTGGAAGTACTGACTGTGGAGCTGGCTCCGCTCACCAAGCGTCGTGCGGCGAAGGCTTTCCAGCTTGAACTTGTAGAAAGCGTGAGCCTCGCTCACTTGCTTCGCTTTGCGGACATTGACGCAAGCGATCTGTCGTAGATACTCCGGGTGTCTGCTGTCCGGCTGATTGAGCAGATCTAATTCAGCGTTCGTTGCAGCTAGCTTTTCGTTGATCATCTTCTCGCGGAAGGCAGCAAACTGCTTGGCCAGTTCTTCAAAGGCTATCGCAGCAGCAGGCTTGTGCTTCACTTCTTCTGCGGCTTTTGCTTTCGCTTCTGCGCTCTGCTCGGCTGTTTGAGCCACAGTTTCTGGATCCTCAGCTCCTGCATCCTTGTTTGCGTCCTTTTTCCCTCGGCCTTTTGGTTTGGGGCCTCGTTTAGCCTTTCCATTGCCCTTGGCAGACGACGTGGGAACCTCTGGCTGCTTAAGTTCCGACACCACAGCCAACTCCTCTGCGGTATCCTGGGGCTCTACTGCAGTATTTTCTGCGTCTGCTAAAGTGGTTCCGGGCACGTTTGTGGGAGCCGCGCTATGGCTTCGTTTTCGCGGGGATTCAGCGAGTTCTGAGTCTGCGCTGCTCAACGAGCTGTCCGCGGTATCGGATCGCTTCCGCTTCTTACCTAGATCACAATTCAGTACTTTATAATGCGGCATAGTTCAAGATTGTCACAGTTGTACTTACCCAGCGTGTCTGTGGTGCTCGTGCTAGACGTTGCGCCGAGGCCAGTGGGTAGAGGCGATGGAGGATCGGACAGCTCATCCTCCAGCGTTGCAGCTTGAATCAGTTTGCTTGGTGTTTTACCAGTTTCTCCGATCTGTATACGATTTTTGTGAGGTGTCTGGTCAAGTCGCTCTGTTTCGGCCTCGGAATCTACCTCCAGCGACTGATGCGCCGCGAGCTCCTCCGACGTCGCCAGGACATGGTCAGGTTGGCTCTGCTGAGCTTGGGCATCTAGCTCGTCTTCGGGCTCGCTGAGAATGCTCGAGCCATCGTCGTCATCATGATTGCGCGAGGTCGCCGTCGCGGCCGGGTCAGGCTGTACTGCATGTTCGCGGATTGCGCTGGGCGAAGCTTTGGCACTGAGCGGCGATATTGATGGGCGAGGGTTGTCGAATCGTGTCGGCGATGAGGGACTGCGAGCAGAAACAGTAGCAGCGGCGGTGGTCGCGTTGGGGTTAGCGGAGGCGTCGAGGTGGTTGTGGTTGTAATTATGGGCGTGATTGTGATGGCTGCTGCCCGGCCGCGCGGGCGTTGTCATCGCGGAATATCTGAGCAGAGGCACAGAGGCGGAGGGGAGGGGCCGAAGAGTGTTGTTGTCGTCGTCGCTGTCGTTGGCGTCGTCGTTGTCAAGTTGCTTCAGGACCTGAGCACTCAGCGGGGACAACCTCGAAGCGAGACAGGGCTGGTTGCTTGGTTGCTTAGTTCTGCTGCTACTGCTAGAACTACAAAGCACCTTCCTCAGTCAGGGTACTCTAGGTTCGGTAGTTCCAAGTGACCTTGCATGTGGGGTATTAGAGAATCGAGGCTAATGAATTTCTGACAAGATATTCTTCCCTTCAACCACCACCAAGCCACCTACCAGACGCATCACGACAATGGCTCCGTCCACGGCCCGCAAAGATGCAAGCACACGGTCGGTCGCTTCTGGCTTCAGCTTACTCGCCGACGAGAAACGCACCGACTCGGCGCTGTCGTTGCTCTTCGCGGTCAAGGTGAGTAAATGTGCCACACTCCCTTTCTGCCGACATATAAGTGTGCTAACGCTGACTCTCTACACAGCAACCGCCTGTCAAGGCCAAGCCCGCTACCGCCCTGCCTTCCGTGCAGAGAAGAGCTGCTTCTGCGAATAACGCTGCATCTGATGCCGATAACGACGCAGACCTCTCCGAAGTGGACGGAGAGTTGGATGATGCCGATACGGCAGCCGAAGTAGGCGTGGATGTTGGCTCGGACGCGGACTCGGGTGACACGGTCGAGAACGTCACAGAGCCCAGGCGTAAGCGGAAGCGTGGCGATGCTGAGGAGCAGCTCGAGGATGTCTATATGAGCCGGCTGGTGCGCGAGGAAGAAAAGGACGCTGAGCGACTTGCCGCTGGGCGAGTTCCAAAGCGCGCCAAGCAGCGAGGTGCGCCTGACAGCGAGGTGGAGGTCGAGGATGAAGATCTGACAGTGGAGGCCATACCCTTTGACGATCAATATGAGAGCGCGTCCGATGATGACCAGGACGGCACTGCGGCCCCGCCCAAGCATGAAACTGAGGAAGCGAAAGATATCGAACTGGACAAGGCGAACCGGACTGTATTCGTAGGTAACGTCTCCACGACTGCCATCTCCTCCAAGCCCGCCCGCAAGGCACTCCTCGTTCACCTTGCCTCGTTCTTCCCCACGCAGTCCAGCGTAAAGGCTGGTCCGAAGCCCAAAGTCGAGTCTATCCGTTTTCGCTCCACGCCTTACGCGTCCGCGATTCCGAAGAAAGCTGCGTTCGCAAAGAAAGAGCTCATGGACGCCACGTCAAAGTCTACTAATGCCTACGTCGTCTACTCGACACCTTCTCTGGCTCGCGAGGCCTGCAAGAGCCTGAACGGCACTGTAGTGCTCGACCGTCATCTCCGCGTAGACTCAGTCGCTCATCCAGCCAAAGTGGACAACAGGCGATGTGTATTTGTGGGCAATTTGGGCTTCGTGGACGACGAATCCAACATCCAAGATGCCAATGAGGACGATGGGCGCGAGAAGCGCAAACGCGGCAAAGAGCCCGCAGATGTCGAGGAGGGTTTGTGGCGCTGCTTTGCCAAGTGTGGAACAGTTGAGAGCGTGCGTGTCATCCGCGACAACACCACCAGGGTCGGCAAGGGAATCGCATACGTCCAATTCGAGGACGAGAATGCAGTGGAGGCAGCGTTACTGCTGAACGAGAAAAAGTTTCCTCCGATGCTGCCTCGCAAACTTCGTGTTAGTCGAGCAAAGGCACCAAAGAAGAATGCAAAGGTAGGCAGTGGGAGACCTTCAGTCAGGCCACAGCATACCGGCAGTGGCTACCAGCGCAAGGTCACTGGCGAGGAAGCTTCGAGACTGGGAAGATCTGCCAAATTGCTAGGTCGTGCCGCAGCAGCCAACATGCGCAAAGGAGGGGAAAAATCTTCTAGGCCATCTAGGCAGCCCTCGCAGGCCATGTCTTTCGAGTCGGCAGAAGGTAGCATCAGGAAGCCCGAGAATTTCATTTTCGAGGGGAACAGAGCTAGCGCAAGATCGGGGAAAAGTGGGCTGAAATTAGGAGGCAAGGCACACAAGAGCAAGACGAAGGTGACCAAGAGGAGCTCTTCTTACAAGGATCAGGCCAAGAAGAAGATCAGAGCGTGATGAAGCAAGCGGATCAGATGCATGATCATAATAGTGCTGAGAGCATGTTCCCGCTTCGTATGGCGGTGTCTGTTTCAATCTGCCCATACCTCACTTTCGGCCATTGTCCTTGCGGCCTCGTCGCAAAAGGACAAATAAACAGTTACTACACTACGCAATCGTCACAAGACCCGCGTACCCAATATAGCGCACCCTGCAGCGAAGATGGAGCATCTTCAAATCGCCCAGGACCCACGGCGTTGCGTTGTAGCCCAGTTACCACCTGTAGCATCGGTCTTGTCAAAATTCTTCTCCTGCTTGGCCCACTCGAAGATATACAACTTGAGGGCCTGCCATCTCTTACAATCCTGACTTGTTATACCTTGTCCACCACCGCCCTCGAAGTCTGTGCCCAATCGTATATAACCTCGCGGGTTCTGTTTGGCCTTCACGTCATCCTCGCGCAATTCCGAGATCGGAATGCAGCTAATCTTGGACAGCTCTTCGTCGAAGGGGCGAGCTAATGACGGGTAGCCTAGCGAAAGATAGTTGTATACTTGCGTGACAAAAGAGTCTGGATATTCACGCTCAATCTGTGCGACCATTTGCTTCTCCGACATGAGTATGGCATCCAGGCGGTTCAGATCAACGGTTTCAGACATCATCGGGGTAGCTGCCACTGCCACAGCGGACCCATTGCGCTGGGCGAATGATTGCTCGAATGGGTTCGAATTTGCAGCCCGAGGAGCAGGTGTCATCAGCCCAGTAGGGCCAGCAGGCGGCGATAGTGCAGTGTTCAAAGAAGCATCATCATCATTGCTGACGCAGAAACCGCCCCAAAGACCTTTGCCGGCAGTGCTCTGGGCAGGACCCTTAGAAGCCGCCGAGGCCATGCGCTGGTCGGACTTTTTAACAGGTGCAGCTGCCCAAAGGCCACCCTTAGTAGCAGTTTCGACACTGGACTGCTCACTCAAATAGCACATCTGCTTTCGCAATGCTTCTGAGCCCTGCGTCACGTCAAACCTGGCTGGTTCAGGCGAAGTACATCGGGGAAACATCAAATCATTCCCCAACATAGGAGGTCGAGCGCGGTCACGCATGGACTTCAGCTCGCTATCTTGCTGATAAAGCGTAAGTCCGGCCGCCGGGTTCCACCATGGGGAATGAGTTTCTTTCTTCTTCTCTGTCGACCGGTTCGCATTTCGATCTTGTTCCAGCTGCTCTGCATGTCGCTGCATCTCAAGCTGTTCCCATGAGATTGTGCCGGTGCTCTCTCGCCGCAGAGCGGCTCGATGTAGAAACTCCTCCTCGTCGAAACCCTCCCAAGTGACTGGACGATCTTCAATCTCCATTTCTTCGCTGCCATCCTGCTCGCTATTGATATAGTGCTGTACGGGTTCATGAAAGTCTGAGTTTGGAAAAGCTGCGAGCGCTGCCTCCTCAAGCCTCCGCTGAGCCTTCTTCTGTTCAAGCTGCAACAAGTAGTGACTGAAGCTCTCGTCCACGCTCTCTCGCATCCGTGTGGCGTGTTTGTAGGAAGCTTGTGGGAGGGACATATCAGAAGCAGTTATAGGCGAGCCTTGGCCAGGGCTACATGACCTGCGAGAGGAATAGCCGGATTCGCGCTCACTTTCGGAGCTCTCAATCGTATCGAGCTCGGGACATCGAAAAGAATGTGAGCGTTCAGGCTGAAGATCTGATCTGGGTGGCGCACTGCCATCCAAGGGTGATATACAGCGCCGCATCTCGGGTGGTATGTCAAGGGTGTTGAGCGACGGAGAAGCGTCATCCGTGGACATCTTGTTCGCCTTTCGCCGGCCCGCGTGGCGGCGATGTTCTCGAGCATGCACCACGAAGCCTTCCTCGGTCTTGTAATTCTGATAGTTGGCGTCATTGGCATCGCCCTTTCTGCGTGACCGTTTGGCAGTTGATAACACCTCGGGCTGGAATCTACGTGGCACAGAGCCCTCTGCAGCTCCCCGGGAGATGACATCGCCATGTTGGCTCGTCCTTTGACCACTACTCCGCGACGGAGAGCAATTGCCGGCGGAGCAGGCCTCAGTCAGCTGCGACTGAGGTCCTGTATGACTCGTTCTACTGTGATTCGGGCCACTGCGGGCAGCTCTGTCTTTGCTGCTCTTCTGCGTCGTCTCGATTGGCTGTGGGGCGAAGCGTCGAACAGGTGGCTTGGAAGCCTGTGTGAGGCTCGAGGTGGAGCTGCGAGTTGACTTGGACGTGGTTTCGAAGGGCTCTGGAGCAAAGCGTCTAATTCTAGGCAGCTCTCGTTCGGCGGAATGTTCATCGGGCGAGTGCTTTCGGGCCTGCTTGGACGATTTCGTAGTCGTCTCGATTGGCTCTGGGGCAAAGCGTCGAACCACATTCTGCTGCGGCGGCGAGGACGGAGGCATGTCAGAGCGGCGGCAGCGTGGCCCAGACGTTGTGAAGGACTTGGTCGCAATTCATGCGCGTGACGAGGTGTGCAGCCACAGAGCCGACCAGGCCAGCACGGAGCAAGGCAGAGTGCAGGACCGTGGTCCGCTCAGAGGCGCGTCGAGGTGGAGAAATGGAGAGGCGGAGAGGCGGGCGGGCGGCGAGGCGGGCTGGCGGGCTGGCGGACTGGCGGACTGGCGGACTGGCGGGTTGGCGGACTGGCGGACTGGCAGACTGATGAGAGCACAGAAGAATACAGTTACATGTAAGTAATGTACCTAGAGCACAGGGGCCAAGGGTTCGTGTTGAGGATGACGTTGGTCGGGTGAGAAGCCACCAGGGTGCAAAGGCAAGAGGTCGTGTGAATGGATGTACGTGATTGGCCAGTTGATGTCCAATATTGCTCTGGTGGTGGTGGTGGTGATGATGGCGGCGGTGATGGTGGTGCTCGTCGTCGTCGTCGTCGTCGTCGTCGTCAATGTTGGTCTGGCGGTGGTCTATGTCTCTCTCTACCTATATGTGTAAAGTGAGGCGGCAGACAAGAGCAGTGGTGGCGGTGTGTGGTCGTGTGTGATGATGGTGCGTACATGTATGTCTGCCCTGTGTATGTGTGTCAGGTCACCTCAGCTACCTGTACATGACCTTAGAAGGCTTACCTCCTGCCTCCTAGAATGGATGGGGAGCGGTACATCATTCCAATGCTGTCGATGTCGGTGTGGGCAGGCCCGGGGGGCGGTCCAGAACAACGGCTAACCCGATGTAGTGCCTCCTACCTTGCTACCTCCTACCAGTGTTCACTGAGTGACCACCGTAGGAGGTACCTTCTAGCAATAGTCCAGTTCAGCAGCAGCTACCTCCTACCTCCTACCTTCCTTACATGTAGCTGAGAGGTACATGTACTCCTCCGTTGTCCGTTGTCCGTTGTCCGTCGTACCTACATGTACCTCACCTGCCTCACCTCACCTCATCTCTGGCATCTTCTTGAATACCTACCTACATGTACCTGTATCTTGTACCTCTTAGGCCCCGTTCGGTACTGCTACTGCACGCCAATCTACATGGACCTTAGCTTATCAGCTTCGGTATCTACCTAGCCTAGCCCCGACCCGTCAATGGATCATTATGGAAACCGTCCCGTCTGCGTCTTCTGCAAATAGCAAGGGCTGCAAGGTAATCCGCCAAACGGTTTCATCTGATATCATTTTCAGTTATGCTAGGTACTTAAGGTACCGTATGTATATAATAATATACCTGAATTAGAGTAATGTCTTCGAAACCCGCGGGGGTCTCCCTCTGGACAGAACGAGCCTATGGAGTCTAGTACCGCGTCTTCCTCCCTGGGCCTTGGCCCTTCGCTTAGCCTTGACCTCGTCCTCACCTCCTCGACCTCGTCCTCGCCCTCGTCCTTGTTCTTGTTCTTGTTCTTGTTCTTGTTCTTGTTCTTGTTCTTGTCCTTGACCTTGTCCTTGTCCTCGTCCTCGTCCTTGTCCTTGTCCTTGTCCTCGACAACTCCAAGGCTCCAAGGCTCCAACAAAAACCTACCTATATAGCGTGCCTGCTCGTCGGACCGGATCGGCGATCACGGACCTTCCCGAGATCGGAGCCGCACCCCGCTGAGACAAACAGGTTCGTTCCTCCTCTACCAGTGACCACAACAAATCATGGATAAAACACCACAATCACGAAGTGACCTCACCACCCTCACCACCCTCACCACCCTCACCACCCTCACCCACACTTAAAATCCTACCTGTCTACCTTAGTCCGCTCTGACCATCGAGGCCGGCGAAACATATCTTCGGTGCCCGCCAAGAATGTAATATGTGCCAGCCATGATACATGTTGCACCAAATATGACTATAGCCCAATTGAAGTTCTCGGTCCATCGCGTATGGTTGTGGAGTACATCAGTCGGGAAGAAGGAGAAGGCGAAAATCACCTAACGCCAAGTCAGCTGTACAGCCAGGATTGCCAATATATGAACCCCACGAAAGTCTGTTGTCGAGCCTCATTCGCCACATGGGGAGGGGGAGTGACGACCGTCTCTGCCCGTGCTTCTCTAATGTACTTACCATTAAAAAGGCTAGCGAGATGTCGTTGATGATACCGCCATAGCATCCGAGCGACCAGCGTGCCGGCAGAAGAGCTTCGCCTCGGAGTCTCTTCAAGCGCAGGCAGCCTATCGACACAATGTATGAGAAACCAAGGGCAGCGTTCGAGACACCGACGACAGCGTTGAATGCCGTGTCAGATCCGAAATTGATGGCCGAGCTGTCGACTGCGTTAGCATCAGCACGGCGCCCCTAATACTACCTCACTCACATCACAGCTGATACGACCAGGCAGCATAGGACAGCATTCACTGGTACCTCCATCCGAGGGTTTACGTAACGAATCCAACGGGAGAATGGAAAGCCCTACCACAATCAGTGCTACTCAAGTCTCGGCCAGACATACTACTTCGCGCACCTGGTCTCGGGAGAACGCCCAAATCTGCCTGGAGGCACTGGCGGTGGTGGTCACGGTGGAGAAGAAGAGCAGTACAACTAGCATTGCACCCAGGACGCACGTGGCCGCCTTTGAGCCTGTGGCTCTCAAAAGCACGTCGATGATCGGGAAGTCGCTCTCCAGGTTGACGAGATACTCGATGTCAGTGATGCAAAAACTGAGTCTCTCGTTAGCTGGATCTCAGGTACCGGCGGTATCATAACGCACCAAAAACTGATCAGCATCGTGATCCCGAGTACTCCATTTAGCACCGTTGCCCACATCATCGCTCGTGGTAATTGCAAGGATGCATCCTTCAACTCTTCCGACATATGGGCTTCAGAGAGTCAGCAAACGCTACCTTAGGCAAGTGCAATTACATGCATATCAACGCAACTCACCTCCAGCGTCAGGGCCAATAAAGCACCACACCGGTGTGGCCAAGCCTACAAGGCAAGACAGTCCTGTATTGCCCCAGCCTCCACCATCATGGAACTCTGTGAAGACACGCTGCGCAGGTGCGTGGTCACCCATGATCCCTGGCCATCACATTTCACGTCAGTGATATCTGCACCGCGCGAGGCAGTGTGAAGGCTGCTTACAGAAGATCAAGAGAAAAACCTAATCCAGAATTAGCATGTTCTGTGTGATGGTAGCCATGTCTACCTACGAAGAACCCGAGAACGTGGACAAAGAGCAGAATGCCTTCCGCAAGCGGTAGCTGTTGAGCGCAAAAGATATTGAAGCCTACGGCCAGGAAGAGGAAGCAGTACAGCAGCAGCGTCGATTGCCACAGACGAGATATGTCGGCCTCGGGACTGACCAGAAGCACCATGGTCTGTACCATACCAGACAGTTGGACACAGCAAGATGGAACGCCTGCGATCCAGCCGAGACAGCAACACCATCCCACGACATAGCTAAGCGGTTTCTGCAACGATGGGGGCGCGAACTCCGAGACCCTGCGAAGGAGATTCACATTAGCACTGATTCAGCACAATGCACTCGTTTTGGTGATTCCGTCTGAGGCCGCAGACGACTTCATATCGTCGCTGCTTACCAGTGGTACTAATCATGTGTTAGCATCGGTCGCGATCACTTTGATGCTCACAGTAAATGCAGAGACCTACTTGTCCACCTGCGGTCGGAGCCATGGATGCCATTTCAGCCAGCGAAGCAATCATGCAAAGCATTAGAAGCCAGACTGCAATGGTGCACCAGATGACACCAGCTGTACCGCCGTTGTATAGACCGAACCAGGTTGACAGGAGGACGTTCTCCCAGGTAGCTTGCAATATTGTTACGAACCCGACAATTCCTTGACAATGGCGCCACGTCAGTTCCAGCGCTTAGATATGTGCCATTGCTGCTTCGGCGACATACCGACGAATTTGAAATTTCTCTACGGTAATGTGAGTCTCAATTACATGTACCAAGAAGCTTGAGCGAAACTTACACGTAGTTCCTGTTTTTTGCCCATACGACCCATCTCGTATCCATCTATGGACGTCCCGCCCTTCTTCTCAACAATAACAGCCTCCGCCTCGGGCTGCATGCTATCGATAGAATAGCCATCCTCTGGCTTCGCATCTGATTTCATCGTGGCGTGAGCCCTTCCAGGGACAGCTTTCGAGATGTTGAGGGCAAATGGAAAACTTGATCGGAGCAACACAAGATTAAGGAGGGGCAGGTCGAATGACGGAAGCGTAAGAGTTCTTGAACAAGAAAGATAGGGATGGGCTACTGAGTATGGTGCGTTTGCCACATGTTTCGTGCCACACGAATCCATCCAACGGAGGGCTCTCGGTCCGGTAGCAGAGAGATGGTGCAAGTGATATGGACCGCGACTGTCATCACTTCTGTGAATACTGGCCAAGTCTGATCAGCGCCGGCATCGAGGTCGGCCGTGCGACCACAGGCGCTGAATCGATGTGCGAGGTAGCTCAACAGGACGTTGCAGGACACTGCGAGACCTTGGTACGCTCATCTTTTCTGGCTTTGACAGGCGCGAATGCAGCAGATTGCTGCCCTTGCAGGTTCTCCCTGCGCCACTTGTGTGAAGGGAGATCGGTCATTGGGATTTGTGCTACGTGGCACAGCAGGTCGCTATCCCACCGCTTGAGGAACACAAACCTGCAGTTAATGCTGTCGGCGACAAGCACTGCAGCACTGCGAGAGTGGAGCCCTCGTTGTGTGACTTTGCAGTTTCTTGGCTTTTGCAGAGCAAACGTCGCTTGGTCTCCCGCGTTTCGGCTAACATCTGCGGATGGCTTCCCATCACTTTTTTCAATGCTGGGTCAGCAGCATGGAGAGAAATCGTGGCAACTCCTGAGTTGTGTAGTATGAGTGTTTTTTTTTGTGAAGCAGCACAAGCCCAGCCGAGACGATTCATGTGGTAGCACAGCGCTCATTGCCGTTGGCTGCCACCCAGCACCCCGTGGTGTGTATGTACTTGTGAACTCTTTCCAACCCGAACATATCCCTTTCTTCAATACCCCATCATCACGAGCTGCATCGTCTGCTGGAGTACCTATCGCGAGCCCCCATTCGGTCTTACCACGACCAAAAAATTGCCCACAGTTATGCCGCGCCGAGAAGGGTATGAGAACGCTGTGAGCTTCACCATCAGTCTCTGCCTTGTGTTCACCATTTGCGTCGCCATCATTCGTTACTGGATTCGCAAGCACGCTCTGGGTTCAGACGACGCCGTCATTGGGGCGGCTACATTGGTGGCCTTTGGACATATTGGGGCAAGTTATGCAAGCTATGCGGCAGGGCTCGGCAAGCCTTGGTCTAGCATTATTGCCACTACTGCCCAGGATGATCTGAACAGTCTTGATCAGGTACACTTCAGAGAGAGAGAGGGAGAGAGAGAGACGCGTAGTTTGATGAAGAAGTCATGGCTAATGAATCCAGGCCTCGGTTGCCTCAATGGTGCTGTTCTTCATTGCACTGTACTTGTCGAAGTGCGCCATGATTTCTTTCTTGATCCGTATCACAAAGACTCCGGTCCAAATTCGATTGTACCATGCTTGTAATGTTCTCGTTGCGATTCTAGGCTCGGTGTCAGTCATCGTAGTCACTGTTGGCTGCCCTGCCGCTTCTGGCTACTACTGGGCGTTCAATGAGAACGCATTTACGTGCGCGACTCAGGTATGCTGCTCCCCAGGACGTTGACCAGATTGCAGCTGACCAGAGACAGGATGTTCGATGGCAAGCAGCAACAGCCCTCGATTGCGTGACGGAAGTGCTGCTTCTTGCACTTCCTATACATCTAGTGTGGATGTTGCAGATGCGGTTAGCGAAGAAGGCCATGATAGTGACTGCATTTTGGGTGCGATTGCCGTATGTTGTCCCACGCCGCGGTGGGCCATGTCAAGCATTAACCGTTACTTATAATCACAGTATCCTTGGTCTAGCGATTGGAAGAAACCATTACACGCGTCAGCTCCGCCGACCGCAGACTGATGCTGGTCTTGGAAGCGCTCTGGTCGTCATCTGGCTGGAGATTGAGCTCGCGTATGCCATTGCAGTTAGGTAGGCCGCCCAATGCGATGAACGAGGCACCATTGCTGATGTCGCCTGCAGTACCATGTCAGCGCTCAAGACCTTCACGGAGAGCTTCAATACTGGCTTCGGCGTTAGCGTTGGACAAGTCCGCAGCAAGGGAGATGGTTCGAACAGTTACGGTTTGTCCGACGTCTCGAATTCGAATTCGAACTCGGGCAGCGGAAACGAAAAGGACGCAGTCAGAAGCAACACACGGCCAAGCGAGTGCATACCGCCCTCAGTTCTAGCATCAACCACCCCATCCGGACTGAAGCTGAGGCCGGAAACCAAGCTCCAGTCATACACGGACATACGTGCTGAACGGTATGTGCTGGAGACTGCTAGTGTCGGCAGCGGTACCTCTGGTGACGATATGGTGATTCTCCGCGAGACCGCCTATGAAATCCAGCATGATCAAGCGCCTATGCTACCTTTGCGAAGCGGCTAAGGCATGGGGAATGGATCTCGACCGGTATGGAACCACAGTGCCTGGAGTAGACATAGGGTAGCAGACACGTAAATCACGAATCGCTTCGCGTCACGTGCCCATGCCTCTTGCACACTTGCCTTGACGAGCATCGATATTGAAGTGAGAGCAGTGGAGCAGTGTGAGTATGTGTACCTATAGGTACCTAGAAGTGGTTCATCGGGTAAGTGGAGGTAGGTGAGGTACATGTAGGTGGCAGAAGGTTCCATAAGGTAAGGTAGAAAGGTCACAGGTAGGAGGCTTGTGCCGTCTCACGTGCAGCTTGTGAACTTCAACATCTCTTCCATGCTCAGCGCGGCTCCCTTTCTCTGTCTCTCTCTCGCGCTCTCACTCCCTCTTCTTCGTTCTCTGGCGCCACACCATCCATAACCCGCGCATATCTGCATCGCGAAACGACCGAAGCTGGCATAACTTTGGACCGATATTGCGCGCCTCGCAAGCGACTCCAAGAGGATCGCCTGCTGCCGATCGTCCGCAGCGCGGTGCTGCAGTCGCGTTCGCTCTGACTTCGACCGACGAAATGTTCTTTGTAGCGCACAGAGTCAGAGAATGTACGCTCCATCCATCATTCTTCAACAGCGGAGCGGATGCGCAGGTCCGGCAGAGGTTGTATGAAGACATGGAGGGCAAGGTGGAGGGCACCGAGATGATTGTCCAGATTATCGAAATCGATGAAATCAGTGAGCCCGTACTCGTGCCTGGCACAGGAATGGCCAAGTACACCCTTTCGTACCGCGCCATTGTCTGGCGGCCATTTAGAGGCGAGGTCGTGGATGGGATGGTGACCAGCGTGGTCAATAACGGCTTCTTTGTGGACGTGGGCGCCTTGAGCGTATTCGTGAGCAAAGCCGTGCGTACACCATCCATGCCAAAGAGACGCTCTCGTGGTCGCTAATAGTGCCTACAGATGATTCCTGGCGCGCTCAAGTACACCGTGGAGGGCTCGACACCGTCCTTTACAGACAATTCTGATCAAACCATCGAGCGCGGAACGCAAGTCCGGCTGCGGATCAAAGGCATTCGAGGCGAGATGGGTAGCATGTATGCCATCGGCAGTATACGAGAAGACTATCTTGGGTAAGAGGTTCCGGGATTGGACGCCTACATCACTTTTGACTGACCATCCGGATACCAGACCTTTACTACAGTGATTGCCATGTTGGGTCGCATTCTGCGACCTTTTCAAGCACGGAAAATCGAACATACCACGCGACACCACGACAGACGCCATTGACACAGGCATCGGAGTTGGGCCTAGCTTTCATTTTGCAGCGTGGCGCACTGGATAGGGAACACGCACGGCATATATTCATGCCTTTCATCGTCTGCATCCCTTAGATTACGAGATACCCAGGAAAGCGCAGCAGCGCGCAGATCTGTACGTGCTGCTTTCTGACAAACTTTCTGACCAAACGAGGTTTTCCCTTCGAGTGAACGCGGTCAATAGGGTTCACCAGAACTCTCACGCGCTTTAGGGCAAAAGTAATACACAGCCGAATGTATTAGTATGCTTCCGCAGTATTTGCTACTGCGGTGGCTAGTGACGAAAATGATCGTCGAGACAATTACGAGGTTACGAGAAAGAGATTTGAGAGGGGAAAGAAGCATGGAGAAAGAAGGCGTATGAGCTTCGCAACATTGGCTTATATCGCGTTGACCATGAAGCCACGTTGCTCGATCAGAGAACAGAGATGCCCTCCGCGCATTTTGTAATAGGAGCAATCGGAAGCTGAAGCTTGTCCAAACATGTCCTTGTCGCTGATATCCTCTCCTCTGCTGAGCTTTTATTCTCCCGAACAATGAACGACGCACTTAGTCGAAAAGACCAAAGCCCATGTCGTCGTCGGACTCCTCCTTCTCCTCCTCCTTGGCGGCCTCTGGGGCGGCCTCAGCAGCGGCACCACCAGCAGAGGCAGCAGCTGGAGCACCACCAGCGGCGGCAGCACCGCCAGAAGGCACGGAGGCAAGCTTTTGTGAGCCCTCGGCAATCAGCTATGCAAAGAGTTAGTCGAGTTAAACCAAAGTCGTGTATGCTCGCAGCGAACGCGCGAAACGTACCTCGTTGATGTCCTTGCCCTCGAGCTCAGAAAGAAGCTTGCTGAGACGCTCCTCGTCAGCGTCAATGCCGATTGCGCTCAAAACGCCCTTGATATCCTCGGCGGATGGAGATGTGTTGCCAGCGAGGCCGAGGAGGAGGTATGCTGCGAGGTGCTTCATCTTGGCTGTCTGTGGGTAATTTAGTGAAAGTCCGGGAATGCGCGCCGGAGTGAGCAGAGCGTTTGTGATGGTTGGGAAGAGCGTACTGTGGATCTGGTATGGAAAGAACTAGAGAATCAATCGATTTAAGCAACTAAAGTCGCAGACTGAATTCTTCAAGCTCGGAGAGAATGTGTTTAGGTGACTGGTAGCAGACGTCGGTGATGAAAAAGGCTCTTAGTGGGCTTGAACTGCCAAGACTACCTAGTATCACGTGCGACTGCGGTGCCGCTCTCCGTCACCACCTTACTATCTTGGTTTGAGCCTTGCGTCCAGTAAATATTGTCAGTCCGAGTACATGTACATCACTAAACGAGCAGCACTTCCGAACTGCTTCTTGTTACTGTCAGTAATGTCCTCTTGGCCTGCTCGAGCTGCTTCTATATCGCATCAGTGAGGCCTCTGGGCCAGCTCAGCTGTCATGACAGTGAGTATCAGCAGCACAATCTTCTCCTAATGCAGTAATGCAGCAAGTGAATGGTAGCATTGGTCTGACTCCCTGGCAGTCCTTCACTTCTCTTCTGGGTTCCATCGGTGGTCCCAAGCAGAACCAGGCACCGGCACAAAACGCTTCCGCGGGCGCGAGCGCGAGCGCATCACGAGCGGTGCAGAAACCTGACGCAACGACCAGCACGCCCAGCATATCGCGGCCGAACGCGAATAGCCATGTGGCTGCGGGGACGAAGAGGAAGCCAGAGGAACAAATAACGGCGCCGCCAGCGAAAGCCATGCGAGTGGATGTGAAAACTCCTGTCCCTCCATCCGGACTGAGTCGCGTGGCCCAGAGAGGCACACTCGTTTCCCCGAGCACCCACACTCCTCCCCGTGGCACGACAAAACCTGGGCCGGCGAAGGATAATCCCAAGGCGAATGAATCTCTCAAATCGAGAACAGTCCTCCAAAGACCTGCACCGAGCACCCCTGCAACCACTGCTGCGACGACACCTGGTGGCTCTGTGGCGAAGCCCAAGCGCGGTTTCGCCTCGATCATGGAGAAGGCCAAGGCGGCGCAGGAAGCGGCGAAGGCGGCTGGTAGTAGCACCATAAAACACAAGCCAGTGGAGAAGTTGACCAAGAAGGAACGACTAAAACTGGAGGAGGAAGCAAAGCTCAAGACTGGGCCCAAAACCAGTAAAGCTCTGGCAGGCCGGAGTCGAAGTGGTACACCTGCAGACGGACGGTGCAGCTCGAACAAGAACGAGCCAGAGGCAGGATATAAAGGTACGATGAAGAAGACCCCAGTGCAACCACAGATAGCATACAAGGGCACCATGAAGAAGTCGGAGCCTGGAGCACCCCCTGGGAAAGCTGCAGTGAAGAAAGGTCTCGGTCAGGACAAATACGGTGGCTACGCGAGCTGGTCAGACCTCGACGACGCCGAAGAGGACGAAGATGGCTACGGGTCAGAAGGGTCCGATGACATGGACGCTGGATTCGACGACATGGCTCTTGAGGAAGAAATGGCCCTTCGAGCGGCCAGGAAGGAGGACCAAGAGGCGTTAGAGGAAGAAGAGCGGCACAAACGTGAGAAGCTCGAGCGTAAGAAGAAACTCGAGGCTCTCAGCAAGAGTGCTGCGGCTCGGAAGAGGTTCTGAGAGACTGGGTGCCGCCACGAATGAACAAATGAATCGTGATATTGCATCCTCCCGTTGATTGTATAGCGGACGGCATTGGGTAAGTACATGTGGCTCGACTGGACCATGGCCATTCTGTAATTTAGCGGGCAATTGCGCCAGGTGTTGCGATTTCAGCTCACATATATACATGCAGTCACTCTTCACGGCCGTTCTACACTCGCTGACTGGCATGTTTGACGGAGTCGAAGCTGACTACCAGAAGCGCTCTCTGCCTCGCAGCTAAGGTATCCAGGATCTTGCATAATATGAATGATATGCTTCCTACCAAAGCTACCTTACTCTAGCATCTCCAGAATTCTGGCCTTTCGGACGGCATACAGACGCCAGTGCACCAGATTGTGCGTCAGATGAAGCATTTCATCAGTCCGAGGGGCTCGCATTTCACAGTCATGGTAGCAGATCTTACGTATATGCGCCATTCGGCCAGCCTATCTTTATTGAGTACGCTCTGTCGCCATACATGTACCAACAGAGGTAAGGTATGAGGTATCGACGGTTCTGATCCGCAGAGCTACATGTACCCACACCGCACACAAACGTGCTCCGTTACTGTCACTCCATACGCCCCATTCTGTATCTCATCGTCGACAGCAAAACCCCTAATCTGAATACATGTCCAACGTTGGACATGTAAGACATACATCACGTTCATGCCTAAGGCACCCGTAGATCGAGCTATCGGAAGGAGAAGCCGTGAATCCTCCGTGGGCTTGGCGCACTCTCAAATCTCGCGCCTCAACTTCCAACTGTTAGCCGTCTACAACACCACAAGTTTCATCGACCACCAACCGACACGATGGCTGACGCAGACTACGTGAGAATCTCATCTCATACCTGACTTAGGAAGACTTACACTGACATATTGTCCGCAGAACGCCGAGGAGGCTGCCGGTATGCAATTATCGACTCGATCAGGCGTCCTTCTGTGGACGCCGCAGTGGTTGAAACCCTGTGGATAGGCCACGAAGGGGTGCTGGAAGATGGGATATCGGGCTAACATACCGGTGGTGCGACAGAGCTGAAGAGAAAGAGAGCGTTCCGCAAGTTCTCCTACCGTGGCATCGACCTTGACGAGTGAGTCCAAGCGGGGTGGCACACACACACACACAGTGGCGATCACACAGACGCTGACTTGCCTTGACAGGCTCCTCGATCTTTCTTCTGAGCAGCTCCGTGATGTCGTCCACGCTCGCGCCCGCAGACGGTTCAACCGCGGACTCAAGCGCAAGCCAATGGGTCTGATCAAGAAGCTCCGCAAGGCCAAGCAGGAAGCCAAGCCCAACGAGAAGCCAGACGTCGTGAAGACTCACCTCCGTGACATGATCATCGTCCCGGAGATGATTGGCTCCGTCGTGGGTGTTTACTCCGGAAAGGAGTTCAACCAGGTTGAGATCAAGCCGGAGATGGTCGGCCACTACCTTGGAGAATTCTCCATCTCTTAGTACGCTACTCCTTAACATTGATCAACCAGCGGAAGGTCACTAACTCGTGAAATAGCAAGCCGGTCAAGCACGGTCGTCCTGGTATTGGTGCCACGCACTCGTCGCGTTTCATTCCACTCAAGTAGACTTGCGCATTCACAAGGGACAACTATAGGGAAAGTAGACGAGAAAGCTACGGACACTGCATATCCACCGAGAATTTGCTCTGGATCAACGTGTATGACACCAAATGATACCAGAATTGATCCAATTATTGATCCAATATTTCTCGTGTTCCTCGTTTTCATTTCAGGGTGCACAAAGTGCGCGTTTGACTAATGGTCCACCTACGCTGGTCGTGTGGTAAGGTACATCAGCGCGCGGCAAATTCTATCTACCTAGGTACTTGGGAAGTCCTCCACATATGATCTATTGTAGTAGCCGAGGGTGATTCACATGACGTTCAAGCATGCTTGCACCTCCGACCAGGAGTCTTATCATTGCTCCACTCCGCGGCTCCAGGATTTCGTGCTCATGGGTTCGAGAGGTATCGAGAAATACCTATCTCCAGCGTGCTGCGTCGAAGCGGCCGAGATTCTCCGCTGCACATCTATTATTTTCAAGCCAGCGCAGTGGCGCACGTTCTTCTTGGCTACTGCTGTAGCCTGTGAGCGCCGACTCCCTCTGGTATCCTGCGCCTGAACGGCTTCCTCAGCTTCGGGTTGAGTGGTACATCCGGTTGTCTACACTACTATTTGCCAACCCGAGTCCTGAGGATATGTGTTGCCAATTGGTTGCAGGCCATGACCGCAATAGGCTCTGTCTGTCCCATGCCCTTGGCTGATACGAGAGTGCACGAAGAGAGAGGCAAATCAATAGATTGGCTCGACGGGGCCGATCAATGTGATGGAGCTATAGCAGTCTCATGAGGGTCCATACATGCCCAGGGGCACAGGATCGTTGATGCGAAGCCATTCACCGTTGAATGCATTGATTAGCCAATCGCGCAATTTTTCGTACACGACCGTGTTGGCGTTGTGGAAGTATATGCTGTGATCGCTGTCTGGAAAGACATGCATGTCGTAATTCCTGATATTGGCTTGATCCAACTTGTCCAGTAATTGCAGCGTGTTCTGGAAGTGGACATTGTCGTCGCTGACGCCATGCATGACCAGGAATCGCACATTGCTTGACAGCCCTCGCATGTCTGAGATACTGGCATTGTCATAGCCCGAGGGATTGTTCTGAGGGGTATGCATATAACGCTCGGTGTAGATCGAGTCGTAGAAGCGCCAGTCGGTGACGGGAGCGACGGCCATTCCATACTTAAATGTCTGACCAGCATCCGTCTCGAGGACCTTCAGAGCCATGAATCCGCCATAGCTCCATCCCCAAATGGCCATGCGTTCCGAGTCGACATATTTCTTGGCCGACCACATCTTCGCAGCTGCAATCTGCGAATATGCTTCCCAGTAACCAATATTATCGCGAACCATGGTTCTCTGCTTACGACCGAGGTAGCCCGTACCGAAGCCATCCAGAGTGACAACAATGTAGCCAAGACTGCTTGCAACGTACGATTGAAAATCGACGTCGAATTTGCGATTCACATGCTGGAAGCCTGGTCCGTTGTAGAGATAGAAGAGGACCGGGTACTGCTTCGTGCCGCTAGCGTCAAAATGGGGTGGTCGACGTTCCACGATATTGAGATCAAAGCCATCCACGTTGATAGTAGAGTACACTTCGATAGGGAGTTCAGTTTTCTTGGCTAGCTTGTCCAAATCCTTGTTCTCTTCAATGGTAACATCCAGAGAGGAATTCTTGTTGGTTGTAGTAGCTTTCACTTTTTGCCACGGTATGCCCGGTCCTTCGCATGTAAGCAACATGAATTTGCTCTCTGCAGAGAACGAAGCGCTGTAGTACCCGACTTGGCTGCTGTCGGTGACCGCAGTGATGCTATCGGGGCCCTCGAGGAGCTTCGTGGTGTATATATGCCGCTGCGTGCTTCCGTCTTTGGTGCCGGTGAAGTATACAGTGTTTTCCTTGAGATCAACTGACAAAGGGCTGGCAACGACTTCCCAATTGCCTGCTGTAAGCATCTTTGGCTGCGGGTTGTCCAGTGGCGAAAAGTAGGCCAGATGATCGAAATTCTCGTGTATGATCGTATCAATGTAGCCTTCTTCGGGACGACCATTGGCGGGATCTGCAGGCACGTATGTTGTCGTATGCGTGATCTCAAACCAGCCCCCGTCCAATTCCTGCACATCTCGTTCGCGCACAGTTCTACCGGTCCGTGTCGTGGCGTCCACCAAGATCATCTTGAGCTTGTCGCTCTCTCGATTCGTCGAGCGCACCAATACCTTTCCAGTTGTCCCAGCCCACAGCACTTCAGTGATCAGTCTATCGTCATCGACGAAGTCATCCGTAATGGGTACGCTGAAGACTTGGCCTTTCTCGGTGTCGTAGAATTGCAGGCTGACAACAGACATTGGGGCGCCCGCTTTTGGATACTTAATGTGTCGCACTTCTGGGTAGTTCTCCTCGCCCGCGTGAGGCTGATTTCCGCTGGGACGACTAAAAAAGTACTGCACCGGAAATGTGGGAACTTTGCTTTCATCGGTCTTGAAGAAGGCAATATATTTGCCATCACCGCTCCACCAAGTCGCTCCGCCTTCTGCTAGCACTTCTTCCTCGTACACCCAATCTGGTATGCCGTAGAACAGATCTTTTCCTCCGTCAGTAGTGATCTGGTTCACCACATCGGAATCCAAGTGACGAATGAACATATTGTTGTCTCTTGTGAACGCAACAGCATCACCCTTGGGACTCCACGAGGCGAGCTGCACCCGGCCACTGATATTTGCGGGGTCGAGCGCCTGGCCTTGTTGGGTTTCCACATCAAAGATCCAGTACCTGCCTGTGCTGCTATGCCTCCAATTACTTTGATAATCACTCTGGATGAGTATCTTCTTGTGATCTCGGCTCGGCCACGCGTCGTGAACGACCACAAGCTCATTTCCCACCTGGAACATTCCCCTCTGCATGAGGGTACGACTATGTTGCCTCTGCACGGCGAGGTCGTCGCCTCTGTAGCGCACGTCTTCCACCACCAAATAGTCGCGTCCATCCGAGCCTCCCAGCTCGAGCAGCAGACCGTCCTCGCCATCAGGGCCTGCAACCCACGTGATGGCATGAGATCGCGCGTTCCATGCCCCTTGCAACACCTGATCCAATGCGACTTTCTTGCCGTTGCCAGTCGTGGCAGTCGCGTGTGGATTGTGTGGCCGGGCTGCATGAGGGACATGCCGATCCTGTCCCAGGAACAAGAACAAGGCGGCAACCCAGCCGACGACGCCCACAGCGACGAGCACATATAAGATGCGCCGCGCTTTGCGATCAGCCGGCTTGACCGAGCGTTGCCAGGCCAGCTCATCCTCCCCCTCCATCTCCATCTCTTCTCGGGGTGAAGCGTTGGTGTACAAGGCGTCTTTGGCTTTGATGGCGGCTTTGTCGTTGGCGTGTTCGAGGACGAAGGATGTCGTGGACGCCGAAGAGGCCGATGCCCGCACCTCGTCGCTGTCCTGGAACGTGCTGGGCGTGCCCTGCGAGTCGGTCAATGGCTGCATCTCCTCGCTATCGAGCTGGCGCCTCGGAGTCGCCATTGTGGGCGGACAACAGGAGCTTCCTGTTTAGGTCATTCACAGCATGTATCTATCTGGCTGTCGACACGAGACAGCACGAAGGAGTAACTATGCGAGGCGGAGGTGAATTCGCCGAGTGGTGCTGTATGTGTGTACGGTATGTAAGGTTGGTGGTACGTGTGCCTGCAGGTGGTCTCATGTACGTGTACTTACTATACATGGAAATACCAAGGTTCCAGATGGCGTGGCTGGCGCAACGGGAGACCGAGACGGTCTAGCCGCACTGGGAAATCTGAATGTGGTCATCAATGGTTTTCTACGACAGATCATACAACAAGTTACAACCACAGTCTACAGACGTCTCGTCGGACAGTCTGACAAAGGCTCAACTGCGCGCATCTTCTTCGTCTTCTTCGTCTTCTTCTTCTTCTACCAATAGTACTACAGTCTACAGATATGCCCCTTCTCTAGCCCCTTTTCCTCTCAATTTCCCGCTCAGCCTCCGTGTGCAATTGTGCATGTGCATGCACCGGAGCTCAGTCGGTCCCCAGGGGCTGGTCATCCCGTGTCTCGTCAGCTCGCCGGTGCACGAGGACCCGAGGCTTTGCCGTGTCCGCGCCACGCGCATGACTCTCCGTATGCTCCAATTGCGCCACAGGTCACTGTTTGATCAACTGCTGAAAATTGACATGATGTTGGTATTGAATCTTCCTTGTCTTCTTCGCTAACTATTGCCGAAGCACTGCTCGCCGCAGACCGCTTAAGTGAGGAGACGGTCGTGAGCTTGTTCATGTAGATATTGGGATCTAGCTCGCGGAGATTCGAAGCTTTGTTCTGGGTGCTCCATCCAGCTGGGGCGGCGTCACTGTCCGTGAAAACGACAGTCTTGGTAGAGCTGGGATGCTTCGGAGATGGTGATCTCTCGTGCCTTGTTGGCATCTTCAGCAAAGTTGTCATCAAGGCTCTGAGATGATCAACCGATGCGGCGATGGAATCCTGAACGTCGACATAGGAGTCAGGAACTGCAACTGCCAGACCAGATAAAGAGCGCTTGTGAACTTCATGCTGGACAATAATTTGCTCTTGAAGGCGGAAGACAACATGATCAATGAGTTGCGTCTCATGGTCCAATCTTCGGATGCGCTCTTCCTCAAACCGAGTGGTCTGGTCTTGCGCTGCAGAAGGTGCCATTCCGAATGCTTCTATAAATTTATCTGCCGTCTAGGTCATGTGGAATCAGCTCTGGCACCATGATAAACAGACAAGAATCTTACCGCATAATCGTCATCGAAACGAGTGATCGCACGATCTTCGCATTCTGTAGCCTGGCTACCTAAGGCCGTCGACTGTTCCAGGAGCTTTCCAAAACTTTCCGAACACAAAGTTCCGGCAGAAGTGTGTCTCTACTGTGCAGTCCTGAGCTGTGCAGAGTTCGTCTTGACCATTTCAAGGCGCTAGTGTTGTTGCAAGACGTTGGCTTTCAGGATCTGTTGCATTTGTCGCATCATCTCGTCGTTTTCTCGCTCTCTGAGAGCCTTCTTGTTGGCTACAAATTCTGATAGCATATCGAGCGGCTGCGATTGGCTCTTTTCAAGCTGCTGGTTTGCATCCGACAGTTGAGCACGCAGGCATTGGGGTTCGTCGCGCTGCTCGACGGTTTTTCCCGACATCTCACCAAACATCGCCTAGAGTTCGTCGGAAAGTACTGAATGAGACCGTTGAAGTTGCGCTTGGAGGTTTCCGATGTCCTCAGCGGTAACTTCAAGCGTGCGTCTCACTGCTGCGCCCAGCTCTGCGATGCCCGTTTCCACAGTCGTCTTGAGCAGTCTTTCTTTGAGCGGTCCGACCTCTTTGATCGACTTGTCCATTTGATCCTTCCCTCGTATCGTTTGAGTCGCCAAGTCTTGATGGAGCCGACTGAAAGCGCTATCTTGTCCCTCAAGGGTCAGCCTCGTTGCGCTCAGGTTTGCCACTTCTTGGTCAATGAACGAGCGCGTGCGAGCTGAGAGGGAATCCAGGAGCCTTTGCTGTTCGGCCTGAAATGCAATGAGTTGGCTGTCAATAGACACTGACGTATCCACCACATCGTGCTGTATCACGCCGTAGCACTTCCGGTTCCGTATGTGCAATTCGGATTGCCTTTGTTGTTTGAGATGTATGTTCGCGATGGCTGTATTTGATTGATCGAGCAACGTTCCCGGTTTATTGTTGAGGCTCGTGAGTTGCTTCTCATTGTGCTCGTGCTGCCGGCGCGGTCTCTTCACCAGAGGGTAGCGTCTGTTTGGTACACACCATAACGGTAAAGATGGTATGACTGCGGGAGCTGAGATCATTCCACCTGATCGCTGCAACCTGTCGCTTGTGACTTCCGTTGCGAAGTAGTTGAAATGCTTCTTCATTGCACATTTCTATGGAAGATATTTTCATTGAGTTGTCTGGGGCAGAGCTGCTGGCTAGTGGGTTTGACGTGGAGTTCAGTTTGAGAAACTTGGCGAAAGCGTGACTCGTGACTTGTAATATGAGGCTGCGTCAATGAATGAACAAAGCTGCAGATCAAGTGAACAATCAGTTATTGTTGGCTTGCCTCTGCCAAGTTTGCCTGAGGCAGAACAACCTACCCATATGTTTTGGTAGTATAGCCTTCTTGACTCCATTTACATATAGTGCACGAGGGTCTCCTCTCTACAGAGCCTGGAAACCTACCTACTCTTCTATTTCAGCTTCGATATAATTTCGATCAGCTATAGATAAGAGTATTCCCGCGTAAATTGATCTAGTCACCGACGCTTCTCCACTGCCGCTCTGAGGGCAGCGATGACATTTCCGGGGTCTTGAGCGCCAAATACTGCACTGCCGGCCACAATCACATTTGCACCCGCATCGGCGGCCGTGTCGATGGTCTTCTCGCTGAGTCCGCCATCGACCTCGATGTTGAGCTCGGGATACCTTTGGCGCAACGCCTCCACTTTTGGCATCATGTCTGGCATGAATTTCTGACCACCGAAGCCGGGTTCCACGGTCATCACGAGAGCCATCTGCTTCATGGTCAGCAACAGCACACGTACACACCCACCCACCACATGAATTGCAATGCGCGCGACTCACGTCAGGCACTTCCTCTGGGTGCTCGCTGTCAAAGAGCTCGTACAACACATGCACCGGAGTCTGAGGCTTGATGGCCACGCCTGCCCTCATCCCTTGGGCGTGGATGTATCTGACCATTTCTTTGGGGTTCGTCTTCTGGTTGCTGTGCGTCTCTGGTGCCTCTGCAGCTGTGGAAGCAACAGCGGCCTCGTAGTGGAAGCAATAGAGATCACATCCGGCGTCGCGGAATGCCTTCACCCACTTCTTTGGCTATAGTCGTGCTGGTCAGCACCACAGTCGTCTTCCTACCGTGTGTCCCTTTGGTACTCCCGTTCAGCATACCTCAGCGATCATCATGTGGCAATCGAACGTGCCTTTTCCCAGTGCCTCCTTCGGTCGGTTCACGTGTGGCCTGATCATGGTCACTACAGGCGCGCCAAAGGTCATGTTCGGAACAAAATGGCCGTCCATGATGTCCACATGTAGCCAGTCGGCGCCTTGGCTGATGGTATCAGAGCATGCTTTCCCCAGCGCACCGAAGTCTGCACTCAGGATCGAGGGCGCTATTATGGCTGACGGCGGCATGATTGGTACGCAGTGCGACAGAAGCCCGTGTTCAATGACTGCAGTCAATATTGAGTAACAACTGTAAGGCACAAATGAAAATCGGGTTGTTTAGCACAACAGGAGCTGTAGGTATACATGCCGACGGGACGGCGAGGGAAGAAACGAGTGATGATTTTCGCGATCGACGTCACTAGGGGGTGCTGTTGTTATTACAAGTAATGTACCTCCTGTACCGTGTACAATGTAGGTAGGTACACATAGTCATACCTTTATCAAGATATTTGCGGGTGTCAAGCTGTGGGGCGGCGGGCCTGAGGCCTCTTACAACATTCTCGAAGAACTGGCTTCTCAAAGTCTAGGCAGTAGGTAATTTCTATATATCTGTTGAATCTGCAATATTAAATTTAGTAGAACGAGCATAGTAGGGTTGTAGCAAGGGTACATGTAACAATGTGACATTGTGCTATCCATATACGGCATACCGACAGTTTAGGCCCTCTAGGGTGTATTCGCATCGGATAGGTATAAAGTTATAAGCGTTGCCCAATATAGTAATGTCGGGGCTCAAGCCCCTACTTCCCATCTGCTATACACGCCAGGCTCTACCTCGTCCTCCCAACTCCACCACCACCACCACTACCGCCACCGCCATCGCCACCGCCATCGCACAGTAAGACATACTCGCCGACATGCGCACTGTATGTGGCTTGAGGCCATCGCCAGTCTCCAGAGAGCGCTCTGTAAGAACTCTCCTCGTCATGCAGGCAATATAGAGCAGCGTTTTCAATTGGCTCCGTCCAGCCGCCTGTCATACCGGCCAATACAAGGCCAAGCACGGCCAACCACAGCCAACCACTCATCCGACACTCCTCTGGTCGACATCAGCCTTTCGAAACCGCCCATCCGACACAATGGACACATGGATGGGGACTGGTTCCCAGCTGTGCAACACACCCGCCGTGCCGTTGCGCGGCCGTGGTGGAGAGGGATTGCTCTCCCGATCCAACCACGTGCGAGGCCAAGCATGAGGCTCAATGCGTAGCGCCCGCGCTCACAGCGGCCAGAGGTACATGTAATGTACTGTAAGCGCCCTGCCACAGCCTGCCACACATGGAATCACACACATACCTACGAGGATACCTTCAGGTACAGTAGGTACATGTACCTTAATCATCATAATTAATGGCGCAGGCGCTTGCTGCGAGTGAGCGCCGAGCGGTAGCCTGTCGTGTGGCCTGGTATAAGGGTTAAGAATGTCCTCCCTCTGTCCGCTGCCTACTTGACCTAATCCACCATTTCTGCGTTCTGGGTGTGTTTCCTGTTACTTACTCTCCTTTGTTTGTCGTTACGTACCTACAGTACCTTACGCTTCGACCGCAGGCCGGTCTCCAATCCACTCATTATTTCGATATCGCGCGTGATTTTTGCATCAAAAAATGACTAATACAACGACGTTGAGACCTGTGGTCTTCACGCCATCTGCGCCGGTTCGCAACTCTGATGGCGTGCGCAATACTATGATCGAAGATGCGCCTCAGGTCTCGCTCCGTCGAGCACCACCAGCACGACTGCAAGCACGTGTGCAAGGCAACACTCCCACGAGCGACGACTTTCCCACTCCCAGAGCCATTATCTCGTGCCCCACGACCGAGGGTAGCCCCAGTCTGAGCAGCTCTGATTCAGAGTCCGAGTCCGATTACAGCTCGCTCTGGAGTAAACGCAGCTCGGCAAGCTTCGATGAACTGTACGACATCACCGAGAGCGAGTCTGAAGAAGTGCCAATCAAGCTGTCGAGTTCAGTCAAGCGGAGAGTGGGCAAGAAGGACGCCAAGAATCGCATTCCTTCCATCATTATTCCATCTCCCGGACAATGGCCCACCATCGACAAGCTGACGTCCGCGTCTGTCCTTTCACCACCGCTCAACATCAACCTGTCTCCTTCCATATTAGCCCAGCTACAGGAGCGCGGTCTGCGAGTACCCAGTACGTCGTCGGCACCCTCTCTGGATGGTAGCCAAACCTCAGAAGAATTGACGCCGTCGAGCTGCCCGTCTACTCCTGATCTATCTCGAGCAGATGAAGCAGAGCAAGCATGGGAACCTCCAGTGCAGCTGAACCCATCATCAATCGACCTGCTCCAGCACATCAATAGCGATGCACAGTCTGAACAGCATCATGTACTTCTGGAGGTGCCCGAGGAAGCCACGGCGGAGATGAGGGAGGTTGCCAATTCGCCCCCCATCACTAGTCATTTCCGGATTGATACTCAAAATTTGTGTCCCCCGACTGAGGATGCCGATGACGAGCTTTCCGTGCTCTCGGTGCCATCGCCAGGAGGCTTCTTCGCCTCTCTTGACTCGACAATGGCCCGCAAGACATGGGCAGCTGCAGAGCTGACCCCGACCACTACCACAGCCGCGGAGTTCTACGGTGTACCATTTCGCCCTGCTCGCAATGTCGCCCTAGCGACCAGCACTGCAGCATCGTTCTACAACGTGCCATGGCCTGCACGTCCAGAAAGCCCTGTAGAGCACCTTGTTTCTGTCGCAAGCCCTACCTCCAATCAAGATCCGATTACTGCACGAAAGATTGCCTTCTCGCCCACAGATCTCGTGGACGCAGTGGATGAGATTGATGAGAGCTACGCCGACACTTTGCAGCAATCTGCTTCCGCGAACATCGATCGAACACAGCTGTGGCTGTCTGCCCAGACGACATACATGGCTGCCATCTGCGAGGACGATGAGGTGTCCAGTGGCCTCCACACCCAGGAAGAGGACATCACAAAGATGTCCACGCCGGTGTCCCTGGCATGTACAGACGATTCGCCTAACAAGAAATCCGTTCGTTTCGCAACAGTCGCGACAAGGTCACCCAAGGAAAGCCTGTCATCTGTTGAGGACCAGCGTGTCTCTCCTATCCACGATGGCACATTCTGGGAGGCATGGCGACAAAATAAGCGCTCGCAGCGCGCTCGCGACGTTTTCCAGCACCGACAAGCTCGTGCAGAGGCTGAGCACGTTCGACGTATTAGCGTGCCAAAGCAGCATGCGGATCAACTGCAGGGCAAGTTTGAGACTGTTACCACTCAGCGACCTGCGCCCGCACGTCCGGTATCCAGCTTGCTGCCTGTAGCATTGGAGGACGAGAGAAAAGAGCTCATTGCCGCTGTCGAGCGAGAGCGACAGGCGCTAGAGCTGATTCAGCCGTCCGCATGGCATCTTTCAGCGCAACGCGAAGTCAATGGCGGCAAGCTTCTTACCAGCCCGATAGTCACAAGCTTCAAGGGACGTAGGGACGTTAGGATCTTGGACCTCGCTGGACAAGTTCACTGTAGCTGGGCGTGGACTGTTGCCGAGGAGCATCCTGACGCCGAGGTCTACACCACTGTCTCGTCTGATGCTGAAGCTCATGTGCTGGCATCCTCGCTCGATGGGCCAAGCAACCATCATGTTGTGACTTCTCCAAAGCTCTGGCAACTGCCATTCGACAGCGACTATTTCGATGTGGTCTCTGCCCGTCATCTCTACAGTCACCTCAAGACCACATGGCCCAAGGGATTTGCCGCTGACGAGTGGGATCTCACTTTGCGTGAATGTCTACGCTGCCTCAAGCCAGGTGGATATCTAGAATTTGATTTGCTCGACGCTGAGCTGGTACACACTGATGCAGTCAGCCAGGCGCTCGGCGTCGAGTTCGCCTTCAACCTCAAGACCCGAGGCTACGATCCCTGTGCAGGCAAGAGCTTTCTCCCACGCCTCAGGCATGCCGGCTTTCGCGACATCAAGCGCGCCTGGATGATACTGCCTGTTGCTGATGCTGTCCCTCGCTGGAACGACAAACCTGCTGCTACATCTCATGAACGATTCATTACCATAGACGACACGGTACAACAGTTTGACCCACCCCTCACGGGGAGCACCGCGGATGTCCGCGCCATGACCGGCCTCGTGGGTGCGAGAATGTGGGAGCAATGGATGCTCAAGCTGAACGATGAGATGGGTCGCAGTGAGAGTCGTGCCCTGGACGATGTCGCCCAGGCCCTGGAAGAGGGTGGCAGAGGCAATGCTGCATGGCGATGCCTCGTAGGCTGGGCACGAAAGGAGGAGATCTGATGGTTTGCTGAAATCCATTGCATGAGGCGCGCTTCCCAGACCAGGTACGGTAGCTTAGTATAATAATGACGGTAAAAAGTGTATTGGCTGGTGTTTTGATGACCTGCATGCAGTCTATACGACTAGTAATTTTCTCATTCATTCATTCATTCATTCATTCATTCGTTAGTATTGATTGCCATTCGCAGAAGCATACATAAGGTACCCCAGGTAAATGTAGGTAACTGTAGGTAAAGTAGATGTAGGTATGTACCTGGTAGCTCAATTAAGCTCAGCTATACTACTGCATAAGGTACCTTGGTTACCAAGTACCTGTATTTTCTAGCATGCCTCTGCTTCGAGGCAGGCAGGCACTACCAGCCAGCCAGCCAGCCAGCCAGGAGAATGGGCACAATATACGGGGGAGCGCCAAACAAAATAATCCTCGAGAACAGCGCCTCGTTGATCTGCACGTGCTGGGTGGGCATCGAGCGAGCGTACATCATCTATTGACGTAGAGCTTACTGAGAAGTCTACTTCACGTCCCGTGAATATGTTACTCCTAGCCTTGCTCCTCGGGCTCCCGTGGTTCCTTTCATCAGAGTATTCGACGTGAGCGAGAGGGCCTCTTTTGGTTCCCGTTCTTCCTCTTTTTTTTCCTTCTCTCTCTCTCTCTCTCTCTCCACCCTGTCGAACATTTGTCATATCTAGCTTCAGCGCCTCGCTCTGGAGGTCCGGTCCAACTTTCAGTTCAGAACCCTTGCCTGACATCAAGCCTCCCCAGGCAACAGATTCGCCTTTACAGCAAACATCTTGCCGCTGACGACCGCGGAAAATCCATCCACTTGCCGAGCATATTGCTCGACTTGACGGCCAACTAGTAACGACTCGAGTCGTGACGGTTCTTGAGGCAACTTGAAAAGCTTCTGCCACTCATCTTCAGGAAGAGGTGCCTGCTTCTGTTGCACCCGAAGCGCGTTCTCCTGCTTGCGCTTCTGCTGCCACTGCTGGATCTTAGCCTGCTCGCGTGCAAGCGATCTCTGGTAATATTGCGCGTTGTTGTTTTCCGTCTGGTGGTTCTCGATGCTCTCCAAGATCAAGTCACACGTTTTCTCGAGAAAAGGGTCCACTGATAAGTCCAGGCTGTCCAGATTGGGGACAAAAGGTGTGGTCGAAATTTCCGGATCTCGAGAAAGCTCTGCCAGAGATGAAGGGAAGTCCAGGGCAGTTTTCTGGGGCGGCTCCTGCGGTAGCTGATGCAGGAACGATGTCAGAAGGTGCGAGTTATGGATTTTCACTGGCAGATCAACCAAGATATCCTGGTACCGCAAGTTGGACTTTTGGATACTGAACATGAACATCAGCACACATTTCTTCCCAAGCAGGGTGGTCACAAACGGCCCGCCTTACCTCTCTGTGGTGAACTTGCCCTCCTTGTAGGCGGCCATGAAGCTGGGCGACAGGCGGTAAGCTTTCAGGCTCAGGCTACCCTGGCTGCTCCTCGACACATCGAAGACGAGGGCCACAGTGCGCTCGTCCTGCGCGCGCTGGTAGAAGTATTGGTTCTCGATGAAGTTCGCATTGATGAAGCCACCCATGTTGCAGCTGATGTACCAGCCCACGTTCTGCGCGTCGGTATTGACCTCGCGCAAGAACTTGATCATCTCATTCTGGTACGCAACATTGCTCTTGGCGCGCGGGGCAGCGGCGGCCAGCGAGGCAGCGTCCTGCTGGTGATAGGGGTCGCTGTTGACTGAGGCTTCGGCGGCGGCGGCGGCAGGGAAGGGGAACGAGTTGGTGATGTGCACCTGCGAATTGATGTCCAGTCCCAGCAGAAATCCTGTGCTCGGTGTGGGAAATGTCGACGTCGCGTGTTTGATGATGCGCATGGCCACCAGCGCCTCCAGCTGCACCTCCTTGAGCGGCATCTCTTTGTTGGTATCGGCCATAGTTGCGGGAGTGTTCGGCGAGTCCCTGGCGTGTGGCGGTAGCGATGGTGGCAGATGGCCGGTGGTGGTGGTGGTGGTAATTGAGAATCAACGCCAAGCATTATTGTTCGTAGTCACAGCCCTCATCCATTCAGCTCGCTGCTTAGTAAGCGAGTCCTCATACGGAGTTTTGTTGCACCGTGTGAAGATGCCCCAGCTTGCTCGTGATTGGCTAACGTAACAAATATGCAGGTTGGTTGATGACTGAGCCTAAGGTCAGGTACCTCCCTGGAGGTACATGTAGGTATGCCAAGCCAACTCTTCAAGTGCGCAGGATGCAGCCTTTGGAGGCGAGTATATAGAGTCTGCATCAGCTACCTCTCCTACGCGCATACCTGTAGTTTTCGCCATCCTATTTACTCCACAGTTCGGGCACACAGACAAATGCGGCGGAGTTTGGAAGAATGCAGAAGTACCAGGTACCATTGCAGTTGATTCTACTAATCTTGCCTCGTGGTTCAATACTACAGGTACGTGTCTGTGCTATCTCGTAGGCAAATTATCATTGCCTACCTGATAGTTTCAAAAAGGACGCTCTCGCGCTGGATCGAATGGTTTATGCGATCTTCGATTCTATGCGTTATATATGCCTTGCTTCAAGGAAAAGTGTCAGGCATCATTAGAGTGGAAATGATCATATTTCAGTTACCGCTGACGAATGTTTTCTGGCTAGTCCTTATAGTCCAGCAACAGCAGATCAGATGCCTATACACCTCACCAAGCGACTTTGAAACGCTGGGTTTGCCTCGATATTTGCTCGAGATGATTTCAGATGGGGTTCTTGGAGCATTGGTCTCGAGATGTCGGTGGGGAGACGGAACGCGCAACACCCAGCTTCTGGGATATAGAGCGCGCTGGCCTTCTGGTGTACCATGTTGGGGGCTGATTCACGCCATTGTTGACATGATATATCGTGAGCTCTCGGATCACAACTTACATTCTGTAGCTACCTCCTACCTTAAGCTTGTTTACACGCCGGGGCGCCTTGCGACGGGAGACCATCTATTGCAGTGCGGCTCATATGTGAGAGACGGCCCCTAGATGGCTGGTGATGATGCTATGTTGAAACACCTGCATACCTACAGGGAGATGGCTAGAGTTCACGGAACAGAACTGGCCGCAACCCCTGCAGTCGATGGCAGATGAAGCAGCATGGAGAACTATAGCACTGCGTTTGCTTGCAACAGAACTACGCAACTTGCATGACTGGCCGTAATAAGCATTCAATAGCGCTGTTTGTTAGGGTTCCTGACTCTGTTGTGACGCTTCCAGACGAGACGAGCTACAAGTATCACATTCGTGCGTGATGCACATTGGAGAAGTCGGAGTAGCGACATTGCCCGTGGGCGTACCTGCATGAAATCAATTGTGAAGTGTGAAAGTAGGCATGCCTACACGTGATGAGCCTGAAATGATACTGTACCTACAAAGTGATAACAAATATGCCCGCAGCAGTCGCGATTCCATAGGTACCTCTCCTAAGTACATGTAGTACAAAAGTTCAAGGGTCAGTACCTCCTAGATGACTGTACAGCATGCTCTCTCTTCCGTACGGCGATCAGACAGGACACAGTGACGTCGGTCGTAGCAGGCCGAAGTAGAGGCGTAGTGGCGCCAGATGAAAAAGAAACACTTTCCACGGAAAGCCGTCCGTGAAGAACGGTCTGGTCCCCGCGGAGAGCAGGCACGATCGTAGATTTGTGGTAGATGTCGCTGCAAAGTCGGGATACGCGGAGCCCTGACCGGAGCAAATGCTCGAATCTTATACCGCAAGAGGAGTAGCTGCATCATGCATGGCGCAGGTTAGAAAGTCTACCGAGATCGACCTGACAGGACGTGATCGAGGGTTTGGGCACGTGCCGTGGCGTCCGTGCCAACCTACGCGCAGGGTCGAACCCAGCAGCCTCCGCTTCGCTCGCACTACAGTAGAAACTAAGCTACCTTAGCAGCCGGGCAGCCTCATGCGCGTGTCCCTGACGGGGACCCGTGGTGGCTCATTAGTATGACTGTTGGTGGACACAGGGCAGCCTCTCTGCGGACAGGTGACGCAAGTAGTGGAGGGAGCAATTCGACCAGCGAGCACCATCGCGTTCCGTGTTCGACAACTGATGGCGGGGGCTTAATCGACGTATCGCGCGCAACATGGATCAGGTCTCTAGAGCTACGGTCGGTCTCGACTCTGGAGGAAGCCACAGCGACCCCAGGAGAAGAGGAAGGGAGGAGAGGAGGAGAGGGGAGGGAAGGAGACACACACACAGAGAGAGAGAGAGAGTTCCGTGTGCCATCTCGATCAGACGGGTGGGCGAGGATCGCGGTGATGAGCACAATAGCACAGTAATGGGCTTGTTGCAGATGGCCAGTCGACTGAGTCATCTCGTGCGTGGTATGCGGCAAAACAGACAGCAGTGATAATAGTGCAACGTTGGTTGCATGGGGGAACGACGGGGACGGCATCCTATAGTATAGAAGCAAAAGGACTGCCCAATCGGTCGTGTGAAGCAGCCACAGGCGGTGCTGACCTGGCAATGCGCGTAAGAGGCAGAATGCGGCCCAGGGATCGCGATCGTGACAGTGAGCGCATCGCATCGCATCGCATCGCATCGCATCGCATCGAGCGCGACCAGGACCAATTTCACAGTAGTGGAAAGGCAGAACAGGAGTTAGGAGGAGGAAGAGGATTAGTAGGAGTAGTAGCAGTAGTAATAAGGTCGTTCTACTAGTAAGTGGTGTCGCAAAGCATGGCATGACATGGCACAGGAAGCAGGAAGCAGGAAACAGACGGTATAGCGGGGGGGTGCGGGACGCAGGTGTGTCCATGTGCTGCCGGTGTTACCAAAGGGCGATTGTTGGCAGTCCAGTTGTGTGTTGCTAGTGCCACACAGGCTTCGTGTCACACTGGACGACGGGTGTGGTGAGGCGATGGAAGACATGTGGTGGCTACCTACCTGCCTACCTACCTACCTAGATGTAGGAGGTATGTAGGTAGTGATGATAGGTTTACGGAGGTATGATGTAGGCCAGGCCAGGCCAAGGCAGGGCGATTTGGGACTTTGGTGTTGGGTCACGTCGGGCTTGTCGGCATCAGCCTCTTTGCCAACGCCCAATGGACAAGTGGGAAGTGATGGGCTACCTAATGGCTGATGATGGCTGATGAGTGGTGCATGGACATGCATACCCTGCTGTGCGGGACGGCCACTCCCACCATCGTCGATCGCACGAACGCAGCAGGGGTCTGGGGCAGTCTAAGCTTCGGACTAGGTAGGTTTCCTATAGTCTACCCACTTTCTCACGGTAGCCAGCGGCAGCGGTACGCCGGTACCAGATGCACCTCCAATGTTTCCCTTTCCCTTCAAATTGGACAGAGGACCCTGCTGGTCCGCCAGCCTTGCCTTGTCTTGCCTTGCTCTTTGCGTCTTGCCTACTGCCTACTGCCTACTGTTTACTGCCTACCTCACCTCACTCCCCTCCAGACTCCACTACCTGTACCTTTAACCAACAGTACCGCAGTACCTACCTACCTACCTACCTGACCTTTACACGGGTCTGCGACTGTCCCTACACTACCTCTTTACCTTTTTGGACTTGCCGCCGCACTGCCCTCCCTCCGTCACCCCCGTCCCCTCCGTTCCCTCCCCGCGGCGCGATTGGATTTCTGGTCTCTGCTGGAATGGCCTAAACGCATGTCTTTCCACACCTCATGGCTCTGAGCAGAACCTACCTGTAACCTTGTCGGTCCCGCTCTGCGCTGTGCTCCTTCCCTACTGCAGTCCACTCAGTCATCACTGCCTGACTACAACTCCTGCTCCTGCTCCTGCTCCTGCTCCTCCTCTTGTCTCCTCTGCTTGTCCGACCCTGTCTTCCTCCTCCTCCTCCTCCTTCTCCTCCACTCCTGCTCCTACTACTCTGCTCCACTCTCGCACACCTAAGGCACCTATACACATCACCACCACCACCACCACCACCACTACCACCTTCTTCTTGACACATTGAGACCTTGGGAGCATCACCGCTTGCACGCACTCGCTCGCTCTCTCGCCTCGGCACTCCAACCAGCTATATACATACCTACCTTACGCTAGTAGCACCTCACTGTAGCTGCTCATCACCAGCACCACCAGCACTAGCAGCAGCAACATTATCTACTACCTCGTTGCCACCAAGGACGCGCCTGCCCACCTGCCGCGAGCTGCGACCCATCCGCTGCTCCTTCACCCTTCAACGCACTCACTTGGTTCACGTCGACGCTGGCTTAGGGGTTTCACATGATGGACGGTAGAAATTGCATGTCCATCACATCACTACTCAACGACAGTAGTGACGGATCGCACGCCAAGGTCCCGCTGCCGTCATTGTCAGTGCATTCTCGCGCCTCGTCGTCCAGTTGCGACTCGACGCCATCCCTCTCGCCGCAGACTCCGCCGCAACTGTCGCGAAGTTCCTCCAGCGACTCGCGTACCTTCTCGACGCCCTCGCCGCTCACCCCGGCCTTCAACACCTTCGAGCAGGCCGCTGCGCAGGAACCCCTCCCCCCGGCGCCTGCGCCGCCGAACCACCCCGGCACCCAACACCATCAACAATATTTCCTGCATCGCCAGATTCACATGAAGATGGACGATCATGGCGCGTCCATGTACCCACCAATTCCCGACGTGTCTGGTGGCAGCATGCCGCAGGCATATCCGATGCCAACCCAGATGATGCTTCCACAGCAACAGGCGCAACCCCCACCCCCACATGCACAGACACTGCTACCCCCGCAACCGCAGTTGCATCCCCAGCAGCCGCAGTCGAAGCAGCAGCAGCAGCAACAACAGCAGCAGCAGCAGCAGCAACAGCATGGGCCACAGAGACATCAAGACTCTCAAGGGTTTCGAACATCCAACTCGCCCGTCTCAGAGCCGTCGCGCGTCTCGACAGTGTCAGCCCAATCGAACCAGAAACCACCGAAGAAAAACCAGTATCCCTGCCCCATGGCGAAGCAGGTCGGCTGCACCGACTTCTTCACCACATCTGGTCATGCAGCTCGACATGCGAAAAAGCACACGGGCAAGAAGGACGCCTTCTGCCCAGAATGCAACAAGGCATTCACCCGCAAAGACAACATGGAACAGCATCGTAGGACGCATCAGAATGGACGAGGTGGTTCGCGGGCGAGCAATGACGATTCGAAAGTGAAGAAGACCACTAAGGCGCCCACCAAGAAGGCTGCAATCAAATCAGAATCAGCCCTTGAGGCGGCGGTCGACCAGCAGTTGGCTGAGCAGGCGCAGGCCGCACAGGCACAAGTACAAGCACAAGCACAACAGACGGTCCCAGTCATGGACCATGCGCAAGCCCAGGCCACTCAACTACCCCCACAACTGCCAATCGATCAAATGATGCTCGCCGGTTCTGGGCCTTACTTTCTGACATCAATGGACAGCGGGCCGATTCCCAGCTTGCCGTTGGCCATGCCAGACCTGAATAGCAGGCCACCACTTCATCGTGCCAGCTTCGCTTCATCGCTCGACTATGTGCCACCCGCCGCGCCCATGATTGACCCCGAGACCCTTCACTACAGTTACCCAAGTCCCGGCCTCAGCCATGGATTGAATAGCTTGGCCTTAGCGGCCAGTGAACACATTCGTCAGCGAAGCTCTGCAAGCAAGCCGTCACGCAGTCCTTCAGAGACCTCGGACCAGAAAACCCCGTAGAGCGGCGATGGCTTCATGGGGTTCAGGTCTTTTAGATTATAATTTTTTTCAAGCGATATACCCAGAATCTGATTTCACGGCGTCACCACCTGGGACTAGCAACATGGAATGGAATTGAAAGGCAGAGGCGAGGCCAGGCTGGAGGTAACCTGTATACGCTGGGCGAGAGTACCTAGCTAGTTTGACATGAACACGAGGGAAGACGGACTGAGATCTGCGGTAGCAAGCACCGCAAGAAGAACGTAATAGTGTCGCCAGACTACCGTACCACGATGAACCCAGTCTCCCATTTCCAGTGCGTACCTCCTACATGATTTTTGTCGGTTGTTCCCTACCTCATTCACGTGGAAAGCTCCACAGATGCAATGAAAGGTTCTGAAACACTGTCTCACCAACGTACTTCCACTTGATCCATGTGGTTGCATAACCTGGTTCGACCTGATCCTGGGATGATATCACGACGAACAAGTCCGTCTCGTGGTTCCAATGAATCCCTGACCGTTGGTTGGAACACGACCAGCAGCAATGTTCTAGGCCCATGGCCCATTTGCAGATCATCTGTGAATCAATGGTCAATCTGCAACACATATTACATGCCTCCACACTGACGAAAATAGTATAAGGCCTTGAATACTTCGCGCTGAATTATGGATAAGACAAAGTTGGCCATAATTCGAGCAATTTTGGAAAATCTCAATTATCGAGGCTCAATTATAGGCCTCCGAAGTATTTAATCTCAATTATAGCTCTTAGCATTTATCTCAACCTTATCCTCCGTTGCCTGTCTATTCTATCCGTCTAAAATAATACTACTATACTATTCGTATCTATCGTATATCCTTCAATCCTTAATATATCGTAAGGAAAGAGTACTCTAATGCCTATATAAACAGTCGATAAACCCTATACTTAATCTACGCCGTCGTTACTACCGTCGCTACCGCCAAAACCTCGCCTAAAGAGAGTTAGGACAAAGGCGAGAAAGGTATCGAGCTACGACAAGGAGGATAGCGAATTAGAAAAGAAAGCGCGGAAGCCGCGTAGGCTAGTCTATCTATAGATAGACGAACAGATAGAGAGTATGTTTATATTCTTTAAGGATCTTCTCGAGATATAGAATAATAACTAGGGCTTCTTAGAGTCCTATATCTTGGACTACGTACTATTACTATACGCCGAGTATTAAGTTTAGGTTACTACAAAGCAGGTTAGGAACAAATACGACTCGTTCCGGCCTATATAGAAGGAATAGAAGGCCTACCTCGGACGTACGAGTAGTTAGTAGGGCTAGCTGCCTTAGAACGAGAAAGATATTGCAGATGTATACTTTAAAGAGTATCCGGATAGCGTACGTTTTCGCGACAACCCTCCGCTATTCCTTAATAGCCTAGAGGTATTATTCGGCGACCGGCTAGCTTCTAGCAATAAAGCTAAGACAAGTTAATAGCTCGGTAAAGAGACTATCGAGGATACTAGGGTAGAGGCTAGATTAAGAGTATCTATCGAGGATAATATCGTTTCTAGAGACGAAGATTAAGAGCTTAGTAAGGATAAGTAGCTAGCGTCTAATACAGAGATAGTTTAGAGCTCTGAATTCTCGTCTCTAATAGCGCTAAGTTTACTAGGCTCGAGTCGTAGTCCTAGTTAAGGTCGTAGTATACGTAGTAGTAGTAAACGTCTATCGGAGGCTAGGTTATCCGTACCCCCTAAGAGGCAGAGGCTAGTAGATACAGTACGTTCTTATACGAAAGACTATACTATAGCTGCTATCGAAGCGCTTAGAAGGCTAATTAAGCGGATAGTTACGACAATTAATACTAGCCGTATAGCGGAGAAACAGCCTATAGCTATATTAATCGAGTTAGCTATTCGGAGGGTAATAAATCTCGAAGGAATCAAACGCCTTAGCTTTATAAAGCGTATACAGCTATAGGACCTTATCTCTAATAGCGATGCTATTGCTATAGCCTACAAGGGTTCTTAGCTGTCCCGATAACGACCTCGAGGCAATGTTGAAGTACCTACTAAAGAAAAGGGGTATAGTAGATATTAAGGAAGAGGCGGATAAACTAGACGACGTTGAAGTACTACTCTTATCGCCTATACCGACCGCTATTTAACAGCGTTAACAGATGCCTACCCCGGCTATCTATAGATCGAATATACTATATAGTACTCTACTTAAGCATCTAGTATTCTAATATTCGCAGACCCTACTATCGCTACTACCGCTACAAGATCTCGATAGTTACTATAGACAGGGAGGTTCGTAGTATTAGGACTAGTAGAGCTATAGGTATAAGTATAAGCGGAGGTAAAGTGTATATATAGTTTTTACCTATATAGGACACCGACGATAGGTAGTATATAGCGTTATTATATACAGACCCCTTGCCTATCCCTTACCTCTTCCTAGGATTATTTATTCGTAAGATAGTAGTATATACTATAGGCTTTACGATCTATTACAAAGTATCTGTAAATAAATAGTAGTAATTCTCCTTAGCTTTTACGATCTCCTGTTATTCGAGGTGCTTAAGACCTAAGTATATCGACAGAGTAGGAGTATTCTAGTATAAGAGTATAGTGTCTATTGTATATATAATAGCTGACCTAGGTACCGATTTAATTCTTCTCTTCTATCTACTACCGCTATTGCTTTAACTACGCCTATCTATCTCTAGGTATTAACAAAACAACCGTTAAAGCAGCTCTAAAATGTCTTTAGGCCGTAAAGATCGTTGCTCTAGAACCCTACTAATGTACCCTATATTACAAGATACTATACTTGTAGTAGTAGCAGGTATCTAACGTAGCGAGATAAGAAGTAGCTATAAGCGCGATATATAGGTTCTCTAATTTATACTTACCCTAGGTAGTAAGTATACTAGGTATAAATACGATATACTAATTGATAATAGTATCGAAGCTTAATTCTATCGCGATATACAGTATACGATTCGGCTCTCTCTTATTGTACATTATATAACTAAGAACGACGAGAATACTAGTCCTTCCGATTGCGAGTCTAGCTATACTACTCCGCTAGGCTATTCTACCCCGTCGCCCCCTCTACTAGACAACGAGAGTAATAATAACGATATCTTCGTTATTGCCTCGGAGAAGAGGCGTATTAGTCGTCCTATAGGTTCAAGATTCGACTTTCGTCGCCCTACTTTATAGGATAGATAGTAGTCAATCTCTAAGGAGCGATAGAATACAAACGAGACTAGCCGTCGTACTATTACTAGGGCGAAGCTCGTCGACAATGCCTATCGATAGACTAGGACAGGTCGTATATAAGAGCTAGGTACTACTCGTCCTAGGGGTGCGTATAAGCTATACCGTAAGAAGGGTATAGCTATAGCAGCTGACTGTAGGATATATATTTCGCACCGGATATATAGAAGGTATATATTTAATAAGATAGTAAAGAAGTATACTAATTAATAAGAGTACCTATATAGTTTATTATGTCTGTACTTTCCTCCTACATTTTTATTACGACTGTTCGCTAGGTTTCTACGACTATAGGTACGGAGCGGAATACGAGCTAATTATTGTATCTAGGCTATCCCGTAATACGCTAGAATACGTAATATCGCCTAGAACGATAGGAAGTCTAGGGTCTATTTACCTACAACTATGTATCAATATATACGCACCCTATTTATATAGTCAATATACTACCAAATCTAACTATTCTTGTACGAGTAGTTAGCGACGACGATACTTAACTATCGAGTAGATACGTAGTTAGGAGGTAGAGAGACTATAGTTGTTATTTGGTATACAGCGGGAAAAACATACTACTAAGACTAAGAACTTTAGCTTTAACTAAGATACGTTTATATATATATTATTATATGCCCCTACCCGAATTAGGTCGACAGTAGCTTATTTTCACCGTATAAGTTAGACGAACAAGATAGGAAAATAATAATAATAAAGTTCCTCTATCCTACTACTCTCCGTCCTAGATTTGTTACTTTTATTAACAACTTCACTTCTACCTAAGATACGTTTATATATATATTATTATATGCCCCTACCCGAATCAGGTCGACAGTAGCTTATTTTCATCGTATAAGTTAGACGAACAAGATAGGAAAATAATAATAACAATGTTCCTCTATCCTACTACTCTCCTACTAAGAACTCGACTTATATTAATAGCTTCATTTTATTAATAGCCTTACTTTACACTTTATCAATGAATTCCTTTTCTTTAAAAGCCTTTACTTTGTCTCGTCAATGCCTTCCCTTTGTTTATAAGTTATAATAGCTGTTGCCTCCTCTACTATATCTTTCTTACTCTTCCTACTATATACTATATACTATATATTATATATTATACACTACCTATTATATACTATATACTATATACTATATACTATACACTATACACTATACACTATATACTATACACTATATACTATACACTATATACTACACACTATACACTATATACTACTATAACAACTGTACTTATTAATACAGTACGTATAGTAGTAGTATTGGTCTAACCAAACGACGACTGTCTAGTATAGCTAGTAGCTATCTAACTATTAAAAGATTACCTAGATAATCTACTAGATACCCCTCTCTATATTGTAACTAGGAGTGTACTCTGCTTTAAGAACGCTAACGATCGCAGACAATATACCCGAAGCTAAGGCGATCTACTAGCGACTTCTGTGTAGATAGTTATAAAACCTGCCCTATAGTATAGGATAGCTAATATTCTACGGCTCTTTCTCTATACTAGTTAGTATCGAACAACTAGTATAGCTAATATAGCGGATTAATAGTACTGTATACTAGTAATAAAGCTAGAATAATACTAGTATATCTATACTACTAGTAGAGTAAGCGAGGAGGATATAGCGCGAGGGGCTGTACGGATTTACCGGCTTTAGGGTATAGCTATAGTATAGCATCTCCTAGGGAGCTATACCTCTGAGCAAAGAGCAACGGTATATATAAGAGATAGTATATTTAGGCAGTGTATTAGGGAGTCGCTAGGGGCAGTAGTAGATATTTTCGACGCTACGGTAGTCTATAGACTTATAGGCAGCGAGATACTTAAGTATAATAGCCTAATGCGAGGGAGGACACAAGTAGCAGTTGTTCTATAGGGAGATACCTAGGTTACTATTAGTAGAAGACATAAGTTTATTGTAATAATATAAAGAATCGAAAAACTAACCTAACTAACTCAATTATTCTTATATAGTTTGTTCGCCTCTAATCTTTTACGATAATCCCGCTACATCGAGGTTGCTACCTTGTTATAGTATACCGACATCTTACTTCTTATCGCTATTAACTTACGATTAGTCTCTGCTATAGTATCCTTGACTATACTAGCCTCGTTAAAGCCAACGTCTATATTAGGTAGCTGCTATATAAACTCTTCGCTCTCGACTAGCTAGCTATTACGTAGAATAAAGTTATAAAGAGCTAGAAGAGTATATACAAAGCGAGACTACTATAGAGCACTATACCCCTTGTTTAGACTATTACGGAGAATAGGCTAGCGCTCCTTATTAATCCCGAAATTACGCTTAATTATATTACGTAGCTAACTATAGCGTAGGTTAAAGAGCTCCTCCTTAGTCTCTAGCTTCTACTCTAATACGAGCTACTCTCGGAGGTAGTATCTTGTCTTCTAATATAGTACGAGGATATAGGCTAGGTTTTTCGAATAGCCGCTATCCGCTAGATAATAGCGACTACTTAGAATATATATCCCCTTCCTTAGTACGTCCCTAAGTACTATACTATTATTTGCAGAGCCCTCCTAACCTAGTAGAACAAAGGTATAATAGCTATTAAAGTTACAGTATGCTAGTACATTCTAAGATAGGCCGCCCTTACGGTTACGATAGGTACTAGCGTTTTTAACTAGCTTTAGTTTAAAAGGGACGTAAGATCTATTAAGAGCTCCTATATAGCTAGAGAGATATAGCTATAGCTTCGGGTTAGATACAATAGTAGAAGGTATAATAGTATCGCGGTCTAGCTATATAACAATATCGGTATAGAGCTAACAATATAGCCTACTAACCTTAAGGATAGCTCGTCGTATAGTAAGAGGCGAGTGCTAGTAGATCTACCGTACCCGATTGTTCGTAGTCTTATATATAGCCGAGTTAAGGAAGATAACGACCTACTCTATAGCGCTTACTTTACGACCGTAGGTAAGACCGTAATCGTTTATTAGTATAGAAACCAAGGCCTTAAGGACTAGCTAACGGAGCCTTGTTATAGTATACGAATATTCCGGCGGACTACTTAGTATAATATTCGTCTACTATAAGCCTAGTTCTAGCGCGACAAAAGTAGTTATTACGCTAGCTAGGCGATACCGTAGAGCCTAGCCTTTAAGGGTAAGAACTCGGATAGCCTACAATACTATCTAGATATATAGTAGTATCGCAATATCCTCTAAATTACAACTTTCTAGACGGTCTGCTATCGCGATATTAGGTAATGTATACGCTAGGCTACAATTAGGAGGAGATTAGCGTCGTAGAGCGTACGTAGGCCTTTACAGGGGAGAAAAGCGAGATTGAAAAGTAAGCAGAAGAAAATTGAACTCGCTTTTCAAAATTGAGCTCAATTATAGCTTACTTTTCATAATTTGAGCATAATTCCGATAATTCGATAATTAGGCTCAATTATGGCTCACTCCGAGGTATTCGATCTCAATTATATAATTGAAACTGTCTTATAGATAAGACAGGTTGAATTATCGATAATTCAGCGCGAAGTATTCAAGGCCTAAGCAGCTCCCGTCATGTAGGCGCGTAGGGGCGGCGGATGGGTGGGGGAGGGAGCAAGTCGTTAGTCTTGTTTGCACCATACATTATTGCATAAGGTAGGTACATGTACCGACGTAGAAGGTAAGGCAGGGTCTCGTCAAAGCGGATTTCTCTCTGTCGAGTTCGGGCTATATCACATTGAGCTGCATTGGCTGCCTTACTCGAGCTGGAAGCTGACATACCACCTAGGAGGTAAGGCAGGTATACTTCAAGCTCTCCTCAATATGTGTCTCTACCGGTTTCATGTACTGTTTTTCCTCACGAATAGCACACGGACAAGTACTCCATGGGTCGTACTGTTTGAGACTAGTCACATCTCAGCAAATTCAGTTACTTGCAGACTGTGAACAACATCGTCGTCCGATAGCTCGTAGTGCCCGTAGCCAGTGCTCGTCTCGAGTCACAAGGCTATCTGCGCTCGGCCTGCATGCAAAAGGGACTTTTCTTGTGACGAAGCGGATCAAGGCCGGCCAGTCTAGTCGCCTAAGCACAGCTGCCAACCTGCACCTCTTCCCCCACTTTTGAGAATTCTACCACGCCAGCACGATGCTTGATGCACTTCCGCACTGTGCCCCAGCGGTATGGCAAAAATATCTCATCGTTGACTTTGTCGAATATACTCAGCTGAACTGGCGACACCAGCAGGGTCGCTTCCTCGCAAAGCGGCTTCGTAGCGAGCCTTGACGCCTTCCTCGAATGCCTTGTTGATTTCTTCTTCCTCTGCCTCGTCGGGATCGACACGACCGGCATCGTCCTCGTCCTCGTCCTCCATGTCTTCCATGTCGCTGACAGTCTCCGGCTCCTCTTTCTTGGCATATTTGCCGGTGCCCTTTGCTCTGGAGGAAACACTCATGTCGTTCATCATCCTGTTCACTTCCTGCTCGTGAATTTGCCCCCTCTGCTCCTGTGCTTCCTGCCGCCGTCTTTCCAGCTCCGGCATGTAGTCCGTCTCAAACTCCTGTCGCTTCGTCTCCACGGCGTGGAAAAAGTCGTCGATGCCGTCGCCCGTCATAGAGGACACGCCGACGACGGACAGATGGTTGTAGAACTCCTCCAACACTAGGCTCATGCTGTTGAGCAAAGGACCCATGTAGCCACCGCCCTCGCGCTGATCGTCTTCCTCGCGCTGCACAGCGGCCTGAAACGCCTCAAAGTCGCGCATCCACTCAACAGCGCCCTCTTCAGACTTGACGTCGGTCTTGTTGAAAACGAGGACCATGGGCAGTTTGGTCTTATACAGGATACTGATAGCATAGAGCATGTTGGACATGAAAGTGCTGGTGTTCTCGGTGGAGCGCGGCGTATCGATAATGTAAGCGATGACAGTAGGAAAGCTCGAGGCCAGCGAAGAGAGCAGGATATTGCCCGAGGCGGACCACACAAAGACCTCGATCTGGCCGGGCGTGTCGACGATGATGTGGAAAGGGGTGGTGGAAGGAACGGAGGTGGTGGAAGCAGCAGCAGCAGGCAGACAGCGCTTCTCCAGGATGGACATGACCTGGTCGATCTTGGTGCTGAACAGGTTGAGACTGGTAAGGATGCCGCCATTGGGGCCCAGACGGTACTGCTTCATAACTTCCTTGTAGTTGACCGAGTCGCGGATGTCGATGTTGGAGTCAAAGGGCAAGTGTCGCACTGCAGGATCGAGGTTTACGACGTAGGGAGGCGCTGATCGTCCGCGGACATCGCTGCCGCCGCCACTGCTGCTGCTGTTGTGAAGATGCGCGTTGATGCGCTGCATGAAGGTCGTCTTGCCGGATCCCGCCATCCCAACGCAGACCACCGCGCACGGGGGCCGCGTGTTGCCGCCGCCGCCGCTGTGCTCCGCCATCATGACCGTGTGTCGAACGATGTCTGTGTCTGTCTCGGTGTATGCGTTGCAAGGCGCTGAAAGGAACTTCGAGGTACATGTACAACGTACCTGACCTCTATTGTACAAAATCGTCTTCGCGCCAAGCTTAGACACACTTGCTAGCGCGATGCATGTGCAGACGTGGGGTAGGTAGGTACCTACCTTATGTACAGTGCGTACCTTACATGTGTCATGTGTGATTCCTTGGCACTCACTCTTTCAACGTTACACGGATTCGATGCGATCGATGCCTACCTAGGTATACACGACATGGCTGCCACGCTCGAAGAATTTGAGAGGCAGCTAGCTAGCAGCAAGTCGCGCAATGACGACGACGACTACGGTGACAGAGAGGCTGCGGCAGGAGATAGCGACCGCAAACACCACCGAGAACATCGATCCCGACACCGCGACGGCCACGGTCACGCCGGGCGTGAGAAACGGCACCGACATCGTTCCCGGCATCGAGACGACAATGAGCAACGACACCGCCACAAGCGACGACATCGCGATCGCGACCACGATGACGACAATGAATCACGCAGAAAACGACACCAGAGCCATTCCCCACGCGAGGTAAAGCATGGTACAAACCAGGATACCGCCGCAGCGGTGAAGGCGTTGAAGAGCGACGACAATGATGATGGGGACTGGGCGGAGAAGGAAAGTGCCGCAGCGCCGGCGAAGGACGGTACAAAGGCACAGCGTGATGCCTGGATGCAGGACCCCGCTGCATTGGAAGTGGACTATGTGCAGAGGACCCGGCCCAAATCACCGCCTGGTCAATTCGTGGGTGCAAAGCAGAGTCATGATTTCAAAGTGACCGACCAACAGTTTAATGAGCATCTTGCAGAGCTGCAGAACGACTGTGACTCGAATGGTGACGACGATGCCGAGAAGGTGAAGGATGAGCCCGCCCAGCACTACGTAAAGTACACCTTTGGTGACAATGGCAGCTCGTGGCGTATGACGAAGTTGAAAGGAGTATATCGAAAAGCTGAAGAGACTGGCATGGATCTGGACGTCGTCGCGGAAGAGTCGTATGGAGACCTTCGGCTGTTCGACGACGCGCGGGAGGAGGAACGCGAAGTGAATAGGCGTGCCATGTACGGCAAAGAATATATCGGTCGGGAGACACCATCGGGCGAACTGTTCGCAGAACGGAAATTGAGGACGGTCGTTAGACGCGAGACTGAGGACAAGGGAAGAGGGGCAGCATATCCGGCTGATGGGGGGCACATGCGTGCAGCGAAAGCACCCCTGCAGAGTGCGCCTTTCGATCAAAGTGCACTCAACAAATGGAAGGCTCAGTTGATCAAGGCGAAGCTGATGAATGCATCAAATGTAGCACAACTCGAGGAGGAGTATACGCTTGCAGAGACAGCGTTCTTGGCCCATCGGGCACATCCTGGCGTGGTGGTACTAAACGACATGGAGAATAGGATGCTGGCAGGAGACCGTTCCGGGGAAGTCACGGCTCTAACTGGCAAACGGGCCCTTGAGCGTGGCACGGTACAGGAAAACGAAGACATGTCGATCGAAGAAATGGTCAAGCAGGAAAAGCGCACACGAGGCGCCAATGGAGGCGAAGGGCGCGCTTTTGCTGAGCGCATTGCCAAGGATGGAAAATTCAAGGACAATTTGGAGTACATGGACGACAATGCCGCGCACCTGTCCAAGAGGGTGGTCAAATCGGACACGAACCTACGCAATGCAGCCGTCGGCGACTTTCAGAGGATGCAAAGAACCCTGGATAATTGCCCACTCTGCTACCATGAGGATTCCAGTGCGCCGCCCGTAGCTCCTGTGCTCAGCCTGGCCACGCGCACCTATATGACACTTGCGACAGAACCAGAGATGGCAAAACACGGCGCCGTTGTTGTTCCGATTCAGCATCGTCTCAATCTCCTGGAGTGCGATGACGACGAGTGGGAAGAAATCCGGAATTTCATGAAGTCTCTTACTCGCTTCTACCATGCTCAAGACAAGAGTGTGATTTTTTACGAAAATGCCGCTCATATGCATAGCCGCAAGGGACACGCCGCGCTCATGGCGGTACCGCTGCCACACCACCTCGCCGAGAACGCTCCGGCCTATTTCAAAGAAGCGGTACTCGCATCCGACGAGCAGTGGAGCCAGCACAAACCGATCATCGATACTCTGGCGTTGACACAGAAGGCTGGCTATGGCAAGGCAGCATTCAGGAGAGCCATGGTCAAGGAGATGCCTTACTTCCATGTCTTCTACACTCTAGACGGCGGCATGGGGCACGTTATCGAAGATGAGAGACGATGGCCCAAGGGCGATCTCTTCGCGAGGGAAGTGCTGGGCGGTATGCTCGACAAAGGTCCAGAGGTCATTAAGAAGCAGGGTCGGTGGGAAAGACACGACCGGAGAGTGGATAGCTTCAAGAAGAAATGGGATCCGTTTGACTGGACGAAGGTGTTGATGGAAGCGCCATAAGCGGGACGGGACTGGCCCACGCTGCCCGTACCTCCTACATGTAGTTGTAGAAGACAAAGGATACGGTATTGGCAGCGCCTAGTCGCTCCCTTGTGCTGTTCCTTGGCACTGGAACCTGGAAAGTGACGGCCAGGCGGAGCAGGAAAGTGCAGCTAAGCATGCCCGTAAAAGTGAGTGAATACAACACCTGGAGGAGTGGAGGTAGGAGGTAGGTACATAACGCTGAGCTGGGCCCTAGAGAGTGGAGACAGCAGGGGTGTGGGGAGTGCTCCTGCTGCAAGGCTGTTGCTGTTGCTCAGTTGCTGGATAGATGCATGCATGCATCATGTCGTCATTGGCGACGCACACTCATTTGGTGGCTCAGGTACATAAGGCAGGCGCAGGCAGGTGGACGAACTTGCATTCCCTGATGTTACCTATTGTGCGCTCGTCACCGCACTGCATGCCACCGCCAGCTCTGGAACCTCGAAATTGACCCTCTTGCACATCATCCACTCCGCCATTGTCGCTGCGTGGACCGCGAGACCACTCGCACGGGAAGCCTTGGCGTTCGCAGGACAGGTTGCAGGGCAGCAGGCCCACGCTAGGAGGTAGCACATCCACAAGGGCGCAGTTCGGCCGCAATCATCATGGCGGACCAGCAGCAGCAACATGCGCCGGGCGGAGCATACTCGGGCAAGAATAAGATCCCTACCATCGGCCAGTTCATCGACCGTCTTGACAAGGACAAGAAAGATCGGGACAGGCAGATCGATCAGAGCCAGAGTGCCGTGGCCGGCTCATCAGACGTGAAGCCTCACCAGAATGAGAAGAGAGAGGCGGGCGCCGGCAAGACCGTCACCGACCCTACGACCGGCAAGCAGGTTGTCGTCGAAAATGTGAATGAAGCTTTTAGAGAGCGAGCCATCAACCCAAGCCTTTCAGTCCCCAATGCGAACTTGGGCAAGGATACGCCTGTCAAGACCGATGCTTCTCAGAAGAACCCCGAGTACAAGGAGATGCAAGACATCACGGCTCCTCCAGATCCAATTGCTGAAGGCTCGACCAGCGACGTGCCCATTCATGGAGAGAAGACTAACATTCTGTTCCATCCCACACCGAGTGTGAGCTATGAAGCCACCTTCAAGCGGTTGGAGGAGCGAGGTTTGTGGCTGGTAATAGGTGTCTTCCTCGCCATTGTCATTGTGGGACGCGTATTCGGTGGTCGCTATCTTGGGCTGCTGCCTCTTGGAGCATGCGTTTCCAGCGGCATCTGGCTCTGGATCAAGGAACTCATCCGATCTGGCAGAGAAGTGGAATGGGAATCGGAAAAGACCCGTGGCGAGACAGCCACTGCCAATCTCCTTCCAGAGAGTGTCGAATGGGTAAGTGGGTACGCGTGGAGCTTTCCCCGCACACTCTAATGCAATGTCCAGATGAATACCTTGCTCGGCATCGTCTGGGGTCTCGTCAATCCTGATATGTTCCAAGCCGTAGCAGACACTCTCGAAGACGTTATGCAAGCGTCCGTGCCGGGGGTCATCGAGAACGTCCGCGTGGCAGAGATCAATCAAGGCAGTAATCCCATCAGGATTCTCAGCCTGAGAGCGCTGCCTGACAATCACATGAAAGACATGAAGAAAGCTATTCACGAAGAGAACAAAAAGAATAAGGATCCACAGGAGGCAGCTGCTGATGAGGAAGGTGAGTTGACCTGAGTACCATCAATCTATGGAGGCGAAATCTGGTGCACAAGTGCTGACGAAGAGTAGGAGGTGATTACTACAATCTTGAGATTAGCTTCGCATACCATGCTGCACCTTCTGGAGTGCGAGCCAGCGACAAAGCACGGAATATGCACATGCAGCTAGTCTTCTATCTCGGCATCAAAGGCCTGTTCGGTGTCCCATTGCCCATCTTTGTCGAGCTTCAGGAATTGGTCGGTACTGTACGTCTCCGTCTGGCCATGACTCCCGAACCGCCATTTCTCAAGACACTTACCTTCACCTTGATGGGTGTACCGCATGTGGCCGCTGGCTGCGTGCCTATGCTTGCGAACGGTGTCAACATTCTCCAGCTTCCTCTGATCTCGAACTTTGTCAATTATGCGATCGGCGCGGCCGCCAGCATGTACGTGGCACCCAAGTCAATGTCCATTGATATGCGAGCGATGTTACAAGGCGATGATATCACCAAGGACGTCCAAGCTCTTGTAAGTTGCATGGAGCCCGACCGCTGTGATGCCGTACATAATGCTGACTGATGTGTTCCTAGGGTGTGCTCTGGATCCGCATTCATAAGGCGGTTGGTCTCAGCAAGCAAGATAAGCGTGGCTCGAAATGGGGAGGTAGTGACCCGTATATCACGTTGACTTTCTCCAAGTATGGAAAGCCGATGTATTGCACGAGAGTCATCACGGACGACTTGAACCCCATCTGGGAGGAGACCACAGCTCTTTTGGTCACACCTGAGCTGATCAAGGCCGATGAGAACCTTAGTGTGGAACTATGGGACAGCGATCGCCATTCAGCAGACGACATTGTTGGCAAGGTCGAGCTCAGTATGCAGAAGATGATTCAGCATCCAGGTAAGATGTACCCACAAGTGTCGCAACTTGCAGGCATGGATGAGGGCTCGAATATGCCTGGTGAGCTGCATTGGGAGGTCGGCTACTTTGGCAAGGCACAATTCCGTCCCGACCTACGCACTGATGGCAAGAACAAAGCGCTGCCCGACACACTCAAGGACAACCCCGAGCTGCAGGACGAAAAAGGTGTACAGAACACCGCCTCAGACGACGCGGTAGCCCATACTCCTCCAGATCCGCTGTGGCCCAGCGGAATATGCTCTGTGATCGTCCATCAGATCGTGAATCTTGAGCTGGAAAATGTGAAAGGTACATCAGGCACCCGCAACGGACATGAATTCGAGCCGGCCAAGGCGTACGGCGAATCGACAGAGGAGGAAGGACAAGACTTGCCCACCTCATACTGCACGATCTTGTACAACGATGAGCTTGTCTACCGCACGAGAGCCAAAGCCGTGAGCAGTAAGCCCATCTTCAATGCTGGAACGGAAAGGTTCGTCAGGGATTGGCGCAGTGCTATTATCACAGTGACCGTGCGGGACCAACGCAACCGTGAGCATGATCCCATTCTAGGAGTTGTTCCATTGAAGCTTTCGGACATTCTTGAAACCAGCAGCCAGGTCACCAGGTGGTACCCATTGGACGGCGGTATTGGCTTTGGCCGCATCCGCATCTCGCTGCTCTTCCGTTCCATCGAAACTCGACTACCTCCTCAGCAGCTCGGATGGGATGTCGGCACATTCATGTTCACATCAGCTAGGATTGCTGCTAAAGACTATACGCACCACGCTCGTATCAAAATGCGAACAGGAGGCTCGACCGGTAAGGTTGGACGTTCCGCCTGTCATTCGTTCAACGAGGCGGGAATGAGTGGCTACTACTGGGACCTGAGTCAAGCGCAGCGTGACGATAAGCCCATCCGGCTTCCAGTCAAGTACCGATACAGGTCTCCCATTGTTTTTGAGCTTCATGTCACAAACAAACGTAAAGCGGATGCCTTTGCAGTCCTGTGGCTTCACGAGCTCACTGACAATGACGAGAAGGAGGTCGACATCCCCATCTACCAGACAGCAGCGTCCGCGCGTCTGACGCAGAATTACATCACACCCGAGATGATAGCTGCAGGAGACATCCCCGGACTCGATGATCTCAAGGAGATTGGTCGACTTCAGTTCGCGGGAAGATTCAAGGCTGGCATGGATGAGTCGCATGAGGCTTTTGTCGCTGATAATAACTCACGCGAGACTTTTGAGACTTGGGAAGCTTGCCTTGCGGAGGGCGTCCGTACAAGACAGGTCGAGAAAGAGCTACCTGAGCGTGTGCAGACCCTCCACGATGAGTCTTTGACCAAGGGCCGCGATATATTGAAAGAGGCACCCGAGGAAGAAAAGACGAGATGGCTCGCGAAGACTGGCACTGACTGGAGTGGTGCTTTCGGAGATGATCCTGCCAATTACATGGACAAAGATGGCAAAAAGCGACGTGAGCCAGGCTCGGATCCTCCGTTAGCAGATGGAGAAGATGCCGAAAAGGGTGGGCAGCTCACGGATGAGGACTATGATGACAGCGATTCCGATCTGGGTGTCGTGGACGCTGCTAATGGCGGCAGCCCATCGTCAGACCGGCAGTCAATAGGGACAATGGAGTCTGGGTGGACCGCAGGCACGACAGATACCTTTCAATCACAGAAAGACGCCAACAAACAGAACAAGAAGACAGAGGAGCGCAAACAGCGTGGTCTCATGCAATGGAAGCCAGCTCGTAACCTGAAATTTGCCAAAGATGAGTCTATCATCGGCATGCGCAAGTTAAAGGGCAAGATCACAGGCGGCCTGGATGGCAGGCAACCTGGCGTCGTAAGTATTCGCCGTCAGTGGAGAATGAACGGACAATTACTGACCTTGCTTTACCATTACAGGAGACAGAAACTGGTCAGTGAGAGGGGAGAGCTGTATCAGCCAGCAAAGAAAGCGATGTTTACGAGTGGTATTAACAGTACGAGAAATGGGTTGCGACTAGTACATGAGACAGTGTTTGGAGTCGTGGCAATAGCATCATCGTTAAAGACGGGAAACCGAGACTCCAGTGTAGGCTACTGCGTCAGATTTTTGTCTACTTGTCGGCAACATCGTCACTGCCAACAATTACGCGTTCAATTAAAGAAAAAGCACACGCAAATGCAGCAAACTGAAGAGACGAATGTCATGTGACAGAACGATCATGATCGTGAATACAATCTGCGATATGTTGAAAAGTATGCGAATCCCCTGTAAGAACTGATATCACGAGTGACCTTGCGTTTGTGGATTAGGTAGATGCTTAAAGTGCATACCGAGAGGGAGAAGAGACGTAAGGTACATGTAGGTATCAGTGCAGGACGTGCAGCAACAGTGAATATACAAGTGAGACATGCAATTGGAGAGACTCTCATTTTCCTGACTCTTGACCGCCTCAGAGCTCGAAAAGAGGAAGAGAAAGAGAGAGAGAGAGAATACATGATCGAGGAGTGAAAAAGTAATCAATTATTGTCAAACCACGTGACAGTTACAGGAGTGGTTTTTGTTGGTCTCCTCGAAATTCAACCACAACTTGCGACTTGGCTTGGAAGACGAACCCCGGTTCTGATCATCATTCTGTGCCCAAACAAACAAGCATCAGATATCTGGGGAAAATGCCCAAAAAGACAAATACCAGAATGAACCAACCCAGGTCCAGACAGGAGACTGTCTATGGGGAAAAGGATACCAGATGCAACCGCACAGCAGCTCATCTCTATCAATATGACGATTAAAATCGTCATAAAACGCTCGTTATCAGCTTCCGGACACAGTCTGCTTGAAATGCATAAGCACGAAAGGTCCAAAACGTGAGCGGCCATGCGCGAGAAGCTCCCTCTCCTAGGATCGGAAGAGCTACTCATGCCATGCGCCTGGAGCACGGCAACATATGTCCGGCTCGTACTGTATCCTGGTCTGCGCCACAGAGTGCATCTTTGCAACGTCTCAATACTCAATGAACTATGCATCTGACTACTATCCCCGGGGCAAGCCACAGCAGGGTGCAGTCAGTACCACAGGTCAGTGAGGTGAGCTCTGGAGCAATGGTATCTCCACGACCCAGCAGGCGTACAATAGAGGAGCGGGATGGAATGGCGCGTCGAGGGCGACTAACCAAAGGAAATGGCAGCGCCTCCACTCTTTGCGCGTGCTGCCAAGTCATCAGAAACAACCAAGTTCATCCAGTCATGGGTTTCTGTGCTGTGTTCCGGCCTTGGCGAGGAAAGAGTGGAGGGGTTTCGCACCGCTGTTGGATGTCACAGGTGCAGAGCACGACGCAACAATGCTAACAGAAGAAGCACAATTTGCGCAAATACCAGCCGAAGCTGCATGATGGGCCCATGCCTGCGCAACGGCAGCAGGACACGGCGACCTGAGCGCCTCTCAATCTGAGCATTTTGAAAGATTCATGCACAGTTCCAAGATGCTGGACGCAAAACCATACGGATGACGCAGGACCCCGCCAGTCGACGATGGAGGAGACAAGGTCAGGTGTGTGGCTGACACCAGCTCATGACAGTGGGTCAACGTCCAGCATCTAGGAAGGGGTACCACTAGGGCTGCATATCAGGGCAGCATGATCCAGTGGTGTACCCACATCTGCGAGAGTCTCGCTCGAAGACGGAGGATGGCGTGAGGCAAGGTTCGTTCGGTGAGAGAGGTCGTGGTACAGTCTGCGCAGCGTAGTAGTCGCGCGTCTCATGGGCGCCAGCGGACAGAGACGGAGGCGCGGGATCGGGTGGGTGCTGTTGGTTCTCTGAAGATGCAATGGCTCCGGCCAGCAGCAGAAGTCGGGAGTGCCTGCAATGTGGGCGGTCAGCGACTGGCGTGCGCCCACGAGAGCGATATGGATACATACCGATAGAATACCACAGGCCAGGACGGTCATGCGGCCTGGGAGAGGTGATTGGGATGGCACTATGGCACTCGACAATGGCGTCCCGCTGTGGCCAGTCGTTGTCGCGCTCCTCGATGGAGGACCGGAGGAGGCGCAATTCGCCAGGCATGAACCTCGTCGGCACAGGTGGCTTGTCCAAGTGGCATAATGCGATATGAAGTGGCTGATGGGACGCGCTCCTCCAGCTGCGATGAGGCGAGACCGCAGCGAGGTGAAGGAGGCGTCCGAACGTCCCAAAGCAAGCGGGTCTGGGGGAGCTCGCTGGATTATATACACGGTCGCATCATCAAGATCAGGCTATGTGGATTGTGGAGCCAATAACTGGGTTCTCGTTCTGCGTCATCCCGTTCCGGCCCGAAAACCCGAACGGACTTCACTTCACTCAGACAGCTGTAAAAGAACACAAAGACTTGCCTCTCAACTCTTGCACCCAAGGAGCATCCTCGAGCAAGATGAACCCAACTCCGTCCTGCAGAAGAAATGTGCTTATCTTCTGACCTTCATTCGTGTTTTCGCCCTAGCTGATTTCTCTTCGCAAGAACTCAACCTTTCATGACCCTTTCTCAATTCCTTCAAGCTAGCTGGCCAAGAAGGCCAGTTATCCTTGTGACCTCAGGGAAGAAAGTACAAAAGTACTTATGTGAGAGTCCAATGTGCCCAGTAAGTCCATCAGATCTTTTCCAATAGCCTGAGCCCCTTCGATGTCATCAAACTCCAACTCTGGAATGTTGTGAGTCCGCATGAATACATCAACCTGCGACAGCACTTTTCGATCAAAGTTGTCCAAAGGCAGTGGGTCGACAAACCGTCTTTGTTGCCAAGCGACAGTCCCGTTACCGACGATACGCGGTGTACAGGGAAATCTCCTATGCAGACGGTCTGTCGCAATGCGCTCTTCTCCCTCATACCTCATCTCTTCCCAGGACGGCCAGGTTGAAACTTGGTCCCACCATCCATAGAATGCATTGAAGATTGTCGGTTCGCTGAGCACAGCGCTGCGGCTGTCCTGGAATCCGTATCCACTCTTTCTGCTGCCCTGTGTAACAAAAGAGTACACGTTCATTTTTTTATTCCAAGAAAATCTCCCCAATCAGCAGGACGTACCGTCGCTAACAGCTTGATCCCTAGATCGCTTTTGCTGTCCGCGAGAGCCAGATACTTGGAAAGAGAGAGCAATTCTTTTCGCACGAGTATTGTCGGCAGGTAATGGTCCGTTAGCTCAGTTGCAGAAAGCAGTAGGTAGCGAGGGCGTTGCAGATGAAAGTGCTGAGGTGTTCTGTTGTCGAAAAGGGCACTAGAATACTTATGTAACTATAAAAGGAGTCACACGGAATATACCGGCGACCGGTAAGCTGTGTTGCTATATCGGAGGCAGGAGTGAAGTGCTGCTAGGCAGCAAGTGAGTAGGAAAAACGAGCGATCTGGATCTTTGTAGGAAAGAGCGGACTGAAATTTCAGCTATTCCTAAAAGGCTATAGGAATTGATTATGTATGCACTTACTTTATACGCACATTGGTATCCTACCTAGAGCTGTACTAAGCAAGCAAGTCAGCCAGAACTGCCTGTACAATCAAATTACTATAGGCAGGTGCGATAGGGAAACCCCTAAGGTCCGACGCCCGCTCGACGCTCGTATATACCTATATGTTCGAGACAATTACGTTCGTATACCCTGTACTCAGTAAGGTAGTTGTCGCTGCAGCAACTCCTTCCGATTGTCTTGCGGAGAGTTCTCAAATCAAAGGCCTAGCTTATACGTTTGGGTCTTCTACAGACCTCCCACGACTCGGTCTCCTGACGGCTCGGTCTCTTGTGCTACATTGCTTAGGTTTGAGGTTAGGGTTGTATCAAGCGCTTCTTAAGGCGTCTGATATAGCTATGCAAGTGCCAGCGTCGGCACAGGACCCTGAAATGGATCCGAAGTCCACTTCGTCTCCGGCTGTGGTTATCTCTTACTCCCCGACACTCCGATAAGGCGGATAAGAACGTCTTGAGCCGTTCCCATTCCTGGCAATGCAAGGAATACTGATCGTAGCACCAAGCCACTTTCCTACTCTCGAATAAGGCGCAGTCCGCCATGGGAGTGAGCGCAGGTAGATCCAGTGCAGCGGCCGCAGCAAGTTGGCGGGGATGTTTCGCGACCACCCTCGTGGCCATCATCTGCGTAGAGCAAACAGTCTCATCATTCCTCTACGACTTTCCGCTCCTACAGCACTTATCGGCCCGCCCACATCGTGGCGCCTAAACCAGCGCGACTCTCATTCACCGGCCGCTTCGCAACTCTGCCCTGGCTCTTGACGCCTTCGACGACGCGGTCCAGACCTGTCTCAATGACCACGCCACCCACAATCATCTCGCCCAACACGGCGTGTAAGGTCTCAAAGTTGAAGATCAGGTCGAGCTCGCACACGTTTTCGAACAGCCGATCCAGCGCCTCGACGAAAACTTGGATCAGATCGAGCAGGGCCAGTGGCGACTCGGTGCTGGTGGAAATGAGGATGAAGTACAGCGTCGCGTAGTGGCGGTAGGTCACGAGTGACGGCGCGTCGTTGTGTTCGGGGGCGCTGGCGGGAGCGGTGGACGACGAGGGCGCGGGGGCCAGCAGCGGCGGCAGCGGTAGGAAATTACACGCGCTATTCGGGCGCGTCGAGACGAGCGTAAAAATCTCCGAGATGAGACGTTGCTGTACGGCCGTGTCCTGAGCGTAGCATGTCAGTGTCGGCTCAGGATGCATTAGTTTGTCAAGGTGAGGCAGTACGAGCTGTGTGTAGAACTTGGTCAGTCGAGGTTGACCATGATTGTTGAACACTAGCACCGCATTGATCATATTGTTGAATGTCGGTGGGTGGTAGTAATCAAGACATTCGAGCATTTGTGAGTGAGTGCAGTGGAAGGAAGGTAGATGCTCAAGCGCCAAGCCCTTTGGCGCCGTTCTCGTTCAAATACATCCATCCATACACCCATACATATACAACGTAATGTATTGCGCTATCTACGCACATCTGCAGCGCATTACTCCTCCATGTCGTCCTCGTTGTAGCTAACCTTTTTGACCTTGACTGCTCTCCTGCTGCTGGCCCTCGAGACTGCTGGTCTGGTTTTTCCTGTCGTTTCTAATCCGTCCTCGCTGTCAGATGTCTTGCTGGAGCTGGATATAGGAGCTTTCTTCTTCGTCTTAGACGTCTTTTTCAGCGTGGCCTTCGCATGGGCCAGCGCCGCCTTATCGGCCGCTTTGGCTTTGGACTCTTGAGACTTGATTGCAGCCTTGTCTGCATCGGACTGAGTCTTCTTCTTCATTGCAAGTCTGGCTTTCTTCGTTGCTGGCGTGGCTTCGGGATCCGACTCTACGAATTCCTCTTCCTTCACCATGTCTTTGGTAGCCTTCTTCTCAGCTTCTTTGGCCGCATAAAGAGCAGCGGCATCCTTCTTCGACTTCTCTGTCGGGCCTGTTGATGGCTTCTTCTTTATTTCTTTCTTTTTCGGCCGCAACCACGACTCCATCGTGGGGGGCCAGTAAACCCTGCCCTCCGGGCCTCCCATCCCACAATCATCCTCATTTATCATTTGGATGGGGTCAGCGTCTGTCTTCTTCTTCCTAGCCAGAGCTTGAAGCGCCATCTTATTGTCATCGTTGCGAGTATAAGGAAGCATGTCGTTGAAGCTATCGTAACCTGGCAGCTTGAACGTACGCATGAGCTCAAACACTGCTTGTTCTTTGTCTTTGGCTTCGATCATCAAGTCCATGTCTGGTGCACAAGGTGCTAAAAGTAACAGGAGATAGGTCAGCAAGTATCTCCGAACCGACACTACGATACACTTAACAGGCACCTGTCAAGTTCATGGGCTCGAATATTGTGAAAATTCGAGAGGAGGGAATGCCTTCGACAGATGTACTTACGGAGCGTGGCCACACGGGGATTATGCTTGCGACGTTGTCGACCGGTGATAGCTTCTGGCGTGGGTTCTGAATAATGCATCTTCTGCTTGATGCCTTTGCGACTCCATGTGGCAGAAATGCGGGGATAGAGGTCCATGATGTCTTTGGTACCTTCTCGGATCCTCTCCGAGTCGAATATTATATTGTGGTGGTGGTAATCTCTGGGCATCGTTAGCACGATAAATTGAAGTCTCAGGTGCATTTTAAAACTCACAAGACCTGAGGGATGTTCAGCTCTTCACAGACTGGTAATAAATCATGGACAGACCAGATCACATCATCATTCTCTAGAACGAGGCGGTTCTTAATACTCTGCTTGAGGGTCGCATAATTCTCGCGGAATCTCTGCAAAGTTTCGGTCTTTCCCTCAAACTAGAAGTGATCGACCACAGGTAAGCAGATTTCTCAAGTATGAGGATGTGGTGCAATTCATCTATCTGTTTTCGAGCTTATCGCTGTAGTGGACGGGAGCTCAGGGTGACATAATGCACAGGGGATGCTAACTTGTACTTACCAAACCACCCATGTGCAGAACCATGACAGCGTCTCGATCCATTTGCGGAGGGAGCTTCAAAAGTGATAGCAATTCATCGTGGTATTCCAGATCTCGAATAGCGTTATCAATTACCGACTTGCGCGGACTGCCTAGCTGGGTGAACTGTCCAGGGTGTGTCGTGACTCGATGCCCAAGCTCAGCAATCACTTTGCCCGCTTCTGCAAGGGCATCAGAAGCAAAGGATGCAAGCTTGTAACCTGGAATCAAGTACGATCATGTTAGTTGAAAGTTCCGAGTTCTGTACGATTCACGCGTCCAATGCATACCGTATTCTGGATGAGATGCAAATGGAAACATTTCGCTGGACAATCTGAAAAACTTGATGTTGTACCGATCGTTCCAGCGCACCATTTTAATGATATCTCTTACATTCGCCAACCCTAGGTCTTGCACGTATTTCTGGCCCAAGGCAACATCGGCCGGTTTCTGAACGTCAGGGCGATTCTTAGTTGCATGCTCGAGTTCTGCGGGATTCTGCAGAGGGTGGCGATGTTCGAGGATGGATTGAATTCGGCACGTTCGCGAGCTAAACTAAAGCAGATGGATTTCGATCAGCGAATAATTTGGACATACAGGCCTCGCTTGCACGTACGACTGGGGGATTGGAATTCCTCAGATATGTGTTGAGACAACAATATCCCAATCTGCCCTTCCATGGCAAGGGTAGGTAGTCGCTATTCACGGGAGGTGGACGAGCCAAGGCCTCCTTGATCTCTTCAGGATCAGCCGCCGAAGCGTCGTCCTCACCTGCCTCCGGATCACCGGAGTCGGTGCGTGTATGGCGCTGAGACTCTCCTTCCGTAGCAACCTTCTGAGTCTTCCCACCCGTCTTCAATTTTGTCTTCGGCGGCTCCAATGTCTCCGGTAAATCGCTGAGAGGGCTTTCGGCTTTACTACCATTCGTTTCGCTTCCTACTGGACTCGGGGCGATCTTCTGGTCGACATCGCCGTCGGGAGAAGCACGCAGTGCATCAGGAGCGTCAACAACATCGCCGTTATGATTGGGATCGGTGATAGTTGCTGCGGCCGCGGTTCGCGCTGAGGCTCGTCGTTTCGAGGGCGCTGCTGGCTCAACGCCGCTCGAGATGGGTTTTGCAGCAATAACTGATCGCTTCCTCTTCGCTGCTGGCATGGTGGAGGTCAAGAGACGCGTCCCGTGCACGAATCGACACTTCAGCAGGCGAGGTAGCATCAATTTCAACAGGTGCCTCGTTAACACGAGCCCGCCAAGATATCAGAGCAGGCGGAATGCAGTAAAGATGCAATGCATACCTAAGATACCTACATGTAGGAGGTACAGGTACCTAGGTCATGTACCTGTACCTTCCTTACCTCCTCCTACCTCATAGGGTTTGCCTGATGTCATTACGATGCGATGCCATGCGCGTGGCGCTTCCGCACACGAGATCTGAGATCTAACCCAACGGGGATAGCTCCGCATCTAATCTGTATAACTGGGGAGACCCGATCGGACGATGTGGACGGGATCCATGCTCTCGGCCTCCAGTCCGAGCAAATCAGGAAGCCTGGACGCTTAGGAGGTATATACAGTAGACCTGGGCCACCTGGCACAGTTGCGCGCTGGAGGATGCTTCTGATCTTTTGAGCGAGTAGAACGCTTCTTTTCCAACAAGCAATTGTTACAGATTGTCGAACAGCTGCCGTAGAGTATCATCCTCAGTCTTCGGTTTGGGTAATAACATCCCACTCATCTCATGACCAAGTTCATCGACTACCTCGACTACCCTCGCTGCATGCTGCACCTGACCCGCACGACTCTTCGCGAGGATAAGAGCGACAATGAGCACAGCCAGACCTGCGAGCGTGACCCAGACTGCACTCCATCGTTGGCGGCTAGTCTTCTGCTTCTTTTTCTCGCGCTGTTCATAGGCTTCCACGCGATGCCGGGCCGCCTCCAGTCGATCGTTGAGTTCATCAGCGTTTTGCTTGGAGTGCTTGAGCTGGTCCACGAGAGAATTGATCGTGACTTCCTGCGGATCAAAGTTGGCAAACGCATCAAATCTGGATATTGTACTCTGCTCAAGCTGCTTCGTCTCTTCCTCGAATCCCGAGTGCATGCGTCGACTCTCCTCTGTCAACTGCTGCAGACTGGCGACTGTATTGCGAAGCAGAGATGCCCTCTCCAGGATCGCATAGTAGGTATCATCCAGCTGCCTGGTACTGCTCATAGCCACGTCTTCTACCGCACTGAGACTGGTGCGTAAGCCCTTTTCTCGCTTCACATTGTCCCTCTTCGCCTTTTCGACGTCTTCTGACTTGACCTGTGGCCTGCGGGCCAGTTCCACTTGCTGGATGGCCCATTCATCTACGTTCCGCTGTTGGGTTTCCTGCTGCCTCCGCGAAATATGCCTGCTAGATCCATGCCGACCAGAGTCGTGTCCTTTCTTCTCGCGACGTAACAAGGAATCAAAGCTAATGGGCGGCTTCAGCTCCAGAGCCGACTGGACTGTCTCTTTTGCAGCGTGGCGATAGTCCTTCGCACCCGTAAATGCGCGATTGCGCAGACTGGTTGACTGCAGGCGTCGATGCAGGTGAGCCTTTTCGTGGTCATTAGGCACAGCAGTATCGGCGCGAGGGCGTGCTGATGCACCCTGCTGATCTGTGGTGGTTCGTAGCTTCGGCAGTGCCTTGGGCGACACCATGCTCTCTTCTTGCGCCATGGCAGCCACTAGTCAGTCCCATTCGTAGTCACTGGCCGCAAGAGCATTCCTCTGCAATCAGCCATTCATGCGTGGATGTAGTCATGAGGCTCCGTGGTCGAACTCAGATTTCAACCCAGGAGTCGGGATGCAGTCGCAGTCTTCATTCGGGAAGTACATGAACGTTATGTAAGAAAGTTGTTCGGGACATGGCAGCTACCTAGGTACCTCCTAGGCATGAACGTTCTGTAATAACCGCTTGGCGATGACAAGCCCTTGCCCACTATACCTTAGGTACACGTATCTACCAGGTAGGTACCTTGCGTCCTAAGGTACATATACATGTAGGTACATGTAGTCTCTTTAGATGGACCTCTTCCTACCTCAGGTACCTACATGTATGCGACATCTACAAACAATTAAGGTATTCTTCTTGCCGCGTGGTTATGATATCCCTATGACAGTTTTCACATGATCAAACAGTCCATATTTCTCTTTTGCATCGTGCTTGTAAAGCAGTGATTGCAATACCAATTATGGACGCGGCTCTAACGAACGATACAAGAAAACGAAATGGCGGGACTGCATGGACGGAAGAAACGAGGCCTCCTCGTCGCACTCGAGTAGCGTTCGCTATGGTACATTATAGGTCTGCGAGATATGCCTCCTCTGAGTGTACACAATCGGTTCATTCTTCATCCTCATCGTCCACGACCCGGCGGCGTTTACTTCTCACTTGAGGTATGTCTTCATCGATCTCACCCTCTGCATCCTCGTCGTCTCCGATCCTTCCATTGTCACCAGGCGCAGATCGTGGGCGGTCTCTCTTTGGAGTTCTCTCTCGTGGCTCCTCTATAATGCCATCATCAGGATCATCATCATCCTCAACAAGCTCTTCCTCGTCACTACGGGCAACAAAGTCGTCTTCTTGGTCGTAATCGTCCTCTCTATTGGTAAAGCGTTTGTTGCCATAGTCCTCATCATCACTGTACTCGCTGTTCCTCCGTCTCCGAGGTTTCGGACGCGGCTTTCCAGCTTGTGGGCGGCCACGGCCACCTTCCATCTCGTCGTCTTCGAGCATGCCAACATTGAGACCGCCATATCGACCGGATGAAATACCGGCACGACCCAGAGCTCGGTCAGTACGCAAGCGCTCTCGCTCTTGGGCATTCTCGCGCTTTCTCTTGTCTCGCATCGCCTGTCGCTCTGCCTGCTCTGCTAGTCTCCGCTGCTCCTCTGGGTCGACCTCAGTGACCTCAAGGTGACCACTGGCGCCTGCGACCTTTGTTGCATTTGCTGCTAAAGCCAGAGCTGCTTGCAAGCGCTCGATTGCATCGTCCTCGGCGTTGTCTGGTTGCTGTATCGATAGCCCGGCTGTAATCTTATGCGTAACCCGCAGTGCTTCAGCGGCTTCCACGGGCGCAACCAGATAGGTGAAGGCATCATTTTTCTGGTCGTATCTCTCATCCATAGACTGGCCTGCTCTGCCGCCCGGTTTCCTCCCTGTCGCGCTGATCGGAGTGGGTATCTTCGGATTTCGCTGTGGAGGAGCCAGGGGATTGCCATCCACCTCGTACTGAATGTGGGGGTCAGAGGCAAGCTGCACAGTCAACGTGCCATCTGACCATCTGTTGATACGCGCATTCGATTGTAAGAGAGAATGATCCGAGGGCGAGTGCCGCCATCGCATCGTGGTCATGGCGGTGTTGAATGCGGAGAACGTGGCAGATGCGGGTTTCCTGGAGTGGTGATCGGTCTTGGGGGGCTGGAAAGTTGTGACCTGCCAGGGCTCGGCTTCGATGGACATGAAAGCAGGCACTTTCAATAGGTACATCTACGTTTGTCAGTGTGAAGGCTATTGCATCGCAGCATGAATACGATACCTCGCCGTCGCTAGGTTCAGGCACTGGCTGTCTCGCGACCTCCACGTCCATTGACAATATCTCATGGTCTTCGAATTGCTGCTGATGCTGCTCTTCGTCATCTCCTCGATGCTGCGCGCGATCCTCGCGTCCCTCATCGTCTCCGGAATCGAGCTCCGCGTCGTCGAGCTGTCGTGGGCTGCTTCTCGTCAATATTGATCCTGGCTGCACGCACGATAACACTTACGCTCTATCCACCGCGCTGGCAGCATCATTTTCGTCGCCTTCGTCGCCAAAGAGATCGTCGCCACTATCTTCGCGTCCGTCTTCTGATGCTCCTGTCCTTGACGTTTGCGCCCCGTTGGACTGTTCTCCCCCAATGCCAGTCATGTCATTCGTGGTGGCATCCATTCCTGCTGCACTGTCCTCGTTGGTGACTTCCTTCTCATGAGACTCCCGTCCTTCGGACATTTTCGCGCGTGACGTGTGCGGTGATGCAGGGAAGTCGGTCGTTGCGCGGGAGTTGACGATGGATGTCGTCGTCGCGCGTTGCGGGGAATCTCGAGTCCCAGCGCGGTCAGGGGCACCAGGTCGTTGGGTAGGCTAGGAGAGGGTATAGACTGTATGTAAGTGGCACAGTAGGAGCGCAGCCATGAAGTACGCGGTCAAGAACTACCTGTATAGGTATGTCGGTGCGCAGTCCAAGTGTGTACTCTGAACGGCCGGAAGCACAACAGAACTTGAAGGCTGTCAGAAGGTGACAGAAGCTCTTTGCGCTAGCCTCCATTTGACTTCTCGGGCCGTCCAACCTTATTTCATGGGCAGGGGATGCTGCGAGGCTGAAGCCTGACTGAAACAACATCAACCAGTCCAGCCCTCCTGAATCATCCACTCCTTCTTCATCATCGGCCCCCCGGCTCGACGCTCGACCTCACGCTCCAGACTCTCTCTTTGCGTCTCCCCACTGTCTTGAAGGCGACCGAGAGGCACCACGACACCCAGCGAGGAACATGTCGTCCTGGATGAACAACCTGTGAGTGATTAAGCTTTCTTCTATTCTGTCGGTGAAACTGGGACGAAGTTTGAGAGCCTGCATGGTGCGGAACAAGGACAACGTATCCGACTCTTCCACTTCTGCATACTTGGCCACTGTTGCCCGGAGCCCTCCTGCTTAGGCACTGTCCACTGGAATCGCCCACGTTCGAAGGTCCACCACGGCGAGAGAGAGAGAGAGAGAGAGGAGGAGAGAGAGAGAGGACGGCG